GCTACGAAAAGATCATGAAGACAGGCATGTGAGAATAAATATGTTGGATAACATTTAATAGTGGCTAGCTTGGTGTGCTTTTCGGTGTTTACTGTATATGATCAATATATGCAAGTTTACATCTAAATTATGTGTTAATAAGATATTCTCTATGGTATTTTTGGATTGCACAAATAGAATACATATAAGCAATCATTTTGGCATATCATAAGTAGCAATTATTTGTTTAAAAGGAGTTGACCAATGGATTTTAAGGGGCATATGTGCTATATTGGTGATAATACTCCTTTAAAACTATATATAAACAGTTAATGTAGATCTAACCATGTTCATAAAGTCAATGATGTTTGCGATGTTTGCTATTGGAATAAGATGCGAAACTGGCTGGGGATGGAGTAAAGATGATAAAGATACCAGCAACAGTAATACAAGTACTAGTGAAGACAGTGATAAGGAAAGCTAATCACAGTGAAAGGTTTCAGTAGCACTGCGGGCTAGGATTAAGAAGTTTCAATAAACATTAACTTCTATGCGTTTTTAAATAACTCAATCGAATTATTGGATATTTGTGGTATAAATTTTATTATCATGCTTACCCATAGTATGGGTGAAGAAGATGCAACTCCAATTGTTACTAAGCAAACTGGACCTGAAGGTTTGCCACACGACCTTAGTGAAGATACTCAAAAACTTATCCATAGTATGGTTAAAGGAGATGCAACTCCAATTGTTACTAAGCAAACTGGACCTGAAGGTTTGTCAAACGACCGTAGTGAAGATATTCAAGCACTTATTTCTGTAATGAATATGCCCAAAGCAAAAGCCACAATTCTTATAGAAGATGGACGTATTAGGCATTTAAATCTGGAAGGTTCACTGCCACAACTAAGAAAATCTGAATATGATACATACTACGGCTATGAGATGATTGAAATGGGTATTTTAGTGGGGTTGATTATAATTAGTATACTATTGAATTATTTTGAGGTGGATGGCAAGGTAGTTCGTATTGCTATGCTTGTGACCATACTACTATGCTTTTTATACTGTTTAATAAGGAAAACGCTTTTGGCACCGTCGGATAATATTCCCTCAGATACTACAGGAACTTTGATATATACCTCAATGTATCCGATGACACTTTATCCTATGTGTATTATATTGAATGAATTGTTTGGAGAAGAAGGGAATATAGATTCGTTCTTGTATTCAAAGGAAGGAGAGCGATTATTGCTTAGCAAGTACACATTTATGATTATAGGGATATTTATATTGATTCAAGCTTTGAATATATTGGATCGGTGTAATGATGTTACTAGAGCAAATTATGTTATCCGAAGTTCACTTATATGTGGGTTTTCTGGGTTGCTTTTGTTTTCTGGAGAGTCTTCTGCACTGTTTAAATACCAGAATATACTTGCAATTATTCTAATGGTATTCCTTGCACTACACATAGCAATTGACTTTACTATGAGCAGAATGAAGAAGTATAAATCAAATCCTAACAGTGACAAGCTACTTAAGCGGGGCAAGATGCCATATTCTTTGTTTTACCTAACTATATTTCTATCGACAATGAATGTGGTTAATATGTTTACTGATGGAAGCCTGGATTTTATTGTTATTATTAAGTTCCTAACTGACAAGCTTTTCCCAGGTTTGAAATTCCTTGACAAGGTTATTTTAACGAATTCCAAATAAATTTACTTGGTTTTTATGGATTATTACGAAGATAGGTTTTTTTGTGTTTTTTGAACTTACTTAGTAGTATACTTGGGACATAAAACACAAAAACAAGATATATTATACATATTGCATGTCCTATTATTTCAGGAGTTTTCTCAAAGCCAAAGAGCTTGTTCACTCCAGTGAGTATGTTAGCCCAGATCAAAATAAATAGAAGATGCCTACTTGTGAAGCGATGAAAACGAAGATTTCTTATTTTGAACCACTTTCCTAGCATTGCAAATATCATCTTGTGAGTTGTGTGCAAGATCATAATTGTCATGCAAAAACAAATATTGTGTATTCTACGGCACGAAACCGAGTATATGCGTGATATTGCGAGAGCTATGATGAATAGTAGATTATGTGCTAGCATAGGCTTTATATTACTATCTTCAAACATAAATTTTGATATGTCGCTTGCCATCAGGAAAATTCCCATCTGAGGCAAAATGAATATGATTCCTTCAAGATTTGCAGTAAAAATATTTGACCTGGTGTTGTTATAGATCATCTCCTCGAGCCCAAAAAGCTTCAGAAATGTCTCATGAAGAGCACACATCGCAAATCCAACGATGGTGTTGTTTTTAGTGTTTATAAAAAGCGATAATATGTTCAGGATGCATAGAAGAAAAAAGAAATTCAAATGAACACCAAATTCTGCATCATCAACTCCGAGTTTGAGCATAACTTTTGATGCATGCCTTAATGCTCCAAAAGCGAATGATATGATTATGTTTTTGGTTTTCTTTTTCGAATCAGATATTGTAGAAAAGAAGCCAGCGTTGTATACAAATGAGCCTACGCCAATATCCATGAGTTTCAATCCATGATCCATACTTTTTCCAATCCGAGGATCATTGTAGAATGAAAAGTCTGCTGCAAATATTGCAACTGCAACACATAGAATAATAACAAGCCTACTTCTATCAATAGCTGTAGACATATACTCCTCATCTGAGATATCAAACAACTTTGAACCAGCTGAAGATACATTTGGCGCTCCCGGAATTTTGCTAGTTTGTTTTCTCCTGTACAGTAAGCTCAGTATGAACCAAATAACAAGTGGCACACAAAATACTAGGTACAGTATGTCTATGTGGCCTATAAACACAATTGCCACGTACTGAGGAATCGCAGTGAACAGAAACTCAAGTGCCATGCTTTTAGGTATCATGAGATGATAAACTAGAACAGATAGATGTGTTATTCCAGTTGTTGTAAATAGTTCAATTTCATTCAAATAATTCATGGGACAATTATTGTTCATCTAGCAAAATAATCGAATGCTACCTGACAATTTACTATAATAAACTAGAAAATACCGAATTTATTCTCTAAGTTGGCCAAAAGCTTCATTGAGTCTTCGTCAAGCTCATCGGCAAAATACTTTTTAACGATAGAAATTGAGTCTCGGCAAAGAACAGAATACAATGCATCGTCCTGCTCAAAATGCCTTCCAAACATCCTTGGGCCAATGCTTGGATTGGCTTCAATTTTAATCGCAACCTTCTGGCCCTTCACCGCCTTATTTACTGCATCCTTGTTGTTCTCAATAGAGGTGACTGATCCAAGATTGACAGTCTCTCCATTCTTCAGCACGCAAAGAGGAGTTCCAACCTTTAAGATCCCTTCTTCAACCTGGACTCCAATAACTAAAGGGCTTCTTGCATTGAAAATGCATTTTGGAACAATCGAAAGCTTGACAGGAAACACAGCCTGGCCCGTGTGCATCTCCTTTACTTTATTTCGTTCTTCCTCTGCATGCTTCAGGTACAAGTCAAGAAGATTGTATATTATTTTTGCCTCAAGAATCTTGATTCCCATAGAAAACGCCAATTCTTTTGTTTCTTTATCAAGAACTACATCAAAGCAGAGTATACACGCATATTCTTTTCCTTTATTTGCCATCGATGCAACAATAATCACGTCTTTTTTCTTTACAGATCCAATGCTCACCCCGGAGACAGGAATCTTCGAATTTGATAAAAACGTTGTTAGTGCTTCCAATGATCCCAATGTGCTTGAAACAACATGAACTCCAGTCTTGCTCAGCTTTATCGATGAAAAGATTGACCTTATATCCGCATCAAGTATCCCTTTTGCCTCTTCTTCATTGTTTTTGACTGCTAATATTCTGCTTCCTGCTATTGCCTTATCAAGGTCATTCGCCAAGATTTTTATTCCTATGCTGGCTCTTGCTGTTTTGACAGATGTGTATTGACTCTTTACACGGAGCTCTTTTAACGGCTGAGGCATAAGCAATGCCTTGATCGATGTAACTATGACTCCATTAAACCCACATAATGCAATTTTGTCCCCTTCATTCAAAACCCCGTTGCTTAGAATAGCATCAAGAGTTGTTCCGTATCCTTCGACATTCTTAACCTCGAGTATTGTGCATTCCAGCTCATCCTTGATTTTCATTTTTGACTCCATGTACTTTTCAGAAAGTTCCAATATCAACGACACAAGATCCGGAATGCCTTCGCCAGATACCGCCGATGTGGGCACTAGCGAAATAAACCTCCTTTTGTCATCATTCTTGCAAAATAGCCTTGCATTGAAGCCCAGCTCTGCAAATGCCAGAACTGTGTTTCCAACCCGCTTATTGAAATCATCCAGTGTTCCCTTCGATTGCTTAGCAATTGTGCTCTCGAAATCTGCAAAATCAGTAGCCTTCCATCCATACAGCCTATCTATCTTGTTAAGAGCAACTATAAACGGCGTCTTCCGAGCTTTTAGCAACTCGATGCTTTCTAATGTCTGTGCCTCAATTCCATGGACTATATCAACAACAAGTATTGCAAGGTTGCATAGAGATGATCCTCTTGTTCTTAGATTTGTAAACGATTCATGCCCAGGCGTGTCTATTACAAGAAGTCCTGGAAGCTTTGATGTGTTCTTTCCACACTTTCTAACAAGCTCTGCTGCTGGAAAAAATGTAGCGCCTATCTGCTGTGTTATTCCGCCTGCCTCTTCACCCTGAACATTTGTTTGCCTCAGCTTGTCAAGAAGCTTGGTTTTACCTGTATCTACATGCCCTAGAATGCAGCAAATCGGACTTTTGAAGCTAGAGTCTATGCTTGTTTCGTGCGATTTCTCCACATCGCTGTCTGAAATTTTATTAGGATTGTTTTCAGATGGATCTGCATGGCTGCTACTCTTCTTATCAGCACATGCTGTCTCTTTCCCATCTGATTGATGGCTCTTACCCTTTGTCACTGGCTTCGTTGCTTGCATTTGAGATATACTGAGAGAATCCAAGGCATTCTCCGTGCCAATCAATTCGCTTGACTTGCTTGTATCTTCTACAGCCCGATTCTCACCTGTAGAGCAAGCATTTCCTAAAAGCTCATTCAAGTAATCCTCATTTTTCTTATTTTTCCTGCCCATCAAAGGAATTGCATTTCATTTGTTTATACCGTACACACTATGTGATGAGCTGCTACAAAGTGCTTGCAAATCACTGTAGAAAATCCAAATGCTGGCCAAAACCAATTACTGCTTCTATTCCGAAACCTCTACATAGTTAAGCACCATTGTGTTGCAAGCAGATGAACAACGACGTACTTACAAAAGTTATTCCACGCTTAAGCAAGTCGTCTGTCAGATCCCTCTGCATAGTAATAAATGCTGATGAGTACTACGCACACGTATTCATTAAGTATGGAAATAGACTGAACATAATGTCCATCGATAAAATCTGTGCTATACTGCAGAAGATGGTCGATCTTGGAAATTCTACCATGGCATTTGAGTTCCTTGTATCAATTCCAACTGGTAGAATGACAAGAGTCATTCTAAAGCTCATAGAAAATCCCGATTTCGAAAAGTCGTCAATCATTCTAACCCTCCAAAGCGCATTCATGCAATTGGACAAAGGATGTAGCAAAGACTCAATTAGATATAGGATGGTTGCAGACCATATACAAAGTATCGTTACAAATAGAAACACACACACAAAATACTGTAAATAAATAACATTTAATTTCTTATATCTTTATCAGCTGAAAACAATCAATAGGATCGTTATTTCTTAGGTATTTTGATCTTGATTTTCAAGCCTGTGGGGATCTTTATCTTAATGCTAGCACCTACCTCAGCCATATTTCCTACATTCTTACCTTTTGCATGGCCATCCGCATCATATTTGCCTGCATGTTCATTCACATCGACTGCTTTGGTGCTTTTCAATTGGATGCTGCTTTTATTTCTTTTCGAACTTCCATGTGAATCACTGCGCCTTTTCAGCTCTTTTTTTGTATGCATATCTGCATGCCTATCAATCGTCTCCTTTACAATGGGGAGCTTGATAATGTATTGCGTTTCTAAAAGACTCCTCTTGATATCATCCATGCTGTTCAATCTTATGCTTATTTGCCTACACTCCTTCTTTTCACTTTCTATGCCAATAGTGACAGCAGGAATCCCAATCGTCAATGTCTTCTCATAAAACTCCTTATACTGCTCCCTATACTGCTCCTCATTCATATCCATATTCTCTATAATGTACACAAGACTGCATAGCTTCTCAATAACCTTTATATTCCCATTGTTGGCCTTAATCAACTCAAATATTTGTTTTCTTTTCCTCTTCAGTATATCCTTCAAGCCCATTCTTGATGAAAGCCCAAAGCTAACCAGCAGATTCAGCAATGTATTCTTAATACTAAACGTCCCCTTCCTGATATCCCTCAACACCATCTCAATCACATCTTCGTCATCATGAAATAACGACACCAAAACTTCAAGTGCCGCTATTCTAACTCCTATGAAGTTAGGATACTTACAAAGATCGATCAATGCCTCCTTCCTCAAGCTTATTACTCCAAACACAGACAGTCTGCCTAGGGCATATACACAGGCTTGTGTCACTAGGTTACAATGCGATGGAAAAACCATGTCAAGAATGCGAAATCTTTCTATTTCGGATATAGATGCTCGTAAATAATCTACTTCGCTCTTTGAATCGCAATTGCTAGAAATATCCTCATTTCTAGATCTATCGTCAACACTCCCCACATTGCCTACCAGCTCTGTATATTTATCGCTATATTTGCCATTCAAGCTCTGTACACTATGATTGTATTGGTTTGCCTCAGCATCCGTGCTTTGTTCTATCTTATTTGAATTTCTGCCGCCCTCCAATGGATTACCTATTTCTGCCTCTTCATTGCTTATTGCTGGCATTTCGTCTAGAAACAACTCATTTATCTCATCCTTCATTTTGCTTCGTCTACTTCTTTCCACTTTCCGTAATCCCGCATCACATCCTGCCCTCGAGTAAAATTCGTCATAGCTCATTGAGCAAAGCGAAAGACTTAGACCTTCGATCACAGAAGAAATATACCAGCTATCGCTATACGAATTGAACGAGTTGTCATTAAACTTCAGGATGTTCATTATAAACGCACATACAATACTTGCAGACCCCACATTCCTTCCAGAGTACTCTCGGAATACAAACGGATCCGTCAGAGACAATGCATTCACCAAATGCTTCTGCACAAAATACGAAATAAATGAAAAATCATTTGGTTTGACTATTGTCGACGTTTGTACGCAGTACTTCTTCACAAAATACTGTATAAGCCTTTGGAATCCATAATGATCCCCAGATATCGTCCTGCACAAAATATACAATATCTCAATCCGGACCTTGTAAAAAACATGCGTGTTCTCAAGAACTCTTTCCAGTATCTCGCATATCTGTGTAGAGGGTCTTACCGACAAACTCTCAAGCGCCTCCATTTGCCCAACCACATTCTTGTCAAGAAGCTGCTCTATAAACATATAGTCAGGCTGCTCCACAATCACCTTTGCCAAGTGTTCTCCCTTCGGATCTGCACGAATCCACAGAAGCGGCATGACCTCTTCCTCTTCTTCAGCTTTCTTTTTCTTCTTGGTTCGTGGATGATAGTAGAAGTGATTATCCTTGTCTAATGTAAATGAATGCTCAAACACACCTTCCATCTCATAGCTACATATTGTCATCGGTCCACTAACACATCTATTGCCATTCGCCAGGATGCTTGTTGCTGCTTGCTCAACAGAAAAGTCAACCCTGTTGTTTTTCTTATTTACACTGAACCTAAGCTTCACCTTCACCGCTCCAGGCTTAAAAACATATGCATCAAACAGAAACTTTAGGTCCTTGCCAGTTACATCCTTTACAAGCTTTACAAACTCATGTGTGTACTCAACATTCACATCGTCTCTTTTCTTAAGAGCGTAGTTTAGGATCTTTTCCATAAACGCCTTGCTCAGATTCCCCTCCAGCAGGTGGAAAAAGATTTTCGATTTGGCCTTAAAAAACCTTTCTGTCATCGAAGCAAGCATCCTTCGTTTATCAAAAAGCGCATACTCAGAAACATCATTCTCAAAGACATAATCACGGTCTTTCTTTAGCTCATACACAAACTCGCTATTGCCAAGAAAATGTCTGGCACAGTAATCGCAAAAATATCCCTTCATTCCCTCAGAAATCCAGAAGTCGGCCTTGTCAACAACAGAAAAGTAGAAGTAGAACACCTGAGAGCTTATGATATCCCCAACTATTCTCTTCAGCAGAAACGCCGGCTCAATGTCGTTTGATGATATAAGATTCGATACATTCAGAAATGACGTGCCTTGGCCATAAACCTTGTTTGCATCTCCATACACAAAGACAACCTCAAGCGCACGAAACGGATAGTCTCTCTGCAAGAAGTACTCCGTATACTTTATCAGGCTTTCCAGATCCGCACAGAACTCCTTCACAGACTCTTTGTAGTTCGGCATTCCCTTAGGAAGATACACCATCTTCTTATCATCTCCAACAAGCATCTCATGCGAGCCAAACGTCCCGACACAAAAGTTCAGATGCCCACTATGCGCCATCTCAACTATGTATGAGTATAGATTGATTTCTGCCTCTTCATTCATGCACCTGAAAGTACCTGGCGAAATAACTCTTACCTCCTCATTGGCCGGAATGATATAGACCAGCTCCCATCTATATCTCGATGATGTTTGAACGGATGGAAATATGGAAGACGAATCAAACAGCCTATTTGTTGCAACAATCTCCATGTGCTTGTCATCAGCAGACACTGGCCTGTAGAACTCAATTGAGTCGTTGTCGTTATCCATGCTATATGTGATTCTTATCACAATCTCCTCTTCCGCAATATCTTCTGGTACATCTACAGCAAAAGTGCTTTCAGAACAAATGTCTTTCCACATACTTTTGGAAAACAATGCCTCGTGCTGGTCTATCGCTCTGCATACATTGTTTGCTTTATATGCCACGTCTGCATGCCTTGCTCCTGCAATTATCTCCACACTCTGTATACACAATCCCTTTGATTTGTAGATAATCCTGCTTTCTCCACCCTGTCTATGGATTGTTGTCTCCACAAATCCTCTGTATATCCTCTTGCTCAGGTCTATGAAGTACACGTTTTTCTGCTGGTCCACCTTCATTTCAGGGCAATTTTTGTATCTAACTTAAAATAACATGGCAACCCCCAGATGGATACAGATCCAGTCAATAAAAGAGCGAAGCCGTGCAATAGCAATGCTGTAGACCCCAGAGCACTGTGGCAACTACGAGAGATGGTTGATAAAGAGGGCATAGTTGCAAAGCAGAAGATTTCGATATATGTTGAGATGCTGGGGTACATGAAGATGAATGAGGAGCTGGAGAGTAAAAACGAGGAATTGGCAGAGGAGAATGCAAATCTGGTGATGATGCTTGAGAATCACAAGGAGAATGTAGAAAATGCCTGTGAAAGTAAGGGAAAGCATAATATAGATGGGGCGTCGAAGATTGTGATGCTGAGCAACGAGGTCAGGAGGCTTGGCTCTGTTATATGTGAGATGGAAAAGAGACTTGCTAAGAGGGATATTGATGGATATGCACATGCATCACATGCAGAATCGAATGATGTCAGCAACACACGCATGAAGCAGGCAGATGTGTCTTTGGTGTCAATGGCAAATGACGAAACGTACAGGAGGATTGTAGATGAATGCTCTGAGCTCAAATCGAAATTAGTTGATGTTGAAGCCAAGTACAAAGAAGAGATGTATGATAAGGAATTGGTGATAAGCAAATTATCTGGAGAGCTGAATAATCTGAGCATATCACAAAAGGAAGCCGAGAGGAAATGTGCGATTTTTAACGGAGAGAATGAGAAGAACAAAGGAATAATTGATGCGAATGCAAGCAGAATAAGAAGATTGATAGATGATGCTGCGATTTTGAATATGGAAATAGAAAAAATAGAAAGAGATATGCTGCCACTTATTTGTGAGATTGAGAAAAATGAAAGCAAGACGGAAAATCTACTAATGGAGAAGGCTGCATTCAAGGCACTGGTTGAGGGGTATGAAGAGAGGGAAGAAAAGATAAAGACGATCAATGCAAATGGAGATAGTGCGCTCGAAGATGAGATCATAAATCTGCTTGAAAGCCTAGACAAAGGCTTGGAAAGAAATAAGGAACTAACCAAGAAAGTTGAAGAAAGCCATCGGCGGTGTAGAGTATTGCAGGACGAGGTTAATGTGCTTAAAGCTGCAAATTCGGATCTTGCTTCACATAACGCCAAACTTGAGATTGGTATGAACTTCCAGAAAAAGAATGTAAAAAACTCTAGAGTAGATAATGGCGAAACACTGGCCAAAATTAGGAAACTGCAAGATTGCGTTGAAGAGCTGAATCGGATTGTTGATGAATATAAAAGAAGATTGCACGGGTTGTCTGCGGAAAAGAACGAGATGGAGAGGATTCTTGAGTGTGTGAAGAAACAATCTAGAGAGCTACGAAATGAAGTGGTCAGGCTAACTAAAGCAAACAACGAGGCCGAATGCGAAACCAAAAAGCTTCATGGAGTGCTTAAGTCAATAAGAGCTAGAGGCGAAGATGTGGATTTGCTTACACAGATGGAGAGATACAGGGGTCTGCTTCGATGCATGCTCTGTGATTCCCGGTTTAAAAACACCGCAATAGTCAAATGCATGCATTGCTTCTGCGAGGAGTGTGTAAATTCAAGAATCAAGATGAGAGATAGAAAATGTCCATCATGCAACGAACCCTTTAATACAAGCGACGTGAGAAAGATATACCTGTGACTGTACAGAGCTACGCCTGCACAAAATTAATGCTTTTTGAATTTGTAAAATGAATTCTGGCATTATATTTATGCATCAATGCTAATAGCCTTGCTCAATAGGTATATTTGATTGTAAAATCACAAAAATACTTGTGCTTTAAGAATAAATATTATTAGAGTACATCGAGGTTTGATTTCAGCTACAGCAATACGGACATTCCATGTACAATTAGCATCGCGAATGCTCTTGAACATTTATTAATGAATGCTACTACAGCAAATGCCTTCTAGATGCATGCCTTGGGCTTTCATTTTCCAATAGCACAATTGAGGATCCAATTTCTCTCATATCATCCAAGAGAATCTTGAGCCTCTTGAATCCCTTTGTTTTTACTACGATTCCATTTTCCTCAACAGATGTTATTGTTCCTACATGCTCCTCTTGGTTTACAGAAACCCTGATGGCGTCGCCTTTCACAAATGTCCCTCCATCCACAACCAGCGTGCTGTTTTTGATGAACATTTTGTAATTTTTTTCTCCGCAGATCATATGCAGGTCATTTCTTGCTTCCTCAGCCGATATGCTCAGTATATCGTCTATGTCGAGTGTGACAGATCTTCTTCGCCGCTTTACTCCCTCTCCATTTGCTGTCTCGTCTTCTGCCAGCACAATGTCTAGCTCATCTTCAAGATCACACGTCATCTTCACAAACCTCTTGCTGAGCTCTGCCTCTCGTCTTCTTTGTTTGATGAACATCTCAAGCTCTTGGATATTCACCATGCCCCTGTAGAGATAAGGTTTCCTATCAACTAGATCCATCCGAGCATTAAATTAAAAAATCAATATGGCACGCATTCAACGCGTATTCACGTACCATATGCATAAGCCATATGCTAAGGCAACACATCTTTATGCATTTTGTTTCTCTCTGAGTATCTCGTCTAATTCTTCTTCGGTTTTGTACAGGTTGTTTCTGAATGACTGCTTTATCGTACTAAAAAACTCCTCAAAGTCATTATCTGTGTCTTTACTTACTTCACAAGCCTTCCTGCCAACTTCTTTCTTGTAGTAGTAAAAATTGAGCAGCAGCTGGTTCCCATTTGACCCAAACTTCCGGTTTGCAGAGACAAATATCGCACAAAACTCATCAAGAAGCTTCTTGTTATACATCAAAAACGCCTTCATTCCAAACTCAGATCCAAAGTCGAATGTATCCCCAACATCTTTCACTATCTTCCTGGCCCATCGTTCAGGCATGCGGACATCCTCGTAGTCGACCGAGTAATCATTATCTACAAGATCAAGAATCAGTGCCCTTACCTGCAGTATCTTGTGTGATAGAACTTCGTCCAGCAGTGCATCTGCATCATCCACACTAATGGAATATAAATCAGCCACTACATCGAGCTTCGCTCGCTTTACTTCTCTGTCATCAAGCAGAACATCTCTTAAGACCGATATGCAATGCTTCACAAGGCTATTCCTGTCATCCCCTTCAAAATTACTGATTATTCTTTCTATTTTGCTCAGATAAGTACTCATATTGTGTTCCCGGGATACACACTTTGTAAAATCAATATGATTTGGAAATTACAAAAAATCGTGTTAATCACAGAAGCAAACCTGGAATTAATAACTAGCTATACTATATCTCATATTCGATTAAGTATACATAAAAACAAATTCATCCCCACCCCCAATGTCATGTAAGTGAATGTAAACATTGCAACTAACTTTAGACAACTTCCTACATGCTGTTAAGCCACTGATGCCATACATTCCTGACGTGCTGTCGCCGGCAAGAACAATAACATTCCATGAGAGATTCATATGGACTACACTAGCAGTTTTGATCTATCTTGTGTGCTCTCAGGTTCCGCTATTTGGGATAATATCAAGCGATACCGCAGATCCATTGCAATGGATGAGGGCGATGATGGCTTCAAATAGAGGAACATTAATGGATCTTGGAACAAGCCCGGTCATAACATCTAGCCTGATAATGCAGTTTTTGACAATGTCGGAGATACTGAAAGTGGACTGGGCAATCAAGGAAGATAAGAACCTTCACAATGCAACGCAGAGATTGATCGCCTTCATAATGACGGTGGGACAAGCATTTGTGCAGGTATACACTGGGTTTTATGGAAGCCCTCAAAGCTTGGGAACCACATATTGCCTATTACTTGTTGTTCAATTGATATTCTCAGGGATCATAATCATCCTTCTTGATGAGCTTCTCCAAAAGGGATATGGACTAGGGAACGGGGTGAATCTGTTTATTGCAACGAATGTTTGTGAAAACATTATTTGGAAGGCATTTAGTCCGAAAGTCTTTTTTACAGGAAGGGGAATGGAGTTTGAAGGATCGCTTATCTCGTTTTTCCATCTTCTAATCGTAAGGAGAAACAAGTTTGCAGCACTGTACGAGGCCATGTTCAGGCAAAATCTTCCAAACATGTTTTCATTAATATCAACAATCGTGATGTTCATGACGGTTATCTATCTGCAAAGTGTAAGGGTTGAGCTTCCTACAGAATCATCACAAGTCAGGGGACGAATAGGAAAGTTTCCTATCAAGCTGCTGTACACCTCTACAATGCCGATCATTTCGCAAAATTACATTGTCGGGCATTTTTCATCGATATCATCGTTCTTGTATAAAAGATGGCCACAGTATTTGTTTGTAAGAATGCTGGGGATATGGAAGCCTTCTAAGAATGGAAGGACCGTTCCTGTGAGTGGAATTAGCTACTACCTCACATCTCCGGAATCAATTGTAGATGGGTTGAAGAATCCTTTCCAGCTTGTGATCTACCTGTTCATCATGTTTACGACATCAGCAATTCTCAGCGTGTCGTGGCTTGAGTTGAACGAATCGTCTCCGGAAAAGACTGCACAGAAGCTGAAGGAATCCAAGATGAAGCTAAAAGGTGTAAGGGAGGGAAACACAGCAAATGTTTTGAGTAAGTACATTCCCACTGCCGCGCTTTTGGGAGGAATTCTTACATCGATGGTTGTGATCATGTCCAATCTTTTCGACACGATTGGAAGTGGTACAAACATCTTTCTGGCGATATCAATTGTAAGTCAATACCTTGAAATGTTTGCTAAGGAGTCGATCCAGAAGAATGATGAAATACGTTTTGTTGAATAAATTTATTTCATTGTTTCGTGCTTCGCATAAAATGTAGTTAAATCATGCTGAGCGAATGCCTTAGTCTGTAGGATGATAGCAATGGGGTTTGAGGGCAGTGCAAACAAACTGGGAATAGGTGTGATGAGAGATAATGAAATCCTAGCAAACGAACGGCTCACATACATCTCTCCTGCTGGCGAGGGATTTATTCCTTCAAAAACTGCAGAGCATCATCGCATAAACATATTGGGACTTGTACGTGCTGCGCTGGAAAAAGCTGGGATACATCTTGAGGAGGTCGATGTGTTTTGCTACACAAAAGGGCCTGGAATGGGCCAGCCACTAGCTGTTGTTGCAACAGTTGCAAGGACAATCAGCCTGTACTACAAGAAGCCGCTTATTCCTGTGAATCATTGTATAGGGCATATTGAAATGGGAAGGTTTGTAACAGGTGCGAGCAATCCGATTATTCTATATGTTAGTGGCGGGAACACACAGGTGATAGCATATTCCAACAGGAAATACAGAATATTTGGAGAAACACTCGACATAGCAGTTGGGAACTGTATAGACAGGCTTGCAAGGGATTTGAAGCTTCCAAACTATCCAGCCCCTGGCTTGAATGTAGAAAAGTATGCTAGGCTAGGAAGAAAGTATATTGAGCTTCCATATGTTGTCAAAGGAATGGATGTATCGTTTTCTGGGTTGCTGTCGAAGGCAAGGGTAGATGCGATTAGTGATGAACAGACAAAATATGACCTGTGCTATTCTTTGCAGGAAACAGCATTTGCTGCACTTGTAGAAGTTACTGAGCGTGCAATGGCATTTAATGGCTCTAAAGAAGTTTTGGTTGTTGGGGGAGTTGGCTGCAATTTGCGACTGCAAAATATGATGGCATCGATGGCTAGAGATCGCGGAGGCATTGCATATGCCACAGACGAACGGTTTTGTATAGACAACGGTCTTATGATCGCATATACAGGAATGATTATGGCAAAAAGCGGACTGGCATTCAGTATTGACGAATGCACAGTTACCCAAAGATACAGAACAGATTCTGTTGATGTCGTGTGGAGAGACGACTAAAACACAATAAAGTCAATAATGATTTTATAAGTATTGCTGCATTTATGCATTAATCAGGCTGAAATGCTTCATTATATGGGCTGCACAAGCATCTGTTTTATACAATTGGCCTTCGGATCTTTCTTGGAAGCTCCACTTCATCACTTTCCTCCGATCCGCTCCATCTTTCAAACCTGTCGTAGAGATTTTCATTAATGCTCTGCATTAACAATTGATTTTCAATCTGCTTAGAAATCTTTGCATCATCATTGCTCTTTGGAGCACAAGGCTCTGGAACTGGCAATCGCCTCTTCATGGCTTGCTGTTCTATGCTCATTCCATACCTGTCTCTGTAGTGTCTCCCTGCTTCCTCAAGAATCATTTGTGGACTAGCACTCATGCAGCATCGAATATACTCAGACTTAGTAATAAGATACTTATAGAACACAAGATACTCCCCGTCTCTCACTATACAAGATGGATGTAATTTGCATACTCGAAAATCGCTCAGGCACACATATCCATTGTTTTTCCTTTTTGCAACTTTGTAATGCAGAGACGATATGATGCATCTTTTAATAGCATTTGTATCCGAGTGCTCCACACGTGTAGTATTTATACCTCTTCTGTCGAAATATTCCTCCACCATTCTCTTTATCTTTTCGGCCTTTTCTAGTGCCTTTCTATCAACATTCATCAGTTCACACCAGGTTTGCTTGTCGTTCTGCGAGCAAAATTCATTGAAAACATTGAGAAGCGTTGTAAAGTCGCACTCGGTATCACACAGAAAGCATTCTTTGTTAAACTCATTTCTTAACGGCCATTCAACGCTAAGCATGCTCACAATGCTGGCCATCTCTTCAATGCATCCATACCTCACTGACTCCAATATCATCTTGGACAGACACGGCTCCAGCCTCAGCTCACCCATCTCTCTACCAACTTCAGTTACATTTCCATCATAATCTATTGCACCTAGGCGATAAAGAACATGCATTCCTTTCTTAATCAAGCAGATGCTGGGATGGTCCACAAAATCAAACTTCGTCAAATCCTTGACTCCATACCTCAGTATCAAAAGAATCACATCATATATGCTTGCCCTTTGAATTTCAGGTACGGAACATGCAAGCATGTGCATTTCATATGTCCTGTGCGTATACATTCTATAGCATACACCTGGCATGGTTCGTCCTGCTCGTCCTGCCCGCTGATCTGCCTTGTCTCTGCTTATAGGAACAACTATTAGAGACTCTCCAGACTCATCATCATACACACTCGTTTTGTGAAGCCCTGAATCTATTACATATCTTATGTTCGGAATCGTCAAGGATGTTTCTGCAATGCTTGTCGAGACTATGCATTTTCTAGCATGCTTGTCCTTTTTAAACACCTCATTTTGCCTCTCAGATGATAACTGACTGTAAAACGGAAAAGCCTTCAAGCATTTGCCTCCTCTTTCATCTTCCATAGTATAATGGTTTAATACACCAACTATCCCATCAACATCCTCTTTTCCAGTTACAAAAACAAGAATGTCTCCCTCATCGCCAGACTCATGTATATGCAGTACCTTCTTCACTATCCATTCTGCATAATCATCAACATTCACATTCAGATACCTAATGTCCACCGGATAGCTCCTACCCTCAATCCTAAACACAGGACATCCAAAGTACTTGCTAAATTTGTCCACTTCCATCGTCGCACTCATGATTATCACTTTCAGATCACTCCTGCTTTCAAGAACTAATTTCAGAAGCCCCATCGATATATCAAGGTTCACACTTCTTTCATGAGCCTCATCTAAAACAACTACCGAGTACTTCCTAAGCGTTCTATCATGCAAAAGCTCCTGGAGAAAAATGCCTTCCGTCATGTATTTTATTTTCGTTTCTACCGTGCATTTGTCATCAAACCTAACGCTGTATCCCACTAATGCACCAAGCTTATCCTTTAGGCCATGTGCTAAACTTATTGCTGCAACTCTTCTTGGCTGTGTGCAGCATATAACACCCGCATCGCCATATCCCTCCTGATACAAGTATTGCGGTACTTGCGTACTCTTTCCAGATCCCGTTTCTCCTACAACAAGCAGCACTTGATTGTTCTTCACTGCATCCATTAACTCATGCCTAACACGACTAACAGGAGGCGCCAGTGGCATCATTCTCTGCTCGATATCCTCTTCTACCATCCAATGCATACTCTTCCTTGGATGCACTTTCAGAAAAGCACTTTCACGTTTTGCTATTTCTCCTATCTCAGTGCCAGGAACTTCAATCTTCATATTGCTTTTTGTACTTGCTGGCAGATCTGCATCTTTCAAAAAATGGCATGGCTCCTCAACATACACCAAATCATAAGCACCAAGCTCGTCATCGGAATATGTCTCTTCAACATCCATCCCTGCTGCTTTCATCTTTCGTCTTTCCCATCTTTTGCTTTCCCTCATGCTGCCGTTTGCATACCCCATCCACATCCTGCATAAAACCAATAAATTTAAACAACAATAACTTAACAATCACTAAATTTATCTTCACACTCTACAAACATCATCCATCAACATCTCTATTGAACGTCCCCGGAATGCCCTTCCTATCCACTCTTCGTCTGTTTGCATACACAGATGCTACACTTGTATCGGTTGTGTCTACACAACGCTCATTTGATCCCCCAGAGCTTGGCTTCGGTATCGATCTTGATCGCATTGCCGCAGTTTCTTCTCCATTCGCCTTCGATGGCGTTCCACCAATCCATTTCTTCTCAATAGGATCATATTTGAAATCATCATCAACATCAATGCTAACCTTGTGAATCGATTCTTTTTTAAACATGCTCAGAAAGCCAAAAAATGAGGATCCTCCAGCCTTCTTCGGAACTTTTTCTTCTTTCATTTCTGCTCCATCCTCCTCAATAGCAAATTTAGAAAGAAACGCCCCAGTATCCTTCACATCTTCCGGGCAGGTTGCATTTTGCTCCTCAAAAAAGTCTGCAAAGCTTTTTGGGCATTCATCCACAAATAACTTATCATTTTCATTCCTGCTCTCCATTCCACTCTCACTAGATACACACGGCATGGCTGCTGGCACATGCTCATTTCCACTCAATAGAGTTTCTGGCCTTCTTATACACACTTCTGCAATCTTGTCATTATTGTAAACACTTTCTGCAGCTCCAATTACATTAATAGCACCAACACTCTCTTGATTATCATCTGCCTGTAAGGCTCTCTCAATCTCTTTCAGTGACAAAGATTTTCCATCAAAACAGCCCGCGCTCGTTGATAACTGTAGTCCCCCGTGCCTGCTCGGCATCTCAGAAGGGCTCTCTTCAAAGCTGTCCACATTCAGAATCTTTTTGATCCCAAAATCAAAAACACTCTTCAATCCAAAACTCCACTTACTGTCAAGCTGAGGCCCAATATTGACGGTCAGCTCTTTCCTAAAGCACTTTCTGTTTGCATTAAAGTATTCCTCTGCCTTCGCCTTGTCAAACTCCATCCCAACACAAACAAATTCATACTTCAAAATATCCAGATCCTGTATGGGCTTGTACACACTCTCGGCATAGCATAACGCTCCTATTGCCTCAAAGTTCCTGCTGAACATCCACAGATACTTGCTTGCATCAACTATACCAACAACATGGCATGCAAGTACCACAAATAATGCATCTGCTGCTCCACACTTATACACTTCCATAATAAAGTCGTGGCAGATCTCACGGTTCTTGAGCAGCAGCACTTCTCTCAGGTATCTCTTCCATTCTCCAGACATCTTCAAACACGAATATGATTCTCCGAGTGCAACAGATACAAACGGGACACACGAAGGATTCATCATCCTCTCAATAGCCTTCTTCTTTATCTCCTGCCCATTGTTCGGTAACATAATTCCAAGACCCCACATCTCTTTCTCTAAGGCATATTCAAACGCCTTCTCCTCATCAACAAAACATAGCCTAACAAACTCATTTATGCACTCCGCCTCCACCTTCCAGCAAACATCACTTTCACAATACACAGGCCTCGTGCTATACACAATATTCGCAATAGATTCAACACATGGATTTTTGAGTCGCAAAAAAGCATAAACATCTCTATAATCCCCAGCACCCCCTTCCTTCATCCATCGTTCAAATTCAGACCGCTTTATGCTCGGTATCACATACTCAAGTCGATAGCACTGAGAAACATTGATACTTGCCATAACCGCCTCTCCTTGCATGTTAAATCTCTTCTGCGATGATTTCCATACCGTAAAAACCGTCCCACAAATAAACTTTACTAACGGCTTGGGCATCATAATATTCGCTTTCTTGCATGAAGACACGCCACGGATGTGTCGATTGCTCACACTCTGCATATCCTCCTGCTTATTCACCCCTTCATTCTTCAATGCACCATCCTCTATTTCTCCCTTCATTACATTCACTCCACCATTTGCATGAACACACTCTGTATATTTGTCACTATTTTCTTGCATTTCTGCTATTTCATCATGCGTATTAGTCTCAGTGTCTTCTTCCTTAATCTCGTCGTACATTTCGTCATTCTCATTTATCAATGCACTACAGATCGACTCTTCATAAATGTTTTCGCACACTTCATTCATCACTTCATGCCTAGCATTCAACTGAACTGCATACTTATCATCTGCTCCCATCTTCTCAGGCCCATTACTCGTCCCATTCTTCTCATCTATCTTCATGTTATTCTTGCTCGCTCCTAGAACAAACTCTTCGTCGTCATCCCAGATAAACCCCATGTCGTCAACAGAACATGTCTTTTGACTGTCTTCCACATGCTCCTTTTTCGTTTCTTTCGCCCATGACCCATCAAGCACATCACTTCCCTCATCCATGGACTCAATACTGACTTCTGTATCATCCTCTTTAACATCCAATGGCTGATGAGACTCATCTGTTTGTGCATCATTCATAACACTAACCTCATCCTCCTCTTCACCTACGTCTTCTATACCTCCTTCGCGTTCTTCCATTGCATTACATACATCCGGCTCTTCTTTATTATCATTGTCCAAAGTATTCTCTGGTATTCTTGACTTAAACAACATACTGATCTCATCATCTTCAGACCCATCGCTTCCACTCAATATTCCCCAGAAGTCATCCTCATCAGTGCTGGCCTTGAACTTGTTATTTTCCATGGATTAAATTTTGCTCATATTTTAAATACTACTTACTCGGCCCGCCAAAACATTAAAACAAACACTCATCTGCTCCAGGCAAAAGTTTAATCTAAACACAAACATCGTACCAATAACTTAACCAAGCAGCACTCTCCTAGCAACACCCTCTTCTCAATCTCGAAAACCGTACAGACTCAGAATAAATTGCTTCCTCTTCAGGACTCTTCAAATCCTCTTCAATAAGCCTGTCGATCGCATTCACAAGATCTTCAATCCCTTCGTGCTTCATTGCAGAGGTAGATACATATTCCCCGTCGTATTTTCTTGCTTTCTTGCCTCCAATTTCTCTATATCGCTCCAATGTTGCCTCGTCTGCTAAATCTTTTTTGTTTCCCACTATCAAGACTTTGATTTTACTTCCTGCCTCATCGTTTGTCTTCACAAGCGTATTTATCCAATGATCTATCTTTTCAAAAGACGACTCGTCTCTCACATCAAACACAATTATTGCAAGAAAAGAGTTTCTTGTGTAGTTTGGAATGATTGAGTTGAACCTTTCTTGCCCTGCAGTGTCCCACAGTTGCAGGCGAACCTTGTATCCTCCAACAATAATCGTCGTGCTAACAAAGTCCAGCCCAATAGTGGGCCCATACGACTTCTGGACCTCCTGGTGCAGATATTGCGACATCAGCGTTGTCTTACCCACATTTGAGCTTCCTAGGAACACAACCTTGTAGGTAGATCTCATTCAAATCCCTGGCCCTTTGTTTGTTTTTATACTCACTTCCAATCGAAAATCAAACAACAGGTGAATATAAAGCTCCCAAGCCGCATAAGCCATCCACAAACAACTTACGATGTTTCTGAAAAAACTCCTGTCAATCAATGCAAAGACAGAAACATTGACACACAAAGCATGCACATACTCAATGTACAACACAATGTTTGAGAACAAAAGCGCCACAAAGATTGTTTTCTCACAGTCTTTGGAGCAATATCTGTTCCTGAAGAAAGTCAAGCACGATGCAATCATCAACATTTACAAGCTAAACCTCCAAAAGAAATATCTGGTCACAAAACGCCTTCTTCCATTCGACTTTGTATTCAAGACAGAAACAACCGAGTTCAACAAATACATCTTCTTCAAGATTGCTGAAGCATTGCAGTTTATCCACTCCAGGTGCGGTGTGGTACACAGAAACATTCAGAAAGAGAGCCTCTTCTTCACTGAAGACGGTGGGATTATCCTTGGAGGATTCGAAAGAAGTAAAGAAAGTAACGATTTTGGAGAAGATTACATTATGTTCAGTAGCCTTACAAGCAAACTGCTAGGAATAAATGCATCCTTTGCTGATTTCATCGGTAACAGGGGATTTGGATCTGAAATGTTTTTTGACATGGAAGTTGCGTTTTTTGGCTACAGATCATACACTACAGACCAGAAGATGGAGTTTATGGAAAGCATAAGAAGAAACGAGGCAATGCTGATTGATATATACAAGCACAGAATAGCATGGATGATTCTTGGAGACATTAAAGAAAAATGCTCCAAGGAGCTCAAGATGCATGCTGTGGATTTTATATTGAGCTTGGAACTGTGTGGCATTGATAAACTCTTAACTGCGTTATTCCAGATGCTTGATACAAACGTCAGGTTCTATCTGCTAAGGAACTCTGGAAAATACATCGGGGAAATATCAACACTCGATCCAATTGCTGGCAGCCTATCTCTTGGGATAAAGTGCAAAGACAAGCAGCTGAGGGAAGAGACCATTGTTTTCATCAGAGATAACATCTCGCTGCTGTCTCAAAAGCAGCAAATTGAAATTCTTGGCGTAATGCATGATTATGTATCCGATGAGCGAGGAATGATGCATGTTGTTGCGTTTATACAGTCAACAAAACATGTTTTCAAAAAAACAGATGCAATATACAAGATCCTGTGCAAGTGCTTGGTGCAATCGAAGTACAAGAATGTGGTGATATCTGCAATAGAAAACTTCTATGAGAGCTTTGACAACTTCAAGATGACTACGGAGTTGCTACCGCTGCTATGCGGACATTTGTCTGATAGGCAAATACAGACAGATGTCTTTCTACTAATAGAGAAGATACTTCGGCATCTTAAGGAGCATAAGAGTGAAATAATCAGCCATGAGTGGAAAATCGGAAATATAACGAGCATGTTCAAGCCAAGGGCGATTGACGAGAAACTCTTGGCCACAAGCCTAAGCCAAGCAGTCCTTGACGGCTCTAACTCACTAAATAGCGATTCCAGCGATGCAGCCGCCAATGCAGCTTATAGGGAAACACCGCTATCTGATTGGGATGATCCTTGGTGATCATTGATATCTGTGCCATTGAGATATTGATTTGCATGCTCATTATCCAACAGCAACAGCTATAGTAAATAAATAGATTTATATACAATATATACCATTCGATTGGAATACAGCGCCTGATTATAATTGATTTGTATTCTCTATAACTATTCAATAATATCTTCTTGCTGATGATCTTTGCGTCTTGAAAGGCAAATAAGAGGCATTGTGATTGAGCTGGTGTTGTTCAATCCTTGTTCAAGAACGCTCGTCTGCTCTGTGCTGTATCCAAACGAATTAAACAGCTCACTCACAAACGGCATGTTTTCTCTTATAAGTCTTTCTGGATATGTTCTCAAGGGTCCCAGGAATAAAGCTGCAATCCTGTCCTCGTGCTTGCTATAGTGTCTCGAACAAATCTTGTATACAACAGGAAGCCTTTCAGAGTCAAACACTTGCATGCTCCTATGCAGATAGTATTGCTCAAAGAACGGCCCTCCACAGAATGAACACTCCTGCACCGACAAAATGTATCTTGCCAGTGGCCCATCGATGTCTCTGTACACATTCAAATTGTTTCTTATCAAATGCCTGGAGCATGTTTCTTTGAGAGTGGGGCTTCCAACACATTCAACAATGTCTCTGGCATCAAAGTCACATGAACTGCTCATCAGCTCTATCAAAAACGGAAGCTTCAGAATTTCAAGCGGGATGCTTTGAATCCTGTTGTTAGAAACATTCAAATACTTCAGCCCGTGAAGCCTTCCAATCACTGTTGGCAAAACAGTGAACATGTTATTATCTATGTGAAGTGCATTCAGTATTTTAAGGGAAGATGTTCCTCTTGGAAGATCAGACAGCATGTTCTGAGACAGATTGAGCTCTTTCAGGCTCCTCAGCAGGCCAATGTCATCAGGAAGACTCCTGATCCTATTTTTTGAGAGAACAAGGACCTTGAGATTGATAAGAGCCCCAATTTGCCTGGGAATCCTTGTTAAATAGTTGCAGCATGCCTGCAGGATTCGAAGATCTTTGGCATCGGCTATTTCCTCTGTCAGCTCAACAACAAACTGCCTGCACATATACATTTGGTTGCCATCCTCCGCCGCATTGTAGTGCAGTGGCGTTGTTTGATCGCTTTTTGCCAGAATATCATCAGCAATGCTGTCTCTATTCACGATGTTGTAGTATATATCCACCTCCCTGCTTGTGATCTCCTCCAGCCTTGGTGACAGCAAGAGATGTTTTGAAATCAGCCTTTCGACCTCGTTAATCTTTGTTGCCAGATGAATGCTTGGATAGACCTCTGTTCCATGAGAGACTTTGTATGGAAATATATGATCTCCCAAATTGTATAATCTCAGCACTCCCGGCGCACTTGAGTTCGACCTAGCAACCACTGGGCTTTTGCTAACATTGCTGCTTACATTCCCCATTCGTAACACTCATGCCTCATGTGTTTATATTTCTGAGCATCTTGACACAGCAAGGTTTCTCAACTCTCGAATGTGCATAAACCCAAAGAAACATGTTTCATCTTGCGCGACCGGCCTTTGACAGAGCCGTCAAGAGCAATCAAAGATTACTGCATACTGCAAGTATTATTTATAGTATCCTGAAACAAGCTTTGATCTGTAAAAATAAAAGGATTCGGAAACACGCAAATAATGGCAGAAGTTACCAGTGCAGACTACTCGAAACAAGGATACCATGAAATTCCAAAGTCTGCATATGCTGCGTCTATCAATTGGCTAATTCTGTCCGATAATAAAATCAAGAAGATTCCAGAAACAATAAGAGAGCTCAGGACACTCAGTAGGCTTGCACTAAATGACAACAGAATTGAGGAGATCCATCCAGAAATGGGCTCTCTGTCTGGGCTGACATGGATCGACCTCACAAGAAACAGGCTAAAATCACTTCCTGACGAGCTGGCAAACCTGAAGAAGGTTTCTGGCCTGGGGCTCAGCGAAAACAACTTTTCTGAAATTCCTAGATGCATATTCAAAATGACAAACCTGAGGAAGTTTGGGTTTTTCTCTAACAAGATCCGAGACATTCCCAAGGATATAAGGCTATTGATAAACTTAATCAAGATAGATCTGTCGAACAACGAGATTTCGGTGCTTCCTGAAGAATTCTGCGAGCTAAGAAACCTGAACTGGCTGAATCTGTCGAACAACAGGCTCCAGAAGCTTCCTGACAGAATAAATAACTTGTCGCAGCTAGAAGAGCTTGGCTTGGGATCCAACTGCCTCACTGAACTCCCCGACATGAGCAATCTTAAGAGGCTCAGGATACTGCCTGTGTTCAAAAACAAGTTGGAAATCATCAACCAAAGCATATCGCATCTGTGCAACATAGAGAAACTAGACTTCAGCGACAACTGCATTTCTGAATTCCCAAGCCATATAATAACTATTCCCACACTCAGGTATCTCAACCTCAAATCAAACAAAATCAAAAAAATCGAGCCAGGCCAGTTTAGAAATCATGTTTCATCTATTTCAATAATCGATGTAAGCGATAATCTACTCTCATGCATTCCTCTGAAGTTTTTCAAGACATTCCCAAATATCACTGTCATCAGAGTCGGTGATAATCCATTTATTTATCACGAAAATAAGCTTGCATCTAATCCGTCACTACTTGAGATGTGCTACAGCAAATGCCTTAACATGAAGTACAGATGTGATCCCTGGATATCGCGAAGGTGCCCAGACATTAAAGCATGTGATTCCTGTAATCAGTTGTTTACAATGCAGCCGCATATCGGTTATAGCATCAGCTCAATAGGCGATGGAAATACATTCGTGATTGAAAAAATGCTGTGCTCATTCAACTGCTACAAGAAAGAATACAATAAACACTGTTAAATCCCATGTGCTATGCAAATCCCGGATATTCACAGAACATATGCAAATCAGCATTTACATCAACAATTTCACCTTCTCTAATAGACATTATTGCATTACATATGAATTGTAACAATTTCTGACTATTACTTGCAGACGCTTCATTTATCGTATACCCATTCTCAATACACCGCGGTGACATGCTCTTTAGCTTTGAGCATATGGTGTAGAATTTATTGAATGTTTCCCTATCTACTTTCATAGCATAAGTTTCATATACTTCCTTAACTTTTGATAAATTATTGCCATCTATGCAAATAAAATAAACAGACCAGACAAAAAACTCAATGTTCGTTATTGCAACTTGCCCTGTATTTGCAAAATATATCATAGACCCAACAAAGCTTCTGCTGCTCAACAACCTTCTTTTCAGATTCTCATTTAGCCTTGCATTCATGAAGTATCCCATGTGCCCTTTTAACATCCTTCTGTCGCCATATGCTAATTGTATTTCCACATGTTCCTCACAACTACCTTTATATCTTAATACCAGTGGCCCAAGAACATCAATAGGTAACTTCATGCAAGACAGGAAGTACAACATCGCAAAGGAAAGCTCTTGCTGCAGAACATCGCTAATGTACTGAGTAGAATGTGTTGAGTGTGCATACACCAGAAGCTCTGCATCCGACTTTGGTGCTGAAGGCCACTGCTTCTCATAAAGAAATGGTTTTAAATCTTCTATCATTGCAACTACATCGTTGTTCCTGTTTCTATATGTAATTACCTTTGATATCAAAGTATCTGCATATTCATGTATGTTTTTGCCCTTCAAGTATTCTAATGCAGACAGGCAATCCTCCTCTATTAGCCTTATGATCTCACATTCAGGCACTGATCCACAAAAGAAATACTTGATGTAAAACCTTCTTTCTTCTGTATTCATTGGAAACTCATCAACACTGGTCTTGAGCTTTCCGCTTGTTAATTCAAGAAATTCATACAATCCCTTGAAAGCACACAGCTGGAAATAAAACTTCCATGGCAATTCTGCTCTGATCATTACATCAACATACTCCTGCTTTCTTCTTGTAAACATTCCTTTCAGTATAAACTCCACAAATCTCAATAGGCATCTTGAGCCTCCGTCAATCTCTTCCCACTCAGGCTTCCGCTTGCAACCACAAATAGAACTCATCAAACACTCCTTGTACTTGGAAACACCTTCACCGAATATCTCAAACACTCGGTTCCTAACACAATCACTCAAATCAAGAGCTCGTTCATACACATCCAACCCATTCAAAACAATATCATCAAACTTTATCCTTTCCAATAATTTGATTCTTATATTTTCATCAGTACTACTTATCATTCTATTGAATGCATCTCTGTTATTGCTGCTGCAGTTCTCGGCAAGCAACATAATTACTTCTTTGTTTCTGTCAGCGCCATAAATACTGAACAGCTTTTCAAAATTCTGTGCACATACTGCTGACTTCAAGTATTTAACTTTGTTGCATCCTCTTATATTTCGTATGCACAGGCTTCTACTTAATGAAAGGTTCGAGTATACATCAACATATCTCTTATCATCAAATCCCTCCATCAATACTTCAACAATAGGCATTGATATTTCTTTAGTCGCTTCAATTACACTATTTATCTCTGTATCTTTCGGAATATGCACAAGTAGTATTTTGATCATTTCCTTTACTACGTGCTCAGGCCTTTCCTCTATTAACACAGCAATCATCTCCTTCAAGTACTGCTTCGCCGCCCCAGAAACACATCCTATCAGTCTAACAAGTTTCATAATCATCCCTTTGTCCGCCAGTAGACTCGACATTCTGTATTCAATAAAATTCTCTAAATTTATCTTTTCACTAGGAAGAGCCTTTATCAGCAGGCTGAAGAATCTGTTTATTTCATCTTTGCTTAGAAAACACTTCGGCGCACTTATTCTGAGTATCTCTATGATTCCAAGCAGTGTGACCACTTCTTCTATTTCGCTATGCAATTTCTTTGTAAAATATGCCTGCATCTCATCTTCTATAATAGCGCCTTGCGGCATCTTTTTGAGTCTCAGGTACATTACAAATGCTTTGCTTTGCATCTCCATCTCCATTCCCTTTTTTATGACTTCCATTGCAGGGCCGTATGATGCTACATTTGATGCTTGTCCATACCCTCAGACCAAGGATGGTTATAGAAAATCTTAGAAGACTGCATAACTCGTTTGCAAATCATATTGACCGAATATACTTGAGAAGCGAAGAGATAAGTGAAATAAATTCGTTTGTCGAGTCTGAAAGGCTTGTCCTTCACATATGTGGAAATCCAGGAACAGGAAAGACACACGTTACTAAAAATACTCTAAAGTGCGAGTTTCTGTACATAAACTATTATGCCGAGAAAAGTATTCTCGAGAGCATAAGGAAAAGCACAAGCTCTGTCGTGGTTATTGATGAGTTCGATAAATACTATTACGAAAGAAGCAATGAATGCCTGCAGGCAATGGCCTATCTAAGAAAGAAAAAGCGAAAGACAATAACGCTATCAAACAACCTGGGGATGCCTTCAGACACTTTGTTCTTTAAACCATACACTTCACTAGACATGGAGCTGATTTTGAAGCAGAAAGTGGCCGAGGAATCCACAGAGGAGATTCTAAGCAGCACCTCAATAAAAATAATCTCAAAAAGATTCGGGCCTTCCGGTGATCTTAGGCTGCTATTCAAGCACGTTCAGGATGCTATTGCAGAAAAGATTTTGAGTGCTGAATCGCAAGCGATATGCAATACACTAGCGATTGGCAGTTCAATGAAGGCCACTAGCGATGCAAGTCTTGTTTTTGAAGGCATTGCAACAGATAAAAACGAATGCTTGAATCAGCCAGCCAACTTTCACCATGCAACCATCCATTCTCTGATATCAAACAACAAAAGACTTTCTAAAATAGATATCTACTCCAAATATCTGAATGAGTGCCACGAAATGAAAATCCCTTCTTATGACAGAGTTGATTTTAATATTATCTATGATATATACAATTGAGTCGGTATATAAAGCACTTACTTGTTAATAATTATTGGAAAAGTGTTACTATAATATATTACACATAGCACTCATGGAACGATGGATGCCTGGGAGATGTCTCAGGAAACACTATTCCGTTTCCAAAAGGCCCGATCAAGAATAGTGTACTTACAGGACCCAATGTGTCTATAAGATTACCCAGCACACCTCTATCATACGGAGATTTGTGTAAATGAATGCCTTGAAACCTGATCAGATCATTCTGTTTAAGCTCTTCAATAAATGTAATGTTCAGAATAGCCAATCTCATCTGCAAATACAGGAAAATACTGGTCATTATCGTAAGAACCAAGGAAGAAAGTCCAGAAAGTACCAGGATATAATAATCTTTCGTTGATTCCAAGGAGATTCCATAGGCCAGGATCTGAACAAACTTTGCTGCTGCAGACAGAAAGACAAGCAAATTTGCTAATGCTGAAAACAACAAGAATCTGATAAAGTGCCCTTGGTTATCATAGTTCACACAATTGTTTATCCAAAAGCAGTGGTGGTCCATTTTCTTGATACAGTGGCCACATGACGAGCAATGATGTGTTCTTTCTGGCCTGTAATTCGCACACTTCTTGCAGAACTTCTTGTTCTGGCATTCTTCTATCAACTTGATTGTTTGTGTGTCATAAACCACATGCCCTCTATATGCTACTGAGAGAATGAGATATGCTGTTGAAAGCATAGACAGCACAAACATCAAATATGTGTAAACTGATCTAATGCATGGATCGGCTGGAGACACACTGTATGTGAACGATGACACATATGTAGATGTAAGCAGCAGTATAAGAAAGCTTAATCGGAAATTCAGCTTTATTTTGCTCATCAGGGTCTATTTATTTTGTGTTTAAAGATCTTGAGAAATGAACAATGCATTGAAACGAGCATCAGAAGTGTTTTGCATGGACATTGATGCTGCTATAGCTCAACAGTTCTGTGTAATCGTCTGCCCAGAATGGACCAACAAGTTCATATGAGTGGAGAGTTCTTGAACCCTCTTTCACTATACACTTGCTGTGCAATCTCACAGAAAATAGAATCCCATTATCAAATTGGCTTTCAGAAAGAATAAAAGGAATGGTAAATGACGATGAAACAGGCGTATTGATTATGCAATCAAAAACCAGGCACATGTCCATTTCATTGACAATCAAGTGGTCGTTGTGCTCCTCAAAGCTTATTTCATTTTTACTCAACTCATGCTTCATCCCTGTAGTGGTTCTTAGATTGTTACCAAACATTAAAAAGTCGTTTTTGAACTTCATGTAAAACGGCAATCTGGTTTTTCTATGCATCTTGAATACTGACTTGACTGCTATGAGGTATTCTAAATATATCTTCTTGAAAAGCGTAGATCCATCGTTCCGTGTCTCCATATCAAACGGAAATTTATGCATCCGCTTTTCCTGAAAGTTTATGCTTTCTTCCGTAAGAAGCATTGTTGATGCGATTATTGCATGCATGTTTTTCTTTTCCACATGATTTATGCTGTCCTTGCTTTTCATGAGCATTGATTCAAAGACAGAGTCTTCTGCCTCTCTGTATGTGTGAAGACTATTTCCAGGCATTTTGCTCTGCTGCTTGTACATTGAGTTGGACAGTATATCAAATGGATTGTCACTGACTCTAGTTGTCCAGTTTGGTTGGCTGCCGGCTGATACATTGCAGTTTGATATATCTTTGCCTTTTTGGCTTGCTATGTGATTTTTCATGCAGATATCCAGGCCAGGATTTTGCTTGATTTGATATCTAATAGCATGAGATGCTGTATTTTTGTGCAGTGCCCAGATTGTTTGGTGCATTTACCGAGCTGCAGTGTGTCTGTTGAATTGATATTGTGATTGAAAAACTTTGTTGTGCTCGAAGGCATGCCAAAGCTTGTAGATGAGCTGCTAGCGGATTACGGAACGATTCCACAGAAAATAGCCAGATTCCTGATGAAAAAAAACGAAAACACGATCAAGAGCATAGCATTAAGCACATCTCTGTCTAATAAGCAGGTGGTGCATGGCCTTTCGTTCTTGATCCAGCGCCGGTTTGTGAGGTACTTCCAGTATGAAAAGGAAATGTATTATGTTTTGGCCAAAGAGATGGTCTATCGCAGATTGCTATATTCTGCTTACTACTGTGCTGTGGAGGACATGCTTGGATCAGGCATAGCAAGTCGGTTCATTGAAATACTTATGGCTGGGTTTGTTGAAATGGAATGCAATACTGCAGCACAGGATGCGATCCAGAGCCTTGTGGATGAGGGCATTGTGTGCATGCTGGGTAGAAAAGAAGCATGTGAGTTTGCAATGGGATCTAAATGCATTGCCAAGAATGCCTCCAAATGCACAGACGATGAAAATGATATTGGCGTAAGCAAAAAGAACAAGGTAAGGAGCGGCAAAGTGTTTGTGATGGTTGACTTTGACGTTCTTGATGGCATGATTGCAAAATGCAAGATGCAGGCATTTATTGAAAAGAAGTATTTGAGAAAATCCAAGGACATATATGCATCTATTCTGAAATGCAATCTTGTAACAATTGACGCAGTTATGGGCAATCTTGATCCAAGCATATGCTTTGATATGAGCAGAAGCGACGTTGTTTCTTGCATAAAGTACTTCTGTAGCTGTGGACTGCTGAAAAAAAGCATGGATGGCTCTGATATGTATTTCCGAGATATTGATGAGGAGCGAAAGATTCTGATTACTGATTGTTTCTGCAGAGTATTGGCAAACACCAATGAGCACTTGCTGAGACTATTCAGCATGATTGTTTATCATAAAGAGCTGGAGGACAAGGATATTGCACTTAAATCTCTTATATGTACCAGATCAGTTAAGAAGGCATTGATGATGTTGCATTCGAATGGATTTGTGAATCTGAAGCATGTATCATCAAGCGAATCCAGGCCTGTATTGCAATGGCAAGTTGATATTAGCCGGTCGTCCAAGATTGTTGCGGAAAAAATACGAAAGGTTCTCCGAGAGGTGCTGTCTTCGATTAATACCAAATGGCAGATTATGAGGCCAGATGATGAAGCAGATGTGGATGAGGTTTTGCAGCTTAAGAGCCTGCACAAACTATCTGTAGATCTGTTTGTTATTGGGTTCTAGACTATTGTATATGAGAAGATGATTTTGCGGGGGCCTGTAGCCTAAGGCATGATTGAGAATCTGAAGCAAGCGCTTGAAAGAATAGCCGAGCTAGAAAGGAAGATAGAAAGCCAAGAGAAGGAGATCAGTGCACTTGTTGCTGAGGTCAAGAAGGACAGAGGAGTTGCCTGTGCCGACAGACTGCAAGAGCATTCAGAATGCAAAAGCCTCATGCATGAAGACTTGGAAAAAAGTGATTACTACTTTGAAAGTAAGCTTGAAGATGAGTACGAAAAGAAAACGAGTAATCGTAATGTGTCATTTGAGGAAGATGTTGAGGGCATATTTAAAGCAAAAAAGGTGCAAAAGCCTTTTAAAGAAGCATTTACTATTGAAGCATTTATAGTGTATTGCAGAGACATGCATTCGTTTTCATTGGTTAACAAATCAGAGGGAAAATCAAAGAAAATGTTTCGCTGCTGCATTAAGCAGTATGTTGAAAAGACTACTAGGCATCTGATGGTGAATCTGAACGTGTATGACTTGAACACGGTATGCTCAGCATTCAATCTTCTGTGTGGAGAAATGGAATATAACCACAAGCTTGTGATTGCACATGATGTTATTTTGCTGGTTGAGGACTTTTCAAGGATGCCTTTTATTGTTTCTGCTGTGTTCAACAACCAAGGAATCCATAGCGATGTGCTTGGGGAAACAATATCGAACATTGTGATGCACCAGTGTGATATTGATAGTGAGGTGTACTCAAACAGGCCGAGTCTTGCTAGATATTATGCTAGGATATCTGCAAACTTTGGTGGCCAGACAGACATAAGGCCTCTAGGAAGTATATGCAGTGAGCTGATTAGTGATTTGCGTGTATTTGAGGAAGGCGAGATTAATGAAACGGTATTTCCGCGGATGTATTCTGTTAGAGCTCTATGCCACTATATGGACTGGGATTACTCGTACAATGAGTTTGTGTGTGGAGTTTTATATCCCAGGCTAGTGGAGAGGCGGGAGGCGGCATGTGTGGTTTATATGTTTGCTTCGGTATTTAATGCATTGAGGGTGTTTGGAGAGGTTGAAAGTGTGAGAATATCGCTTGAGAAGTTGAAGGAGATGATGCATGACGACTCTGAGCTTTCTGCGGTTTGTTATATGTTTATTAAGCAGATTGATCCAGACTGTGCGGAGCAGTGGTTTAGAATGCATGGAGATAGAATAGCAGGAGTAAGTGCCGAGTATTTGAAGGATGTGCTGATATACTGAACTTGAGTGGAAGTGAATAAAGCAATGGAGTGAAGTGTGACTTATGTATGATGTTGAGAACTGGTGTTTTTTTGTACCCTTAGGATGAACAAGGAGGCGTTTGACAAACTTCCTCTTGATAAGAAGAAGATTATAGAGGCGGCGTACTTCAGTACTGTTCGTAAGGAGATATCGGCGTCTCAGTTTTTTGGGGTGTGCAGGGGAGCACTAAGCAAGGAACAGTTTGAAAGTTTGTTTTCGAGCAATATGGGGGGAGGGCCAAGCAAGGTACAGGAGGAAATAAAGACAGAGCATCTGCAGGATATTATCCAGTACTCTGGAGTTGATTTGAAGGAGGAGGCTGAGCAAATAGTGAGGGATGCCGAGACGAATGTGAATTTTGGAGAGTACGATGATGAAGATGTGAATGGCCAGATGAGCAGTTTGCTCAATGTGCAGCTGTTTAGGGAATTTATCATGAGGGCAGGAAGCTCAAGAAAAGTGATGATTGGGGAGGAGTCGCTATTGCTGCTTTTCCAGGTGATCAAGAGAAAGATGATTGACTTTATTGAGAAGATGGAAAGCGCAAGCAGGAACAGGGTGGAGTATAACTTATCTGAGTTTATCATCAGAATAAACAACGATCTCAGCAGACAGCTTTGGTGTCTTGAGCAGATAGAGAAGACAGAGATGGAGAAGTTTATGATTAAGAAAGGAGAAGAGGAAGGAAAGAAGAAAGTGAAGAGGACGATTCAGGAGAGGGAGGACCTGGTGATTAAGAAGCGAATGAGCAACACAGTTGCATTGGCGGCGCTTGGAATACAGCAGAAGTCGTGGATGAGTGCAGAGGATGTCAGGATGAATGAAGAAAATACATCTTTCAACTCGATATATTCGCCGTTTGACGAAAAGGCATTGGATCGAAAGGTTCAGAACAGGACGATTACGATGAAGGACTTTTTGTATGTTCTTGAGAGGGACAGAAGATATAACAAGTCGATATTTACGATTCAGCATTATTTTAGATGATTGAGCGGCCTAGGCGGAGCGGGAAGTGAGATGTGAACGATCTAAATTTGGAATGTTTTATGAGTTGAATTAATGGAATGGGTGTAGGTGTTGGGATAATGGAGGAAGCCAAGGAGAAGTTCAAGATACAGGTGGAGATGTTTTCTGAGAAATACATAAGGAGTGCGGCGAAGAAGCTTGACAAAGAAGAGCTTGATATGTTTATAGATGTTTTGGAAGGCAGGAATGCAGAGCTGAGGGAGGAGCTCACGAGTTTAAAGAAAGAGATTGCGAGGAGAGCAGATAACCATGGATTTCTGATAGAAGCAGTGGGAGAGGGGATTCCAAGAAAAGCCTTATCATGCTTGAAGGATTATCTTAATGGGGTAGAGTGGATGGCCATGGATACGGCATGTGGAGACAAATAAACAGTGTCTATTGAAGATAGTTTGATACTAAGTAAGCATTGGATGTATGAGCCTGATATTATTTATTCGATGTAAGCCCTGAATGGATGAATATATTGGAACACAAATATTATTTGAGACATCGAAAGGGACTGTGAGTGGAGTATTGAAGGCTGTAAATGAAGACACCGGAAAACTGGTGGTTGATGACGGGAGAGATATGAGGGATGTTTTTATTGAGGATGTTCTAAAGCTTGAGATTGCCAAGGAGGGATATTATATGCCAAAGAGAGACACTAAGGTGGAGGAGAACAGGTATAGAATAGAGAATGAGTGTCCAGCTCAGCCTGAACAAATAGTGGTGGGCAGCAGAAGTGTTTCTGAATCATGCAGTGTGAGCAGAGGAGGATCTGACATGGATTCAGAAAGAGAACAAGGTATTAAGAGTCTGCATAAGAAGCCTGAAGATAGATGCATGGAGAATGAGGAAAACTGTTGTGTTTCAGACAAGATCGGAATAAATAGAAAAGATGGAAGATACGCACCCGAAACAACAGAAATTATCTATTACGGAATGATGAGCCGGGCATTTTCACATTTTGGGCCACTTGAAGAGGAGTTCTCGTCGATTGCAGCAAGGCAAGCATATCGTGTGTTTTCCACATACTTCGAAAGTTCTACAGAGAAAGTTGAAATATTTATTGCAGGAGATGATGTTTTTTCATGTATAGGATATATTCTTGCAAGGCTACTGCTACACTCTGGAAAGGAGCCGTTGGTTATCTGCAATCAACATTATATAAGGCATTCCAAGTATAGACAGTCATATACAAACTCTGGAGGAGTTATATGCACATCTTCTCAGGCACAGGCATGCGTATATGTTTTTGCATGCAATAAAGCACTGATCCATACACAGGAGTATGGTAATAAGGATGCCAAGGGACTCATTTATTTGGATGTTCCAGACACCTTGGCTAAGGAAGGAGGTGTAAGGATCGGGCTATGCTTTGGCTCCATCCCTGCATATTACAAACGATTCAATGGCATCATATATTTCATTGACATTGAATATCCAACTGCTCTTTACAATGAGTTTGGGATGGAAAGACCAGTAAAAAGCAAGATACATAAGATAAAATAAAGCTGATCGAACTCAATTTTTAATCTTCGATGAATTTCTCAAAGAATTCATTAACATGGAGATTTCGCTCGTTTCTGTTGATATGGTAAATGTTCTTGAGGTTGTTTCCATCAATCCCAAGCATTGCAAGATCAAGTATACCATTTCTACTAAACACGCTAAAGGCTTTCTTTAGCTCTATCAAGTCAAATGAGCTGTCATAAGTCTCATTCACTATCAATAGATAATCTTCTAGGGATATCTTACCTTCAGGATTTCCAAACGGAATCATACTCTCATCGACAGAAAGCCCCATTTGATTCATACACCAGCACATGTCTGATATACTTATTCCATACTCATCATTTCCAAGTGTCTTTCTAAAAAGCTCCTTTGCCTTGTCAAGTATCTTTACACTCTCCATCCTTCTGTCGTCCACCTTCTTCAGAACCTCAATCTTCTTCTCAATCATGCTCTTTAGCTTATCATGATGCTCGCTCGTAGTCTGATGCATACTCTTCGTTTCCTCTAGCACTTTCTTTAACTCAATGGCCTTCTTCATCTGCTCATCCACTCCTTTGTTCTCAGAAAATCCTTCCTTGAATCGATCAAGAATTTCATTCAGCCCGTCCATCTCTTCCTGCAGCACGCTATCAAATATCTTCTTCATTCTAATGCTGTCCCCAATCTTGCGTAGCTCAAGCCGTGGAAATTCCAGCTTCTCAGGCTTCACTTCATCTGGAGCAATATACCTCTTCATCCTGTAAGCCTCATGAATCGCACTCAAACTTCCAAGCAACGATCTTAGCCCTGCTGCTTCCTGTACTGCATTCGTGTTCATCTCCAATAGCCTTGAAAACGACTCGTCAAGTTTTCTGATCATTGCACACACCTCGTTTCTTTGTAAAGCCAACTCCTTTATCAATCCCTGCAATCCTTTCGCCTTGATCTCATACAAATTCCTTGACTGTATGGACCAGTCTACCATGCTCAGCACCTTCATCATTTTCCCAAAAAGCCGCTTCTCCTGTTCATACTCTTTGAACCTCTCATAATACCCTGCAACATATGTCATGACACTTCTCTCATCAGGAACAGCAACATCCGCCACATCCTCAACATCAAGTAATCTTTTTATCCCCAGATGCTGTTCTGCAACCCTAAATGCCTGCTGCAAATTGTACACGTTCCCAAGCCCCTCAAGCTCTTCAAAATTACACACAAGGTCAGGCCTGAACCTGTGGATTATTGCATTAAATGCAATCCCATCCTGCCAGCTTCGCGAAAAGTCATTTATCCTCACACCTTTATACCCGCTTGTTACCTCATTACACCATTTCAGCAGCTCGCTTCGTATCGAAAGATCCCCAGCCTGCGCTATGTCGGCAATCGCCATCCTCGATATCAACGACCAAATCAGCCCAAGTATAAGCTTCGGATTCCCATCAACAATGTCTTCAGGCCCAATGTTAATCAGCTTCACATTCTTCTTCTTAATAAACATCAGTATCCTCTCCACATTCTCCATCTTCTGTATCCTAGTATAAGGTTCTGGATTATATTCGACACTCTCTTCTTGTAATGCCATCAGCAACCGTGCCAGCTTCACCCCATCGCACAAATCCCTAAATATGTTCTCTATCCCTTTGCTTCCGCTCTTAACCAGCTTACCATTCACCCACTTCGTAAATGTCTTCTCTTGTACCTTCTCCCACTCTTTCTCCTCCTGCGTCATCTGGGCCAAAAAAGTGTTTGTTTTTTCAATAAATACTATCCCCACATGGTTTGACTTCTACAGAGAAAGAAATAAATCACATCTTTAGTACGGCAGTTTATCACAAAACTCTCTACACAAAAACCAGCTCATGCACAACTACGGCCTGGGGCAAGACCCCAAAATCTAAACTATACAGCTCTTTGGTAATCATCTGTACATATTCAAGATCGTCCAGTGTTGTAAATGCTGCTTGGGGATGCAATACAAGACTAAACAGCCCCAGGAGAGAGTCAATCGACATCTCTGTCTTTTCAAAATTATCGCTCACCTTCTTAAGCAGTCCAAATAGCGCCACCAGAAGACTTCGCTCAACATCACAAAAAACGAAAGGAACATACGAAAAAAGCGCCTCCCTGGTGTGCCTGTCGTTCGTACGGATGCAGCTCTTGATCCTTTCAAAAACTTCAATCGGCACAAGTCCATCAAGATGCTCCCTAATATAATTCTTCAATGCATTTGCAAGCACAAACACATCGACCCTGTTGACGTCAACGCTTCTGTTCTCATGAAGACTGTTTGCTATCTTGATTGCACCACTTTTGTCAGGCTCATACCTGAATATAAACCTTGTATGCGTGGCCCGTTCCTCTAGTGATTCAATAATATCAAACACTTTATAGTTGATTGTCTTTCCTCCGCCAACTCTACCCTTCTTCTGGAAACAGCCTACCCAGTTGAAAAGAACATTCGAACGCTTCTTGCTGAATGCTTTCCAGCAGAACCTGCTCAGCTCGAGCTTTTGTGACGCAGAAAGCGCGTCGTATCTAAACTCATCCCCATAGGCATTTCTGCATCGCTGTGACCGATTACTTTTAGTGGTGTCCTTCTGAATTCTCGATCCTATCGGCTCAACCCTTGCATTCATACAACTTTCGTCTCCGACTCCATTCAGGAAGCTTTCTTTACACTTCAAAATCTTATCTGCCAGGTGCTCGCTCTCAGATATTTGCTGGAATGCAGAATGTAAATCTGCATCATAAGTGACCGCCATAGACGAATCGCTTTGCTCAGAGCATCCCACATCAAACCTTGCCTTAAGATCTTCAAATTCTTTCATCTCCGATATTCTAAAAATCTTCCTTTTCCTGGGGAAATTCTTCAGCATTCTAGGGCTTGTTTGCATTGTTCATAATAAGCATACAATAACATCATGTTTCGAGTCTTCATGCCATCATCTCGAAAGATTACGGCTTAAGGTGCTCTGATGCAAATTTATCCAGCGTGTCAGCATATACTTGTGAAATGCTGAATTTATGTGTCCCATTAATGTTAAGACTGCTTACAAGCCTCCATTTCCAGACACTTAGATCGTTTCTATCAGAATACGTTACTGAGGATCTACCAGATGTGGTGGATACGATATATGTCAGGTCATCAAGTACGCCAAGTATCACATCGCTTGAATGCACACAAAGCAGCGTGAGCCTAATTTCAAATGCAGTGAGGCATTTTGTTGAAGGCGGAATCAGCAATCAGTTGTGCTCTGGATACATTCAATCTACAGATACGGCCGTCTCAGGGAAGATTCTCTGTACCTCACCATGCATGTCTTCGAACATCCTCAAGTCCCATGAATGGATGTGCATTATGAATAGGATTGGAGATGAATTAGCAATGCATTTACTTACAGAATGCACAATTGTGCAGAAAGTCCGCAATACCTATGTGCTTCTTGCAGGTGACTTCAACAGTCTGTACAAATTGCATCAAAAGCCAGTGGATTTGTACATTAACCGGGACACAATATTCCATAGACACACAAGAGTTGTGAGGTTTGTGGCTGCAAAAGCATTTGAGTATATTTTTCAAGGGCACAACTTAGATAAGTACAAGGCGATACAAGCAGATGTAATGCATGTTCTTCAGAAAATCGAGAGAAATGTAGTGCATCTACCGCTGTCACCGATGTTTAAGTCATACTTCCATGACGAGATGGATGTTGGAAGCAAAACGTGTATTATGGAGTGCAGCATCAAGCCATCCAAGCTTGTTGACTTCTTATTTCTTGTATCCAAGAAGCTGCTTGCAGATGTGTTTGATTTTGAGTCGTTCAGGATACTCAAGTCAAGGATATCACTGCTGGTTCATAGAAACAGGTACGAAAAGATCTCGAATGTAGAAATAGTGAAATATTTCAAAATATCCCGCTTGAAGTTCTTCAGAAGTGCTAGGTGCACAAGACACGAGTTCTGTATCCGAGCCAGAGTTGTAAGTCGGTTCTTGGCATATGTCACAGAAAACATATTTGTAGCAGTTATATCGAAGCATTTTTACTCGACCGAAGCATCGTTTTCGAAGTTTAAGGTGTACTACTTTCCGAGGAGTAGCTGGAGATACTTTTCAAGCATGCATATAGGCAGCTTTCTGGATAAGTTTGAAGCCATGGAACCGCATAAACTGTGTTTGTATTCGGAACTAAGATGTATTCCAAAAGCAAATGGAATGCGCGTTGTGTTTAACATGTCGAAGGCTAGGAACGGAAAGCAGTCGATTAACAGCCGTGTGTATCCGGAGTTTTGCATTCTCAGGAATGAATGCTATGGAAACCTGGGGAATTCAGTCATTAACCAGGCAGGGATGTATGAGAAGCTTGCGCCTTATCTGTCCAGTGTAGTGGGATTGGTATATATTCTGAAGGTTGATGTTTCTGGATGTTTTGACAGCATTCCCCAAGAGCATGTTATGAGGATTGTAAGAGACACAATCAATAAAAGCACGTATTATATAAGCAGTGTATCGGCACTTGAAGCCGTTGGTGCAGAGGTACGATTTAGACAGATGTACAGAGCATCTGACAGCATGATGACAGCGAATACAATTACGGACGATGCATGTGGAGTAAGGCTCAGGAACAGACTGGTAAGGGAGAATGCAGGCCAGAGAGTGTTGAGGAAAGAAGAGGTGTGCAGTGCGATTGCTAGGGTAATAAACAAGAATGTAGTAAAGTACCATGGGAAGTATTTTGTGCAGAGAACAGGGATTCCGCAAGGATCGATTGCATCTACATTACTTTGCAGCCTATACTACAATAGGATTGATGAATTGTATTTCAATGAGATTCTGAAGAAGGGAATGCTGGTTAGATATGTTGACGACTTTCTTGTGATTTCTCCATCGATTGATGAGGTTCTACGATTTCTCCAGGCGTTCGAATCAATATCACATCTTGGAATGAACTTCAGCAGCCAGAAGATTGAGTCAAACTTTGGAGTTGAGAGGTATATGAAGCAGCCTGATTGGATAATGCATGCAGCTATGCACAAAAGCGAGCTGAGGATAATAAACAAGCCTGTTGTGTGGTGTGGCATGAAAATATATGCGAATGGGTTCTGTGTAAAGCCCTGTATTGCTGATCCGTATATGATGTTTTCCATTACACATGCTGCACATCATCCCGGACGAGGTGTTGCTGTAAAGATCAGCAATATGCTTCGGAACAGAATGTCAAGGATGTACATTGATTGCTCCAATCTGAAGATGTATGAGAACATCTACGACATATTTCTTCTCTGTGGAAAGAAGCTTGTGCTGCACCTTAAGAGAATGGATTTCATAAACCAGAAGTTTGTTGCTAAGGTGCTTGAGAGCTCAAAGAGGTTTGTCATGAAGGCATGTAGAGAGCGAGGTGTGAATATATCCAAGCGTATGATGGAGTCAATGTCATCAAAAGCCTTCGAAAAAAGCGGAGTGTACAGGGTTCTACAGGGCCAAGGATAGTATATGCAATGCTCAGCTGCTGTTTTGTATGTTTTGCAAGAGTTTGCTGTATTTGAATAATTTAATGTGTTTGCTTATGTATCTGCATTAATGAGGCTGTTTAGTTGAATTCGAGTTTTCGCTTACTTTTAAGCTTTTCTATCTTATGATTTATTCCGCTGCTCAGTCTTTTGCTGAGTGGAGAGTACATTGGGCTTTGCGTATGCTCGGAATTCTTTCTGTCTTTTGTGAACTCCATAGTGATGTTGCTGGAGGCCGTTTCTATTGGTCTTCCCAGTACCTGAAGGCCTTTTTTGGGAATCCTTGAGAACATTATGTATCTGGGCATCAGCATTGAGAAATAAGGCAAGTACAGCCAGCTGTATATGTAATCCATAGACACGCCCAGCGTGTTTGCTTTATACTTCATGTTCAGTTTGACCTTGCATGCCATCATTAATGTGTTCATCGGAATAAGGTCTCCGCAGATAGACCTGACCGTACACACAAATAGGTCGCTCAGTCCCAAAAGCTTCACTACGTCTGCACACTTCCTTGTTGACATAAAAACAATCAATGTGCTGAAAATGCCTTTAAGCGACGCATTGTCAAGGTCAAATATGTCGAACAACAGATACAACCCATTAAGCATTGCCTTAGTTCTTGTGTATTTATTAAATTCCAGTGCCTCACTTTCTATTGCTTCTTCTTTGCGCACACGCACTTCAGATATCATCTTTCCAAGCTCGTTTGCTATGAGCATTTCGATGTATTTGTTTCCGTGGTATATTGATACTGCGAACACATGGAATGATAGAAAAAGCCTCATCCCGCCAGATACTTGCTGCAGTAAAAACACCATCCTCAGCATTCTTTCACTTTCCAATCCTGATCTTTGTATGGCTGTGTTCTTCATTGGCCTGAAAAGATTGATTGCATTCTCAAGGCTGCCAAACATACAGAAACTATCAAGGAGAAACTCAACAAATGCCACCGTGCTTACATGGTCAATGCCAACCTTTAGAATCTCTGCAAACGCCTCTAGCTCCTTCAGAAAGTCATGAAAATCCAGAATAAACCGATAGTTGCTTTTGAAAACCCCTTGATTGATTCTCATGATCTTTTCTACACCATTGATGCATACCACAACTGTGCTCTCCATATCAAGGCTTTGCCTGCGAGAATGCGGCCTCTCCATTTCTCCAAAAAAGTGCTTTTCTGCATCTTCGTTCAGCTCGGATGCCATTTCGTGCGGAAAAGGCTCTTTTAGAGACTGCATAATGCATTTTGATATTCTCTTGTACACATGCGCTACCATTTCTCCCTTACAGATATCCTCGTTGGATTCTATCTTCAAGTACTTTGTATTCATTATTCAGTTATGGCATGCCAAAAAATTTTGCTATAAACTTGTGTGCATGCATACTATTGAAGAGTTGTGTTGCATAGCCTCTGCTACTTGCAGCAACATCAAATGTAAATGCAAACGAAGGACGGCATTATGATTACACATGAGATAGTATATAGTGCTAGTATTGATGATGAATGACAATGTGCTGTATGTACTTAAAACGATGTATGACTGCTGCTGTGACCACTTAAGTTTGATTTGCAGACTTAGAGAGTGAGTGAGTGCGCGTGCATATTATATATGCAACATCAGTGCACCTGTTGATTGTTAAATGTTAAATGTGCAAAGGATGATATGCTTATGATTGTAGGAGTACAGGGTGCTTGTGGATTGCTGGTGCCATCGATCTAAGTGTGTGAAGCTGTGTGTACAATTAAAAACAATCAAGGTTACCCTAGGATGTCTAGTCTGGATTTCTGTACGATATATACGCCAACAGGACAGATCAGCCAGTTGTCGTATGCACAGAAGGCTGCAGATGCGGGAGATACATGCATTGGGATAAAGAATAGCAACGGGATTGTGCTTGTTGTGGAAAAGCCAAAGACATCTGCTTTGTATGTGCTAGAGTCTGACGAAAGAATAAATAAAGTGAGTGATTCTGTTGCGATTGTGTGCAGCGGGGTGATGTCTGATGCGTTCTATGTTCCTCAGGCCATAAAGGGGGATGTTTTCAGGCATAAGGATGATGTTGGAGAGGTGCCATCTGCAGGATTTATGAAGATGTATCTCAATCAGTTGTTCCACTACTTTACAAGGAGCATTAATCTGCGTGTTCTTGGTGTGAATGCACTATGCAGTGTGTACAAGGAGGGGCGATTCTCACTTTTGCATACTGACTGCACGGGAAGGACAGTTTCGTACAAGGCATCGTGCATAGGAAGGGGAGCAAGACGAGTCAAGACTGAGCTTGAAAAGCTCGATATTGACGGAATGAGCATTGAGCAGATGGTGGAGACAGCGATTAAGATGCTTTACATTGCACACGACCCGTCGAAAGATAAGGCATTTGACATTGAGGTCGGAGTGGTATCTTTGCAAACAGAAGGAAGACTGAAGAAACTTGAAAAGCAAGACATTCAGCATCTTGTCGATAAGTACAAAGACATTTCGGCTGATGAATATTAGTGGTGCATATGAATAAAGCCTGTCTATATGATGTTTTTAATTCAGTGCTGGAAATCCCCTATGACGTCTGTGATAAACTATAGATTCCGATCGAACAAGAACTTCTCGAGGATATCATTCCAAGGCACAGGGCTTCCGTTGTGGGAGCTCAAATACGAAATAATTAACCAGAGAAAGATGGCGTCGAAAGACTTTGATCTTCTGTTTTTTGATGGCGATACTGGAGAGGAAGTGAATGACGAATACCATGTGATTACAATGAACAGTCATGTGATAGTTGACCGGATTCCGTTGTGGATGTCCAAAGGCGGCTACAATGTGAAAGAAAAAAGAGCCGAGCCACAGGGACAGCATCACAATGTGCAGAAGTACAATAAGACAATTCCGGAAAGCTATGTATGCTTCAGGTGTGGGCAGAAGGGGCACTACATACAGAACTGCCATACAAACCAAGACAAGGCATTTGATATTCTGAGGATACGCAAGCCTTCTGGGATTCCAAAAGATTTTCTTGTTCCTATATCTGGAGAAGGAGTGTCATCGAATACAGCGATGCTTGTGACGTCCGAAGGAGGATACGTTAAGGCACAGCCACAGACACAAGAGTGGAAGAAGTATAAGCAACGTACAAAGCATATAGTTGGCATTCCTGAGAGATTGAAGTGTCCGTCTTGCCATTGCCTTCTAACAAATCCAATGAGAACGAATTGTGGGCATGTTCTGTGCGATCAATGCGTGTGTGTGGATAGAAAGTGCCATGTGTGTGGCCAGCAAGTCAAGAATTTTTCATTGGATGGACATGTAAAGGCCGAAATAGAAAGAGCCATGAATCAAAGATCTTGATGCATGTTTAAGCGCTACTGAGTTATATACTTAGTGCTAATAGAAAATAAATGTATGGCTAATGTAGTATGTGTTCAAGTATATTCAATTCCAATTTAGACATACAATTCTCTGATAGCTTGAATGAGAATGAATAAATTATTGTATATGATACAATATGGTCTGTACAGCCTTACAATCAAAGACTTGTAATCGGTTTATTTGGTTTCTCATCAGCAAGTATGCCCATCATGCATGCGATGAACTGCACAATTATATTATCTGCTTTAAAAGGAAGTGTTCAAAGAACGGTGCCTCGGGAACATAATCAACCTTTGTGCACTCTATATCAGTATCCTTAAGCAATGCGTTGCTAATTTCTGAAAACTCAAAGTCATAGACCACAGAAATCTCCTTGGCTAGCTTTCCCATCTCAGGTGCGAATCTGGTGCATCCATACAGCATAAGTCTTCTTGCAAACACCCGTGCTCGGTGAGAAGGTTGCCTTTTGTGCACAAACAAAAGCCTGGTTGCCTTGACAACCTCAGAAATGCACACCGCTTCCATATTCATGGGATATATTACCCCATACATTGCATTAACCAGCTTTTCAAAGTCATATCCCTCAGAGCCATAAAGAATCATCACACACTTCACTGCCTGAATCTTCAAATCCGAGCAAAGCTTATCCAGATTGCTGCACAGTAGAAAATACAGGCCTTCCATAAACTCTGCACAAAGAATCTTTCTGTACTTCACAAGCCCTAAAAATGTGCTTTTGTAGCAATCGTACCTGTCACTTTTAAGAACAGTGAAATACAACCTGAGTATCGCATCATGTATCTTTTTGCAATTCTTTATCTCCTCAATTCTCCCTTCGATGTCTTCTTCATCTCTTGCTTCTGATTGCGCAATCAGTCTTTGCTTCTCCACTTTCCTTAGCTTCTTGTCAAGCAGCTTCTTCCTAACGAATATCTTCTCCTTCTCGTTTTTTTTCGATGCAGACCTGTTGGCTCTCCAATAGTCAGATGCCCTTTGACTATCGGATTTCAGTGATTTGTCCACAAGTGGGATGCTCAAAAGGTACTCTAGAACGACAGGATTGTAGTCATAATCTAGCATCTGGTTGATTATCACAATTATCAGCTCCCCTGCCCAGTCCTCATGCATCTTCAGCTTGATTGTTTCGCAGCACATCTCAGGTACCGGCCCATTGCCCACAGATCCCTCAAGAACCCTCGACACAATCTTGTCTGTGCAGTTGAAGTGATCAAAGTGCTTCAAAAGCTCGCACAGAGAAACATAGCTCGCATCCGAACGGTCATCGACCAGCATCTTAACATACGCCGTGTACCATTTAAGAAGCGTCTTGTCATATCCCTTCAGGTGTAAGCTTTCTCTTTTGTCCTTAACAACATCCTTTAGAGTTCGTACCTTATACAATGGAATAATGGCCTTAAACACCTTCAGCACAGATAAATACACAAGTCCCCTTGTTTCATCAGATGTGTCCTTATCGACTTCTGCAAGCACATCCCCTATCCTTCCCAGGCAACTATTTGGATCATTTATGACTTCCATGCACAAAGATGCAATCTGCAAGGCCTTTTGGTTCATGCACGCTTACAACGGCTCTTACGAAAACTTTTATCCGGCTCATTATGAAAACCCAAATATGGTATACTGTACTTTAGTTCTGCCCGCTTTCACACGTGCCATGCACTCAGCTGGCATTGCTCTACACTTCATACACGATTGGCGTGTGCAGCAGAAGAAACACATGGATTATATCAAACCATTTGCTTTATGCATTATGCTATGCACAGAAATAATACCGAGGCGCTCGGATGCAATATGATTTTGTGCAGCAAAAAGTTACCCAGTATGATTGCTGTTATAGACACGGGATACATATTGCAAAGGCATATACCGACTGAGAAAATAGCCAAAGGATACATCACAAGCTCAGTGATAGCAGAGCTCAAGAATGCACAATCAAGAATGTATATTGATTTCTTTTCTTTCATGGTAGAAACACGAGATCCTTCTGAGGAGTATGTAGCAAAGGTCAACGAGTATCTCAAAAGCACAGTTACAAACCTGAGCACAACGGATGTCGATGTGGTTGCATTGACTCTGGAGCTGATGGATGAGGTATCTTCGCAATGGCTTGGTCCTGACGGTTTTAATAGTACCGATGTGTGCTGCTTGACTCATGACAACGGAATCAAGAATGCACTGTCACACTATGAATCTTACGACGACAAGGAGTTTTCTAGAAGAACATATAAGATCAGGTGCTATGCATGCTATAGTGTTTTTAACGAGTGTATGGATTTCTGTAAAAAGTGTGGGCATTCCACTCTTACAAGAGTAAGTGTTGGCAATGCAAATGGAAGAGAGGTGTTGTATTTCAAGAAGGACTACAATTACAAGCCTAAGGTGATCAAAGACAGCAATGGAGTAGAACTTCGTAGTATTGATCAAAGGGAATATATCCATCACCAGAAGATGATGAAGAGAAAGAAGAATAAAGGAGCTTGAAGAGACTGATGTGTAACTAATTAGCGATGCTGTTTATTTGATAATGCTTCAACGTCAGATAGAAAAAATAAACCTTCCGAGATGATTACTTCTTTTATGTCGTTTGCAGAAACCGTTTTTCCTCCTCTGAGGCTGCATATTTGCTTTGCATTGTACAGCACAAATTCAGAAACAAAATTTACGTATTTTGCAACGATGTCTGCCTTGCTACTGCTTCTGGCAAGATCTATCAGTGCAACTATATCCTGCATGTTTCTTTTCTTTACAGCATTGTGGTTTTGTTGCGGCATGCGCTCGATTCTTGCCTTTTTGTTTTGCTTTTTGCAATATTCCTGAGCATCCTGTGCCTGTGCATCCATGCTGTGGATAACATTTTTGCATCATTCTTACGCGCCTGTGCTATATGCAGTGTGATATCATGTGTGGATTAATATGTGGCGGCTTTGTTGATCATTATGCATATTTGAATACGCCTGCATTGTGCAATTGCAGGATGCTGTTACAGATAGCAAGCAGATGCTGAGCTGTTGCATCTTGCTTATTTATTGCAAACAAAAAACAGCTGTATATGGGGAAAAAGAATTTGCTGAACGCTAAGAAAACAAAAAGTGATGAAAGTAGTGCTGCAGCGGGAGATACACAGAAAAGGATTGCATGCCTCGAAATGAACTGGAATGTGTTGAGCGTTAAGGAAATTTTCGATATCTTTAGTTCGTTTCTGCACCATTCATCGCCTGTGTGTGTTAAGCTGTGTAAGACCGAGCTTGGAAGGAATAAACTCGGAGATGACAATGTATATACAAACTGCGAGAAGAGTGATATAGGAAAATACTATTTTGCAATTGCCGAGTTTGAGGATGAGCAGGATGCAGTTTGTGTGTACAAGGCATGCGACGGCATCGAGTATGAGAATTCCGGGTCATTTTTTGATTTGAGATTCGTTTCTGAAAAGTTTGTGGTTAGGAATGTTTGTGACGAATTCCCTAGTACTAGTGCATCTGCAAAAAGAAAACAGAATGTGGAGCATACAGCGAATGGGATAGAATGTGATTATTCAGACAGCGAATCTGCTGAGGAGCTGAAAATGCTGTTTGAAGACGACGAAATAGACTATGAAAAGGTCGCCAAGCTTATTGAGATGTCTGACGATGAAGAGGATGCAATAAAGCCAGACTACCACAAGCAAAAAGAAGATTCAAATGAGAATAGCTTGCCTGAAGATGAAGATGACTTCAACAGTATCTACGCAAAGTCAAAGAAGAAAAAGACTTTTGCTGTAAAAGAGCCTGAAAAGAAGCAAGTTGTGATTCCTAAGGCTGACCAAGAGGATGAATGCAGTGGATTTGTGTTTGATCCGTTGGATACGAGGTTTGGGGCATTGTTCGAAGATGCCAGCTTTTCTATAGATCCCACACATCCTGAGTATACAAAGAAAGGCAACCTGAAAGAAATAGTAAATGAAAAGCGCAAACGATACGAAGCAGCGATGAGTGATGATTGAACTTATCTTTTCTGTTTGCATTTGATCTATATGGATTAGAAACTCATATTATACAAGTTGTGTTAGAAATCAAGTTTATTCTCAATAAATTTTGAGCTTTCCAGATTTCCAATGTCTTCTGGCCCTGTTGAACTCTCCGCGGTGCTCAGGCATGGATCGTTTCCATGCAGGTATTTCTCGGTTCTTCTTGAGTGCTCTCATGAGTCGTGTCTTGATTAAAGCTGTCTTTCTTGATCCCTAAAATTACTAAAGCGATGATCACCTACCATTTGTGTAATGGGGCAATTTTTTTAGGCATATGAACTTCTTGTGGAGTGCATATATACAGCAGTGTTGACTTAGCAAAGCACATTGCAAATTTATGATATAAAAGTGTAGTATAAAGGAGGCGTAGCTTAATAAAATACAAGACATCACTCAACATCAAATGATGGTGCGATGCCCCTGCTTTTCTCTTGCCTTACTATTTTCACGCATCGGAGTGTAGAATGCAGACAGCTTCTCAATGCTGAGATCGTCCTTAAGGCTTTGTAAAATATTGCAGACCACTTTTATATTGTTCGGAGAGTCCTTATCAAGCCTTGTTTTGTACATCCTCCACCCGCCTTTCTTCAGAACAAGCTCGTCGAAATCCCAGTAGTATCCGTCAGCGTCGTATAAGAACTCACCGATCATGCCATCCAGGCCGGATTCATCAACACCGGTGCTTAAGAACTGGCCAAATACCATTTCCTTCCCCCGCTTTCCTATGCAAATAAGGTCGTAGATGCTACTGTCTTTGCTATGCCTCGCCATCTTGAAATCCATTGTGTTCAAGGAGGCAGGCTTCCACTTAAGTATTTCGCCCCGCTTTCCCACGCAGTATGCCTCATTCACCGGCGTGAAAATAAGTCCGTCGTTTCCATGCTTGAGCTCAGGAATCTTGCTATATATTTCCCAGAAACCATATCCCTTGAGCATCTGCTTGACATAGAAGCAAATCGGAGAAGGTGGATTTTCAACTTGAACATGAACACGCTTTCTATCTTCATCATCCTGCTCTCTGAAGACAGTCTTAGATGTTTTGTACTCTTTCTGCATGGCTTCAAGGAACATCTGTGCATACCCAAGTCTTTTGTATAGGTTTTTAGCAATTTGAGGAACACCTTCATATATAAGGCAATCGAATATTGCATATGTGTTGATTGTGCCTGATTCAAGGAAAACCTCCCCGTCTATAAGAACGGTAGAGCTGAATGGAATGCGAATATCCAGCTCATAGAAATCGTTTTTTCTGTCATAGAGATATGCTCTATGCTTGCCCATATAGTTCGTTGCAAACAGCAATGCTCTAATGCCATCAGACTTCTCACATACAAGGAAGTCCTCCGTAAGTAGAAGGCTGATATTTTCGAGTGTCAGTGTTACTGGATGGCTTCCCACGAATTTTTCTCTATGCTTAGCCCTGTGCTCGTGGAGCTGATCGTATATCATATGCCTGAGAGCATTGGCTGTTTCTGGAGAGGTCTTAGAGCCAAGACAGGATAGCTCCATGGGCTATATGCACAACAACAATGTGTATTGAGGAAACTTATATTACAAGCACTGGCATACAATACAATGGACAGATGGGATGTGAATCAAGCAGTAGTGGAGGCTGGCTGCATATGAACTAGTGTCTGGTGCCTAATACAATACATTTTGCAACAAAACTGCACCAGTATCAGTATCGCAGTACGTGATATAGTTTACTTGCGCACATGTCGTATGCCTTAAAATAAAAGATGCAAAAGATTACAGCACCCAGGATTCCCGAGTGGTCTCCCGACTCAGTACTAACCAGGCTCGCACAGGCTTAACTTCGGAGATCTGGCGAGTTCCGGTGCATTTCTGTGGATATGGCCGTAACCATCCACACACACATCCACGCATTTATTCCATCACATACATACACCATCCCTTCTGGCCCACACCTCTCACTCATCCAACAACTATCACTATCAATAATCTTCTTTATTACTTCTCAGGCATCACACGCTAATCATCTCATCGACTCCTCTCGCAAACGGATGTACTCAAGCATTTCTCTTCCGCTCAAAACATTCTTGCTATTCAAAAACTTCATCCGTAAAAACAATTCCCCATCCTTTTCCCGTACCCCCTTCAGTACCCCTTCAGGCTCGTACTCTTCTCCATGCTCCTCATGCATCTTGATCTCAATAAGCTCATCCGTACCATCAAAGCTAAACAGATCATCAACACACGACTTATTGAAAAACCTGCTTAGTCGCGGATCACTCAGCACCTTCTTTCCAAGCATATCCTTGAATATTTGCTTCTGATACACTTTCTCCTCAATAGTATCCTTGCACACGAGCCTGTATATCTCCACACCCTTCTTCTGCCCATATCTCCATGCCCTTTCCTTTGCTTGCGTATCTGTCGATGGATTCCAATCCGGATCATATATCACAACCCTCGATGCCCCAGTAAGATTCAACCCAAGACCTCCCACTCGCGTTGTCAACAGAAATATAAAAATACTCTCATCACTGTTGAACCGCTCAACAAGATTCCGTCTGTCTGGCGTCGACGTCGTCCCATCCATCCTCATGTATGCATATCCTGCAATGCATCTCTCTATAATATCCAACATCCGTATTGTCTGTGAAAAGATCAGAACCTTATCTCCACTCTTCTTCCACTTCTTCAAAAAATCAACCAGAATCTTCATCTTGCATGCCGATTCAACCAGCTCGCATCCACCAACTTCTCCATTGCAGACACTTATACCCAATGTCTCTTCCTCATAGCCGTAGTCAAACTCTGCATTCTCTACTTTCAATTCACCTTGCCTCTTCTCATGCATTCCATGATGCCCTGCACTTCCACTGGCAAAAAGCAGCTGAGGATGGTTGCACACCTTGCGCAAAAGCGTAATTCCACTCAAAAGATTCGCTTTCCCAGTAAGAACATTCATTATATGCTTTGATCCAAGCACCTTCCTGTACAAGTCAGTCTGTAAAGGCGTCAACGAACAAAACACAATCTTGTCCTGCTTTGAAGGCAACCGATGAGATACTTGAGCCTTTGTTCTTCTCAGTATATACGGCTCAATAAGAGACCTTAACATCAGGCTATGCTTGTATGCCCTCTCAACCTGACTATTGCTTGCATTCCTGTATCCTCCCTTGCTTATCACCTCTTCAAACTCTTCATTAAATGCACTATGCGATCCAAGAAGCCCAGGATTCACAAAGTCAAACATCGACCACAGCTCGCTGAGATTGTTTTGTATCGGCGTTCCAGAAAGAATCAGTCTACATCCAGATTTCACCTTCTTCGCTGCAAGACTCACCTGCGCATTCTTATTCTTTATTCTATGCCCCTCATCCAGAACCAGCACATCCCATTCTTCATTCCCTGCTGTCATTTTGAACTTCTCGTACGACATCACACATACTCCACTCTTCTCACTACTCATTCTTCCAGTAAACACTCTCAGAAACGGATAGAACTTCTTCCACTCAGATACCCACTGCAAAGCAATCGTAGCAGGACACACAATCAATGCCTTCCGAGCTGCTCCATTCCTGAACAACGCCGTCAAAAACACTATTACTTGGAACGTCTTTCCCAAGCCCATGTCATCCGCAAGAATCCCCCCTTTCCTAGTCTTGTAAAGGTTTAACATCCACTTCACACCCTCCTGCTGATACGCAAACAGGCTTTCCCACAGAAAGTTTGGCACAGCAAATCCCTCGTGCTCTTCAGAATGCTTCTGAACATACTCCTCAAATGCATTGCTGGATAGCCCGTGCTTCCTGCAGAACACTTCTACTGCATGCCTACACTTCTCCTCAAATGATTTGACGTCAGAATCATCAGAACAGCCTTTCCACTCAAAATCAAACACTTCTTTTGCTTCTAAGCTTTCCTGCCTGCTTTCTATGCCGGATATAACCTGCTTTTCTGCTGCTAAGCTTCTCCTTATCTGCTTGATTTCCTCCTCGCATGCACTTGTCTTTTCAAAATCGCCACTCTCCTTGTATCTCTTCACCTTCTCCTCAATCTCATCAATTCTTGAGCTTGCTGCCTTCTCAAGATACTTCTCAACAAGTGTTTTTTCATATTCATCAGCACTGTAATCCATTGAACACACAAAGGGACAAGCCACTCAACACATTAACTCCTACAGAAGCATCATAAGCCACTAATAAAATACATCTGCATATTTGCATTACATCTTTATTCATACGTTACTCATGTGCTTACTCATTGATCCTCGCACATCCCGTTCTTCTGCATCATCCAGTATCCCTCCTATTATCTTAGTCAGCTCTTCATCAAGTGCCTGACCAGATGCTCTTATTATCCTACAGACATCTTCCCTAATATCAACTCCAACCGCCATGCTTCTCTTGATTACCTTTCTGATCAGATACTCCACATCCTCTGCCATACATGCATCTGCATCTTTGCCCAGAATAACTTCAAGACTCATCAGCACATACCCAATCTCCATGTCTCTGTACAATTCAGCTATCTCTGGCTTATACTTCCTTACACTTCTCATCTCATTCAGCCATCTATCAATTTTTGCTGGCGTATCCAGCAAGCACATATCCATGTACATTGTTATCTCAGCATCAATCTTCTGCTTGATATACTTGTTTATCATCATTCCATCGCAAATGTCGTATTTGCTCAATTTCTCCAGTGCTTCAATCCTTGCACAGATGCTCCTCTCTCCAATCTTAGAGCAGACATCATCAAGATGTTCAACCAGTGCATGCCTAAGACTTTCTCTGGTGCATTCTTCACCGAACCCAACAATCGCAAAACATTCGATTATTGCACTGACTCTGTCTGCGTTGTTCAGCTGTATGGCCCTTCTGAACTCATGGCCGAGAAAGCCCTCGAGGCCTTCGCATTTGTCTGCATCGCTCTTCAGCACTTCATGCAGCATTTGTATGTTTCTTGTTGTTATAATGTCTTTGATCATCTTTGCAACTTCTTTTTTCCTTCTGTTGTAGACAAGAGCCACATGCTGCTCTTTAAGGATGTGCCATTTGTTAAGCTTCTGCAGTAGTTCATCCATGGGTACGCTACGTGTGCAGATCGATATGCATACATATGAAGGCATACTACATTTGCGGTAGCCTACCCTGGAAGTATGAGTGCATTCGATGGAGCATGGAATGAAGGCAGCGTGCCTGGATATGGGAATGGACGTGTATCAGGTCAACATAGTAGCGATAGCCCGCAAGCATGCATGGAGAAGCAATGCGCTCCGAACTATATGCTGAGCAAGCTCAAGCTGAATATTGTAAGCATGTTTGAGGGAGAAAAGAAATTCCATGAGCCAAAGTGATGCAGAAGATGTGCAATAACACAAATGCATGAACATGAGCTGCATTGCTGTAAAAACCAATGTGGTTCATGAGTGAAAATATCACGGCTTGAAGATTGCTATCTACAATGAAAGTGTATCCTTGCGAATGATGCAGCACATGAGAGGTGAAATAAATTGGATTTTGGATTCCCTGAATGGCAAAGGACTTGGTTGTTTTTCAAACACATGTGGAGTTTTACATGGATGACACGGGATTGAGCTATGCATATCCGGTGTTTATTATATTTGGATCCACAATCACAGGAGAGCCTGTACAAGTACTTGTCAGGAACTTCTATCCATATATATACATTGAGAGTGCGAACGGAAAGGAGTATAAAGAGAATGACATAATGGAATCGATCAAGAAGCTGGATATAAAAGGGATGATTCTGGACGTCGAGGTTGTTTTTAAACAGAATATCTTTGGATACTCAGAATCAAAGTCGCGCTTCTACAAATTGACATTCAGCACACCTCATGTATTTGCAGGCGTCAAGGCACTGCTTGAGGAGGGGGTGGTTGTGAAGAGAGAAAGGGTTGTTTTCAAGGTATACGAAAGCAACATTCCGTTTGTAATAAGGTTTATGTGTGATCTTGGAATGGTAGGAATGAGCTACGCCAAAATAAAGAAATACGAAGTTGTTCATGCAAAGCCACTGACTGTCACAGCATCTTATGAATCGATTGAATGTCTTGCGCCAGAAGGCAGCTATGTAAAGCTTCCTCCACTCAAGATCCTGAGTATTGACATTGAATGTGTAGGCAGCAATGGCTTTCCGTCGTCTAAGGTTGATCCAATCATACAGATTGGAAACACGGTGAGCCTGTACGGAAGCAAGGATCAGGTGATGCAGGACATATTCTGCCTGAAGGAGACGACTGGGATTCCTGGTGCGAATGTGCATTGGCATGAGACAGAGAAAGAGCTTCTTGAAGGATGGAGAAAGTATTTTATGGACCTTGATCCAGATATAATTATTGGATACAACATCAAGGGATTCGATATTCCGTACATTCTAGATAGAGGAGAAGCTGTGGGGATAGAGGGATTTTCGTGTCTTGGGAGGCTGGACAAGAAGGTTAAAGTAAGGGATACTACAATGTCTGGCAATATGTTTGGATCGATCATGACCACTGAGGTTGACATTGGAGGGCGACTGGTGATTGACATGATGCTTGTGATACGAAGGGATTTCAAACTGAGAAGCTATTCTTTGAACTCTGTCAGCATCCACTTCCTAAAGGAACAGAAGGAAGATGTGCCGTATTCTTCGATTGGTGTGCTACAGGCTGGCGACAAGGATAGCAGGCGGAGAATAGCATCGTATTGCTTGCGAGACACGCTGCTAACCCTCCGCCTGTTCAACAAGCTGAGTGTCTTGGTGAACTACACAGAGCTCTCGAGAGTCACTGGTGTTCCGATTGAGTATTTTTTTAGCCGAGGAATATCTATCAAGATGTTTTCTCTGATATATAGAATGGCAAGCAGGGAGGGATATGTAGTTCCTGTTATTGAGTCGTTTGAGCTGAACCGTGGGTTTGAGGGAGGGTTTGTGATGGATCCTATCCGAGGGTTTTACGACAAGCCGGTATCTGTGATGGACTTCAGCTCGCTATATCCCTCGATAATGATCAGCAAGAACCTGTGTTACACGACGTTGCTCACAAAGGAGCAGTATGGCAGGGTTGGGGGAGTTGAGACGCCCACGGGGGACTACTTTTGTAGTGCAGAAACAAAGAAGGGGCTGCTGCCTAGGATTCTGACAGACCTGCTAGCGTCGAGAAGAGCGATAAGAAAGGCAATGGAGGAGGAGAATGATGAGGAGCTGAAGGTATGTCTGAATGGCAGGCAGTTAGCAATGAAGCTGTGTGCAAACTCGATATATGGATTTACAGGAGCCAGTACAGGAAAGCTCCCGTGTTTTGAGATATCGCAGAGTGTGACAGGGCTTGGCAGGGAGATGATAACGTATGTGAAGAGGCTGATTGAACAGACGTTTTGCAAAGCTAGTGGATACAGCCACAATAGTGTGGTGATATATGGAGATACTGATTCGGTGATGATTAGCTTTAATGAACCTGACATGAAGAGGGTCTTTGAGATGAGCAAGGAGATAAGTGAAATGGTTTCGAGCAAGTTTGTGAAGCCAGTGTGCTTGGAGTTTGAGAAGGTGTATTGCCCGTATCTACTAATTAACAAGAAGAGATATGCAGGGCTGATGTATTCGAGTCCGGACAGTCCCAGCAAGATCGACACAAGGGGAATCGAAACTGTGCGAAGAGATAACTGTGAGCTTGTAAGAGATGTTGTGGAGTCTGTGCTAGAGAAGATTTTGTATCTGAGGGATGTAGAGGCGGCCAAAGTGTTGGTAAAGAACGTGATAAGAGACTTGCATCAAGGACGAGTTGATTTGAGTTTGCTTGTGATTTCAAAGTCGCTTACCAAGACGGGAGACAAGTATGAAACAAAGCAAGCACACGTGGAACTTGCAAAGAAGTTGAAGGAACGGGATGAGAGCACTGCGCCGGTGCTTGGCGACCGAGTACCGTATGTGATAGTTAAGAAGGGAAAGAAGAAGGCGGCATATGAGAAGAGCGAGGATCCGGTGTATGTTCTTGAGAATGACCTTCCGATTGATACAGAGTATTACATTGAACAACAGCTATCGAAGCCTCTGAGCAGGATATTTGAGCCAATCATGGACAATGTTTCAGAGCTTTTCAAAGGAGACCATACACTGGCAATCCCATCGATTTCTCTTCATGGCCCGATGAATGCATTTGTGAAAGCAGCAACGACGTGTGTTGGATGCAAATCGACGGGCAAGGTGTTGTGTGATGGATGCATTGATGATTTCCATGTGCATCTGCAGAGAATGCAGAACGATGTTGAGGAGAAGAAGGAAAGGCTGAACAGCTGCTGGGTGGAATGCCAAAGATGCCAAGGAAGTGTTCATGGGCAGGTGCTGTGTGTGAACAGGGATTGCCCCATTTTCTACATGCGAACCAAGGTGAAGAAAGAATTGGCTCCTCTTAGTGAAAGGCTTGAGAAGCTAAGATCGTTTAAGTGGTAGCCGTATTGAATTAAAACATGTAATCTCAGGCTCTAAAATAGAGTTGATGTTTGCTGCATGAACAAGTAATGCCAAGTGTTGTTGTACTGTGCTTGTGCTATGTGCAAAGAGATGGGCGTGCTATGTATGGATAGGCCAAGAAGTGATTGACAGCATCAGGTTTATTAAGACAGTTAGTATCCCATGTACTTGACACCCATTCGCTTAAGAGAATAAAGAATGTCTGCACATGTGATTGTCTTTCTTTTTGCATGTGTGGCATAAACAAATGCAATAGAAAGGACGTCTTTGATGTACGCTCTGCCAGCATTGTTTATTTCTTTAAAGCAACCGCCTCCGACTCTCTTTACACCTGCACGCCTGGCAATTCTTCTTATTGCTGGCTTGGAGATGCTATCGGCTGCAGACGCCTGCTTTCTGTGTCTCTTTGCAATTCCCTTTGCAGCCTTGCTTTTTCCCTTTGCAGCTATGCTTTGCGAGTTCATTGGAGGGGATTGTGTTTGTCATTATATAGCTTTATTTTTGGCGGGACATTTGAAGACCTTTACAGGAGATATGCATGCATTACAGACTGTTTTGCAAGCAGGCGCTGGCACTATAGGCATCGCTGTATTAATTGGATTGTGTGGTGAGGAATGTGATTTGTCGGTGAAGCTGGCTTGACAACACGAAATGGATTGTCTGAGTGACATGTCTAGCATGCCTGGCGATTGATATTCATGAATATGGCCATGAACAACGATGCAAATAACAGATGAATGGCAGGTGTGGATTTGGCGCGGAAATCTCCCGGTAAATAAAATTATAAATAGATTTGGCAGGCAGGGATTGGATGTCTAGAACAAAGCAGACTGCTTCGAAGGCCTTGGGAGGGAAAGCACCCAGGAAGGGGATTACGATGAAGTCGGTGCCCTCGTTGTCCAGCCAGGCAGCATTGCCCAGAAGAACAAGGTTCAAGGCCGGTGCGCTTGCGCTGAAGGAGATCAGGAAGTACCAGAAGAGCACGGATCTTTTGATTAGGAAGAGGCCGTTCCAAAGAATGATGAGAGAGCTGTGCAAGGGGAATGAGGGGATGAGATTCCAAGGATCGGCAGTGGTTGCGTTCCAGGAGGCAGTGGAGAATTTCCTGACGAATCTGGTGGAGGATGCATATAGATGTGTTCTGCATGCAAGGAGGGTTACATTGATGCCAAAGGACATCTGCCTTGTGTATAAGATAAAGTATGCGAATGTACTTTATGCAGCTCTTGATTGAATAAACTGGTGTGAAAATTATTTTTGAATGCGAAGGAGAGTAAATGAGTGGAAAGCTGCCCTTGGAATGGAGGACAGGGTGTACATTGTGCATCGACAGATAGAAAAGATCCCTGAGATATCTGGGCGTGTCAAGGCTGTGGACTTGCACAGGAACAGGATATCTGAGATGGTTTTGAGCAGAGTAGAGTCGATGGAGTATCTTGATCTTTCTGATAACAGGATAGCAGAGATAAATGATCTTGAGAATGTTCCCAACCTGAAGGTTCTGGACTTGAGCTACAACCTGATTTCGACAGTGGAGATTCCTGTTATGAATCTTGAGGAGCTATATCTGATTTCGAATGATATACCTATGATACATGGGCTAGAGCTGCCGATGCTTCGAAAGCTTGACATGGCAGCAAACGAGATTTGCAGGATTGAGAATCTTGAGGGGTGTAGGAGCCTTGCTGAGCTTTACCTTGGCAGCAACCGGATTAGAGAGGTGGATGGATTGGATGATCTATGCATGCTGAAGACTCTTGACTTGCAGAACAATGATATCTTGCGTGTTGACTGCTTGAAGATACCCAGAAGTGTGGAAGTTCTGCTTCTTGGAGAGAATGTGAATCTTGAACAGATAGATAACATAGAAGCACTGTGCAATTTGAGAATTCTAGGAATAGAAAAGACACGTGTGCTGATGGAAGCGCACGAAGGTAAATTTGAGGTGTGGAAGTAGCGGATAATGTGAAGTATTATGTGTGTAGAATACCCATGCAACAGATCCGAAATGATTGTGCTGAAGGAGATGGTATGGAGCCTGGGTGCCGAATGAATGAACTGGAGGAAAATAGGGTAAACGATAAAGATACACAACAAAGTATTGAAAGCATAATGAAGATGTCTGATGCCTTTTGGTTTGAGGATGAGCACGATCAGGAGCATATAAATAGGTTTGTTCTGTGAGAATACAGTATTAGGCCATGGCTTGATGAATGGACGGATGAACGATTAAATTTGCATGGAATGTGTGTCCCATCGAATGATCAAAAGTTTTATTCTTGGCTTTCCGTTTCCTAGGTTTGGAAGAAAGAAGCCGTGTGAAGCGATTCCAAGGATTGCATTATCGATGGCGATGCTTAAGCCACTGAGTGTTATTGCTCCAAAGGTTCTGACGGACGATTTCTACAAGGGTGCGATGGCGTTTGCAACATGCCCGTTTGGCGTTGGAGACAGAATCAGAATCGACAAGTATGACGGTGTTGTAAAGGACATGTCGTTCTGGTACCTAGTGCTTGAAAGGCCAAAGGGATATGTTTATATTCCAACCTCACATGTTTATAACACAGCCATTGAGCTATTGAAATGAGTTAAAAGATACAAGCATGAATAGTTAGTAAACTAAATTAAACTACGAAGCAAACCATTCTCAGCAATGTTTTAAATAAATACGATTTATTCTCTTGTTCTTTCTCTAGGCTTACGCTTTGCAATACCATCACACTTCACTATCATCTGTGCCACCTCAGATGCAGCCATTATGATTCTCTTCTTGATCCGGAAGCTATCGATAATGCCGATTTCTTTCATGCAGCACACACTTCCGTCCTTCACATTAACGCCATAACTTGAGTTTCCCGAGCTGTGCTCTGCTCTTAGGCTTGTCTTTGTTTCTTCTCCGTCGTGCCCCCCATTCTCAGCAAGTATCTTGGGAATCTGCTGCAAAGCATTCGAGAACGAAAGAATCGCATCACTCTCAGCACCTGCTACCTCCATGGCATATCCATTCAGGCCAACTGCCATCGACATCTCGCTGGCCCCTCCCCCATACACAGCTCTTGGATCTTCCTTGATCCTCATCAGCACACACAGTGCATCGTGTATGCTTCGTTCTGCCTCATCCAGCATTTCTTTCGATGACCCAAACAGAACAATTGTGCTTGCTCCATTGCTCACCCCCTCAAATCTTATTGCCCGTTCTCCTCCGATCTCCACATTCTTAACACTCTTACATGTTCCATAGCAAGACTCGTCCACAGACTCAAATGTGCTCAGTATCTTTCCTCCAAGCACATTGCTCAGCCTCTCCACCCCATCAAAGTCCGCATGCTCTATTGGCTGTATCCCTTTCATTCTCAGCAGCTGATCCGGATAGTCATATATCAGCTGCCTGTTGATAAACACATTCGCTTTGCTCTTCGATATCCTGTCCACCTTCTCCCTAACCTTTGCCTTCTCTGCAGTCTCCAGCTCCTCCAGCTCGCTCACAGAGCTCACGTTGATCTTTGCCCCAAACACCTTGATCTTATCATGATCCATGCTTGTGTTTGCAATCACAATCCGAGGATTGCTCACCTCGTCTATCCTTACATCCTTCTTCAGAATAAACCCCTCATCAAGATACGAGTCCTCAAGCTTTCCTGCACACTTGATAACCTGAATCAGCCCCAGATCACTCCTTCCTTCAAGCCTCTCAACCGCACTCACACATATATTGCAAAACTTCTCAATGTCGTACTTCACAACCTTCGAGCACAGCGTGGTCCAAACAATCCTCATTAAATCGTCCCTTGTTGGCTCAAAGCTCATCCCATGCAGTATATCCTCGCATCTCTGCTGTGCCATTCGGTACCCTCGAAGAATCCTTGTGGGATGCACATTCAACCTGCTTGCCTCCTTCACAAGCAAGCTTGCAAGAATCGCAACAGACGTCGTTCCGTCCCCCTCCTCCCAGTCTTGCCCAACACTGCAGTCAACCAGTATCCTTGCAGATGCACTGTCAATCATAAGATTCTTCAGAATAAACGCTCCGTCATTTGTAACACTTACATTCTGCCCCTTCAGCATTTTCAGCATCCCCTTTGGCCCAAGCGTTGTCTTCAGGATCTCCGCTATCATGTCCGTCCCTGCAAGAATCGTTCTTTTGGCATCATCACCTTTCTCTTCAGTGGCCCCAAGGTCAATGTGGCTGAACATACTCATGTGGGGTGAAATTTTTGCCATCCTTGTAAGCCCATGGACAACGAATGCCTGAATGCTCCTCTTGTGATAAAGCCCACAAGGATATACAGCTACACACAGCTGATAGCATCTCTGAGGAAGAAGCAGCAGAAGCTTGCCAAGTACAAGGTAACAGCAGAGCCCACTGCGTTCAGGGATGTTCTAAGGTCCAAGCAGCAGCAGTTCGATGTGAATGATGTTGTGAATGGGTTTTTGCATGAGAAGTTAAGATCGAAGCAGAAGGAGCATGAGAAAATGGCCACGAAATCGTTTCTGAAGGATGTCGAAAGGCGTGTTAAAGAAATCAAAAAGGAGAATGATTTGTTTGTGGTTGGAGGAGGTAAGATTGCAGGAATGGCTGGAGATTTAGAAGCTGTGTTTGATAAAGATCCTAGTGATGCCGATGAGCAGCTTGTTCACGGGATTGCCGGGAAAGACAGGTACTTTGAGGATCCGATGCTTTTTGACATACACATGTTTCTCAGAAGGCTGAATGCTTCGGAGAATTTTGAGCAGGAACTCCGGTTTCTTGGAGATGAGTATCTGAGATATGTCGACAGGTTTCTGAGGGAAAATGCAGACAAAGTTACAAATCCATTGAGAGACGTCGAGGACAAGGTTTCTGCGTTTGTAAAGCTCAGATATGGTAAGGAAGAGTATAAGCTTGAGGTGTACGAAGGAAGGTATGTGTTTGCAGAGCTGTACACGCTGTTTAGGTGTGGGCTTACAGATTGTGTGAAAAGGCTTCTGGAGCGCTTCTCTGTGTTTTTTGAGCACATTTCACATCGCTTCAGGACAAGCTTTAGTGGATGGCTTACTACAAAGACAAAGCCTAGTGTTCCTGTGAAGATCGGAGGAGGAGATGATCTTTTCAAGGCGTTTCTGCTAGGAATGATGGATGGAAACAGCCGAGGGGTGGATGCGAGGGTGATTGGAAGTGTTGAGGATTTTGTTTGGATGCACTTGATATCGATCAATGAGCTTGGGAGAGTCAAGGAGGTTTTGGGGTTATTCAGGAACTACCAGAATCCGAAGGGGCTGCTGCTTGCATGTGTGATGCTAAAGGATTATGACAGGGCAATGGAGCTGGTGTTTCGTGGAGACTTTGCAGTGGTGCCGTCATACTTTCTGATGAAGGCGCTATGCAGCAGATGCAGCAGCAAGATGATATTTGTTGACTTTGTGTTTTTGGCTGCATCGAGGTTTTCTGCAACGAAGAGGAAGGTAGAGCTATTGAGCTCGTTGAAGCATGTGGTGGAAGGATACTACGAAGTCGTTCCCGAGATGATAGTGAAGATGGACATGTACGATGTTCTTGGGATGGAGGATGGAGCATGTTTGTACTTGGATAAGAAGATCAACCAGAGGGTTGTTGAGATTCTGAAGACAAAGAATGAGAAGAAGAAGCTTATAAGGCTGTACTACCTGATTGATGACGAGGCGATGGTGGTTGATCTTATTAACGAGATCATAGTGGAGGCGATTCTGGCAGACGGGGATATTGATGGGTATTTTGAGATAATTGAATATTATGAGAAGAGGGAAAGCACAAGGCAGATTGGGATGATGAAGGGACTGAAAAGTTTTTATGTTTTCCAAAGGAATCCGAGCATGCTGACTCTGAGATCGACGCCGTTGATTATCATTGATGGTGATGTTAAAGAGCTTAGGTATGTAGTGGAGAAGGTGTTTAAGCTTGCATGCGATGTGGTGGAAAATGCAGGGGATGGAGAGATGGCAAGGATTCTGTTCAGACTGTGTGGGGTTCTTGGGCTTGGGGAAGAGATGTCTGGATATGCCAACAGACACCTGATACTGTTGATATGATTGCCGGAGGTGTTTAATAAATGTGGCTTGGTTAATGGGATTTTGGAGAGGCTAGCTAAGAGATGAGAAATACGATGGGAAGGAGGCCCTGATGAGATTGAATTCGGTAGAGTTTCCTGTTGAGAAAAGAATAGTGGTTGCGAAAGAGGACGGGGTGTGCTACAGCACAGAGAAGAATAGCCTGGCCGAGGTGTGGGACAAGCTGCTGGAGTACTACAATGAGAAGGCCCGTTCTGAGCAGAAAGGCCAGGCTGAGGAAGACGAGCTGCTTAGGATGCTGTGTGAGTCCAGGATTGAAGCAGAGACAGGTGTTGCTGTGTATGACTTGATTGATAAGGGTGTACTGGCGATGCATAAGGTAAAGAGTAGAAATGAGGATGCATGCGAATTTAAGCAGGTGATCTTGGAGTCGTGCATTAAGATCATAGGAAAAGGAATTGAGTATTTGAGGAGCGCAATAGAAAAGGAGGAGGCGATCTGGCAGAAAGTTGAGCATGCAGGCTTGCCATTGAGATTAGTGGATGGAGAGATCAGGATGTATGTTACTGAGTTGGATTATATTGTGGTTGACAACGAGGGATCGTATGTGTATCCGCAAGAGTGGAAGCCCAAAGGACTGAGATGCACTGTGGCATACATGGAACTGCGAATAGAGTGCTGGATGCCTCCTGAGGGAGAAAAAGATGTTGAGTTGGTCAAGGAGTACTTTCTAGAGCAGTCGATGGTACAGAGAATGCACAAGAATGGGATTGAGATCGAAGTTAAGGCTGAAGGATGTGAAGGATGTGCAATAAGTGACGAGATATGCAGGTATGTGATTGAGGAGTTGAGGGAGGGCAGGAAAATGCAAAATGTGTTTAGCGATGTGGTAGTTTATCTTTCAAGGATGCTGGTTGATGCAGTGGTTGGTAGGAATGCCTCGTGTAGTGTGCTACGATACAGTGGGGATGATCTTGAAGATGGATTGCCAGAGGTGTTTTTTGTTGTGTCTGGAAGTGAAGTGGTTAGAGCAGAGAGGAGTATGGAAAGATTTGAGATTTTTGTGAACGAGATGCCGGTGAGGTTTTTTATGCGTGGCGATGATGGATCGGCTTGCATTAATATCGACACGCGTATATGCATAGATGTGCCTACACGGGATTGAAGTATAGTTTTGGAATTCGGGAATCCCAGGATGATAAGATGCACATACACATCTCAGAAGCAGAAGAAGCAGAAGCTATGGCTTGATGGATTTGTAAGTTTGAAGGGAAAGAAGGTCAGCTTGTATGACTCTGAAAAAAAGATGATAGAAAGCTCGTTTTTACCTGCTGTTGAAAACGACATGGAGATGCAGAAGTATCTTGTTTATGTTGATTCGTTTGAAGATCTGGAGAGTGAATGTGCAGAGCTAGATGAGGAGGAAAGAAAGCCCGGCAATCGCATTGATAAGTGCAATAATGCTAGAAACATCAAAGATGCATCAAATAGTGTAAATGTCAGTGAATATAAGCACAGTGCAAATACAAATATGCACAGCAGGCTAGGTAGAGTCCCAAGTGGAATAGAAGCCGAGGAGCCTATGGAGTTGAGCGAAGACAAAGAGCATGGATGCGTATCTAAGGGAAGATCATCAAGTGAAATAATTGATTTATTCAGAAGATTATAAAGACGCTGCTTCTCTACTTACTGCAGTGTTTTTTCAATAGTGCTCTCAAACAATGAAATCGCTTTTCCATCGATTCCGCTTAATTTCAGCTTTTTGCGTTTCTCAATGACATATTCCCTCTGCTTTGCGATGCATGATATTATATTTTCGATCATTTCCCTGTATATGCCGATTCTTAGCTTTTTCAACTCGTTGATGACCACAGCAGCAAGCTCTGGAAACCCAATATTCTTCGAGAACGTGGACAGGTGCATGACGAGTAGGGCATTTGCCTCGGTTATCACAAACATCTGGTGTTCTTCGCTCTTTATTCTCTCCGGGCTTGGCTTGATTGAGTCGTAGCTCACTTTCTTATGAGATGCAACAATGTTACGCGAGGATATTGCATCCTTGAGTATCCTTATCAGATAGAATGAGATCGGCGTGTAGAACTTTGACGATACAACCAGCTTAATGATCCTTAAACAGAATACAGAGTACTGGTAGTCTTTGTACTTCTCAAGTATTTTTGTTACAACATTCATGTACATCCTAAACTCAGAATGCTTGTGGACACACTTTCCAAGCACTTCGATGATGAACACAACTCTTGTGAGGTCAACATCGTTTGACTCTACGTACTTTTCCAAGTATGCAATCTCTCCCTCCACATTCATTGGATTAAGAACATACCTGCTGATGTCATCTGGAAGAGAGATTGGCTGGCTAATGTATATCTTTGCAAGATAGCTTTCAGTGCATATGCTTGCATCGCTTGTCTTCGCTTTACTTGACATGCCTGGGGCTTGATGACTTAACAAAAACATATACAGCTCAATATGTGTAGCTGCTTTAGCTTTAGCATTCAAATGTCCTGCCAAGTGGTATTCCAGAATCTTTTATTTAAAAATAAAAATACGTTGCTCTTGTTCTTGCGCTTCCCCTTTGCCTTGCACTTGGAGAAAATTCAAAGAACTCAAGATTACCAAAGCCTTTCTTAAAAAGCTCATTAAGTATGTCCTCCCCAAAATGGCCATATCCGTTAATCCGTTGAGGGTTATCCGGATCCATCCCTCTATCGTACATCTCACGCTTCTTCTTATTCGTAAGAACTCCGAGTGCCTTATTGATTACCTTGTGCGTTTCCTCCCACTTCTTCTTTTCTGCTTCGCCCTGCTTCCTCATTCCACTGATAACCATTTTTTTGTATGCCTTCTTTATCTCTGCATCTGTTGTTTTTGGTCCAGGACTAAGCCCCAGTGCCTTGTAGTATCCCAAAATATCGCTCTGGTTCCCTTGGGGCATATTCCTGTTTCTTGGCCTTTCTCTTTGCGGTCTTTCTCTTTCCCTCTTTGCCTTTGCATCCTCTATCTTGCTCCTTATTGCTGCAAGCTTCCTCACTGTCTCTCGCTTCATGGATCCGTTCTTGAATGTATGCGAACGGCACATTGCTTCTGCTTCGTCAATGCTCCCTTGAAGTGCATGCGACACCACATACAGATGCATTGCTTCATCATCTCCTCTTTTCATTTGCAGTGTCCTGATCCTTGCAGACAGCGGCTTCAGGGGCGTGCCCACAAGCCTGCCTCGACTTACATCATACGTCCCTGACATAAAGTTGCTAAAGTCGTCCTCAATTCCATTCTTGCACATGCAAAGTATCGCATCAAGCTTCAATGGCGTAAATATACTTGGAAAGAAATTAACTGAAAATTCGGCTTCCTCAATCCGCTCCACCAACTCCTTCATCTGCATATATTTGTCCTTACACGGCATGCTACCACCAGCTATTCTTGCGTACTCATCAAACAAACGTTCAATGAGCTTCGACATGCCTACATCTCCCATCTCACGCATTATGTTTATTCCTGCCGCTGGCATCCGAGTCAGGAAAAATAGCTGCACCTGCAAGCGCTTCAGCTCAACATCTTCCGGAAACAGGCTGCTCGCCTTCTTAACAAACCTCCTGACCTCATGAAACTTCTCTTCAATAAGGCACATCTTGATATATGCCTTCAGGACATCTATGCTATACGGAGCTTCATTTATCAGTGAGGCAATCAGCTTTACATTGTTGCTGTTCAGTATGGACTGATTTCTTTCTGCCTTAATCACATCCGTAGACATCTTACCATTCTGTCCATATCTGCGGATCACTGCCTTGTAATCTCCACTCTGCATCAGAAACTCAGCATGCTTCCTTTCAAGCACTTCATTTCCTCCAAACTCACTCATCAGCTCATCAAACATTGTCTTCGCTTCAGAAACCTTTCCACTCATAACTGCATTCTCTATCTTGCTAACCTCAGATCCCAAGTCGCGGCTTGCTGCAACTACGCCTAAAAACAGAGCAACCATTGCTTTGTGCATCACCAGCCATCCCATCTACCGTCTAAACAAAAAATATTTTTGTTCATTTTAACACAGCTTGGCCACTACTGCCGCAATGCATCAATCATATTTTGCCGTTCTCAGATAGGTTACTTGCTGTATCAAACTCAAAACGGCTTTTTAGCCACTTCTTCATCTTCCTGTATGTGTGTATCATAAGTAGAATCACACAGAGTATCATCAAGTACTTTCCAAGCCTTGGGAGGAGATTCTCATCGGCCTGTCTGTGAGGAAGTAGGCTCATTTGTTTATCTCGCATGCATGCGGTATATGTTTTGAAACACACATCGTGCTATGTATAGGCATTCAGCATGTATCAGCATTGCTCCACACTACGCATTCTATGCATCGCTACATTTACTGCCACTCCAGGCACAAAGCATTCAAAAAAATTACCCCCAATGCCTGTAATCAACACTTTTATGCCCGAATCCATCGGATCGGTGCCATTCGACATTCAAGTCAAAAAGCCAAAGGCAAAGGGAAATTACTCTCATGCAATCATGGGAAAGGGAAAAGGCTCCAGGAGCTGTGTTGCATGCTTTACTTACCGCGGAATAATTAGAAGCCTGGGCCTATGCAGAAGGTGCTTCAAAGAATATGCAAAGGACTTGGGATTTGCAATCTACGATTAGGATATTAAAACCGCTTTATTCTGTTTGCCTTTCTTGCATACTAAATGTTCTTGGGCTTTGATGCGGCCTTCCTCCTGGCAACCTTGACCTTAGGGTGTGCATTGTGCAGACTGGAAGATTGACTGCCTGGAGGTTTTGATGGTTTTTTGTGGTTGCTCAGTACAAACGACACGAGTGTCTGCATGAGCGGGCCAATGGAAATAAGAACAACCATAAGCATCATTGTGTAGTTCGGGAGACGGTAGAGCCTTCCAACTCCAAGCCCTGCAATCAGAAAAAATGTCTCGCCCATCTTGTCACCTGAAATCCTCATTTTCTTGTTGAACAGCATCTTCTGAATCAAAGCCACGGATATCTCTATTGCAAGTAGCCATCCAACAACAAGATGAAACGGGTGCCTGTTGTTCTTCAGCCCAACAAACATCAGGCCTTTGCCTATAACTGGAAAGATCGCTGTTGCTGGCTTCAGGATCTTCATTCTGGAAAACATCGAGAATATTGCAACTCCAATGAAGTATGATACAAGCCCTGCTCGTGTTATCTTTGCCTCCTTGTAAACAACATTTGCACACAAGCCCGGCCCAAAAAACATAAGAAGCCCAGGAAGTAACAGATCCGACAGGGTTGCATCGATTCCATTCTCACATAGAGCATACGATGAGCTTATTGCACAGCCAACCGTCACCATTGGCTGCAATCTTGCAGTGCTTTGCAAAAAATACCTTGCCAATGCATCCATAAAGGGTTGTTTATCACAAACAAAATCATCATATGCTCCAATCAAACCTGAAACCACAACAATAAAAATCATCTCCAAATAAAATAAACGATTTAACGATTAGATTTTGCTATCCTCTCAATCTCCTCCTTCTTCTTGACCGCATATGAGTTCTGCGAATTCGTAGAAGCTGCAATCAACTCGTCAGCAATCACCTCGGCCAGTGTCTTCCTGTTCCTAAATGCTGCTCCACGTATCCCTGCCGCAATGTTCGCTATTGCCATGCTGATCCTCTTCAGCGATGACACATCCACAGACGTCCTCCTCATCGATCCTGCCCGTCCTATTCTTGCTGTATCCTCCCTTGGCCCAGAATTCACAATTGCATCAACCAGCACCTGCAACGGGTTCTTCCCCGTCATTGCATGTATCATAAAGCATGCGTCCTCAAACACATGTATTGCTAGCTTCTTCTTCCCGCTGTTTCTTCCATGCCTCATCAGGGAGCACACAAACCGCTCTGCAATCGGCATCTTTGCCTTCCCCATCTTGCCCTTCGTTATCTTCGTCGTTGCATGCGGAACTATCCCTTGGCGCGTCAGGTTTATGTATGGTTTTAGTGAAACATTCTCAACCTTCACCTCCTCATAGCTATACTTCTCAAAAAGCTTTATTTCTCCCATTCCCCAGGGTAATTTTTTCAATGATTTATGTAGGCGATCGCTTCCACTCAGAGTTCAGCACTGTTGCTGCTACTCCAATCAGGTGTGCACTGGGATCCAAGTTCTATGTCCTGCTGTTTTCGGACCTGTCTGCAATCTACAACGGGCATGTGCATCAGGTATGCTTTGTTGTTCCTACGCACTATCCATCCTTTGTCAGTACCATGATGGACTCAAAACCAATGCCTTTGAAAGAAAGTATCGACTGCATGTTCAATTTCGGTTCTGATGAGGACAGGCTGCGCCTTGCCGAGTATGTTGAGCGCATTCAAGACATCTATTCGCTCCGCATCGATGGCTTGGATCCCATGCCAAAGAAAACCTTGAAGAAGTTGAAAATGCAGCAGAGATGACAACGGGCTGCAATCAGGAGTGCGTATGAAGCACATTCGAACAATAAAATTAGTAAAGTTTATTTTTACAGTACAACATCTCATCTGTTCTTGTGCTGGCTACTGTGCTTTAGTTCAACTTCATCGTCTATCTTATGTGAGATCTCCATAATTCTATCGATGGACTTTTGATAGCGATCCATATCTTTAATCTCGTTTGTATCATAAAGATATTCAAGGATGTCTGCTTGTATTTGCTTCAACTCCTCAGGATCCATCATGTGTTTATGTAAATGGGCCTGCGATGTTGTATCAAATATCATCTACCGCAAAATATTTTATTGCCAATGAGCAATGTGTTGTGATACGCATTAGCTAGTGTATGTAGAATACATAGAAGTGCCTATAGCACATGCAATAATTTCAGAAGGCAGATCCCACATGGGAAGTGCAGGGACGATCAGAGTGTCTAATCTGCATCCAAAAATTAGATTTAAGGATGTGCTGGAGCTATTCGAGGTGTTTGGATGTATAACACGCTTCTGTGTGGATGGCGATGCGTTTCTGTTGAGGTTCGATGCGTTTCCAGATGCATGCCTGCTGATGAACAGTTTCCCGCTTGCTCACAGAAGGATAGTTGTTCAAGCATGCGATCAAGACTGCCAAGACAGCATCTGCGATGGAAATACAGTTGTTTTTACGGATGATATTGGGTTAGATGACGTACGCGATGAGTGCTGTATGTTTGGAGAAGTGGCTGAGGTTGTGAAGAGGGATGACGGAATACATGTTGTCTGTAAGAGTGCTATAGATGCAAGGAATGTGTTTATGAACATGTATGGGAGATACTACAATGATGAGAGAATCAGGTGCAGGGTAGTATCAGAGAAAAATGGCAATCAATAAACAGCAGTGTGTATGTATGTGTGCTATAAAAGTGTTGATCAATAGTATGCTGGTGGGCATGCTACCAAAGATGTATGCTCAGTATAATCAATGCAATGCAGACATGTAGTTTCTGCTTAGCATGATAATTTGATGCAGGATACTGATACTGAAAACGATGCACATCTTCAGAATATAGCATGTGCAGTACCAAGAAATATACTACATGCACATGTTGTATTCTGAAGATGTGCAAAAAGGAGCGCCCAGCGCGGGGCTCGAACCCGCGACCCTTAGATTAAGAGTCTAATGCTCTACCGACTGAGCTAGCCGGGCTCAGAATCAAAATGCACCACATTCACATTCCATCATTTCGCACCACATTGCTTTCTACATCTTCTCACTTACTTGTATACTCTTCTCATTCACATTTGCATATTCCTCATATCCCTTACAGTATTTATCGCTTGCCTAATCATTGCAATTCCATTATTCGTTCACAAACAAAACATTCGATTGCCTATGCTTATCCCCACATGATTCCAATTGTAATGATGCTCTGCATGCACACATTTGCAATCCGCATCGACAGTATCGACAGGTGTATGCAAAGCATAAATCTGTCCACTTACAAGGCTCTTGAATCGTTGATTTCAAAGCAGCAGTATTCTCTTCTCAGAGTTTCCGAAATCCCGAAGCCGTCGCCAAAGGCATCAAAATGCACGCTTCTTTCATGCTTGGCCGAAAAACATTCTGTGCTTGATGGCGAATATGTAAACTTATTGCATCAGACTGAGGCATATACCGGATACAATAGTAATGCATCTCAAGTCTGGGAAATGTTGTGGATGATTGCGTCCCAAGATGCTTTCCTGAAGGTTGCACTTAGCGGCATCCAGTTCTCCATCACCACACACCTGTGTGCTTTTCATAAGCATTTTTTGCGATGGTATGTTCCAAACCCATTGCTGTTCATCAAACGATTCAAAAACATATACAGGCTCAAGCTATACCTGACATACATGCTTGTAAGAAAAGCAGTTGGAGCAATCAGCATAAACATGAATAGCAGCGAGCATTCTGAAGTAAAGCTTGCTGAGATAATAAAAGCAATAGGCAGCACAGAAATAAACTGGAGCTACATGCCTGAAGATATCGATGCGACTGTACGCAGAATAGATGAAATGATAAATGCATTGGCAGGGCTTGGGTGTGAGAGGTGCAGAATATGGGGAACTGTCCAGTTCAGAGGATTACAAGTTGCATTGAAGATCATGTCCGGCGTACAAACTGTGTCTGCAAGGGAAAGAATGTTTGTTATGAATCTTTTCATGCGTTTATCAGTATCCTTGTCAAATGGCATAAAGATGCGAGAATACACATCACCACGTGCAATGAATTTGCTTCTTCATTCGAAGGAAATGGCATTGCTGGCGACGTCATATTCACTGGTGGCGTTTGCATTGAAGTTGAAGAAGCGGCTCAAAAGGGCATTCTGATGTATAGATAATATGTGATGCAGACACACAATGTAACTCTGCGAGAGACGTTATGGTTGATCTAAAATGCGCAGCTTAAGAGCAGATGGAAGAACGAGGTATAAATTTGATTGGTGTGCAGCCCTTATGGACCAGACAGTAGATTTTGAAGAAATTAAGAGGCTTATCAATGCTAACAATGTCGAAGGTCTTGAGATAGTGCTTTCTAAAGTGCAAGGCATGAGTGCGGCAGATCTGAAGAAACTGATCGGGCTAACGGAGTCGAAAAAGATACAGAGACTGATGAAAAGCAAGTATGCCGAGAATCGAGGGGATGGTGCTAAAGCACCCGCTGCAGGCGATGCCGAATCTGCGGAAGATCCATGTTTGATTCTCAAGGAAATGAGCACTGGGGATCTTCAAAAGGATAGGTCTATTAAAATGTTTTTCGATGCATTTAGAGCAAATATTCCCGAATGCAGTAGCAAGTCAGCGGCATTGCTTGCAAGGCAAATAACAACCGAAATATTTAAGAAGGAGGCGGGGGAAATAGCAAAGCTGGTAAGAAGCAAGTGCTTGAATCTCAAGGACAAGAATAACCCAACGCTATGCAGAAGGGTATATGAAGGAGAGATTCTGCCAGCAAGATATGTGGAGATGAGTGCAGACGAGATGAAAAGCGAGAGTTTGCGCAGTGAGGAGGTGAAGATGATGGAGGACAGCCTTTATGAGTGCCAGATCCCAACACAGAAGGCAGAGACAGATCTTTTCAAGTGCAATAGATGCGGTGAAAGAAAGTGCTCGTATAGACAGTTGCAAACAAGATCTGGAGACGAGCCCATGACTACGTTTGTGACATGCGAGTGTGGAAACAAGTGGAGGTTCTGCTGAGGATGTCTGCATGCAACAACCGCATCATATTAGTGAATATTTTCTAAGCAAAATAAACGGTTTAATTAGCATTCTTGTATAGTATGTCCATAATGCATTTGCATGCGCCCTGTACGCTTGCACTGTTTTCTCCAGAAACAAGAAGAATTTTACGGGTTGGTTCGCTACCAGTGATCCTTAGTGCAACATTGAAGTCTCTCTGGATCCTGTATATGTTGCAGCCGTTCTTTCCAATGACGGAGTCTTCCATTGCGCATGGAATATCAATCAGCTTGAATGTGTCTGTGTCTTTTATTTCGTTTGGCAGGTGGTTATGGATGTTACCAAGCAGTCTTTTGAAGGATGCTATGGCTGTCTGTGTGCCCTTGACCAAGATGATCATTATTCCAGGATCTTTGTTGTGCCTATCGATTCCCACTGAGATTCTTGATTCGCATGCCATTCTTTCCAGTTCCTCCCTATGCATCGAAGGAATAACGATCTCTTCCTGAGAGACGGTGTCTGGCTCAAGATATGCATTCAAGCCCAGCCTTTCGTATTTTGAGGGATTTCTGCTGAACTGGACGAGATTGTATTCTCGCTGTATTTCGGTTTTGTATTTGGAGCCAAGCATCTGTAAGAATTCAGCCGATACCAGGTGCATGTCCTCTGGCTCTGGAATTGCTTGTTCGGTGTATTTGCTGCTCATGCACAACCATGGGGTGTACTGGGATAGAGTAACTGATGAATTACACTCAAACCGTGTAGCCATTTGCATAGCAAATCATATGAAGCATAATGTAGTTACACAAGCAGCAGCATAGCTGGCAGGCCATGTGAGATAATTACACCAGGGTGGCAAGTTCTATCTGTTAACGTAGCTCCAATAGCTCAGCTGGTTAGAGCGTTGTGCTAATAACGCAAAGGTCTAGGGTTCGAATCCCTGTTGGAGCATGTCTTTTACAAGTTTTTGGTATTTTATACAGCTTATCAGCCATCTTGCAGTATCTGCCCAATAAATATGTTTCAGATCGCTTTGTACTCACTACTGATACTCCTCTAGTGATTGCTACTTCTATCCATCCTGTAAATTCCACTTTCCCATCTCTTTTTGTTGTATTTCTTCAAGCATGCCTCAAACATACTACTATCCATCCAGAAAACAGCTAAAAGACTCTTCAGCACTTTACTAGCACTCTCTGCATGCCAACACCTCTTCGATGCCCTGTAGACCGATTCAAAAACCCTCGGAATAAACTCCCTTCTGTTCTTGTGCAGAATGCCTGATGCATTTACCAGCACCATGTCTGCTGCAACCTCAATAACAAGGTAATGATCGGAGCAAAAGAACAGGCTAATCAACTCATACATCACTCCGCTCACCTCAGAATGCATCTCGGGACTCATCCATTCAATTGCATCATTCACAGCACAAGCAATCATCACCTTGCTGGCAGAGCACATATCACCAAATACCTTTCTGAAATACTTCAGCCCTAACGGCAAAACTCTTGGATATCTTCTGTGGAATGCTTTAATCACACATCCTATCTGGTTCACTCCTTGGCATCGTTGGCTTCTTGCCATTCTCAGTATTGCTTCGAAGTAAAACACATAAACCTCCTGCCATTCGTACTTCTTCTCTGACACAGCCACACTCACAATCTTGAGCAGATCATCAATCCCAGTGTGCACACGGATACCTTCAATAAAGCTTGTGATCTCGTTAAAAATGGCCGTTTTGACTGCTGCCGCATGTGTTGAGCACATACAAACACCAAGAAGTACCTGGCAAATATACATCCGTTCCTTGGGATCATCAGACCTCATCATTCCAACCAGCCCATATATATCGTTTGCATCAAACGTTGCCTCCACATCCTTTCTGGATGCCTTTGCTATCGTTGCAATGATGAGCCTAAGAGATACTTTCGACAGGAAAGATCCATCCTTTGCACCATCTGCATCCAGCAAGCCGTCCATAATGTCTGCATCGATTTCACCGAGCACCGCTCCATTACTTCTTGCTAAGCCAGCCTCGCCCACCAGATCAATCGATCTCGGAAGCGTTCTCAGCACATTTCCCAGACACACTCTAGCAACACATTTGAATAAACTGGGCGTCACCTCCACAGATCCATCATTCACCCTATCAAGCACATTCTCAAGTCCTGTGGACGTTATCCACTCAAACACCCGCTGTTCATCACATGCATCAAAATAACACGAAGACCCGCTAGTCATGCCTCTCATGCATTAGTGCGCTATTACCAACTAATGCATAGCATCAACAAACACCACTCACTGCATTAGTATCTCATGCAAATATGACAATTGCACAGCTCAAATATTTATTTATGATCTACACAAAACAGTCCCTTAGAATATGGAAGTCACCAGCGATAGCATAAAGAGCCAGGCATGGCATTTGAAAAGCAAGGAGGACGGCGCAGTAGAAAAGCCGTCGGCTTCAAATTCAATATATTACTCCTCTGTGGCGGCCTCGCTGTCATCGATGCTATTTGGAGTGTCGCTGACCATAATGGGCTCGATGCATCCGCAAGTCATGTCTGTGTGGAGCTCAACAATGAACGATGCAGAAATGGATGCAAAGTGGGGACACACATCCGGTGCTATTTTCCTTGGATGCCTTGTTTCAAACATCGCAGTAAACATGTACAAGCCAAACTTCAAGAAGACACTGAAGATGAACAATGCCCTGTATGCACTCGGATACCTGTGCTTCCTTGTATCCCAGAGCTTCGTGTCAATTTTTCTTGGACGATTTGTGCTAGGGCTTGCATCGGGAATAGCATGTGCTGTTGTTTCGCCCTACATCTCAATGATAGCACCCGAAAAAAACAGAGGATTTCTACTGTCGTTCCACCCTCTTGGAATCATTGTGGGAATAACGCTTGGAAATATTCTTGCATGTATAAATGGGCCGTATACGTGGTGGATCCCTTGCTGGATAGCCATTATAATGGTCTCCCTCAACTTTATTGGGCTCAATAACGTACGAGACCCGCGTCTGAGCAGGAACGAGGGCTCTAAGTCCGTAATAGATCTCCTTAAGAAGAGATGCGCAAAGAGATCGATATTCCTTGCTGTTCTTGTGCACATATCGCAGCATCTCAGTGGCGTGGATTACATAACTCTCTTCCTCAAAGACCTGCTTTCTAATGGCAAATACATGTATTCTGCAGATACCATGACGATCCTGGCCTCGCTCTTTTCCGTATTCACCACAATGATATTTGCAAACTACGTAGACAAAATCGGACGAAAGCCGCTGATCATCATCAGCTCAATGGTGATAAGCATATCAACAGCAATGCTCACAATGAAGATATATCCAGCAGCAGCAGCGCTTCTGTTCATGCTGGGATACAACCTTGGAATGAGCTCAATCCCATGGTTCATAACTGCAGAGATCTTCCCGTTGAATTACTCAAGCCCTGCTGGCCTATTAGCAGTGTCTTTGAACTGGATATCTGCATATGGAATCCTTGCAATCTTCTATCCACTGCACAAGGCACATGGAGAAATTGTGTTTTCGTTCTACACCGTATGCATGCTGGTGTTTATTGGGTTGATCATTTGTTTCTTCAAGGAAACAAGGAACAGAACACCTGATTTCCAATAAACGCGACTATATTATCCTAGTTTGTTTGCTCCCAGATCCATCCTTGGTCATGCAGCAGCTGATATGCTTTTTCAGCATCGGCAGGATTCTGAAAGATTGCTCCAAGGTCTTTGCTGGAAAGTCTTGTTTTGCTGAGCAGATGGCCAATGGCGATTGCCTTAGAGTCGATGTACTTGCCAAATGATATTCCTGTGGATTTGCAGAGTTTCTTTTCATTCTCACTAAGGAATCCATCTCTCGAAAGCTGCCCGTTAGCAGGTGCAATGCATTTTAATGCATCAGACACATCTATGCTATGATGCCTGCCTAGCATGGATTGCTTCATCAGCATTCTATATAGATGCTTCTCAATGTAAATACCATTGAAAAACGTGTTAAAGTCCGACCTTGTCATGTAAGGTGCAATACATTTGATCCCATGCATATTCATTTGGTTTGCTATACTTTCGCTTTTCTTGATGTGCATCACATCCACCATTGCTTTTTCAAGTATTGCATATTTCCATCGCCTCCTGAACATCACTATCTTTACATACGAATCAAGCATTGCCTCTGTAAGCATTGTCCCTGACTTACTGTCTGTTCTGAGATTCATCATGATGGCTTCTTGATCATTCAGATACTCAACATCAAAGTCTTTTCTAAGCGGCATGTAAGAAGACACGCATCCTCTGTATGGATTGCTCTGCTTGCATCGAGTATGCTGGCATCTCTCATCATCATGTATTCCAAGCAACTTATAGAAATGCTGCTTTACGTCTTTACGTCCGCCAACATGGCTTTCAATCTCTGCCCAGTTTCCTATTCCAAATGCCTCAAGTCCTTCAATAAACAACGCCTCTTCCAACAGCGTCCATCCGCTTCCATCAACTTGCTTATACAGCTGAGAAACCGTTCTGTAATGATGGTACTTGCTATGGTGCATGGTTTCTGTCTGGCTTGCAAAGCAATGCATGCACAGGTCTGTTGCGCATTCGCAGCATCTTATGTGCCGTGTACATGTCATGTATGAAAAGCAGTTGTCGCACAGAATAGCCACTCCAACAGGATTTTCAGTGTGAAGCAATGCCATGGGAGGTTTTTGTGCATATCTTTTGCATATGCCTGATGAATAGGCTCAGCGCATTACATAATTGCATTTGAATAAATGCTGTGTATATGCAGTCGATCTGTGCCGTAAGCACGATAAGCATTTGTGCAGATACGATATGCATGGCTCTAGAGCTGGAATAGCAGTGGCAGCATGCCCTGGAATATACCGATGGACCTTGATGCGGTGCCTGATGAGGAGCTTGAGAATGTGGTGCTGAAGTATATTGACTGTCCATACTTTAAAAACAACCCGCTGTATATTTCGCTTTGGGAGCGCTACTACAGCATTTGCAAAAGCCCGGCAGTGCTTTTTTTGATGAGGTATAAAAAAATATCGCAGTACTATCACTGGATCTATCTTGAACTCTCGAGGTATTTCAAAAGCACAGGAAGGAGCTGGATGTGTAGACATGTGATTCTAATGGGAATGCATTGCAATGCACATGACGCGAGCGTTCTGCAGAAGGAGATGGACAGTGTGCCTGAGGATGACTGCAGGCATTCTGAGAACGATATAAATGCACTGATGAACCCAAAAGGGTTTTTTGTGTTTGGAAAGGCTTGGAATGCATATGAAGAGAGGCTGTCGTACAATAGAATGCTTTTTACCTGTGGAGAGGAGGAAATGTCTTTTGAGGAGTTCAGGGCACGTGCACATATCCGTAATGAAGAGCGTGCACAGATTGAATTAGAGGATGGATGGGTGCATTTTGGATATGCTTGCAATGAGGATGAGAGAAAAGATGGAGTGGCAGTGTCTGACCTGCAAATGAGCATAGGGCATGTTGATGCAAAAGTGGATTTACAGGTGGGAAGCACACTGGTTGTTGAAGGCTGTGCCTACTATATCAAAAGCATGGTGAATAAATATGCATATGAAGTTGTGTGCTTGCATAAAGATGCAGCACATGTGTTGCAGATGAACAAGACAGCATATGTTCTTCAGGAGGTATTTGGGCCGGAAATATCTGCCATCCGTGAGATTGTATTCGAATATGCTCCCGTGATTTCAATCAAAAGCATGGATGATAGATATTTTGCTGTATATGAGCGGTGTTTTGGAACATTGAAGACATGTCTTGATGTGCTATGGAACACATATCCATCTGTGGTTGTGTACCATGCACATCAGGTTATTGAGATGCTGAAGAAGCTTGCGGAAACGGGGAAGACGTTTTTGGGGTTTTCGTTGGAAAGCGTGCAAGTGTCAGCAAGATACACACTTGAAATAGTAGATTTTAAAATGCAGGATATTGGTGATGCACCGAGTGGCATTGATGCCTTGTGGAAGAATGCAGCAATTGAACTACTACAGATGTATGGGCATGGTCATCTGTGCACAGACGAATCTGAAATTGGGCATAGAATACAAGAATGTGTTGGAAAGATGGATGTTTTACGCATGATAAGAAAGTGTAAGATCCTTTTGCATGAAAGGAGTATGTCTATGCATGATGGCTGAATAATGATATCGGATGGAATAAGGATGTGAAGCGATGCATGCCTGATGTGTTTGAGAGCTTTGAATGAACCCTTGATGTCTTTGTATGGATACTACTTACCAATAGAAGAGCACAGGGATAGGATAGTTGATGTGGTTGGGAGATCGAAGGTATGTGTGATCAAAGGGCCGACTGGATGTGGCAAGTCAACATATATTCCGTATTTGCTGTCGTCGGAAGGAGGAAGGATAGCGATAGTTGAGCCGCGAAGGATGGCCGTTATGTCGCTGTACAGGACACTGTCTGATGTGATGGGGAATGTTGGATACAAGATGCGGTTTAGCAAACATGGACTGAGGAATGCAAGAACAGTGATATATACCGACGGAAGCTTTCTGAACGAGATGGACAGACACGAGTTTGACTATGTGATTATTGATGAGGTGCATGAGCGATCGATCCGAACAGATGTTGTTCTTGGGCTGATAAAGAGCATGCTTGGCAGGATGAATGGAAAGATCATACTGATGAGTGCGACTGTTGATGTGAAGAAGATATGCAGGTATTTTGATGCAAACGTGCTGGAGATATCCGGAACGCCATATCCGGTTAGAATTGAATATTTGCAAGAAAGCACAAGCGACTATTTAGTGGAGGCGTATTGCAGGATTAAGAAGATAGTAAGCGGATGCCATGGCACAGAAGATGCGAATGGCAGAGATATTCTGGTATTTCTACCTGGCGAAGAGGATATCAATGAGCTGTATGCGATGCTGAGAAGGATTCCTGTTGTGAAGGCCTACAAGGTGTTTTCGGCACTTGGAGACCATGAGCAGAGCAGGATATATGAGGCGTCGAAGCTGAGGAAGGTTATTCTATCAACAAACATATGCGAGGTATCGTTAACAATACCCGGTGTTGGATATGTGATTGACACAGGGCTTGCGAAAGTGAAGATCTACGATGCGATGAACTATTTTGGAATTCAGGCAGTATCGAAAGAGTCAGCAAACCAAAGATTGGGAAGATGCAACAGGACGGGGCCTGGGGTTTGCTACAGGCTATACACAGAAAGTGCATATGAAGAAATGCCGAATCAGCAGATGCCTGAGATATGCAGGTCTGATCTGTCTCAGGTAGTCTTGCAGCTTTTGAGCCATGGCAAGAGCCCGCTGACGTTTGAGTTTCTAGACTATCCGACATGTGAAAACATTGTGAATGCAATTAAGTTTCTTGCTGGCAAGCGATGCATTGAAATTGATGGGATAGCGAATGAAGATGTTTCTGGAATAAGGATGAGAGCCACGGGGTATGGTAGGACTGTGCTGAGGCATCCTTTTGATACACATCTGGCACACTTCTACCAGCAGACGATTGATAATGGTGTTGGATATTTTGGATCGATTGTTGTTTCGTTGGCAAGCCAAGAAGGATACAGCTTTTTGAAGTGCAAGGATATTGACTGCAGCAGTGACCTGGAGTTTCTTATCAAACTGTTTGAGGGATATGCTGATAGCGAAGATAAGAAGCAATATTGTGTGAAGCACGGGGTGTCTGTGAAATGCATGGAGGTTGCAAAGCAAACATTTGGATCGTTAAGAAGATGCAAGGATGGAGACATCGGCATGCTTGAGAAGGTTTTTAGCCATTCGTATCAGCACAATACATGTGAAAGAATGGGGGATGGAAGCTACAGACATGCTAGCAGCGGCGAGATTGTGTGGATCCATCCAGACAGTCGGTTTTTTAAACGTAGAGATCGGTTTGTTGTGTTTGTGGATGTTTTCTACACATCTAAGGCATATGCAAGGATAGTTGGTAGGTATTTCTCAAACAGCTCATCTGTGATCAGATAGGAATATCGGAATGGAATAAGAAATATGGGACTATTTCATAAAGCAGAAAATAAGCATCTGAATGTTTAATAAAGAAACTCATAGTATTTGTTGTAGTTTTTTGGGAAAGACACTCCGTTTCCTGGCGTTGAGTATGTCGGCATGAGCCAATGCATGATGCTGTTGCCAAAGACCTGCCTCCAGTTTTGGCTGAATCCCAGGTTGTATGGGTTCAGAACCTGCCTATCTGTGCTTGTTGATAGCGATGTTATTGGGCCCTCTTGGAAAATGTGTCCAAAGGTGTGATCACCGTTGATGTAGTCATCAATGACATAATGCTCTATTGTAGTCTCGTTCGTTCCTATCAGCCACGTGTGGAATATCAACAGTGCAGATGTGAATACAAACTCAACAGATGTTAGGCTAAGTAGAACAATATAGTTGGCTATTCGTTTGGATGCCATCCACTCGGCCGTCATCATATACACAGACACAAAGATCATCAGAAACAAGCATGTCACCAGGTTCATGAATAAAAACTGATAGAAAAACTTGTAGTTATGAAGCCCGATGCATACGCCAAGCATCAGGCAGTGATGGTCATATTTAAGATAGCATCGCTTGCATGCATTACAATGGTGAGCTCTTGGCGGCTTGTATGTCTTGCATTTGCCGCACAACTTGATTCGAGAAAGATTGTCTTTCATTATCCTCTCCTCAACAAAACTGTTTATGTTTCTGATCTCAATGTTGCTGCCATCGCATGGAAGATCTGGGAAAATGTCTAATGTGCTTTTGTCGTCAGTGGCCAGCAGAAGGATGTAGAACATTGATTTATACGCCAGAAGAAGGTGATATACAATGTATGCAATAAGTATTGTCCACGAAAGCATACCGTTCTCCTCCATGCATAGCAACCCAATAAACACAAAGTATTGATACAACTCAAGAACAGGATAGATCACAAAAGCAACCGCTTTTAGTGCGCCACTCACAAGCTTCCTTGCTGGCATAAACATTCAGGTCCTAGTGCAAAGCATAATATATTTCCACATCCATAATTAAACAGTATCCTAAGTATGGACACTCTGATAAAGTAAAGACAAATTCAAATCGAATATAACTTCATTAGGATTGGACACACAGATGCTCTATGTCACTTTAGAAGGCAAAACCTCCAGATTCATCTCTGTAAACAAATCCAGATATACAAATGGCCCAAGCATTCACATCGTTCTCTATACTCACTACACTTCGATGTGCTCAAGTAAGCAAGCCAGTCGACGGGCCAATAATTTGCTTATAGCATGCTATCTCCTCAATCAATCGCTTATCTTCTTCTCATTTATCTTTGGGTTTTGTAGCTTCAGCTTTGCAATTGCAATTGCCTTGTAATCAAATGTGCATTCATGCTGATCATGGAACCTATGGCTTGCACAGTACACATTTCCACATCTACAACCATAGTTGTTTGTTAGTTTCAGCTTCTTGCTGCATTTTCTGCATATTAGCTCTGCAGCCTCCTCCTTTGACGTGCTTTCCAGAACACACTTCTTCTTCGGCAAACCGATCGGCGCAATCTTTCTTTTTCTATGATGGCATGCAACATCAGCTCGATCATCCGTCAGCATCCTTGCATCCTCCTTCTTCTTATCATCCTCGTTTCTTATCTCGTCCTCAATCCTCTTCACATTCTCCATCTTCATCAAACCCCCATGAACACATTTTTTTAAAGTTTGCATTCCCAATGCATCCGCCCAAAATGGCTTGCCAGCACAAAACAGTCAGGCGCATCGAGGCCATGGCAAAACAGTTTTCATGGGAGCAGGAATACAAGAGGACATGGGAAGATAGCCCGCAGAGTAAAATCAACGAGGCCAGTATGGAAGCAGACGCTTCGTACAGCAACAACAGAAAGGGAATAATAAGGCACCTGCACATTGTTGTGGATGTTTCCGAAGCCATCGACAAGCTCGACTTTCTTCCTTCATTTAGAGCAAGCATAGCAAAGGCACTTGCAGAGTTTGTTCCCTCGTTCTACACCGAAAATCCTCTTTCTGTGCTGTCGTTTCTTAGTGTGCGTGATGTTTGTGTAAAGTATGTTAGTAGTGTAGATATAGACATTCATTCGTTTCTTGGGCAGGCAGGATGCAAGTGGTTTTCGTTACTCAATGGGCTTGAAGGATCTGTTGAGATCATGAAAAACTCGGCATATGTCAAGGAGATTCTGGTGATAGTTGCCAGTACATCAACCAGGGATCCTCATGGATACACAGAGGTGCTTTCGAAGCTGAAGGCACACAGCATAAAGGTGCATTTCATAAGTTTGTGTGGAGAGGTTACTCTGTACAAGTCAATATCAAGAGCAACGGAAGGTGGGTTCTATGTTCCAATCGACATGAACCACTTTTCAGCAATCATGGCAAAGCTGCATCATCCGTCAGACTTCAACGGAACTAAGCTAAGCCTGGCGAAAATAGGGTTTCCATTAACTCTAGAAGAGCCCGGCGTATGTGCTTGCCACCTGGAGATGAAGATGTTTGGATACGAATGCCCGGTCTGCAACACAATGGTATGCTCATTGCCGATGCACTGCCCCATATGCAGCACACCGCTTGTGTCCACATTGAGTCTGTCTAAGTCGCTGAGATTTTTGTATCCACTGAAGCCGTTTGTCTGTGCAAGCAATGGAGTATGCAGTATCTGTGGGCTTGTATGTGAGTGGATGTGCGAGGGATGTAGAAATATGTTTTGCAAGGAATGCAACAGCTTTATTCATGGCACATTGAGTTTCTGTGTATACTGCGATGAACCATACAATTAAATAGATATTGCCCAAACAGCAAGTGTGTATCGGTGATTTGATTATACGGCAGACAGCTATAATATGTAGCGACAGCTTACCTGATGGAAAAGATCAGTCACTCAGATACCAACTGTGATCGTCTGTGGAGTCTCCAATTCCATTAGCTATGTCTTGCTGATCTATGCAGCCATATGCCCAGTTGATTTTGTTCCACAAATCGATTTCTTTGACAAGCTCGCAGCCAAGTATTTTGACTGAAGACTCGATGATTGCCTGCCTGTGCTGGTAGATGTGGTGCTGCACATTGATTCTGCGGATGAAGCTTATATCGAAAACGCTTGGAAAGAGCTTTCGAAGAATGCGGAATCCTGAAGACGAGGTCGTGATGTATTTGATTGATACAGCCTTGAGATATGTATTGCATCCCTGTGCATTGACTCTGCAGAAGAGCATGCTGTCATCCTTGTGAACAAAGCCTTTTGGAAAGCTAATACGCACAGGAGACGAAAAATAAATGCAGCCGTTACTAGAAGGCAGTCCCGAGCGACTGGACATATATGCCACTATGTGATAGCGGTCTGTTTTGAATATCTGCTCGTGCATTACTCGATTACGTGCATAATCAGAGGCATATTAATTCTTTTGTGCATAAGCAGTGCATCATAGGCAGTTCATTGCTTCATGCTGTACTTGGCCTGTGCGTAATAGATACTCACATAGCGAATACAGTGCCCCAGTAATAACCCATGAATGAGAACAGGAAGCTGAAGAAACTGCTGGCAGAGCGCCATGAATATGTTAGGTGCGAAATAGAAGGCGGTAGGCTTGAGAATGTTATTTCGCTGATGGATTCACTTTCTGCAGCATTCAAGCTGCCAAGAACCGAATATGATAGATCTGAATGTACGCCTTACAGCAACGAGGTGTCAGACAGATACTGCCTTGATGAGTATGTCAATGCATCATTTGTTCCTACTGCTGGAACATTGTTTATAGCTGCACAGAATCCATTGGATGAGAAAAAACATGTCTTTATAGACCTACTGATGAAATCAAACACAAGGCTGGTCGTGTCGTTGATAAATGATGCAAAGTACTTTGATGAGGAATGGCTGCAGGAACGAAAGACAATTGAGCTTGAAGGCAAGGAGGTATTCGTTGACGAGGTGTATGTGATCAAAAACACATCGATAAGGAGGCTGAGATACATAAACTGGGTGGACTTTTCAGTCCTGCCGCCCAATGAGATGGATTTTTTTCATAGGTACTTTGATGCAATACGCACCGAAACTGTCCTTGTGCATTGCATTGCAGGAGTAGGAAGAACAGGGACATTCATCATGTATGACATTTTGAAGAAGACAGAGGCACTCACATTAGACATATTCATAAGCACATTCATATGCCTCAGAAGTCTTCGTGCACATCTGGTAACCAACAAAGTTCAGCTTGAGTTTCTCAGAAATGTCTTTCTGGCCAACAATCGCAACCATGATGCAAAAAAAGCCAATCCAAAGCCACAACAAACATCATTTAATTCCCCTTGAGAACCAACACATCTTCAATGTATGATGTACAGACAGCATCGTCAGTCTCAGCCCTCATCTTTTCGTTCAGCACAACAGGCGTCGTATGTGTCTGAATTGACGAGAGTCTTCGAGGCTCTCCAACCATACCAACCGTATTCACTGGAAGCCCCACTCGAACCCCAATCTTTTCAGAGCAAACAACATATTTCTGTGTACATGCCTGGCAAATCAAAAAGAACAGATATGTGTGGGAAGATACCAGAGGGCTGCTTGATGAGTCGAGGAACATAAACACCGTTGAGAACAATCCTATTAAACTCTTCGAAACAGGCGTTGTCTTATCAAAATGCAACGGAGATATGCTCAGCATTCCCTTTCCAAGCGATAAGAGCCCTTGTGCAATCTTAAGGATCGCAAGGATCTTTGAATCTTTATAATAGTACGAATACTGCTGCTCAAAGATCTTCGTTATTCGGCCGTTCATTGTGCCTGCTCCAATGAGCCCAAGTGAAAGTATCGTGGAAATCACACAGTTCGTCTCACCGATGTTCAGGAACTTCTCGAGCAGATCAAGAACATGACCCTGCGGATTGGATGGATACAAAACACTGTAGCACAGCGGAAGAACATTCCTCAGATGCGACGAATCCAGGAGTAGCGAAGATGATATTATCCCAGTGACCGACTGACTAGAAATCTCATCTCCCGCAGATACAAGAGCACAGCTCAGGAGCCCAAGCGACTCAAGCAGTGCATCTGTGTCGCCAGTAAATGAATCTGTCAGGATCGATTCAATCACACCGGAATCTCCACTGTATGCATGCTGGAATCCTCTGACCAGCACTGCTGCATGCTTGCTCAGCGGGCAATCTATCTCAACCACTCCGCATTCAACATCCTTCCTGCCATAGAACAGAAACGCAAGCCCAAGCATCAGGAATTTGAAAAACTGTGTCTCAGACTCCTTGCTCTTTTCTACAAACACCTGCAGCATCAAAGACGTAAGCTCCTCGTCTGCACTTCCACAGAACACACTGCCAAGTACAAATGCTGTAAAAAACACAACCTCACTGCTATCAGAAAACATCAGCGGCTGTAGAATCTCACGCACTTCCTCAGACCCTGTTCCGCAATACATCGACTCTATCCCAAGCAGTGTTGCAAGTATATGCGCACATCCTTGCTGCTGCAGGTTTCCTTGCAGAAGCGTAAGAATCGCAGGCCACTCTTCAAAGTTTCTGTTGCCAGATAGTGCAAGCCCTAGCAAGCTCCCCGTCTTCCTGTATGATCCGTCGCAGAAAATGTGCTCCTGTAGAACCTCCATTACCTTTTCGGAATTCCACGACTCAATCACCCCAATCGATCCAAACACACAAATCAGCTCAGACTGGTTTCCACCAAGAATCGTCTTGTAATCCAGAGGAACCCGGATGTCGTCTTCCTGTGGCAAAAACATCGGATCTCGCCCATATCCCATGTGGATAAACCCATTTGCCATCGCAACAGACGCAAGCTGCTTGCTGTCCTTGTCAGGCTTAAACCCTCTCAATATAGACTCTATCTTGCTTGGCCTGTCCATCTCCAGCTCTGCCACAACACTCCTATACAAGTCCCTCACATGACTGTTCGACATAATATACCTTTCCTCTGCATCATCACTGTCGTAGTACAGATTACATCTTGCAAGCATATACAGGCACTGCTTCTTATACTCCCCCTTGCTCATTTCCCTCACATAACCAATTGCATCGCTTGTCCTGTGATGCCTCAGCATCCATACAACATGTCTTGTACAATCACCCATCTTCACATATATTCCAGCAAGGACTGCTTCAAGATCCACAAACAAGCTCATCTCCTCAAGATACAACACCACCCTTCTGTAATTGTGCTCGTCAACATAGTTCTCAACCAGCCCAATCCAATCTATCTCTACCAGAAAATCAATCGCTTCAAACTCGGCATTGTGCCTGAACAGAAACTCCACACACTTCAGGCTCACCTCCCTTGCCTCCTCAAACACAAAATCCATCTTCCCACTCTTGGCATTCAGAATGCACTCAACAAGCTTCCTTACATAAAAGTGTCCCCACTCCTCAAGATCAATCACATTCCCTTCCACACGGTACCTCAAAAGCTTCCTCTCGTCATCTATAACGCATATCGCACTGATTATATCGCACATCTTCCTTCGCCTCTCTCCACTCATCCCTTTGCACACATCCTCAAACATCATTAGGCTATCTGCAAGGTGCTGGAAACTCACCACATCCACAGATCTCGAATGCGACGACTTTGCTATTCCAAGCAGCATCCCAATCGCATTCTCTTGTATCTCCTCATCGCTGTCTCGTATCCTGTTGGCTATCATCCCCAAGTCTTCATCCATTTCAGGGGTTTGTTTTTCAGCAATTCTTCACAATACACCTTACGCTTTATGCACAACACACCTTAAATCTTATCTTATACACAATATACAATGCACCATCCTTCGGTCTTCCATCACATATCACATAGAAAACTCTCTCCAAATATCATCGCCACGCCCTCAATGCATGCAAATGCTCTACTTCTGTTCATAGCTTCATCCATGAGTATCGCCATGCTTTCTTTCAAGAATCTCTATCCCCTCATCAATCACACTTTCAATATGGCTCATCATGTGGTGCTTCGGTGCATGCTTTATCAGAACAATACTCTCGAAGAAGCTCATGTCCACCATCCTAAACACAACAATCGGGCTTTCATTCCCATCCAGCGAGCATCGGATCCTCTTCAAATGCACAATCTCCCCAGCAAAGTACAGCTTTGGGTGCATTTTGGTTGTGCCAAGGTGCTCAACTACCACATCAATGTCCTTCTCAATGCTCTTACCAAAATCAAACGGCCCATACCTTTTGCCTATCGAGCAGCACAGGAACTTCAGGTCAAGAATGCTTCCAAAGCTCATCCTCGGAATAATATCATTTCCGTAGTTTATCACCGCAATCCCGTCTGTGTATCTGCTTGCTATCTCCTCAGACACAACCGGCGGCGCAGAAAACCCTATTGCCTCCACATTCACTCCAGGCAGCAGCTTCTTCTCCTCTACAATTATCTTCGTCATCACCGAAATCGCTCCCCCAAGCGAATGCCCAGATAGCAAAAGCCTGCTGCAACTCATCGCTTCCAGCATCTGCCTGATTGCATCAATGTGGTTGTTGATAAACAGCATCGAGAGTCTTAGAAATCCGTTATGTGCAAACCCATCACTAAACCTTGTATATTCGCAGTTTATATCTTCTATTGCATCCTCAGAATTCGTCGTCCCCTTGAACGAAACCACCATCCTCCTGTGCTCTCTGTCGTAGAATACAACATGCTGCACCACCTCAGATGCATCCAGGCACACCTTCAGCAGATCAGAATCTTCTATCGCAAGAATCCTCAGCACAGCTCTTCGGTCGCCTTGGATGCTCTTGTCAACCTGTGCCTGAGGCTTCAAAAACATTCCTGGCCAACTAATTGCATAGGAACACACCGTAAAGTACAGCAGCCTCTTCATTCCACGCAGAATCGCCATGTCGCATATAGTGTATCCATTACTAGAGAGAATCCTTGACATACGCATTGGTTCATCTTCGCCATCCCCATCCAGCCTTATCTTGAACAGCACGCTTCTTCGGCATGCATTGCCACAGTTATCAGACGAGTTATTCGCACTCTCAATGTAGAACGGTTCAAAAAGCTTTGGAAGACTCTCCTCATTCTTCTCAAGAACCAGGTCGACATCCTTGGCGAACCTTGCATTCATGTCAGACATCGATCTTTCAACAAGAATCCCTCCAAAAAAAATACTTATCTTACAGCTATTGCTTCCGCTGTTGATATAATCCATCAGCTTCTTGATGCTAATAATTGCTCCAGCCTTGTCATCGCTCAGGAAGTATTCAAACATCTTCTTAACAAATCCATCGCCACTTGACTCGCTGCACAGCTCATTGCTTTCGCATATCCGTCTTGAGAACCAATACCTTACTGTTCCAACAACCTCTCTTTTATACACATCGTAGCTATTTACCTTGTCATAGTACCTCCCATGCAGTATATCCGATGTATGCTCGCATCCCTCCTCGCTGTGTTTCAGAAACGAATTGCTCAGCAAAACAACCCCATTGCAAACATCCCACGGAAACGACTTCTTCATCAGCATGATCCTGCTTTCTCCAATTATAGTGTCGTGGAATTTCTTGAAAACCATTGTTATGCTCTTCTCAACAACAACCTCCTTATCATCATATGCCAGCAACAGAAAGTCATATGTGTCCTTGGATACCTCAATGCTTGTGATGTTTAGGTCAATCTCCATCCTACTGCTGCTCAGGGTCGTCAATCCTTAATTTGTTTGCACTCCCCATCTATCAAAACAAAAAGCGCCTTGATTCCATGCATCACCAGAAATCACTCATTCTTCTTGCATAAACACCATCCCTGAATAGCGGCAACCATTCACTTCTTTCAAGCACCGTCAGTAAACTACTGGCACTTAAACATATTAAGACATTCAAATAATAAGAATCGTTTAATAGCTAAAAGCTCAGGGTTGTAAACAGAAACTTAGCCTTGTTCTCCTTCAATGCGCTTATCATCACATCCTTCGTCCTCTCAGTAAGCACCTTCTTGGTCTCCTCACTTTCGCCAATCCCATTGTAGTCTGCCGCACTCAGCCCTATGTCTGCTTTGTATCTTGTTGCTATCAAATGCTTGATATTGTACTTCTTCAGTATAACATAGAGCTTTGCATTCCTTCTCTTCATCCATTTAGGCTCGTGATCCTCAGACTCCTTGGGAATTCTAACAACGCACGCCGTCAGCACATACTTTCCCTCAAGGTGCTTTATAATCACAGCCTTCTTGCCTGCATTCTTCCCCTTCGTCACTACAACAATCATGTTCGGTACAAAGATCATCCCGGGGCAATTTTTTTCATTCTACATATCCCAGCTCCATGGACAGAATAGATCTTGTTGCTGCTATGGATGAAAGCATAGAGAAGGTCCTCGAAAACTTTACAGAGGCGATCCGGTACCTCAAGGTGCGTGGCCTTGGGCGGTGCGATGAAATGCACAGCCTGGTATTCGCTAATCGTAGGATTGCAGATTTGACTGACTCTGCATTCGAAATATACCACTACCTCATACGCCTCAAGTATCTACAAGCAGGCATGAAGCCACAGAAGCAGAAAACAGCCTCGGGGACTAGAAGAGAGCGGTTCAGAATGCTCTTCAAGCAGTTTGACTCAAACATTGGGCTGAAATAACACATGAATAATACAGTGATGCTGTACATTACTCTCTGCCATCGCTTTGAAAGCATTACTGATGCATATAACTGTTCAAGATCACCAGATACTCACCGGCATATGGCTGTGTGCACGCCTTATGATTTTACATTATTAATGTGATGTATATGTATATCCAATAAACTTATAGAGATGGTTTCTGGCTTCCGGCTCATGTTGCCATGCACATGCTGTATGCCGCATTCGGTAAACTTTGTTGTATGCTTTATGCCCGCACTCATATGCTCTTCTCTTCAGCCCGATACACAAAAAAGGGCATTTGCACATCCTTCAAAACAGATGAAAAGCATCGAGGAAACCTATCAGAAAAAAACGCCGGTCGAGCACATCCTGTTGCGACCAGACACATACATTGGATCTGTGGAGAAGGAGACCCAGCAGATGTATGTGTGGGATGATAGCAGCAAGTCGATGGCTCTGAAGACGATTGAGTATGTTCCTGGGCTGTACAAGATATTTGACGAGATAATAGTGAATGCAGCCGACAACAAAATCAGAGATCCCAGGATGAACACAATCAAGGTCACGATCGATGTGGAGGAAAACACAATATCTGTGTATAACAATGGAAAAGGCATTCCCATAAGGATCCACAAGGAGGAGAATGTGTATGTGCCCGAGCTGATATTTGGAAATCTCCTGACGTCCTCGAACTACAATGATGATGAAAAGAAGGTAACGGGGGGAAGAAATGGATATGGGGCAAAGCTGTGCAATATATTCAGCAAGGAGTTTATTGTTGAGACTTCTGATGCGGAGGTGAAGAAGTACTACAGGCAAGTGTACAGAAACAACATGGGAGTGAAGGAAGAGCCTGAAATAAGCAGGTACACAAGCGGGGACTTTACGAAGATCACATTCAAACCCGACCTGAAGCGGTTCAAGATGGATAGGCTGGATGACGGCATGGTCAGCTTGCTTAAGAAGAGGGTGTATGATCTGGGAGGAATTGTGAAGAATGTGAGCATCTTCCTGAACGAGGAGAAGATTGATGTCAAGGGATTCAAATCGTATGTGAAGCTGTATCTGCCGCCAGATGCCGATGTGGTACACCAGGTGATCAACGACCGCTGGGAGTTGGCGTTTACCACAAGCGAAGACCAGTTTCAGCAGGTTTCGTTTGTGAATGGAATATGCACGACGAAGGGAGGAAGCCATGTGAACCATGTTGTTGAAAGACTTGTGGAGCCGATTATCGAGAGCATTCTGAAGAAGGAGAAGGGTCTTGTTATTAAGCCGTTTTTGGTGAAGTCGTCGATGTTTTTGTTTATCAACTGCCTTATTGAGAATCCGGCGTTTGATTCGCAGACGAAGGAGAACCTTACTCTGAGGGTTGGTGCATTTGGATCTAAATGCGAGCCGATGTCTGAGTTTGTGAAGAGTATCATGAGGGGCACTGGTATTCTGGAGAGGATCACGTCGTTTGCAAGGGCCAAGCAGAGCCAGCAGCTGAAGAAGAGCGATGGAACGAAGACATCGAGGCTTTCGGGGATTCCAAAGCTTGAGGATGCGAATCTTGCAGGGACGAACAGGTCGAAGGAATGCACGCTGATTTTGACCGAAGGAGACTCGGCAAAGACATTGGCTGTTGCAGGGCTGGGCATTGTTGGGAGAGACATATACGGGGTGTTTCCATTGAGAGGAAAGATGTTGAATGTGCGAGAGGCATCACACAGGCAGATAATGGAGAATGCGGAGATCTCAAGCATAAAGAAGATTCTTGGGCTGCAGCACAACAAGGTGTATGAGGATGTGAGCAGCCTGAGGTATGGGCATGTCATGATAATGACGGATCAGGACCATGACGGAAGCCACATCAAAGGGCTTATAATCAACTTTATGGACCACTTCTATCCATCGTTGCTAAAGATCTCTGGGTTTCTGCTTGAGTTTATTACGCCGATTATCCGAGCAAGCAAGAGAGGAGTAGTGAGGGATTTTTTTACGTTGCCGGAGTATGAGGAGTTTAAGAGGGTTGAGGAAGGATGGGATGTGAAGTATTACAAAGGGCTCGGAACCTCGACGAGTGCGGATGCAAAGCAGTATTTTAGCAACTTGTCTGTGCATGTGAAGTCGTTTATGCCTCTTGTTGACGATGATAAAGAATCGATTGACTTAGCATTTAACAAGAAGAAGGCGGATGCAAGGAAGGCATGGCTGTTTAATTATGCGCCTGGCACGTTTCTTGACCAATCGAAGATACAGATATCGATATCTGATTTTGTGAACAGAGAGCTGATTCTGTTTTCGATGGCAGACAATGTAAGATCGATACCAAGTGTTGTTGATGGGCTCAAGCCTGGCCAGAGGAAGGTGATTTTCAGTTGCTTCAAGAGGAAGCTGCGGAGTGAGATCAAGGTTGCACAGCTTGTGGGGTATGTTTCTGAGCAGTCGGCATACCACCACGGGGAGCAGTCGTTATGCTCGACGATAGTGAATCTTGCACAGGACTTTGTGGGATCAAACAACATCAATTTGCTTTTGCCGATAGGGCAGTTTGGAAGCAGGCTGCAGGGAGGAAAGGATGCAGCAAGTGCAAGGTATATATTTACGTCGCTGTCGCCGCTCACGCGCCTGATATTCAATGAGAATGACGATGCGATTCTGAAGTATCTGAATGACGACAACTTGCAGATTGAGCCTGAGTTCTATGTGCCTATTATTCCGATAGTGTTGGTGAATGGAGGCGAAGGAATAGGGACGGGGTGGAGCACGTCGATTCCGAACTTCAGCCCGATTGATATAGTTGAGAACATCAGGAGGATGATAAGGGGAGAGGAGATAAGGGAAATGATACCGCACTACAGAAACTTCAGGGGAGATATTGAGAAGGCAGGGGATGCAAAGTTTGTAGTATCTGGGGTGTGTGAGGGGGATATGGATATGAGGATTACTGAGCTGCCGGTTGGTGTATGGACACTGAACTACAAGGAGTATCTTGAGTCGCTGATGCAGGCAGGAGTGGTGAAGGACTTTAAGGAGTATCATACGGAGAAGAGTGTGCATTTTGATGTGAAGATGGTGAAGCAGAAAGCAAGCATGAAGCTGAGCAGTACGATTACAACGAATAATATGGTATGCTTTGACGAGAACCAGCGGATTAAAAAGTATTCTAGCCCGGAGGAGATTCTGAAGGAGTTTTATGGAGTACGGCTAAGGCACTATTTTATGAGGAAGGAGAGCATGCTGGAGGCTATGAAGGAGGAGCTTATGAGGCTGGAGAACAGAGTGCGATTTATCAAGGAGGTTGTTGAAGGGGTGCTGGTTATCAGTAAGAGGAAGAGGAGCGAAGTGGTTGCAGATCTTGATGCGAGAGGATACCTGAGGATGGATGAGTATGAGTATTTGCTTGGTATGACTATGCTAAGCCTGACCATGGAGAGGATAGACAAACTGAATGAGGAGCACAAAAGAAAGCTTGATGAATACGAGAGTCTGATGAAGAAGACAGAAAAGGAGCTGTGGCTGGATGATCTTGAAGTTTTTGAACGAGAGTATGTGAAGATGGTTGAGGAGGAGGCAAGGGAGTATGACAACGAGTTGAATAAGAGTGCAAGGAATGGCAAGCCAAGGCCAAGAGCTTCTGTAAAGGCCACGAAGTCGTTTGAAGCAAAGCCTAGGGCAGATAAGGATAAGGCGCCTAAGCAGTCCAAGGCGTGTAAGTCAAAAGCAAGTGCCAAGAAGCCGAGCACTTTATTATCGACGGGTGTTACCGAAGAGAAAGAAGAGGCAAGACTAAAAAAGTCAGAAATGCATGAAACACCAAGAAGAATGCTGGTGATGCCAAGCGAGTCTGAAGAAGATGCTGAAGAGCTGAGCGATCAAGACATGCCTTGGAAAAAGTATGGCGTTATATAACATGCTTATTTGTGAGATTCATCAACGCCTCGTTTCTAGTGGATATATCGACGAATGGTTTTGAATAAAGATGAAATGATTTTATAATATATAAATGGCTATTCCTTCTTTATTTCGTTGTATATTTTGTTGATTTTCTTTTTGTACTGGGACGAGGCATTCCTTTCGTTAACGATCTTACGAAGTGCAGCATCTCGTGTATCTTTGCGCATCTTTCTTTTGCAGGCGGTTGATCTGCTCTTTGCATTTGGAATAATGTGTGGCTTCAAGCTCATCGGTTGGATCACCTCGTTCGTAGCAAACACGCCTCGTTGCTCACTTTTTATTCCAAATGCCTCGAAGACGCCCGGGTTGTTGTAGAACATGTTTGCATACTCAGCATAGAGCTCGCGGTTGTTTTCATGGAGATACATCCTTATCTCGTTCAAATACATCCGCTTGGTGCATGCAGAAACAAAAAGCCTTGCCAGCTCTGCAACTTTGTGCATTGGCATGGCCGACGGAATTCCGTTTACAAACATCCTTGCTATTTCGAGCTGCTCCCTCTGACCAAGCTTCGCATTCTTCGGCATATTAAGAATTCTTTCAATCGCCTGGTTGTCCATGCTCATACTCATGCCTGTGGGCTCGGGCACAATTGCTTATGCATATTGCCACCCTGTGCTTATGCGTCTTGTGGTGAACAAGGAATACATCAAGAAGATGTATGGCGAGCGCAGCCATCCACAAACATGTAAAATCATATCAAAGATTGCCCGAGCTGGTAATTCGTGTATGAACTTTGTGCTCCGCTTGCTTTTCGATCAAGAATGCTGCGACGTCTCATGCCAACCACACCTTGAGATACTGATGCAGAGCAACGGAATGGTAAACTACATTGTAGGCAAGCTAGTTGGGAGAGGCTTGTATTCCCATGACTCAAGACAGTGGGAGCCATTCATTGATAAAAGTAAATGGAGTGGTAGGGAATACACAGCTCTTGCAAAGTTTCTGTTAGAGTTTGAGCGGAGCAATAGGAAGGTTGTTGATGCAGACAAGGAGTTTGTTGAGTATGTGCTGTGCAAGGTTCCTGAGTCTGAAAAAGCACTGCTAATCAAGTATTCAAAGATTACTCCGCTAAGCATTATGATTGTAGAGAATATGAGCCAGGAAAGCCTATGCAGTGCTGGTGTTGTGCACCAATCGATCCATGCATTCATGCGTGCACTAAGGATGCCATATGAAGAAGGACTTATTTACCTGCACAAATCTGGAGTAAGATTCAAGACACTGCACAAGGCGCTTCTCTGCTCGTCGTTTCCACAAGTTCAGGAGCATCTACATGCATTGGTTGACTTCTATCCAGAAGTGATGTTTGAAGCCGGAAGCATGCATCCAAACAGGATATGCATGCTCAAGGATCCTCTGTCAATTCCAAGCGACAAGAAGATTTTATGCAGCTATATTTCTGCATCGATGTATTTTCTAAGGAGACGGCACCAATTTGTTGGATGTGTGCAGAATCTGGATGTTTTAGTCAAGACAATCCATATTGAGAGGATACTGAGCAGCAAACCGAAAAGAAGTGTTCTGAGGAATGTGGTTCATCAACTGATTCTCAGTGCACCGGTTCTTGTGCGCATCATAGTGGCAAGGAAGTTTGAAAGAAGCATTGTGAGGAAGATGATTGGCAATGTGCCCTCTTTCCATCTAGCATATGAAGTGTCGTTGAAAATCCTCTGTACAAGCCCGGCAGATGAGTTTTATGCACTACTGGTTGAAGGACTACTAATGAAATATCCAACAGAGTCGAATGTATCCAAGTTCAGAGCATGTTCGGATCAGCTACAAGAATCGTTTGTGGAACAGGTTGAAAGACAACTACAGTGAGCATATGCAGCGCCCATGATTGATGCATGGTGCACAGTGTAGATGGATGTGCGAAATGCATACTATAAAGTTATTTATGAATATGTGTTTATGTTGAAAATGCTTGGCTAGTTTTTCGTACAAGCATATAACTCTGAATTGTTGGATCCAAGTTTTATGAAGATAGTGGTTGATACGAAGTATGTTACGATAAATGCTGTCGATGTGATAGTTATATTACAGGTGATCTTACTGGTTGCAGCAAACTATGTAATACACAAGATGGCGCTTAATCAGATACTGAAAGCAGGAATCTTGACAATGCGGCTGTTGCTGCTGATGTACTACTTTTTTCTGATGCTGATAGAAATCTATGAAGAATGGAAAAGGCCCAAACACATTTTTGACGTAGAAAATATCCGGAATATATCGTTTCTGTGCGAGTTTATTATAATACTCGCGTTGTTCTGTATATGCCTTAATCAGATCAAAACAAATCCAACGCATACCTCCAGCACAGCAGCATCGATACTGAATAAAACTGCACAGGTGGGAGGCCTCTATATCTGTGTGCTGTCTAGGAAGATGTTTACAAAAGATAGCCGGCCTGATTTGATTCGATTCATTTTTTCTTTGATATTTATTTCATTGATGATGGTTGCTATACTTGTGGATTATGTGGTGCATAGAAGACATATTGCAGTCGGTGCAATAAGCAATGGCCAGACACACCAGTTCCGGGACACTACATTTATTTGTGGAATGGTGTTGATGCCGATTGGATCGCTGTTCAAGAAGGATATTGAGAAGGACATACTGTTTCTGAAAATAGGATGCAGTGCTATTGCAATACTGTATATCATTGTATATACTGTATGATTCGTCCATAACCAGCTTGTGCGATTGCATAACATGCTGAGAAAGCTGCTATATTAGCGAAGTTCTATGAAGAGTGACTCTAATAAATGGAGATGTCTGTGTTGAGTATTAGCAGGATGGCGGATATTGTCAGCAAGAAGATTGTTGCAAGCACGTCTGAGATTGATGTGATGAGTGGAAGAGCAAGCACTCCTGTATCGTCCTCGTACTTGTCGAGGTATTCTATCAGGAATGTGACGACTTTCAGAAGGATTGTAACCTGAATAACAAAGAACAATGTAAAGAGAATGTAGAAGCAGTATGGATAGTTCGGGCCCATGATTGATGACGTCACCAGGTACATAGTAGACATCAGGATTGAGATCAAAACTAGTGTTGCATGCGACTCCTTGCTGTTGTGGGCTGTGTGGTTGCTGATTGATGTGAATATCTTATGCAAGTAAATGAATGCAATTGATACGGACATTCCGCTGAACACCGGAAACGAAGGAGTCAGGATGGGAAACACCTTTCTGAAGCTTTCGAGAACATAGCCGCTGATGGTGCTGATTGCATATGTTGTCAGCAGCACCTCTATTGATTGCAGCGGCAATCTTTTCTTGCTGGTGAGTGCAAAGCACAGGCAGAATGGGATTATTGATGATGAGACAAGAAGGTATGCAAGACATGATTGGATGGGAATGGTTCTGAGCCAGGATGCAAGGTATATCAGTGAGCGAACATTTATGTAGTCGCCCAACGACGATATTGTTGGAAGGATGATATTGTCTGGATTGATCTCAAGGAGCTTCGATGCCTCTATTGAAGTGACAAGAAGCATTATGAACAGAATTGAGCTTATGATGCACGAAATCAGCGATGCAGTCAGCACCACAACATTTACCTCGATGCTTGTTTCGCCTATGAGGAGGTTGCTGATGATTCCAAGAAGGCCTATGACCAGGCCTATAACTGCGGATTGCGCAATTACAAGGTTTGAGTTGTCGAATATGTATCTGAAGTATTTTCTGTAGCTGAAAACTGGCGATTGGCTCAGAGAGGAGAGGTAGAGCGCAAATATGAGCTCGATGTTTCCTTTGAATGCCAGGATACAGTTTGTCTCGAGAAGGATTGGAATCCCGTCGAGCTTGGCATTTTGCGAAGCCTGTGCCAATGCCGAGCCCGTCATGACCAAGCCTCCGAGTGATATTAGGAGCCCAGGGATTGATTGGATGAGCAGTGGAACGCTGTACAATCCCAGGTCTGATATATTGTTGATCATGGGCATTGTGTCATGAGCTTGTTATCAAGTGCCGATGTTTCATGATAGCCAATGATGAATGGGCGAGCTGCGAGGTGCTTATAAATGCAGCAGGAGCGCAACTCCTTTATTAAGCGCCGTGCATTTTAAAACTGCCTATTGCATGGCCTGATTTGCAAATGGACAAGATAAAAGCAAGCTTTAACTTTGACGTCATACCGAAGTTTATAGTGAAGCTGTATAGGGTTGTTGATGACGACAAGTATAGAGGAATCTGCTGGACACCGGACGGGCTTAAGATCCATATTTTCGACAGGGATGTGTTTATTAAGGAGACATTGCCTCTCATATCGAAGACAAGGGAGTTTGGAACGTTTATTCGTATGCTCAACAGCTATGGATTTGTGAAGTCGAAGGACATTGAGGAGGAGGATATCTACTACAACAGCAACTTCAGGAAGGGAAGGGAGGATCTGCTTGGGCTTGACGAGTCGTTGAGGCTTATAAGACGAAAGAAGGCAAATGAAATGAAGGCGAGTGTTGGAAGTGCATCGATGAAGGAGGTAGTTGAGTATCTGTATTCGCAGAGCCAGGAGCTTTATGCAGAGTTATCTGCATGCAAGGAGAAGATAGAGAGGCAGGAGCGGATGATGAATGGGCTGATGGAAGTTCTATCACGAGTGTTCAGAACAAGCATTGATGATCTTGGAGGAGGCAGACAGAAGTCGGGTGTGCTTGGCTTTGGCGACGAGATGGATGCTTTTTTGGGAAAAGAGCTTGCTAGGCTGAAGAGGTCTGGGGATCAAGCGCTTCAACCGCTGAATCAGAGCCCCATGGTGCAGAAGCTATCGCTTGAGACAGTGGACGACATACAGCGCGAGCTAGATGACAGGGAAAGCGATTACGATGCCTTTTTCTGAAAGCGAATGAGAGATCGATCAGTAAGAAGTGAGTAAGAATGGTGGATAGAAGAGCGTTGCTGAGTAAAACTGCACCCTTGGCGTGTTTGGATGGCAATTATGCTGAAGATGAATAAATGCAGAGTATTTGTGTTTTTAGCTGTTTTAGCTTGCTCGATTGTGATTGGAATAAGAGTTGCAATAGTGATGCAGCAGTACTTCGATAGAAAGAAAGAAGCAAACGGCGTGTGGCGGGAGAGATTTGAGTGTGCTGATGAAAATGCCTGGATGCAAAAGCAAGAAGTTGGATGCTGGTCTGTTGATCTGTTTGAGCTGAAGCAGCCTGAATTCTGTATTTTGAATACCAGATGTCTGAAGTGCAGCGAATGCTTGTACTTTGGAGCGATCAGAGATATTCTTGAATGTGGAGGATCTGTGGGAGGAGCATATGAGCTTAATGAATATGAGGTGAAGGATCTGTCCATACTGCGTGATGAATTGAGATTTGGATTGTGCATGAGCACAGGCAATGGGCTGAATGATCGGGTGATGAGTAAGTTGGCAGAAGCTGATTTGAGCATTGCAGCACACCGGGAACTTTTTGGATTCTACAGAAGCATGAGCGATTGCAATTTATATCACGATGAAAGAGTGGAAGAGATTGTTCGTGAGTGTTGGCCAGAAAGAATTGAGTATGCAAACTGCAGTCTGTGCGTGAACGATGGAGGCTTGAAGAGGATTGTGAATCTGAAGAGCTATGTGGTCTATGTGATTTCCAGGTATGTTGCTAGATGTAATGCAGAGCGTGATAAATGGGACGCATGCATAGTGAATGTGTTAGCCAATATGAAAGAAAGCATGGAAGTGTGTAGAAGACAAGATGCATTGAGAATTAGTAGAGTGAATGTGAATGAAGGCATGAGTGGCGTTCATCACGACATGGATACAGGCGATGAGCATGAAGACGAGTACATGAAGAAGGACTATATGAGGCATGTTGGAGTTGGAGATGTTCTTAGAAGTTTTTTTTTCTTTCTGTACTATGGAGATGTTGTGAATGATGATGAACTGTTTGGTGAGGAAGAGAGGATGTTTTTAAGTGAAAAGTGCAGAAGGGAGTTTAGCGGATGGGTTTCTTCGAGGCTGGATGCATTCAAGAATACGGATTTAAGCGAATATGTACAGAAGAATGATATTGAGTGGGTTGTTGAGCACAAAATGATTGAAGAAATCATGAGTGTATTTGGAAGCATGCAGCTAAGTGATGATTTTGTTAATGGAAGCGAGAATGCGATTGAAAAGCATTATACACGTGCTATGCTGAGGATAGTTGATGAGAGCAGGCTATGCGATGTTCTAGATATGCATGAGAGGGAATTGGTTGCAAAAGAGCTGAGAAGAGTGGCCATGAAGAGATGTAGAAGCATGATGGCGCATCTGTGTGAGAAGATTGATTGGATGAAGAATCGGATGGATAGAGCTGTCCGAATGAGTGTTACGATGGGGAAGTACATGTGGAAAATCAATGAGGGGCTTCATGAGTTAGAGCATGCCGAGGAAGTGCCTGATGTGAATAGGCGAAGAATAGTTGGTCTCAGAACGAAACTTGAGTATGTTTTAAAATGTATCGCATGCTATGGAAAGGCAGAAGTGTCTGATGTTTGCACAAGAGCAATTGCGAGACTTCTTGGATTGCAAAGCGGAGGATTTGATGGAGTATATGAAAAGAGTATGGCAGAGGAGAATGTGATTATGCTAGTGCTGAGAAAGATTTTTTTAAGTGATCGGAAGACGGCACATGCAAATGCCATGGAGGGAAATGTGTCCATGGAGTTGTGGAGATATGCTGGTGCTGTTTTGATGAGGTATTTTGACGAATGCGAGGCTGAAGAGAAGACAGACCGCAGCCTGAGAATATTTTCATTGAGTAGCATGAGCAATTTGATTGATGTGGTTGGTGAAGATGGGGTGTCTGTAGTGGATGAATACATTGAGATGGTGAGGCTGATGATCACGGACGTGATGTGTGATGAGTTGAAACACCGCTTGAAGTATGCGATAAGTCGTGGGACGAGGGATTGTGTGTTTCTGAAGCATGCGCTTGACAAGAGAAGAAAGATGGTTTGTAGGATGATATCGAAGGCGCTTCTTGTGTGTGATAGTAGCATGGAGGGCTTGGTTGATGTTCCTGGCGGTCTTGTAAAGATGATGAGAAAGGTTCTTGGCAAGGATGCATTGTTTGCTGAAAGGATGGCAGCCGGAATCAGATGCAGGATGGATTCGCTGGTGCTATTGAAGATGCGAAGTAAGTATGGCGGAGTTAGATGTTTGTTTAGAAACCATGAGTTTAGGCTGGCGAATGTTATAAGCAGAGCAGTTGCTGAGTTTGTTGAAGCAGAGCCGAAAATGACGGAGCAGCTACTGGATGGAATGGCAGGAAGATGATGGAGAATGCATGAGTATGTGATGATGGTTGCTAGAGAAAGCCAGCAAGAAAGAAAGGAATGAATAGAAAGAAGCCCTGAAGTGTGATGATTGTTGGGAAGCAAAGGTTCTACACAAAGTTGTTTATGTGTGTAGGCGTGATGTTTGTATCGCCACTGGTTGTTCATGTGGCAGGCCGGATGTCTGGAAGTGATTCGCCACTGCTTTCGTTTGGGTCGCTTATTCTTGTGCTAGGATCGATGGGAATGATCTGCAAGCTTGCGATTGATAGAGAGAGAGAAAAGAGGAACAGGAGAGAAAGGAAGATGAAGAATAAATGAATGCATGGACATGCTATAGAGTGGATGTAGAATGGAATGGGCTGAATGCTTGTTTATATGCATTGTTTGTTTACAGGCTTTTTTAGATTTTGAAGGTACCCATTGATGAGTGATGTGTGCGTGGTAGTGCATCCATTGGTGCTGCTCTCTGCAGTTGATCATTACAAGAGGAAGGGAACCAAGAGGGTGGCGGGGATCCTGCTGGGAAGCGATGAGGATGGAATTCACATTACGGAGAGTTTTGCATGTATTTTTGAGGAGGATGAGACAGGATGGTTTATTGATACGTCGTACATAATGAGTATGTTTGATTTGTTCCACAAGGTGAATCACAAGCTGAAGATTGTTGGATGGTATCACACGGGGCCGAAGATGTATGGAAATGACCTTGAGATATCGAGATCACTGACGAGGTTTGCATCTGATCCGTTTCTTGCGATTATCAATGTGCATCAGGGAGGAAGTGATCTGCCTGTGCAAGCATTTAGGCTGGATGACCAAGAAGATTTTATGCATGTGAATTGCAGTATAGAAGCCGAGGAGGCTGAGGAGATTGGTGTTGAGCATCTTATTCGGGACATTCGAGAGGAGGCGAGTGGATCAGCAGCTGCAAAGATTGCGGAAATAAAAGAGTCTCTTGTGGTGTATGGAGAGGTGCTCGATGGGATAGTCCAGTGTCTTGAGGATTTTGTCGAGGGGAAAATCTGCATAAGTCAAGAGATTGTTGACCTCTGCCAAGAGATTGTTTATGCAGCGCCCAGGCTCGACAGGTCGCTTGATGAGAGTCTTTCCTACTTCTATGTCTCTGAGCTTGCAAAGGTGGTGGTTGCGCTGAAAGACCTGAGAAGAAACAGGGTTGAGAATGGAATCAGGATGAATGGGCCGTAATTTTAATAAAGTGTTGATTGGGATGAGTTGATATTTTGATCTGAATGTGTGGCTTGTAATGAGGATCCAATATGTGGTGTTTTTGAATGTGGGCGAGACTAAGGTGAACCAGCAGGTTGTTGAAGGGCGATGCCTTGTGCTGAATTCTCCTTGGTGCAGCAATGCATGCGATACTGTTGTCCGGAAAGAGGCGGATGCTACTGTCATTGAATCGAGTGAAATAGTCGCCAGAGTGGAGAATGGAGAGATAATGTATCTGGAGAGTGTTTATTGTGTTGATAGGAATGTCAGGTTTATTGAAATCACGCCAATGATGGACAAGCACGACTTTTTTATTGCAGAAAGACACATGCTCAGTAGTATGTCCCAAACCCACATGAAGAGAAGCGCATGCGCACAAAGCATGTTTGCTCTGAGGAAACGACGAATATGTAGCTTTGCAATGCCAGTCATACTGCACATTTTCAGGAACCAAATCATTCAGGTACTTGCTGAAACACCATTATATGCATTGGATTATATAATGCAGCTTTCAGCAGTGACACAGAAAGGCATGAGCATAAAAAGAACATTTGGTGAGTTTCTGAAGGTGTGCTGCAATGCTCAGAAAGCACTGATATCCACAGGATCGCCGGTTGTATTTGTAGCAGGAATGTACAAGATGCCGATCTCATTCTATGCTTTTGTATTGTCGTCGGTATACAGCGGACTTATAAGCCTCTTGGTAGATGCAATCCAACTGTTCAATAACTGCAGCTACAATCCACTCAAGAAGCGACGAGACTCAGTAATGCTCAACACAGACCAAATATTCATGTCTGTGCTTGTTTTTTCGTTCTGCCTTTTGATTATACTCAATATTTTGTGCTTCCATGTTCTTTCTGTGCTCGTGAGGATATTTCTGGCGCTATTGGAGTTTTCAAAAGACTTCGTCGACTTTGCTTTTGTCGACACGTCGCAATACAGCATGTACAGCCTCGTGATTCTTGAGTCACATCCGCATGTACAGCTCAGATACAGCAGTGTTTCTGCTTGGATAAAGATTGTGTTTGCTCTAAAAGCAAGTCTGCATGCATCTGAAATGTCAAAGCAGAACTTTATTGCAAAACTAGCTTTTGGAATTGAATAGACATATTAAACAAACAGATAATAAATCTTTTCAAAGCTTCAGAGCACTTTGAAATACAGATACACACATTGGGCATCATTAATCCATATCCTCCTCTCCATCCTCATCTGTCCTTCTATTCATTTCCATAATGCCTCGTTTATCATTTGCAAACCCTCCATCCTTCCTGCACCTTAGGATCTGCTGCATTTCGTTTTCTGCTACCCTGCCAAGAAGTGTTTCATACAGCGACTCAAGCTCATCTCTGGGCACTGCAATAAGCATGCACAGGTCTTTCAGATATCCAAACTGCGGTGCAACCTCTGTGCATCCAAGACTCGTTGCAAACTCAAGAATGTCCGAGACATACTCTACAACATTTGCAGACTGCTCCTCGTCAAAAACCATTTGCACAATCTGGTCGTGCAAAAAATGATACACCGAGTATAGCACCTTCTCCACCAACACCCTGTAGTGCTTTCCCTTTATAGACATCTCAGACGCCTTGTCAAACTCATATCTTGCTATCTCAACCACCCTGATACTTCTTCCTCCCTCAATAAATCTTTTCTCCTTAATCCTGGCTCCTATTCTTATTCTGCAGCTCCTGATCTGCTCTTCAAAAGCCTCGTTGAGCTTCTCCCCAATCCTGTTGCGGAACGTCCTCAGCTTCCAAAACCTGTCTGCAAAGTACTTCTTACTCACAAGATAAATATACTTCAATGCCTTCACAGCCCTCAACTTCTCTCTGATCGATCCATACACTACTCCTACAAACTCGCCCATTCGCCTCGAGAAGTACTCCTCAAGATCATCCTTGCCAACCTCTCCATACAGCTTGCTAGCCCTTTCAAACGAAAAGCTCATCACATCGAGCAACTGCTTGAATCCAAAAATAAGATCGTCGCTCATGCCGACTTCTGTGCCAAGAACAATGTATGTGATCCTACATCTCTTCTTCTTTACAATCGCATCGTAAATCTCGTCAAACACTCGCTTCTCGTTCTCAACTGCACTGGTGACATATTGAGAAACAAGGTCTTGCATGGCGCGATCGCTATCAAACCCACTGTCAATCTCCTCAATCACAAGACCAAGGATCCTTATGTTCTTGCAGCATCCTTCAAGATTCAGCAAAAACATGCATGGGCTCAGCCCGTCTAGCCAGTCGCGAAGCCCTTTGTATAAAACATCTTCATACACCTTCTTGTGAATCACGCCATATGCCTTTCCGGTGTTGGGAAACACCTCCTCAAGATTCCAGAAGTCGTTTTCATACGTTTCTCTGGCCATGTCAACAAGGTTTGTGAACATGTTGCTCTCTCCCACATAAAAGTCAAGATCAAGCACATCCTCCTCATTGCACTTCATGCTAACTGGCTTCTTAAATAACTCCAAAGAGTACAAGTACACATGTATGAGGAAAATGCCCTTGTCCATCTCTTCCAGCGCATTGTATGCAGACCTCATCGCCGTCTTGTTGTTGGTCCTCCGCCCCTCTTCAAACACCTCAAGCATCTTCTCTTCAACTACCTTGTTATATCTCAGAACCTCTTGGCCTCTTTCCCCTACCTCCCCAATGTTAGCAAGCAAGAAGCATAGAAATCTCCAGTCTTGCTCATCGTCGCTTGTGCACAATCCCTCAACAACAGAAAAGTTTCCCTTCTCTATCTCTACTGCATACTTTACAGCCCTTCTGATCTGCTTCAGGTTCAGTATCTCTCTATTCCTCTCAAGAATCTCTCTCGATGTCCCAAGAGGCTCTACACTCAATCCATTTATCTCCGCCACCAATTCATCAATCTTATCAAGCCTCACCCCTTCCTCAATCGATCGTATCTTCTGCCCAAGCCTTTCCCTCTTAAACAGCAGCCCTTCACGTATCCCTTCCAGATCCCTCAAAACATCAACAAGGCCCTCCCGTGTCTGCTGAAGGCTTTCTTCCTCAATCACAACCATTTCCTCGACCATGCTCTCCAAGCTGAACGATCCTGCCCTCAGCTGACTCACATGGATGCTTTTCATCTAGGGACTCTTCTTAATAACAATTATGCGTATCTACTACAAAACAAAGTTAATTGGACGCTTTTAATACTAGAACAGTTAGAATCCACTCCATTCCTCAGGCATCCTTCCAGATATCGCATCGCTTCCGCCCTGTGCCATGCCTTCAGGTGCATCTACAAGGCCCTGCTCCTCTGCAATCTGCTCAAGCTCAACGCTATCTCTAAAGAAAAACAGCTCCACCTCCTTCATGTCTCGATCAAGCTCAGCCCCCGTCTTCATGTAATTAATCAGTCTCGAAAGAATAAAAAACCCTGCTCCTATTGCAGTTGGCGACCTGTTATTCATCGGGATCGCAACATCAATCCCATTCAGCGAGTTGTCTGTGTTTGTAAACGCAATAGTCGGCAGATTGCAGTACAGCGACTCTGCAATAGCCTGCTTGTCTGCATATGTGTCAGAAACTATCAGTATCCTCGGATCATACTTCTTCTTCACCACAGAGTTCGTAAACGATCCAGGAACAAACCTTCCCGTAATCGCAGTTGCACCCACTGCCTCGCAAAACTTCATCACCGGCTTCCTGCCAAATGCCTTTGTTGACACCACAACAACATCAGACGGATAGCTCAGGCTGCAAAACACCCTTGCTGCAATAATAAGCTTCTCCCACATCGCATTTATGTCAATAATCTTGATGTTGTCGCGCGCCCTTGTTCCGTGGATGTACCTGTCGAAGTTCTTTGTTGCTGTTGCTCCTCCAAGATGCCCATGGCTGCATATCAACAGCTTGACAAATGCTTCTGGAATCTTTATTTCAGCCTGCGCCATTTGAAGGGTGCAAAATTTTTCCTTGTTATCCACCCATTTGAATATAACGTCTGTGTAGACCTGAATGAAGCACATGCCTGTAATGCATGATAGTATGGGCACATGATCCTGCATAGTTGAGTTCAATCCATCATGCACTATGGAAAGAGAATGCACATCGATGCCACAGCAACACTGCTACTGCGTCGTGTGCAAAATACTGCACAATACATGCCAGTGCATACCCTGCGTAGTAATTACAGCTATTTGGCTGGAATGGATAGGCTCCCGTAGCTCAGCTGGTTAGAGCGTGGTACTTATATGCTGAAAGGCTGTACAAACAAATTGGGCATAACGCTAGGATATGCCAAGGCCGCGAGTTCGAATCTCGTCGGGAGCATTTTTGCATGCCACAGAGCAATTCCAACACAATCAATCGTTTTATCTTACAGTATTGCCTATTGCCACGGCATGTGCAACCCATTCTCTGTATTACAATGTTCTAGCTTATTTGTTTATTAAATCCTTGTTCGATCAAATACCTCATGCATTCTTGCCCTGATGGAACCCTCACAAGTACCTGGCAAATATCTATTGTGCACATCAACATCTCAGACTGCACCATTCAGCAAAGCAAAGTAGCCTGGCTCTTCAGAAAAATATCCCCACCTTCCTGAACTCAAGCATCAGGGCAAGGAAGTCCTCCACATCCATCTTTGCTGCTCGGACTCCGCGCTGCCCCGCCTTGCTCAGCACATTTTCAAATACTTCGTCTGGCGACGTGTTCTCCATTCCCTCATGCCTCTTTATCATTGAAACAAGATTCGATGCCTTGAAATTCGCCTTGAGTGTCTTGTTCTTCCTAAGAAAGCATATCTTCAGAAATCGGTCAAACTCTTCAAACTCAATCGGTGGCTTAGGCGTCTTTGGCTCAATCCTTACAAAGCTCGACTCCACCTTTGGCGGCGGAACAAAGCTGTTTCTGGACACCTTCACAACATGATCCACTTGTGCAAGCATCTGCACTCCAACAGACAGCCTACAGTATGCAGAGCTTCCAGGCCTTGCAACCAGCCGTTCTGCAAATTCCCTCTGGAACATCACAAACGCACACTTGAAATCATATCTCAGCAGTTTGAATACAAACGGACTGCTGATCTGGTACGGAAGATTCGTAATGCACAGGTCAAAATGCGGAAAGTCGTGCTTCAATGCATCTCCAACAAACAGCTGGAACTTCTGTGCCATCCCAGGCATGGCATTCACCTTCTTCACAAGCTCCGCTGCAAGCCTAGGATCTATTTCATAGCATATCACCTTCTTTGCCTTCTGTAACAGCTTCATTGTAAGATTCCCTGTCCCTCCTCCAATCTCCAGTACTGTATCGGTAGGCTTAATCCTTGCTCTCTCAATAACCGTGTCCACCACTCCAAGATTCTTCAATATGTGCTGCCCATGCTGCTTCTTGAAGTTCGGATTCACCATTTCGAAGGCCTTGCACTCGTAAAAAACATCATTCAAAACCATTCTTGCTAACTTCCTTTAATAACCTCCCAGACACCAATCTCAGACTGCGTCTGCATATATATTTCTCCGCCGGCCCTAATCATCCTCCTTGTGCCCACTGGCACTCTCATCATTCTCCTCATCAGAAGATCTGCCACAGCATCTCCAATCACCATAAAATCATCCCCAATCACATCTACCCTTACACTATCAATCTTCTGAACAAACCTCCATTCATTCACATCGTACTTCAGCAGGCATCCGCTTCCACTAACAATATACAGGCATTCTCCACACAAAGTCATCCCATCAACCCCGCCAATCACCCTCAGAACAGTTCTGCCGTCACACAGAATCTCCCCACTCGCTGTTGCATAAAGCATCACAGACTCATGCACCGTAAAGTCCACAATATCACTTCTACTCGTGCTTATGTTGCTCTGCAATTCAACACTCTTCATGTCCCTAAGAGACATCCTATACATCTTCCCTTGCTCACACAGCATATACATCACACTTCCATCAACAATCGCCTTGGAAACTCTCGAGCATCCTTCAGCCATCTTGCATACAACTTCCCTGCAGACAACGTCAAAAACAAAAACCTTCGAACACCTAAACACCAGGTATATGTAATGCTCACAAGCAAACATCCTGAGCACCTCGCCATAAAACTCATACTCATTCCCCTCACATGGCACAAAAATACTGTTTCTGTTCGTCAGGCAATACACCGTGCCCTCATAAACAACAAAATCCCTGCAATCCAAATCTGCATTCCACACCCTCTTCAATCTCACCTCTGCATTCTCCTCAAAAATACCATCACTAGAATCCATGCCGCAGGGGTATTCTCATCGCCTCTCTTCCTGGTCTATCCTCATCTCCACACACAACAAACAGCACATCAGTGGCCCTCTGGCGACAAAAACCGATATATCCTGTCAAACTTCTCAAACATATTCGCATTCTGCATAATCATTATCACCGTCTTGTCCGCAAGATTCTTCATGATCATGTCAACAAGATACATCTCTGTCTCCTTGTCCAGATGCGACGTCACCTGGTCAAATACATACACGGATGCATCCTTCACTACTGCCCGCATCAGGCTCACCCTCTGCTTCTGCCCGCCACTCAATCTCTTTCCGCCCATCCCAACAAGCGTGTCATACCCTTTATCAAGACTTTGGAACATCTCATCCACTCCATACATCTTGCAGCATTCAACAATCTCTTCCCGGCACATCTTGAGATTCCCATCGTTGATGTTGTTCATAACAGTATCATCAAATAGCTGCAGTTCTTGTGGCGAATACGATATCATTCTCCTCAGCCCCTTCTTGCTAAGCGTCCTCAGCTCCACTCCATCCACAACAATAGTTCCTGAATAATCAAAAAATCCCAGTAACGCCCTTACAAACGACGTCTTGCCACTTCCATTCCCCCCCGTAATTCCAATCTTCTCTCCCATCCGTATCTCCATATTAAGCCCTTCAACAAGCCTCTTTCCTTCAACACATACACTTGCATCGGCAATCTTTATAGAAGTCTCAAGCCGGTCCTTGTAGCATCCATAATCTTGCATGTCTGGCCTCTCCTCTTCATTCCTTGTCTGTGCTATATTTGTCAGATTCATCAGTATCGATCCAAAGCTGTTGCTGATATCCACACAGTATATCCTCAGCTGGTTGCTCAGCGAAATCATCAGCATATAATCCTTAGACTTGATCCTGCTTGTGTCCCCCTTTGTAAAGTACATCGTAATCGCAAACATCGCAATCGTAAATATGCTCTCTCCAACAAAGTTGCCCACCTGCAGCGATCCCCAGAATATCTTTGCATACTTCGTCATCATCTCCATCGATCTGTGCAGATCATTCGCCTCCTCTTCCTCGTTGTTGTACGACTTGATTATGTCGTGGTTCATCAGGTTGTTGTACACCTTCCTTCTTGACAGATCAACCTCCCTGTTCAGCTTGGGCCGGATAATGCTCCTATAGTAATTCACAAAAAACGCAGACACCCCGTATATCACAGACACAGCAGCCATCAGCGCCATGTAGTACCATTCCAGCTCCGACCCGATCTTCGTCATCGTCATCGTGATGTAGCACATTCCTATAATGAAATACTTCACTATCGACTCAAGAACATCCCGCAGCGACCCGACTTTTCTGTTCATAAACGAAATCATGTTTCCAACTCCAAGGCGTTTGAAGTCCGGAAACGACATCGAGATGTGGTCCCGGTACTGATCAACAATGTACACCCTGCATATTGTTTCTACATAGCTCGACATAATCATCAGCGATACAAATCCAAACACATAAGAAGACAGCGCAACAAGCACATAATCCTTGATGTTCTGGTTGTTGCTTGAATGTGGGTCTTTTGTCTCGTCCTGTATGTCTGTCAGAATCTGCTGCACAGTAATGTCGCCGTATGCAACGACCAGCATCAGCAGCACCACAGGGAGTATCATGACTCTCACAACTGGCGAGCCAAGAACATACTTGAGAACCACCGTCTTCATTACATACAGTCTTCCAGTATTTTTTACGCTCTCCTTCATCATAGGGGATGTCCTCCGTTACTTTTGATATTTGAGCAACCAATGCGAATGTGTGCCATGCCACTGGCATAAACAACAGGCAAATGCCGATGATATGCAATAGTGCTGTTTTTTGTGCATGTGCATAGCCCCGATGGATATTGTGCAATACATTCTGCTAAGAGGCGACCTGAAGGGATTCTCAACAGGTGCATTGATTGCACAAGCATGCCATTCAAGCGTGTGTTCCATAGAAACATACAGAAGATGTGAAGACACTGCCATGTATGTTGCGGACACTGCATCGATGAAAAAAATTGTTTTAAGAGTAAGTGTAATGTTAATTTAGCCGTGTAATTTGGATCGAGCAGAGTGACATTGATGGAATAATAGAGCATTTCTTGGCACACAGTATTGATCACACAGTGTGGGTAGAACGTCCAGAGAACATCATAACATGTATATCCACACGCCCATACAGCAGGCATGCGCTTAATCAAACAGCTGAGTATCTAAAGAGGTTTAGGCTGTTCAAATGATGCTGGTGGAGTGGCTATTTGCACTCCTTTATGCTTGCAAAGGCCGCTTACTTGGTCTCCTTTTTGAAGATATGGAAAGGGAGAGTACAGTATATATTTGCATGTAAGGAATCCCTGAAGCACATGAGCTTGCATCTTCAAGAGGAGTATAGACAACAGCTTGCGAATGGATGCGAGAATGCTGTTTGCAGCGGGGTGTTTTGCAATGCAGAGCTTGAGGATGAGCTTGTGGATAGAATATCCGAAACGCTTTCTGGATATGGAAGTGTGTTTCTGTGCAGGAACATGGACCGAGTGGCTGATGGGTATGGATGTGCAGGGCAAGATGTGCTGAGAATGAGAAGCAAGGTCTTGAACTTTTTCTTTTTTGTGTGCCTGAAGACTGTGGGGCCTAGGAAAAATGTTCGGTTTGAAAGCACTAGTGCAGGGGATAGCGAAGCAGTGAGTGCTTGCGGATGCTATGTTGGATGCAAGCATAAGCCAAGCAGGAAGAAGTGCAATGTGATGGAAAGCGATGAAGAAGCTGATAAGTCTGGAGCTTTGGCAAGAGGATGTTGTGATGAGGGAGCAAGCAGGAATCAGCTTGGATGTATGAAAGTAGATGAGATGGCTGAAGAAGAGCTCATTATGCCTGAAGGAGCGGATCATTCGATTTGTGAGCTGCTTTCGAATAAAAATGCAGCCTCTGCTGAAGACACACACCTGATTGGGTCAGTATTCCGATTGCTTGTTAGGAAGTATGAAGAGGTGCCTCAGTTTACTCTTGGAATGGTTATTTTACGAATGTATGGAATGTTCAGCAAGCATTGGAAGCTTACAGGTATAAACTACCCGATTTTGTGTAAGATTCTGCAGAGCGTAAGATGTGTATACGGAGAAATGGCAAAGAGAGCAGGCTTGTGCGAAGGGATTGTGTGCAGCTATAGGAGCAGGCATTATAAGACAAATAAAGCAATGTGTGTGTATCCTTCGAGACTCACGAAGGCCGATCTTACAATGCTAGTCAACGAGGTGTCATGCGGCTTGAATTCATCTGCAAGCACGGAGTGCAGGGAGGATACAAGGGTTAACGGGATGCTGAGCATGCTGTATGTACTGTATTGCATAAATGAGGACTATGGGATATTAAGCCACAAGAGATTCTATCTCCATGAGTTCTGTGAAAGGATGGATTTTCGCGAGGAATTCAAGTACCTGCGTGCGAAGTCGAAAACAGCATTGGAGTATCCCTTTATTCTTCCTGTACACATTAAAGCGGAGCTCATCAAGTGCGAGAGCAACGACAGGATGAAGAGCTCGCTACAGGATTCGTTCTTCAAGTCGCTTTTTGAAGGCCACATAGACCCTTACTTGTTTGTGACTGTCGATAGGGAAACTGTGTATAGAGACAGCATTGAGATTTTCAAGCAGCTGGATCCTCAGGATGCAAGGAAGCAGCTCAGAACAACGTTCCGGAACGAGGAAGGAGTTGACTCTGGAGGGATACGCAAGGAGTATTTCCAGCTGCTGAGCCATGAGATCCGGGCGGACAGTAGGCTGTTTGAGCATGTGGAAAACAAGATCTGGATCAAGGCAGGAGTGAAGGACGAGTGCGAGTATGAGGCCGTCGGTAGGATCATTGCAATAGCACTCTACAACAACATTGTTCTGAGCATTCCCTTTCCCAGGCTTTTTTTCAAGAAGCTGCTTGAGAAGAAGCCAACGATTGAGGATCTTGCTGAGATATCCCCAGATGTTGCCATGTCTTTAAAGAAGCTAAGGATGATGTCCAAGGAGGAGATTGACTTTCTCGATCTACGATTTGTTTCAGAGTACTTCGAAGAAGGCAATGCCAGAATTCATGCGCTTGTTGAGAACGGAGAAAACATAAGATTGACTGAAGACAACATAGGCCTGTTTGTGGAGAAGTATTCTGAGTTTTATACGGATGTTCTTGTAAGGCCGCAGTTTGAAGCACTCAAGAAGGGATTCTACTCGGTTATGGAGAAGTGTAAGCTTGCATATCTGAATCCAAAGGAGCTTGAGAAGATAATGATGGGATCGAATGGCTTTGATATCAAAGAAATCCGGTCTGCAACTACATATTCTGGATTTACTGAGGACTCCTCGGTAATTGTGCACTTCTGGGAGATATTTGAGGCGTTCGACAAGAAGAAGAGAAAGAAACTTCTGCAGTTCATCACAGGGAACGATAGAATACCGGTGTCTGGGTCTGTGTCGCTGAAGCTTGTGATTATGAGAAATGGTTGTGATACAGACAGACTTCCGTCGTCACAGACATGCTTTAACACATTGCTTCTTCCTGAGTATTCGTCCAAGAATAAGCTGGAGAAGAAGCTAGAAACTGCACTTGAGCTAACAGCAGGGTTTTTCCTGCTTTGATAATAAATCCTTTGTTTATGGTCTTTGTTTTATACAGTGTAGCATATCTATTATATATATCTATTGGCAATGGTGTGCATGATGGCTAAAGCACAGGCTGTCCGAATCTTCACTGTCTGAATCATCACTGTTGACATAAAAGTTGGTTGCTGATGTATAATAAACACAGTCTCCTGTTTGCAATGCAATAGCATCTTTTCTGAGCATATATGGTGTTTTCAATGCGTTTGCATTTGTCTTAATGTTTTCATGACCATATGCTTTGATGCTTTCACAATTATTCTTGACGTGTGCTCTAATGCCGCTAGATTTGCTTCCTTTCAATTCTAGAAAACAATTCCAGTCCTCAGTGTATGGCACATCAAACTCCTCTGTCTCGCCTATTGCATCTCCCTGGCACCCAATCCACCAGCAAAACGTGGTTTTATACACATCTAAATCATTTATCACACTTGCTTGATTCATTTGCTCACTCACCACACGGCTCTTCATCCCTTCTCCACGCAGCTCATCACCAACATTCAAAAATTCCATCAAATCTTATTTATTTACCAAGCTCCACATACTTCTGTTGCAATAAATATAAATAATCAGCAATTGCCTTCCCACCACGGCTGCTATTCATGCACATGCTCTATCCATCTTCATCCGGCACAATGTATTTCTCAATCTCTTTTCTTCGCTTCTTGTCTTTGCCTTCTCGCTCCTCTCTTCTCCTTACATCCTTCTTTCTATCATCCAACTTCCCAATAAAGTACTCTCCAGTCTCCATCTCGGCATCCTCCTTCCGCCTTGCCTCACAGTCAGGCATTCCTCCAGACACCCTGCCCACCTTCTTCTTCATCTTACTGCCTCCGCTCTTTCCCTTCTTCGTGGCCTGTGGAAGATACCTCTCCCAGTCCTCAAATTTCTTTCCATCATCACTCTCAAGCTTCCTCTTCTCAATCAGCCTCTTGATCTGGTATATCGGATGAACATTGTCCATGCACTTGGTCACAACCTCTTTCACCTCCTCAACTCCGCGAAAACTTCCTATCACACTCACCGTCTTTCCATGCACAAGTACATAGCACCCTGTCACCTTCCGGATCGCCTCCAACGTCATCTCCTTCGGCCCTATCAGCCGATCGCGTCTTTTCTCAAAGACCTTTTCAGACCCTGCAAGACTCTTGATGTCAATCACCTCGCAGAAACACTCGTCCTCAAGCACCTTCATCGCCTCCTCAACTCCAACCCCACGGCCAACAAGCTTCACAAAATTCACTGCCTTGATAAATATAAACGGATCCCTCGTGCTTGCATTCGTCAACACGCTAATCACATTCCTTTCAAAATCAATCGCACAGCTTATCTTCTTCTTCTCAAGCGCCAGCACAATATACTTCTCTGTCTGCTCAATATACTTCACCCTATACTTCGGAAACATCACTTCTTCACAACTCACCTCCATAAACTCATGCTTAAAGTCACTCTCCACAAACTTCACCTCTCCTTCCATCTAGGGGTATTGCCCCTTCCTTATTCTTCTCTCATCGCCCAGACTTCTACTCATCATTCCTATCCATATGCTCAAGCCATTCAACCTCCACTTACCGCTCCCCTGCATTCATCCGTTGCATCCCTTTCTCAAACATCTTGTTCATCATCCTGTACACCGCATTGCATTTCATTCCGTACACTTGCGCTTCAAACTCATCACAAATCACAATCTCCCGGTCATCTTGCCTCCCCATCGCATCCAGCATCCTTCGCACATACACCAAAAACATCGTCTTGAACTTCGCACTGATGCAAAGCCTGCTCATCTCGCTTAGAACTTCAACAGCACTCCTAAAATCCCCATTCCTCATAAGTCTAACGCTCCTCCAGAACTTACTCCATTCTGTACCCGCATGCTCTTTAACTCCAAGCACCTCCTTCATCCTGCACAATGCACCACGAGCATATCTGTCTCGATTCCTCAGCTCATCCAGCAAAAACTCATTGCTGAACTTCAAATACTTCACAAGACAAGGATACCTTACTGCAAGCATTACAAGCTCCCGGAGACTGCATCTGCCAAAATACTCTTCCGGTGCATTTCTGAACACTCCATCAATCACTCCCAACTGCCCACTGGCTTCCTCCAATCCTTCCCTATACCTCCCATATCTGCACGACTGCTCTATAAGTGCCCGCATTGCCATGCTACGGTATTTGCTCGTCGACTTGTACACATGATAAAATACCGCATCGTTGTCTTTGAAAAACCGCGAAAATACTCCCACATACCTGACCACAATGTCATTAATCACACTGTCTGTAGAGTAAAACATGTGCAGAACATGCGTGTCTATCTCATCCACATGCTTGCAAATCCTCTCAAGGTGCTTCAGTGCTAGGAGCTTCACCATCCTGTCCTTCGAATGCAAGAGTCCATACATCTTCCTTACCCCACACATCCTCACATCTCGCTCTCTTGCCCTCCTCACTACTCTTGCAATATTGAACAGGCATATCTCCGCCTTAGCATATGAAAGCTCCACCGACACATCCACTGCAAGAATCTTCTTCAGATGCACATTCGGCTTCATCACGGGGATCTAATATCACTCACTATAACAACATATTACAATAAAAACACTTTCAGAGTAACTATGACACATAATACTACTAAGTACACACAACGTTCTCATCACAAAGTGCTGCAACATCCCCCAGCTTCACAGTCAGTTTGCACTTCTGCTCAGCCACAGAGACATCGCAGGGGTTACGCAGAAAAAAATTCAAATCATTCGCAACTCCTGCCTACAGTTTATTCAACTACATGCATCAGGCATCCATAGGCACATCCTTCATAGCCGCTTTCATACAAGACCCTGCTGCCTTTATTCATCCTTTATCTTCCCACTTTCTTCTGCCTTTTGCTTCCTTGCCTTGGGCTCAATAACCTCCAAACCTATCGATATCACCACCCCTATCACACATGCAACCTGCATCCTGCTCATGGTGTGCCCAAACACCACTAACGAAACAAAAATAGACAGCATCTTCCTCGTGACATTCACCATCGTAAGAGTCAACGACCCATGTGCCTGCACCATCGAGTACACCACCCCCTGCCCAATCACATTAAATGCCGAATACAGCAGCAGATCAACGCCCATCCCAGGCACTGCTCTCACAAACTCAATCGTATATCCAATGCTGTTCTGCTTCAGCCCCATTGCAAGAACAATTGCAAGCCTAAACCCATTCGTGTAGTACATCATCTCAAACGGCGTCACTTTGAACTCTCGGAATACATGGTCTTGCTGCGAGTTAATAAACCCATCTGCCGCCAGGCTTAGTACAAGAATCATCCCTCCAAGCACACTCGTTCCGCTTCCGCTCCTTCTGCTGCCATCAAGAAGCGAAAATAGTACAACACACACAGAAACAAGGCACAGAGACAAGCACCTTCTGCAACTCATTCGCCGCCTATACACCAAGATGTTTATCAACGCAATAGGCACAAGCTTGCATGACTTTGCTATCACTAGCGTAGGATAGCTAAGATACCTTAGCGACAAAATTCCAAGGCTCGCCGATGCTATGCTCAAAAGCGCTAGGCACAGATAATTCAACATCAAACGCCTGCACACATTTCCTCCGGTTCTTCCCATCATACATCTCCCAAACATCATTCCTCCCAGGCTTTGGAGCACTATGGGAAACAGCATCGACTCATATTTCTTGCCTGCATATGTGCCTGTGGCTATTTTCTCTCCAAAAACTCCAAACACAATGAAAAACACATAGATTCCTGCTGTGTGCAGTGCAAGACTAGCATATCTGTTCAATGCCATTCGCAGGGATTCACCACAAATGCAAACAAATCAGCCTGCCCATGGTGTTCAAAGCACTACTTGAGCTACCTTGCGAGTCTCCAGAGCTCGTTTCGACCGCAATATGCAATGAGGATGCTGAAGTCAATAAGGCACATGTGGAGTATTCGCATCACGGCAATCAGCTTGTGATCAGCTTGTCTGCACAAAGAGCAAAGGATCTCAGCAGGGCAATCAATGCAATACTGTCTAGGTTCAGACTGTGCACTGACACTGTTGAAATGTGCAAGTCTCTTCAGAAATAAACTGTGTGGCTGCTGATAATTATTATTTATTCATGAACGATGTGCTTGAGAATTCGTATGGACCGACGGCAATTAGCTTCGGCTATCATGCAGAACCATGCCAAGGCGTGCGATTTCGTCTGTGCTGGCGCCTGAGTTCATTCCAGTGTCAACAGGAACAATCTTGAAATCGGCCTTTACTTCCAGGCTACCCTTTACACATGTAATCACTGGCAGTTTTTTCTTTTTTGCGATTCCCTCGGTTATCTGATACGAGTTGCTTGCCAGAATGTACCACTTTTTCTTGCTTGCATTCCGTATTAGTTCTTCTATGCAGTCAAATGAGCATTCTGTGTGTTCATGGCCGCAGTCAAGCACTTCAAGATATCTGCAGAAGTCGCTTTTCTGTGTCTTTCGTAGCTTTTGGTATGCTTTGTATGTGCACTTTGTCACGCCAAGCCTCGGCTGGCTTTTAAATATGTCTGTGATATGCTTCAGCCTGAGCATTGATTTGTTCATTGCTGTGATGAACTGCTCCTCGGCTACCATACGGAATGGCTCTCTGTACCCAGCGCCCTTCAAGGCCTTAACGATTTTCTTGTTGTTCTTGTGTGTCTTCCTATGCATGGAAGGGTAAAACGCCAAGGTGATGTGCCCCCATGGCCAGTCATGAGGATAGAGGGATGGAGCTTTCTGAAGAGGAGTTCTATGTGCAGAGATCAAGTGCAGTTAAGGCAGAGCTTGCCGGTGGGAACGAAATGTATCCTCACAAGTTTGAGGTAAGCCACTGCTTTAGGGAGATACTGGATATGGCAGGCAAGGAATCGACGCCTTTTGTAGGAGGTGAAGTTGTGAGGTCAGCAGGGAGGATTATGAACATACGTATGCACTCAAGGTTTTGCTTTTTCTATGTGGTTTCTGGAGGAGAAGCGATTCAGCTTGTTGTTAACATTAAGGAGCAGGATGCAAAGAGAAGCAGTGCTGTAAGATTTGCAAAGAGAGGAGATGTGGTTGGGTTTGTGGGAAACCCTGGAAGGACAAAGACACTGGAGCAGTCTGTGTTTGTGTGTGATCTTGATGTTGTTGCGCCATGCATGAGAACAATTCCCACTGAGCACTTTGGGCTGAGAGATGCAGAAACAATATACAGGAAAAGGCATCTTGATCTGCTGATTAACAAGGAGTCGAGGGAGAGGTTTGAGACAAGGGCAAGGATAGTGAAGTATGTGCGGGCTTTTCTAGACTTCAGAGGGTTTATGGAAGTTGAGACGCCGATGATGAACTTGATTCCCGGCGGAGCAGCAGCAAAGCCGTTCATTACGCACCACAACGAGCTAAAGCTTGATCTGTACATGAGGGTTTCGCCCGAGCTGTATCTTAAGAAGCTTGTGATTGGAGGGTTTGATAGGGTGTATGAGATGGGGAAGCAATTCAGAAACGAGGGCATCGACCTGACCCACAATCCTGAGTTTTCATCATGCGAGTTTTACATGGCATATGCAGACTACAATGATATTATGGATATGACGGAGGAGATGCTGTCTGGATTGGTGCACGAGCTATTTGCAAGTGAAGTTGTGAGATATGAGCCTAAGAAGCGTGGAGAGGAGGCAAAGCCTGTTGAGATTTCGTTCAGTAGGCCGTTCAGGAGAATAAGCATTCTTGAAGAGCTGAATGCCAAGCTTGGATTGGAGCTTACTGGAGAGAATCTTGAGGATGAGAAAACTCTTGAAAAGCTTATGGATGTGTGTGCCAAGGAGAATGTTGCAGTTGAGAAGCCGCACACACTTGCAAGGGTTCTTGACAAGCTAATTGGGCATGTTATTGAGCCTCAATGTGTGAGCCCGACGTTTATCAAGGACTATCCTGTGGTGATGTCTCCGCTTGCCAAGAGGCATAGGTCGAAGGTAGGCCTTACTGAGCGTTTTGAGCTTTTTATCAACAGCAAGGAGATCTGCAATGCATACACAGAGCTTAACAATCCGTTTGAGCAGAGAGAAAGGTTTGAGCAGCAGGCAAATGACCAGAATGCCGGAGATGAGGAAGCAATGATGCTTGATGAGGATTTCTGCACTGCTCTTGAGTATGGTCTACCACCCACGGGGGGATGGGGGCTTGGTGTTGATCGCTTGGTGATGTATCTGACGAATGCAGCGAACATAAAAGATGTTATTTTTTTCCCAGCAATGAAGCCTGAGTGATGTGGATCTGGCTACGAAGTGCTGGGATGGTGCAAGTTGATGAGGCAACGAGTGTTTGATGCCTGCTTTAATAAATGGTTGGGATTCGATGTTTTGTTGGGACGGGATGAGGAGGCATTTGATTTTGAATCCCTGGATGGGCATGGAGGCAAGAGCAGGATTGCTCAAGCACGGTGATAATACAAGTGCAGGAGATGGCGGAAGTGGCGAAGCTGTCTTAGAGCTGATGGCAGAGATCGGTGTGTCTGTGTATCTGAGCTTTGCATCTGATGAGCATCTGAATGAATATATAGGAAAGGGAGATGAGAGGATCAGGTTTCTGACAGGATTTTCTGGATCGAATGGAATTGCAGTGACATGCAGGCATCCGGTGCTGTACACAGACTCAAGATACTATATACAGGCCATTAACGAGCTGAAGGCTTACAGGCTGAAGAAGATGGGAGAGGACGAGAAACTGGAGGATTATATTGAGTCTGTGTGTGAAAATAAGCAGGTGGGTGTTTGTGGAAAGCTTATAAGTTCGAAGATGTATGATGATCTTGAGAAAAAGCTTGCACTGAAAGGATTGATGCTTAGGCATATCGATGTTGATTTGGTTGACCAGGTATGGAAGGACAAGCCATGCAGGATATTCAACGAGGTATATGCGATTGAAAACAAGATGATCTTTGAGTATCAGATGCAGTTGGCGAGAATATGCAATGATGAGGAATATAAAAGAAAGCTTGAGGATATGGCTGCTGAGAAGAACACAAGTGTTGCTGGAATGCCATACAGGCAGAAGCTGCAGAAGATACGGAGCATTGCTGGAGAATGGAAGACGCTTGCTATAACAGATCTTGATACAATTGCATGGGTGTTCAACCTGAGAGGGTCTGATATAATGTATAACCCGGTTTTTTATTCGTATTGCCTGATTTCTGCAGATGCAGTGAAGCTGTTTGTGAATTGGAAGCTAGAAATCGATGGTGTTGAAGTGTATGCATACGATGACTTTGAAGAGCATGCCAGGCTTGTTGACGAAGACGTGCTTGTGTCTGGAAGATGCAATGCACATGTAAGGAGTATGTTTAGAAATGTTGAGTATACAGGAAGTATAAGGCAGCTCCAATCAGTCAAGACAGATGTGGAGATTACAGGGTTCTGCTTAGCATACGTTTATGATGGAATAGCTCTTACAAGGCTGTTTGAGTGGATTGATGAGAATCTTGATGAGGGTATAACTGAGGAGATGGTTGCAAGCAAACTGGATGCGATAAAGAGGGAGTTTGATGGATATGTGCAGCCGAGCTTTGGCACAATTGTTGGGGGAGGACCGAATGGAGCAATTGTGCACCACAAGGCCGGGCTTAAGGTGCTGCAGAGGAGCGAGCTTATATTGATTGATAGCGGTTCGCAGTATGTGTTTGGAACAACAGACACGACAAGGACACTGCACTTTGGAGTACCAAGCAGTGAGCAGAAAAGAAACTACACGCTTGTTCTGAAAGGGCAGCTGAGAGCAATGCAGATGAGGTTTAAGCCAAGCATGCCTGCATCGTCACTGGATACACTGTCTAGAATGGATCTGATGAAGGAAGGACTGGATTATGGCCATGCAACTGGGCATGGAGTTGGGCACTTCTTGTGTGTGCATGAGTCACCACCCAGCATATCAAGCAATAGCAGTGAGGTGCTGATGCCGGGAATGGTTTTTTCGATTGAGCCTGGGTACTACAAGGAAGGAGAGTATGGAATACGGATTGAGAATCTAGTGTGTATAACTGGCACAGATAACGGGTTCAACGCTGTAGAGAATCTTACACTTGTTCCATATCAGCTCAAGATGGTTGATGTGTGCCTGATGAATGAGGATGAAGTTGATTATCTGAACAAAGTCAGCAGAGGGATTAGGGAATCACTCGAGCCGTTCATGATTGGCTCGCCAGGATATAAGTTCTTGGTTGAAAACACAGTGCCTATACGAAAATAGTAGTGTGGGTGATTTGTGTGAGATGCATATGTGCTTGCAGCAGCTATAGCTATGCTGGCAGGATTGGAGAGTAAATTGCGTGTTTATATGGGTTCTACAAGTGTTTTCTAAAGATTTATTTGACAAGTGTTTGTGTGCTTGATCAGCAAAATTCATTCTCATTTGCACTTCGCATACAATTAATCGAATGTTGCATTTGACTGCGTCACACCTCATATCCGGGCGGGTCGATCAGATCATACAGCAGATTGATGTTCTTTTTGCACAATGGACAAGTGTCCTTTAGATCAAGCCACTCATCAATGCACTCCTGGTGGAAATGGTGCCCACATGGAAGGAGCTTCAGCTTAGTGCCTGGCACATAGTTGTCAAAGCATATGGTACAATGATAGGTATCATCCGAAAGATCGTTCTGGTCCTTGTACAGTATCTCCTGCAGCTTTGGCTTGATAAATGTTATCAAAAATAGAAGCAGCATAATTGCAAGCAGCGGTGCTATAAACGCCACAAATCCAAGCGTGATGAAAACTGCAGACGTGTAGTACAGCAGCGGGTTTGTCACATTGCAGTTCTTGCACTCCTGCAACCATCCAAACCCAATCAAGTACCAAAACAACAGCAGGATCTCTGTAAAGTTCGACAGTAGATTCGTATCTGCATCCTCCCTGTACTCCGGTATCCTGTTTATTCTGAAAAACGCCATATTCTTCGATAAAAAGATCCCAAATCTGGCAATTGTCATTACTACATACACTAACAAGAAAAACTTCAGAGGCATCTCGCAAGTCTCATGCCTGGTAAGCGCCAGCACAGTCAATCCCGTAGATATCTTCATAAAGCTGAGACCCGCCTCCATGAGTATAAATGCCTTCAGAAACCTCAACGCGCTCATTCTTTCATGGAATTGAGGATTTGTAAGACTATCCTCTTCCCTCACATCCATCCTGTGTCCAACTAATTTTCTTTTTATTTTTTTCAAAGGGGCTTTCTGCTCGCAATTGGTCCATTGCAAAACCCACTGTATAAATGAAAGCTCTGGTGTTCATAGATATGTATTTGCCAAGCTGCCATACCAACACTTACAATAACGCAATCATCAAGGCATCGCTATGCTTATGCCAAGGGCATACATCTTCAACATCCAGAGGGATTTAATATCCACCTACAAATCCCGCTCGTAGCAGCTCACATGAAGCTTCAAGCTTGTACATGCTTTTTGATGGAGACACCTTTCTTACAATCCTCAGCAAGTCTTTTGATACCTTTAGGCCGATCTTTCTGAAGATGTACTGCTCAACATCCTCGTCATTCCTGCTGAAGAAATAGCAATGCACAAGGGCATCTGCATTCCATGCACTGATTCTTTCAAGGTATTCCAGGCTATGCTCAGGAAGATTCAAGAAGAAGTGATCGATCCTCCTTCCTACCATCACGCTCAGAAACTCATCGGCAGTAAGGTTAAACACCTCAATATTGCTGCTTTTGAGCTTATTGGCTTCAATCGATGCCTTGATGCATTCAATTGCATGTGGATTCAGGTCATTTGCATACACCTTGCATCCGTTCTTGAGTGCCCTCAAAGAAACAGGCCCGACCCCACAAAAGAGATCGCAAACAGTCTCTCCAGGCATAAACATTCTCAGCAGCTCAAGCCTTTCATTTTGTAGCTTGGAGCACCAATAAACATTCTTGTAGTCGATGCAGAACAGAAGCCCTCCTTCCTTGTGGACAGTTTGCAGGTTAGGCTCTCCCCCTATGACCTCAAGATCAAAAGACCTAAACTCATTTGATATGCACCCAACTTTGGTTATCACTGTCATTCCTGTCTTTTCGTGAATTACTCTTCCAATTGCATGCCTATAGTCCATCTGCTGCCCATCTAGGTTCAGGTGCGCAATGCTGCCCACTATTTCAAATGACGATGGCACCTGGACACCAGTAGGAAGCATCTTTTCAAGCACCTCTGCGTATGTGAAGTAATTGTAGTTCAGCTCGATATCTATCCATGTGTAAATGCATCCAGTTTCCTCGATTTTGCACTTGCTATCATCAACCAGCATTAGAATATCGCAGTCAACGATTGTCATCACTTTGAAGCATGCATACTGTTTTTTTGTGTGGATAACCGACGGGATTCGTGCAATCCTCCGGGCACTGCCTCTGTGCCTTGAAATCATCTCTGAAGCTTCTGAATTGCTCATTGCAAGTGCCAGTGACCGAATGATCGATCTCATTGATTCCTTCTCATCCATCATACGTATGGTAGGGCTGTTCCACTCAGGAAGGGTCGTGCATTCAAAGCATACAGATCTGCACAACAACACACTAATAAGTCATAAGCACAGGTAATATTTATTTGCAGCTCGATTTGCTTTTGCTACAGCCACTCTACATTGCTGCTCAGGATGGATACTGCAGTGGCGGTCTTTTAAACCAAAAGACTCAGCTTTGATCGTCGTATTCTTCCAGTGTCATTGCTGTAAGCTTCATGACTTCTCTCCTGTAGTCCTTCTCGTTTTCTCTAAAATGCCTTGCAGCATCTACATTTGCGGGGCTTTCGCAATTCGGCGACGTCAGAAGCGTTATGATGCTGATGATGATGCTCTCCGGTGTCCGCACAGGAAGCCACCTGTCTCCAAGAGACTCGTAGCCATACTTGTCCTCCCCTGCATCGTGGAGGATAGATATGCACACATTCCCATTCTCATCTATGTTTGGATGCCACATCTTTGAGCAGAAGCGAAATGTCGGCGGCGAGTCTGGGTAGCTTGCCGGAAAGAGCATTACTGCCTTGAATATCCCGTTTTCGTACGGCGTCTTTCTTGGCCCGAAAATCAGCACCTCCCACGTGTATATGTTTCCGTCCACAAGCCCCACGCTGTAGTACTCGTTGGGGCTTTCTTGGATCCGCTTGTAGTCCTTTAGAAGGATGCCCGTTGAGAAGTGTCCTTTGCCTGCAGCCATGTTGTTTTCTGGGTTTGAAACCCGGTGATTTATATATTGGATCCGATGCACAATCGAAACCTCGGGCATTCTTGTGCTGGATGAGTGCAGTGCGGAGTGTAGCTGGCGCATCCAATGCTGATGATGAAATACTGCGCACGGCATTGAGATGTGGAGGAACGAAAATATTTTGCCAAAAATTTGTACCCTACGAATGGCAGACCTTGAAAAGTCGCTGAAGATATTCCCTCGACAGGCTGGAGTGTATGCAAAGCCATATAGCTCTGGCGAAGAGAAGGCGATTAGGAAGGTTCGTGCAGAAGTGTATGGATACAAGGCGCCCGAGACGGCCTATACAAGGAATTACATCGATAAGAAGTGCCCGTTTACGGGAGACGTGAATGTCCATGGAAGGATCATCCGGGCAGTAGTTAAGAAGATGAAGGCTGAGAAGACGATAGTAGTGGTGGTGAACTATTTGCACTACAGCAAGAAGTACAAGAGATACAGCAGACGACACACCAATCTGTCTGTGCACATGTCACCGTGCTTTGAGGGGATGATAAGTACTGGAGACAGTGTGATCTGTGGCGAGACTAGGCCACTTTCGAAGACAAAGTCCTATGTGGTTCTTGGATGTATCAAGAAGTCTACACCACAGGGTGAATTCAAGCTTCTTGAGAGTATCTAATAAAATACTTTTATTGCGCTCTGGATGTATATGTATCCTGCATTGAACAAACATGCAGTGTCTTCATGCATGCCGCTGAATGCTATTCGGCATGGCAGCCTCCTTCGTGAATGTTGGCCAGCACAATGTCATCAAAGGATGCAAGCTTGCTTTTGATAACACCGATTGGATGATACAGTACACTGCTCCATCCATCACTGCTTATGCAGAATGCAGTGCCGACATGGCACTTTGTCTGGATGCTGTATCCAAACACTCCGCATGGGCCATATGCTTTGCTGCATTCGCCTTTAAACACGGCATCATTGCACATTCCAACATGTATGATGCTCCGATGCACATTCTTCGGCATGCCAGCTCCAAGAATCCTTGCTATGTATGCATCACCGGGTGATGAAAATACTATTGCAGGGAGGTTAAGTATGGTTGCAGTAAGAGATGCAATGGTACCACCCATTGAGTGCCCAGTAAGAACCAAGCTCTTACCAGGATACATATTCGCAACAGATTGTACTATTTGAAGTGCATCTGCAAGATATCCCGTTCTGTTGAGGTCCTTGCGCTTCTGCAGCTCGCATTCATGCGTGTTACATATTGAGTATAAAACCTTGTCAATAAATTTGTCTGCTTTTGATGTTCGTCCTGTTTCTATTCCCATGAATGCAGGGCTTGTTCCTTTGAATGCCACAACCACACTAGTGCCATGCGCAAATGCTTTTGCACGTAACCTACTATCGCCGTACCCAAATACAGCCAGCTCGTTGCTTAGACTACTTTTTGAATATGTGTTTGCAGCCATATCGGCAAATGCAAGTAGATTGACTCTGTTTGTGAAGCTAAGCATCATACCTGAATGAATGTCATGCTGGACTTGAATGCCATCTGGCATGGATTCAGCATCAAATGCACCAAATGCTGCAGTGTAAACAGATACGGTGAATAGTCGCATGCAATCTATGTATCAACAAAGGAAGCATGCTACATAAATAGTTTCACCTGCTGCTCCCACTCTATGATATGCATTTCTGATCATATCAAATGCTTATATAACATAATTGACCTGCTGGCTGGAATAAGCGCATTGAATACACATGGGAAGTCATTTACTGCATTAGAGGCAGTTACAATACCTGTAGTTGCACAGTGCATAGAATCAAGGCATCCAGGCATGCTTTTCCAAAGTATCAAGTATGCATTTATTTGTAATTCAAGCAAGAGCATGCTTGAGAAGATATCAGACATACTCACTGTGGTTAGTATACATACATACATCAATCTTGCTTGCACACAAATTCTTTCTGAGCCAATCACGCTTGCAAGAATACTAGGAATATCATGCATGTGCATGCTTATACAACTTGCTTTTCCAGCAACAATTAGCACGAATTGGAGAAGAAAGGTATTCCATGTTTGTATATTTTTTGTGTTCTACAGGCAGGAAAGGCTGTCTTTTGTACTTGCAGAAGGCCTTCTTCTAATCACAGCGGTTCTTTCATCTTCCCACTGCATCAATGTGCACTTGATGTTGTTCCTTAGCAACAACGACCGAGGAGCAACTATTGCTTCTCATGCATATCTTCTTGCAGCATGTGTGTATCCAAGGCTGTTCGTAAAAGACGAAGAGTATGTGTGCTCGCTGATATCGATCTGCTTTCTAGACACAGCGGCGTCTGTGGTTGGACAGCTGCTTGGGAAGAAATCAAAGTCTGTCCATGGAATGGTTTCAGGCATACTGCTTGCATTAGTGGTATACTTTATTCTTTATGGAAACCACAGCAGAATGGTTTATTTTGTGCTGATCGGGCTGGCTGAGTACCTTGTTCCAATTAATGACAACATATCTATACCAGTGCTTTCAGTACTGTACTTCCGATACATGCGCTTCAATTCCAGCAGCACCCTGCTTTAGATTCGCGGGATGGGTCCTTAAGGCATTCGGTATCAAACTTGGCGCTTTTTAGCTTCTTCTTGTCTGTACTGCATCTTTGCATCTTTGCGCGTTTGTAGATGGCAGACACCAGCTCAAAGAATGCCTCCCTGACATTGTCTCCGGTCATTGCAGATGTTTCAAAAAATGAAAGACCGTTTGCAACAGCCTCGTCTCTTGCACTCTGTGTATCGACCTCGCGCTCAGCTTCCAGGTCTGCCTTGTTTCCCACAAGCATGATCGGAATGTCGTTTGGAGAGAAGTCTCTGAGCTGCGATAGCCACAGGCCTGTTGCCTTTCTAAGGCTGTCTTTATTTGTGGTGTCGTATACAATGACTGCACCTGATGTTCCTCTATAGTATGCCTGCACAATTGCCTGGTAGCGCTCTTGGCCGGCAGTGTCCCATATCTGTGCTTTTATGACATCATTATCTATTTTGAATGTGAGTGTGCCAAACTCGACACCTATTGTTGCTTTTGAGTCGTGGCTGAACTCGTTGCGGGTCAGCCTTGAAAGCAGGTTCGTCTTCCCCACGGCCGAGTCTCCAATCAGCACGATCTTGAACAGGTAGTCGAAGTTTTCTGATCGAGAGGCCATTAGCATGAGTAAATAAACAGAAGCAACTTATAACTATTAATGCATCCAAAACGACATCAAATCTGATCGTAGTACATGGCGTGTTTGTTTTGATCCCTAAATGCTCAAGAAGATCCTCTTGAGGATACTGAACAGGGTGCTCGGCAGCTATGTTGAGAACATAGATAGGCATCAGATAGAGCTTGGGATATTCAAAGGGCATGTCTCAGTCACGAATCTTAGGATCAAGCCGTGTGTGATATCGACAATCTTCAAGGGAAGGGTGATATGCAATAGCATTGGGATGCTCCATGTCAAGGTTCCGTGGAAGAGCTTTAACAAGCATCCTGTTGAGATTCACATCCGCGATGTTGAAATCAAGCTTGGAAAGGCGGGCTTTTGCTGGTGCTTTGCAGATGGAGGGCTGTGCCGTGAGTGCAGTGCACACGAGGCATACGAAGCCATGAGTAGGCTTGATCGATTGAATCTCTTTTCTGACGATGGCGGCAATTCTGTGTTGTTTACAGACCTGATCGCTGGAAATGGATTTCGTGTCTTGGTGGAAAACATAAGCATTGAGTATGTCAGCGGCGTGCCTATGGGCATTAGGATCAGGCAGGTTTCGTTCAATAAAAGGCAAATTAGCAGTTCAGACTGCAGAGGTAGCAATCCAAAGATGTTTGATGTGTTTGGAGTCGAGACGACTGGGCTGATGGCCGTCATACCATCTTTTGATGTGCTTTCTACAATAAGTATGGCTAATGAGCGAGTTTGCATTGATACACGCATTGGCGAGCTGAGAATCAAGATAAGGCAGGCAGTTGCTGAAGAGATCATGGCGAGAGTGAGGGACTATGAAGAGGACGGTGTTAGATGGAAGCTTTTCAGAATGCATGGCGAGTACAAAATGTTGCTCAGGATGCTGAGGGATGCGAACGGGCTTGATGGAATCAACGATGCTGTTGTTGTTGATAAGCCAGCCATCGTTAGAATGCTCAAATGTCTTGTTAGATTACAAGTCAGAATAATTGAGTCGAAAGGCGTATTGCTTGATGACATACCTGATCTAGTGGTTAGAATCAAGGAGTATGCAAGCCTTCTGGGTGGGCACAGCTTAACACAAAAAGAAGTAGATAAGAAGAATGCATATGAAAGAGAGATGTGCCTTGAGCGACTGCTGAGGATTAGAAGGATACGATCGAGTCAGATGAAGAGAATGTCATGGAAGAGTTTACTCTATGATCAGAGCATATGCATAAAAGAGAAAAGCATGGCAAAGATGCAGTTAAGTGTTCTTCTGGAAAAGCTTGTAGTTGAGTTTATTGATGGGGAGGGGCAAGGTGCTCGCATGATCCTTTCTGGAGTAAGTGCCAGCTCTAGCGATTTGTTATCTGAAGCAATTATAAGATTTAAGGTGAACGAGTCGAAGGGATACTTTATTGATGCATGCATGAATGAGCATGAGCCTTACTGCGAACTTGTATCGCATTTTGCTGAAGTTAAGTGTGTCTTAACATATGAAGGAACAGACATGTACCTTAAGGGATACATAGATCGATGGATGCTGTACGGATACCAGAAAGAGCTGGCACATGTACTTGGTGTGCTTGTGAGGAGTGTGAGGAGTGCTTTGCGGCCATCTTGTATGCCTCATGGGTTTCCAAGCAGATTCCGTGTGAATGCGAAGATAAGGATGCTTACTACTGAGTTTGACATTCTGAAGCTGATTGATGCAGGGGAAGGCAAAAGGCACAGTGTTGTATCTGAAAATGTGAGTGTGTCGTATCTGGACGACTCTATAGGCCGAAGAAGAGTTGGATCGTTGTGTATATCGTCTGTGGTTGTGAGTGTGGCAGACAGGATTACTGAGGCAAGAATACCGCTTTCTAACAGCATAGAGGTAAGCATATTGTTTGTAGACGGAGTGTTTTATGCAAAAACATCGATGATGGATTTATACATGCATGAGGTGTCTGCTGGGAAGGCTCGGGATGGAATGATGTTTCCTTCGGGATTCACTGTTCCAAACTTCGAGGTGTGCTCTGACACGATAAAGATCAATGTGAGCGAAGGTGTTATTGAAGTGGAGAAGGTAAGGATTGGAGGAAACGGAGGAAGTTTGATGTTCTGCAATGTGTATGGATGTAGGCTGGTTGATGGAGAAGGACAAGAGGTGTTTTGTGTGCCCAAGATGAAGATGAATGTGCGCTTGCACGAGTCTGTTTTTGTGGATGTTGGATATCTGAGCGTTCGTGGTGGATATAGAAGAATGCTGAGGAGAATGAATGTGATGGTGAATAGAAGAGGAAGCTTGCAAGGACTGAGAGTTGTTGTTAGTATTGAGAGGCTGAGGATTCGACTGCGCGGAAGGGAAATGCAGATGAAAGTGGATGCTGATGGATGCAGTGATGGGCATGTTAAGAAAGCGATAGTGCGGATGAATAGCAGTATGCTATGCGTGAATGGGCTGGTGTATGGAGAGTTATGGAGAAGTGATGAGGTGAATTTAGCGTTTAAGAAAGAGGACTTATGCAAATTGATGGAAGTTTACAGGTTTGCCTGGGGAGTGTTTGGAGTAGGATACATGAAGGAGTATAGTATGATTGGCAAGGAAGTGTGTCTAAGCAATGTGCAGGTGAATATTGAATACTTGGTGATGAGAGTGCCTGAGCTGAATTGCTGGGCTGGGGAGTATGGAATGCATGTGATGCCAGCGAGTGTGGTGATTTGTGAAGATACTGGATCTGAGTGTTGTGGCCAAAGTGTTGCTTTTGAGCTTGTTGATGGATTGGCATTGGGAAAGCTGGGCAGTATCAATGTGAAGATACATGGAGAGATAAGCGATAGAGTTGTAAATGTTCTTGCGAGTATATATGGATGCATGATGAAGATGCTAAATGAGGAGGAAATTAAAGGGAAGGATATGAGGAGCTGTGGCTGTATGATTGACTTAAATGTGAAAGTGATGCTGGATGTATGTGTTTGGATAGCATCTAATGAAGATAGATTGAATGTTGAGGGAGTGGTGATGGCTATAGTGAATGCCGGCCGATGGAAAGTAGAAGTAAGTGTGTTGGAAGTAGCAACAGAGGATATGCATTTGGCTAGATTGAGTGAAGTAAGCGTTGCTAATGAGGAAGACAGAATGCTGATGCGTTGCAGGAGGATAGAGGTTGGGATTGAGATGCATAGGATTGCGAGTGTAGTTTATGCATTTGCAGATGCATGCATGCATAGTGGGGGTTTTGATGGTAGGCCGAGCTTTTTGGAGGCTATCGATGTAAATATTGAAGAGGCGATACTCTGCTATGGAAACGACATGCAGGTGATAAGATTAAGGGAGGTTAGATATGATGGAGAATGCAAGATGTATTGTAAAACTGCGTTTGGAACAGAAAGCATAGTGGAGTACAGGAAACGAAGGGGAAGGAAGAAGGGGCTTGTGCTGAGTGTACAAGGAGGATGTTGTGATGTGAGCATGGCTATTGATACGATGTGCATGTATTTTTGTGATTGCCTGAAAGTTTGTGAAGTTTTGAAAATTGAGACGCATGGAGAAGCAATTGGAATGATTATGATGGGAATGGAAGGCATGGCGTGTGGAGGAATGATGAAGGTTTGTGTGCCTATTGGATATATTGCGATTGATGGAGAGGCGAGGCTGAAAGGCAGGATTGTATGTGGAGTTGAGATGTATGAATATGACGGCCGAAGGTTTGTACCTGTTGTTGAAGAAAATGTATATGCTATTAGTGGTGGATGCAGTGGAGTGAGTGTCAGCCCACTGAATAGATTGAGAGTCTTGGGAAGCAGAGATGTTTTTGAGAGTGTTTGTGGTGTGTTTCGAGGATCTACCAAAAGTAATATGGGGTATAGAAAGGTTCGAGTAAGGAATGCAACGGAAGTGTTGTTGATGGTAAGGACAATGAGAGGTGATTTGAAAGTAGAAGCAGGCGAAGCCTGTGATGCTGAGGTTTGGAATTGCGAGCAAGGTATAAAAATAACGAATGAAGATGGAAGCAGTGGAGGATGTGTAGATGTGTGCATTGGACAAACAAGCATTGATGTTGATGGGAAGAAGTGTATTTTGAGTGTTGAGCAGAAGAATGGTGTGTTTGCAGTGACGATTGTTCATTCACTGGTGCTTATTAATCTTTGTGAGTTGGTGGTTTGCATGAGGATAAGGTACTCAAATGAGAATGTGGCTGAGATTGAGATGCAAGGAGGAGAGATGCATACTGTGCCTTTATGCGGAGATTTTATGCTAGAGATGGGATTTGAGAGGAGATACTCTATGGTTGGAAGGATGAATGTGGGGAGTGTGGAACAAGGGATTGGATGGAGATGTATGATGGATGGGGAGATTACTGTTGGGGTTGATGTTGTTTCAAGGAATGAGCGTATACCTGGCATGATTGTGATGATTGTGTATCCTATCTTTGAGATAATGAACAGAACTGGGCTTGCATTAGATCTTATGTTATGGACAAATGAGAAGCTTGCTGTAGACGAATCTAAGAATGGATTGATCCGGAAGAATGTTTTGTTTAGTATAAGTGATGGAGAATGTAAAGATGTGTATGGAATTGATGCAAGCGAGTATTTGTTGCTTAGTGTTCTTGATGCTGAGAGTGGAGAGAGTTCAAAGGTGTTTAGTGAAGAGGAGGCGATTGGAGTGTGGAGGAGGCGATTGTTGATAACGAAGGAAAGCTGTGGGATTGATGAGTTTTTTGGAAGGCATGACCTTATGTTCAAGGCCAGGATTGCCATATGCTCGCGCATGATGGTGATGAATGGTTTGGACAGCGATGTAATGATTAATGGATGTGTGTATCAGAAGGGAATAGCGTGTTCTGAAGTGATACCGGTGATCCGTGATATGGAAGTTGATGGGTATAGACTTGGCGCGCCTATTGATACAGGCAAGATGTGCATTACGGAGACTGTGCTGATGAAGAACGCTGCATGTGCCGAGGATGGGGTAGCTTGTAACGATGCAAAGCAGGTGGATATGAATGCAGATAAACTGATGGAGAAAGCAGGTGTGGATGCAAGAGGATATAAGAGTAGCAGCTTGATGAATGCAGAAGGGACGGTGCAAGGCGTGGAATGCAGAGTTGGCATGCAGCTGAGCCGAATGAATGTTCTTGTTGAAGTCAAGCAGATGCAGGATGCAAAAGCAATTGTGATAAGGCATGCATGTGTGTTTGTCAATAGCACAAGGTTCAGACTGTTGATAGTGTCTGAGCACGAATATTTGAGTGTGGAGGCAAACAGCACAAGCCCTATGAAGATGATATCAAGCGGGGTGTTTCTGTTTGCAGCAGGAAATGGATGTAGAGTGCGCATGAGTGGAGATAATGTGTATGTTCCAGCAGATATTGCGGCAAAGAAGCACTTCAGCCTGAAGATTCCGGATTGTGTGCTATTCAGTGTCAGTAGGATGATGGACAACAAGCAACAGGTGTTTATTGTAATGGAGGAAAATGAATGGCCATATGCAATATGCAACAATACGCGGTTTGAAGCGAAGTTTGTTCAGGACCGTGGGATTGCCGATTGTGTTGTCAATAGCATGTCTATTTACTGGTATGCATTGGAAAGCATGGTACTTGAGCCGGTTATTGCTTTTGAAATATGTGGAATACAGACACAGGTTCACTTGAATAGAAATGAGACCTTGATGGTTGCTGGAATAATGATATGTGTTTTTGAGACAATCAGATGTAGGGTTGTGGTTGTGTCGGAAGATATGGATGATTTAATGAGCAATTGTGTAAGCATGGTGCTTGATATTGGCGAGGCGGGTGTTTCATTTATGGATGCGGAGGGTGCAGAGGCATTGTGCATCAACTTGGCGAATACAAGGGCATTGGTGAAGCGTAGATGTGGGGTTATGCAGCTGCTTGGAGAGGCGTTTGCATACGAGAATTCTGAAGTTGATTTGCAGATTGGCAGTGTGCAGATTGATAACCAGGCGTTGCTCTGTGTTTTTCCGGTGGTTGTTTATCCTCTTGAGAAATCGAAGCGCATAGGACGAATGAGAGGAGAGGAGGGAAGCTTTATGTCGCTAAGATTTGAAATAGATAGATCTGTGCATTGCATTGCGGTGTCTGATATGTACTGCAATATCGGTGGGTTTGCATTGAATGTTGAAGAAACACTTGCAAAGAAAATCGCGAGAATATTTGATGTGTGTGCACTGCATGGAGATGGAGAAAACGCAAATAAGCAAGCATGGATCCGAATTTCTAGGATGAGAATCGAGCAGATGCGGATGAAGATAAATTTCCTAAAAGATGTGGAATCGGGATTTGTGTCAAGTGTGATGGGGTTTTTGATAAACAACGTCAGCGATTTTTCTGCTGAGATCGATGGAATGTGGGAAGAGGGAGTGCATACATCCACTGATAGACTCATCAGCATGGTTGGTGATTTTTATCTTGCACAGTTCAAGAGCAATTTCTACAGAGTGTTTGCGCATCTTGATTTTATTGGAAACATTGGAAGTCTTACTGAATCTGTGTCAATAGGCATGAAAGGATTGCTCGCTGAGTCTATGTCTGGCGACACTAGCGCCACACGCGGAATTGTGAGGGGAGGAAAAAGCCTACTGAAAAACACAGCTTTTGGAGTTTCTAATACAGTTGGAAGGTTCTCAAGAAGTGTAAGTGCAGGCGTTGCACTTGTGGCGTTTGATGCTGAAAAAAGAAAGAATGCTTGGAGTCCTTACATTCATGATGCTTATCTTATAGTACCGATGAGCAAAAGCCGTAAAGGTGTGGTTGCAGCAATATGCAAAGAAACAGGAGGGTTGGTTCGAGCAATAACACACGGAGTGGCAGGAATAGCAACCACACCGATCCGAGGAGCATCGCGTGGTGTTTCTGGAATGATAAAAGGGCTGGGTAAGGGTGTTGTTGGAGCGTTTGCAAAGCCAATTGCTGGTGTTGCAGATCTTATAGCGAATGTTTCAGAGAGCATAAAAACGTGCGTTGATGGAAAGGTGTTTAGAATCCAGTATCCAAGGCCCTACATCGATGAGTATGGATATGATGAAGGCCTGTGCCAAGGATTTTACATATTCTCGGTGATGATCAAAAGAGCATCTGATGAAAGATTTGCTGATGCTTCGTTTGGCACGCTTAATGTGAAGTGCCAGTTGATACTAACAACAAGAAGAATGCTGTTATTAAGCAAGCACGACGTGCTGAATGTGTGCATATCAAGTGTAGATGTTGATGAAAAAATTCATCAGGTTATAATTGGTGTGCTTAGGGTTAATGTAGAAAGAATGGCTTTCATCAATTCTGTAAAACAGATAAAAGCAAGTACCGGCTCGATAATGGGTGGATAAGATAATACACCATTCTGGAATCAACACAGATGTGAAGTATTCAACTTATACAGTACGGTAGCAATGGCAAGCAATAAGCTCATGTTGTGTGCTAATGAAATAAACTTATGTATGTAGTAACTGGATGGCCTGAGCAAGTAAAAAGACGTAATAACTGTTCTAATAAGTTTAGTCATTGATAGATCGATCTAGGAGATTCACAGGAAATAGTCAGGAATCTTTGTGGACACAAGCATTTCCACTTTTGTTGGAGATGGCTCGAATTGGGTAAAGCTGTACGATCCGTACTCATCCATCTCCATCAGGGTAGCAAGGTTGCCGCACCTGTAGCAGTAATTCGGTGCACTGAATATGGTAACACATCCTTTCTCGTGGCTCCAGTTGTACCCATTCATCACTAGCTGATGCGCTCTACATATCATCTTCAGTCCGTTTCTCTCATTGAACGATTCTGTTATGTCTCTTCCAAACGTGTATCCTGCCCCTCTTGGTGATGGGCCCCATCCGGGCCTTTCATCAGGATCAGACCAGAGAAGGTCACACATAGGCCCCTCGTGAGGCACCTCAACCTTCCTGTCAATGCTTTTCAATTGATCCAGCGTCTCGAATGACGGACTCAACCCCCCATGGCAGCAGAACGTGTCGTTGCCAACAACTGCAGCCACAGGCAAGTAGTCAAAAAGATCCGTCAAGGTTCTCCATACCAACGATGTTCCATACTTCCTAACACACTCGTCGTAAAATCCATACACCTGCGTTATCTGCCTGCTCTCATGGTTTCCCCTCAGTAGCCACATCCTGTCAGGATACTTCACCTTCAGGCACAATAGGATTGAAATGGTCTCTACAGAATGGTATCCCCGGTCCACATAATCCCCCATAAACAGAAAGTTCGTGTATGGTGGAAGCCCTCCTACCTTAAACAGCTCCATCAGATCGTAGAACTGTCCATGCACATCTCCACAAACAGTAACAGGTGCTTTCACACTCACCACATTCTCCTCTTTCATGAAAACCTCTGCTGCCATTTCACACAGGTGTTTTATTTCTAGCTCGGTCAGCAGGCTGCATTTGAACAGCTTTTCAAGATAATTCTCTATCATCTTTCGTATTTGTCCTGGGGTTCAAATATTTTCCTGTTTCATTGTATGCTTCACAAAGCATGCTTCAGGTATTTGATGGCATTGCTGGTCACTTACGCTACTCGTGCTCTGGTATTTGTTGCAGCCAGGCCATCTGCTTACAAATGACTGTAATTGAGTAATCAAGCATGGCAGTGATTGTGTCATTAATTTATGCTGTAATGAGTTTATATTGTGTGCTCTGCCAAACAACACCCTGGACGGATGGATGGCCTGCTGTTTGCCTCAAGTGAGAGTGATGCATGCATGCTGCCGGCTGATTCGATGTGTTCCAAGCCGTTTCGAGAGATTTTTTGGTCGTCCAGTGACGATGTGCAGCTTGAAGGTCCTGGAAACAATCCGTTCGAGGAGTCAAGCATGCTTGATGAGAGATTGCTTAAGGGCTCATTAGAGGAGATTACGAATAGGAGAGAAAGCACATGTGAGATGATAAAGATGGCTGGAAGAGCACCGCTTCCATCTGCTATGAGTAAGAGGCAAGAAGTTGATTTCTGGAACGACTTTGGAAATGACGAGGTGAGTTCCCTGCCTACTCTTGGGTGTGGAAAGAGCGACAGCATCCAAAGGATATCTGTTGATGTTGCAAAGCAGGTCATTGAGGGTGTGTATGGTATTGAGTATCAGGTTATTGATTGCAGGTTCGCATATGAATATAATGGAGGGCATATAATGAATGCAATAAACATAAGCTCATCACGAGAGGTTGCCCCGTTGCTGAGAAGCCCAAAGGTGTTGATTTTCCATTGCGAGTTTTCCTCAATAAGAGCGCCAAGGCTTGCACAGTGTCTTAGAAACATGGACCGGATGAGGAATCCATATCCACATTTGAGTGTTCCAGAGATATATGTGATGGAAGGAGGATACAAGAAGTTTTACAGAAAGTATCCTGAGATGTGCAGCCCGCAGGGATATGTTGCCATGAATGATCGAACGCACAGGAGCTTGTGTAAAAAAGATAAATTTAGAGTAAATAAAAGATGCTAGAGCCTTAAATGTGTTATAATGGTTTATTCTGTGTATCTGGCGGAATGATATGTGGGATTGTGTATGGTAATGGACGATTCATATGCTATGCAGGATGCCCTTGAATGCATGATGAGTTTATCGCATTGATCATTTCGACTTACAGATCAGCGATTAGTTTACTGAATGATTCGTTCAGTGGTATGAGGAATGCAGTGGTCAACAATCTGTTGCTTGTTACGATCACATGTGTTGTCTGTATGAGCATGAAGTTTTTTGTTGAATTTATTTTAGGATACTTGGCTGCAACTGCAGATAGTGGGAAGAATAGCAGGAGTATTGAAAAGGGAGAGTATGGCTTAGTTATAATAGTTAACAGCGATTACAAGATGGAAAAAGGAAAAGTTCTTTCCCAAGTATGCCATGGGATGTCCAAGGTGATGACATATCTGTTCAAAAATAATGAGTTACGAAAGGAATGGAAGAGGAATGGAGAGGCAAAGATTGTGTTGAGAGGCAGCAGTGCCCAGATAGAGCATATACTGAAGGATGCTGAACGAAAGGGGATTCGTCATCATGCCGTGTATGATGCAGGTAGAACACAGGTACCGCCAGGATCAAACACAGTGGTGGTTCTTGGCCCTGCATTGAGAGATCAGCTTACACCGATTTCTGGGCATCTGAAGTTGTACTAAGTAATGCATGCCATGCCGAGATAAATGGTTTATTGTTGATGCTTTCACAAGCCATACATCGCTGTGCTCCCAATGATGTGAAATAGGCTAATAAAACACCATTTATTAAACTTTATGAATTACAGTTGATTTTATATTTCTATTGCTCAAGACAATAAAGTGTAATAGCGGTGCCTGCATGTGATTTGTCTATCTTTACAAATACATATCCGTTAATGTTCATATTCAAACAAGAATCGCTTTGTAATCTTTCTCAATATATTCCATGGCATAGCATAATGCAATCATTTTTTCAGAATAACAACATATTCTTTCCTGATTCTTGCCAATATGCTTTTGTCAGGCTGCACGACGTTCTTTTCGTTGCTGTTAGGAACCACAAATATCAGCTCATTGACTCTTTCATTGATGTACTTTGGTGTAACAGACACTCTTCTAGGAGACACTGTAAATGCTCCCGACAAGGCAGTCACATACTGCAAGGAATCCAGTTCAGGGCATTCAGGCAGCAAAGAGCATATGTGCCCATCTCCTCCTATCCCCAGTAGACACACATCAATCACAAAATCGCTCAGAATCTTGCTGTATTCAATAGCTGCGTCATCCAATGGCACTGATGTGTGTATAGGGTGCACTCTTGCCTTTATTCGCTTTAGGAACCCATGAGCTGCTGCATGGTTCAGCTGTGACTGGTCTGCACGCTCATCAGAGTAAAAAACACTCCATCTAGACGTATCCAACAGCTCATACCTGCCATCATCAAGGCATTTCAGCAGAGAGCCTCCGGAAATCATCAGTGAGAAGCACCTGCCAGAATAGCATCGAAGAATCCGGTAAATCTCCCCATTAAAGTCGTCCGTAAACAAAACACTCATTCAAAGGGCAAGGTCCACGTACAAAATCAAAGCCTTTCACTTTTCATTCACACATATAAAACAACATCTGTCTTCCAGCCAAAAACCACCAAAATAAATCATCAGTTTATTCTTGCCGATTGCTCTCATCATTGATATAACGGAACTCAAATCCATCCTCTCCATTTGCAAAAACCTTCACAAACGAGCGGAGCCTCTTCATGTGCAAAAACCTTTTTGCCTGCCACTTCAGCCCTTGCTTGCCAATGAACCCTCCAGTGACAGAAACCTCAACAACATTTCCATTCACAGACACCTTCAGAAGATTCTCCTTCTTTCCAATCCTGCATTTGATCTTCTGCTGCAGAAACGCCTCCACCTCCGTAGGAGAAATCAAACTGTCCTCAACAGGCTTTGAGCAATCAACAAAAAACTTCCTTGTGCTTCTCTCAGACACATTGGAAGATGCAACCTCCTGCTTCATGGGGTAAAAATTTTGGTTTCCAAAGAGCAAGCCAATCCACAGGGCTATCTTGCAAACCATCCTATCTTATCAATTCATAAGCCATGTAGCTATTGCACATGCCTATTCGCATCTATGCACGCTAATCTCGTTTATTTATTGCGTTGCCGATAATACTGCCTCCAAAGTATCCCTGCAGAACCTTCGGAACCATTATTCCCTCTGCACACTGGTAGTTCTCCACAATACAGCAAAGCGCCCTCTGAATAGCACACATCGTTCCATTCAGCAAATGCACATACACCTTACGCTTGTTATCCTTCCCAACCCCATATCTTATGTCAAGCTCTCGCGACTGATAGTCCGTGCAGTTAGAGCACGAAACCAACTCCCGGTACTTGCCAGAGCATGGGAAAAACGCCTCGAGATCATACTTGATCGCGGCTGCATCGTTAAGCTCACCAGACACAATGCTAACCACATTGTAGCTTATATCAAGCGATTGGTAAAACTCCTCACATATCCTCATCATGTCTTTGTGGTGCTTTTCAGACTCCTCGGGCCCACACACAACAAACTGCTCAATCTTCTCAAACTGATGCACCCGGAACAATCCAGCATTGTCCTTTCCATGAGCACCGGCTTCCTTCCTGAAGCAAAGAGATTGCCCACAAAACTTTTTCGGAAGATCCTGCGGCACAATCCTCTCCTCCATGTACAACGCAGACAGCGACTGTTCAGAAGTCGCTATCAAGTACATATCATCCTCCACCTTGTAAAGCTGGTCGTCAAAATCGCTCAGCTGTGACGTCCTTGCCATAACATCCCTTCTCAGCATCACAGGCGTTTGTATATACACATATCCATGCCTCTCAAGAAAATCAATAGCATATCTTGCAAGTGCCTGTGCCAGCTTCGCCATCGCCCCAGATAGGTAGTATCCACGATGCCCAACCACCTTTGCTCCCGCCGCTGCATGCGTATAGTCCTTCATAAGCACAGAAAACGGCACAGGATTCTCTTCAAGCCTTCTTTCACTCCTGTACGATCCAACTATCAGATTGCTCTCTTCATCATTGCTGACAACAACTTCATCAAATACCACGTTTCCTATTCCCTTCATCATCTTTGCCAGGTTCATCTCAACTCCCTTCACTTGCTCCCTCAACTCCTCTGCCTCATTGCACAACCTCTCAGACTCCTCCACTCGGCTACAAACCTCTGCATCCTCCTTCTTTCCGCCATTCTTAAAATGCTGCTTGATCTCCCGATTCAACCGGTTCACCTTCTTGTTTATCTCATCAAGCTCAAAGTTCATTCTTATCCTTGTCCTGTCAAGTTTATGTGCCTCTTCAACCGCTCTTCCATCTCTAAACCGCTTCTTCTCACTTTCTATCACCTTACATCGTGTACCATCATCTCTGATCAGATTTATGTCAATCATCTCAAGGGATCCCTCAGCTTTGTTTATTCAGCCTCTATCTTGACAATACACATTTCATTCATTTAATTGCATCCTTCCTCTGCATCAGCTCCCGCTTCAGGCTCCTTCCAAAACCTGCAAAAGTGCCCAGCTCGTGAAAACCCATCATAAAACTCACTCGGCGTCCTCATCCTCCACTCATACTTCAGTCCATCATCGTAAAGATGCCGGCAGAAGTTATAGTTCCACATCTCAGGTGCATAAAACACTCCGATCTGCTCTACCAGCTTAACCCGCCTTTCCTTCCACTCTCCTTGGCTCCATCTCTCCACCTTAACCTCTGCACCGACAAATATCACCAACGGATCCCTAATGCCATACCTTTCAACCATCCTCTCCACTTCTTCTTTCTTTCTTCTATTCACAACAATCCCTAGAATAATACACTCGGGAACATACTTCACAGAGCATATCTCATCAGATGACAAGAACTGCGGAATCAGCCCAAACGACACTCTTCCTTCAATCATCACAACCAAAGCAAACATAGGCACATATGGATCCATTAGCTCAGCAAACTCTTCAATCAAGTTCATTGAAAGCCTCTCATCATCTACGCTATAGCATCCTTCATCTCCTTCATTACCACTCGCATCCTCCGCCGTCTTGCCAATCTTCCATCCGCTATTCAAATCTCGTCTTTTCTTCATTTCCTCCTCAAAACGTAGATAATGCCTTCTCCATCCATTTCCTTCTCCAAAAAAAATCACGCCATTTGCGCTATCCTTCATGCTGGCGCTCAGCCCTACTCCTCTCACTGCTTCCATATCAACCTTCGTGCTAGCCCCTCCATTGACCCCATCTACGCCAATCCCAAACACAATATCCCGTACCTCTCCAGCCGTCAGGCTTTTCGAATCAACTCCATACATATCACAATGCCTTTCAACAATCAAATCCTTCAACCTTACTTCACACTCAATCCATTCCCTGTCTGTAAGCATCGGCCACATCCTGTTTATTCCCGTTCCCACCACCTTCTTATCATCAATCTCCAATGCTTGCATCACAAGCAGCAATCTACAAAAGTTCGTAAAGCTACTTGTTTCATTCCATCCTCCGTACAGCTTAACACTCTGCATCCTGTCGCTGGCATCAGCACACCCAAGCATCATTACATTCGAAAACGGAATTCCAGACCGTAGAGACCTTACAACAACCGACGGATAATCCACAATCACATTCTCAATTACATCAATCATATCATCCGTAACAGACACGCTTTTCTTGCTGAGATCGTGTACAAGCAAAACCACATCTCTTGCTGCAAGCTGCTTCGCCTCCCGTATCTTCTTGCCATTCGAGCAATAGCTCTTGAAATACAAATTCCCACTGCCTGGATCAAATGCAAACACTGCTCTTTGCTTCCTTCCCAGATATCTGCTGTCAACAATCATTCCTGAGCTGAAAAGATCCCCGCTGCTATGCACAACCTCAACATCAGATGTGTATAGCTGCAACGCCTTCCTGATCCGCTCCCTCAGCACAAGCAGCATCGAATTCTTCTCAATTATCACTGCAAACATACTCCTCAGAACAATCACCAGCTCTTCATTCATATGCCCATATACACTCCACGTATTGTAGCACAAATCAACCACCGCCACCATCCCATACTCTCCAGGGTACTTTGCCAGTGGATCATTCATTCCCTCAACAAACCTGCTCTTCGCATACTTGTGGCAATCATTCCGTTCATAGTCTCCCCATCTCAGCTGCACATCTATCCAAAGCCCATCTACATTCTTCAACTCTTCAGGCCTGGTACTTCTCTCACTCATAAGCTCAGATATAGACAAAGCATCCAAAACACAAAATTCCCCCTCAAGCAAAACATCTGCACTGCTACTCCCAGCACGGTAGCTTTTCTTTGCATGTCCTTGGATCCGCTTGGCTCCACAGTGCTTCCTAAACACATCAATCACATCACACACAATGCTTTCATGGATTCGCTTCCACAGGCCATTCCGAAAAATCTGCACAAACGACATCTTCAACGTAGGCAGCTTTCCATGCATAAAAATCCCTGTTTGCTCAAGCTGCACCTGATATCCAACATATACATCTCCCCTATTTATCGTAGGTGACCACCATAGCATAAACCTTTTGTTGGGAACTTGATTCAGCCCAAGCTTCTGTGCCTTCGTCATCCTTCTGTTTCCATCTATCACCGTTTCTTCCCAAAACACTTTACTAAAATGCCGGAAATGCGTCGCTCCAAACAGCGTATGCTTCATCACTTCCTCTACTCCTCCCATTGCCTGTAAAACATCCTGTGGATACTTCTCAATATCCCACAGCCTTCCATCATGCCTTGCATCCGTAAACCAAAACCAATCCGGCTTTGTGCAGAAATGTCTCTTAAACACATTCCACATCCTAAATCCCCGGTCATACAAAAGCACCTTGCTCTTCTGCAGCAAAGTGCCCATCCTAGGAATCCCCTTGCTCGCATCTATCTTTCCTGTACTTGCATACTCCATCCATGCTGCATCCGATTCCTCAAACTCATCCTCCCATCTCTTCACATATTGCATTATTCCAGGAATAACTGCTGCAGGCGCCTCCTTACATGAAGTAGCAACTCCCCCAGCACTTATCATCCCAAGGCCCCCCATCTCCTTCGGTGAATAAAACATCACTGCCGGAAACCTCACCGGCATCTTGCTGTTCATCCCTCGCTTGACAACATTTCTGATCTGCTCCTCTGCCCTCATCAGCTTCTCCTCAAGCCCTCGCCGCCCATATATACACTCCCTGAAATGCATCACAAATCCTATTATCAGCGTGTTCCATCTTTTGGCCACCTTCAAAAACGTTGCTGATCCACTCGTGCCTACCAAGTGCCTGATCCCACCCTCAAAGTCCTCCACACTCTCCTCACTAACTGCCAAGTTCGCATACTTTCCATTCGACAACTTCCACGACCCTTTTCCATCAACTCTCGTCTCAGAAATAAGCACATCAACGCCAAGCATACTCAATCGTACAACAGGAAACACACTGCATCTTCTAAAAGCTATTCTTCCAAGCGACGGATGCATTCTAGTAGCCATCTCTGCATGCACATACCCACTAATCGCCGTGTTCGTCTTGCTCTCAATTCCTTTGCACTCATCAAAGTAGTTCTTTTGCATGCTCTCAACCTCAATCTCTGCCTCCTCTCCATACTCGTCAATCAACATGCTAACATCCCCCTCATCCATCTCAAGTATAGCATATATCTCATCCATCCATCTCAGGTACTTCTTGATCATCCCCCTTCGAGGCTGCACAATGTCCTCTCCCAGAACACACAGATCAATCACAAACATATAAAACTTATGCACAAATGCAGAAAATTGAAACCCGCTAATATATCCAACATGGTTTGTATACGACATGTCCTTATAGCATATCCTGCAGTTGTTCCTACTGATCATATAGTCCACTAGCACCGGGTCAATCACAAGCTTCAAAAGCTTCGACAGAAGATTGTTGTCTACTTTCCTCATCACCTCCTTATATCTTCCCTCATACAGCACCACAATCTTGCCTTTTGCATCAATCTGCCCAATCTCATTGCAAAAGTCCATCAGGCATTTCATGTCCAGCTCATCGCCAGGCTTGATAAAGTCTGGAAACATCCCAAGCCTTTCTGCCTCATAGAACAAATATGCACACAGAAACGCATCCGTCAGTCTCTCGCCAGGAGACACTTCGTAGCATTCAATCGCTCCTTTCCCATGCTTCCTCAGTTCAACCTCAACCTCCTTGAACGATCTTTGCGTTATCAGCGCCCTCTTGATCTTAAACACCGTCTCCTCAGCACTGTCGAGCATTGAGTCAAAAAAATCAACCTCCTCTGCTGTTGCATTGCTTTTGACCTTGTCAATCGCTATTCTCAGAAAATTCTCCTCGTTCCTCTCAGGAAACCCTATCTTTCCGGCCACTTTGCTCTTGAAATACTCTGCTGCAAGCCTGTACACTGCAACCGCATCAGCCGGCTTTAAGCAAGGACTCTTCAGATACTCCGCTTGCTCTACAATCTGCTCCTTCATGTACAACCTAGAAACACGTCCAAGGCGCTTCTTTTCCTCTTTCTTTCCATCGTTCACATCGCTCACCGTGCTTTCAACATACCACTCCGCCTTCAATCGAATATACTTCTCAATCACTCCTTGCAGCTCAAATATCTCTTTCCGATGCTTCATTCCTGCTGCCTCTCCTCGCACACTCAGCTCTTCTATGAATCCCTCAGAAAACACAACCATATCATCATCCACACTTGTACTGCCTGTATTTCGTCTCGATACCAGCACTCCTGCCTTTGATTCTGAGCAATCCTCAACACAAACTTCATCGACCCCACTCCTCATATCCATACAGCTCACCTCATCAATCCTCCTCAGGCTTTCTCTACCAGATTCTGCCTCCTTCCTCTCGCATCTCATCTCCAGCTCCTTCACATGTTCATGCACAAGGTGGTACGGCACACTCGCCTTCCAGCATCTCCATGCCTCCCCAAAATGCTGCAGAAGCTTCTTTATCTGCTCAGGATGCAAAATGCACGACACCTCTCCAACTATCCTTCTCTTCAACGACACATCATATCCACTCTCGCTTCTTTGCTTCGACAACGGCTTCGCTCTATACTCCCTTCCTTCGGCTATCCTCCTTATTAATCCACACACACATCTTTCAAGCAGCGGAATGTGCCCTCGCAGCATAAAGCACCACGTCCTCCATTGCTCAGCCCAACTGCACACTCCTGCATACTCCGCAACATCATGCATCTCCTTGCTTCGCTTTATCTGCCGCATAATCCTATACTTATACCGATACATCCCAGTAAGTATCCCTGCATTGCACAGTACATACTCCACATTCTTCGCCAGCTCATAGCAATCAATCAATCCCTGTCTAAACACAACATGCAGGTCAACAACATGCTTCACAAACTTCAGCATCTCTCTCAACAGGTGATACGACATCCCAACTCTCGACCTCTTCCTTTCCTTCGTAGTGAGTGTGCGTACAGGCCTCAAGTTGAAGTTCCAATCAAGAAACAGGTAGCTCAGCTTCTTCCTCTTCAAAATCTCGCTGAGCATCATGTGCCCTTGGCTAAGCACCTGTAGACCTGCTTCCATCCAATCAATCTCTGTTTTTTGGAAGTATCTTGTGCTTCTCAGCCCCTTCAATACATTTGTCGGGCACTTTCTGCTCTGCGGCTTCCTTTCCATGCACTTTGCATATCCCTTCATAATAGCCTTTACACTTGGCTTTCCATCCGCACCCTCACGAAAGCAAATGCCTTTCATCAAAGGAATGTCAACAGGATGCCTGCTTTTCGTTCCTGGCCGAATCGAGTACGCATGACCGCCTGAGCCAGATAAATGTGCTTCAGAAACTCTTCCATGCAGGCTCGTCGACAAATCACAATGCAATGCTTCTCTAGCATTCAAGCCACACTCAATCTTCATATGCAATCTTTCCATGCAAGGCAGCCTGGCATGCTTGTTGTACACATACGGATATGCTACTCTCTCCAATCCGGGAGTTCTTCCCATAATCATAACATCTTGCTGCTTTTTGCTAACATGCGGCCCTCCCTCGATCCAAACACCAACTTTCCTTGCAACAGCAAACGACTTGCTGTTAAACAGATATCTCTGTCCTTGCTCACAAAAAACACTTTCAGTTGCTTCTAAGCATTCCACACCTTTTGGAATCGGCATCCCAATAATACTCCCATAGCTCATGATTTCCTGCTCATCGTCAAACACAGGATAGCTCAGAACACGGATTCCTCCGCGCTTCTTAGACTCCTCAGAACATCTTGTGCTTGCCATGCTCCACATCTGTCGGTACTCATGTGCATCAGCCCTTCGCTTCTCCGTAACAAACGTAATTACTCCGGACACATGGTACAGCACAGACACATACCTGAGGGGCTCCCATGGCATAGGCATCGATCTCAAAAGATTGTGAAGTGCATAAGGCAAGTACCTCATTGCACCCATCGATGCAGGGCATGTGCTTTTTAGTACGTTCATCGTCCTTCTCAAATGCTCTGGCGGCATTTTTTCCTTGTTAACACGCATGCTTAGGGCAACGAGCGTGGAAATATGATGTTGCATCGGTGCATTGCCAGAATGTGCTTGCTGTGTATGCACGATGACAATTGCAAGCATCTGCAGCCATAATTTGAATTGATTCGTGCGCACTCCCCAACACATGGTGCATGAGCACAGAAAACACTCCACAGCAACAGAAAAGCTTGTTGTCACCAAGGCAGTGGGCATATACGGGATAGATGATGAAGCATCAATAACAAGATACATCACAGCAATGTACTCGTATATCCATCCAAGGAAGTGGAAGCAGATATACAGAGACGTGCTTGACACATACAGGGCGCATGGATACACATCCCCTGTTGACTTTTGCGAGGACCTGAGATTCAATGCAGCAAAAAGGGTGTATGCAGAGAAAGACAGGCTTAGGGCAAGCATTCTTAACGGGCAGTGCATCAGATACATCGAGACAAGTATGGAGTATGACTGGAATATAGGAGAGATCGGCAGGCTAAAAAAAGTGCCAAACGAAGGTGCTCCGAGCCAGGAGCTGGACAGCAAGCAGCTGTGCTCAGCCGTGGACCCACACATAATGAAACAGCATGTTGATGCAATGAACAAGCAGAGCGCAAGAGCCAGCACAGCTGTCTTCAGAGTCGCCCAGAAAACAAGCAAATACGAAAGTGCAACCACCAGCGATAAGGAAAAGAAAAGGGTGTACTATAGGATGTCCGATCAGGAGAGGGAACTCGACGACTTCATGGACAAGCTTGAAGAGGATCAATACGTTACTACAAGCCCGTTCGAAATACCACCCAGCAGGCTGAAAGGAAAATATCCAATAGTCAAGAGCATTGCCAGTCCAGGCATTGTAAATACTGCCAAAGACAAGAAAGACTAGCTCATAGCACAATGCCTCATATATGTATGTCTGTAGCACAGCATGTAAAGAGTTTCTGTAGATATCTAACCACGCATCTTCACACATAAGATTGCGTCTGAATGGCTGTAAATGCAAATTCAACATCCTTACTAATAAAAACTAAAAGAAATCATATCATATCAATAAGATTTAATGGTTCTGAGCAGTGGCAGATACTATCGGACAATTGCATCTACAATTGCTCTTCTTCTTGCTTCCAGATCAAGATCGCCTACAAGATCAAACACACTTTCAATAACTGCCATCTCAACATTCGTTGTCTTTGCCCCGGCAATGCATGTCCAGTCATTGACCACAAGGCCTCCTCCAACACACGGGCCTCCTGCATTCACTGTTCCTGCAACCACATTCACCTCAAGTAGCTCGCTCAGCTCTTTTAGGCTTTCTTGGCTCGTTTCAGGATGCACCAGCATGCCCTGGTTGTTCATCACTCCAAACGTCCCTACAAGCGGCTCTTGCCCAATATTCTGCCGATACACAGGAACACGAAGCACGTCTCCGATTGCCTCTTCAGTCTCTGCATTTAGGTCTGCATGTATGACTGCCACATGATCATTGCACAAAATCACATTGCCAAGTGCATTCAGCCTCTCGTCTATGCGCCTCACTACCACATTCTCGGGAAGAGAGTTGCGCACATGCATAAGCTCTTGGTCGCTCATCGTATTCGGCACCACAAGCCCATGCTTGTTCCCTCTGCACAGCGACCCAACACTCCGTATCCCGTTGATGCTTGTCTCAACTATCGGCATAGCCACATTCTCATGCAGAAACTTAAGCACGTTGCTGCTCCGCCCTCGTCCAACTATGCAATACGTGTTCGTAAGCGAAACATATGCTCCTATGTCCGAGCTGCCTTCAAAATCTATCCTAAACGACATGGGCCAACAATAAATTTGCATTTTCATCATTGCCATGTCCTTCACAGCTCATGCACACTCTTGATGTTGTTACACCTAATCGATACTTCTCCAATCTCACAAGCACATTCTGCATCCTTCTCAACACACTCCTCAAGAAGAATGTTGAAGTAGTTGTCGGACGAAACAAGCACTCCCTCATAGCATTGTCCCCACTTCAAAACAACACACACTCTCTTGCCCTTCATCCTGCATAGAAATTGCTTGGGATTCTCCCTCACAGGCACATCCCCATCTTCAGCTGCTGCCCCATCCATCAGGGCACATAAACTCACACTGCATATCACCACTCATCCATCGAAGATTTGCATTCAAATAGGATATTTAATAAAAACCACTTGCAGCCACCTCTTCATCTGCATACCAGCCTACACTGCATACAGCCTCTCACCATCCACCAAAAGGGCCGTCGTCAATGTCAATCCCCAATCAAGCTTGGCTTTTCACTTATATCCTTGAGCCTTTCTTTGGAGAAAACATGGACTTCATTGCATGTAGCTTTGCAAACCCTATTCCTACATATATGATCGGAATCACAAACATAATGTATAGTCCCTTGCGTATCCTCTTTGCCTCAGCAATGTTTCGTTCCTGAATCGTCTTCAGTCGCATGTTCGTGTTGTACAAAGACATCAGCTTCCCCTCAATGTCAACAAACAGGTTTTTGATTGCCAGGTTGTCATTGTCCAATCCATCAGAAACCATCACGTTCGTGTACACACTGATCGATGCATTCTCGTCCCCCCTGTTGTCAATATCTATCCTGTATGTTCCGTGCGTAGTATACTTCTGATCAAATGCCTCATTCATCTCCTCCCAATCATCCTCACTGTCCTCAGACAAATCATTCGGCTTGACAACTCGGTAGAACACCGGCTGGTTCGAGTACTGGTTCAGCTTGATGTTGAGCTCCAATCCGTTCTCTCCAAATATTGCCCAGTACTCCTCCCTGGCCCCCGGCCTCAAGATCTTCTGGATCCTCGAACACCTCACTGCACACACAAGTGCAAAGCACACATACACAATCCCTCTCATGGGGTGCTGCCTGGCACATGTTTTGTTTGGCTCCGCTTTGCCTGATCTGTAATCAAAACACCTGCCCTATGGGCTCAAGCGTAAGCACAATGCCAGAGGACATAGACAGCGACATCAGGCAGTTTTCGCACTTTCCAGCAAACGATCTACACCAATGGCTGGTTGCATTCAAAAAAGCATATCCAGCTGGCCACATCACAGCAAAAAACCTTGAGAGCATGTTCCGTGGGTTTTTTCCATTTGGATCTCCAGAGTCCTTTTCAAAGAGACTTTTCGAAACTATCAACATTAGTGAAAGTTCTGCCATAGACTTCCATGAGCTGATGATTGCATACAGCATTCTAGTCAAGGGAAGCGATCACGAAAGGCTTCGCTGGATATTCAGGTTCTATGACACAGATGGCGACGGCGTCGTATCAAAACAGGAAATGCTCTGTGTCGTCCAGGGCATAGCTGATATGACATCAAAGACACTCGAGCTTGACCTTGATCCTTCCAGCATCACAGAAAATATTTTCAGCTCAATCGGGCACTCAAAAAACACCTTGAATTTCGAAGACTTCAAAACATTGCTAGCAAACAACAAAAAGGCCTTTGACATGCTTATTCCATTCTCTGCATAATAACTGCTTCTTTCCACCAAAAGCACATGGCTATGCCTTCATACACACATACTGTATTCATTATCACTGTCTTTAATAAATCATTTCGACTTAACCTTCTTAACATCTCTTGAGTCGTCATAGAAGTTGGGCTTGATCTCATGCTTCGGCCTACCCACAGCTTTTCTGCTCTTGCCTCCTCGGCCCTCCAAGTCCTTGATTCTTTTCATGATTTGCTCTCTCATTCGTGCGCCATGGCTCTTTTGCGTGTCATCTCCATACATGTCAATCCTGGCTGCCAGGCCAATCTTCGATGCCAGGCTCCTTGCTATCTTCGCCTTATGCTGCGACGGCGTTTGCCCAACCAACGAGCTTCCATATATGATCCCATACTTCGGCGTATTCGTCTCCGCCTTCAGTGCTTGGAACAGTGCCTTCTCCGCTCCCATCATCTGTATAGTGGATCCTGCCATCTTCGCAAGGCTTGACAGCGACCCTGCCTTGCTTATCATCTGCGCTCCCATCACATCCCCAACCAATGCCATCAGGTTCGGCGCCAGCCCTTGCATCTTCACACAAATGTACCTCTCTAGCTCGTCTCGAAACTCAAAGCTCTTTAGTACACTCCTTGCATCGTCCAGAATGCTCTGCATGTCACTCTCATCCATCGCAACCCCCATGCTGCTTTCTGCAAGCCTCTTCACTTGCTCTGCTTTCTCTCCAATCACCTCCTCAAGCCTCTTCATCTTCTCCTCATCAATGCTTTCCTTTCTACCAATCTCAACAGCCGCCACAAGATACTCCTTGTTGCTCTCATACACTCTCTGCAGCTCCGGAAAGTGTATCCCATACCACTCCTTCAACCTCATGCAGTGCAAATTAATGTCCTTGTCCATATCCCCTAGCAGATTCACAGACTGTATCACCATCGTGTCTATCTTCTCAGGCACCATCCGGATCTTCCCCATGCATATCTTGTGTGCAATACAAACAACCCTTTCGGAATACTCAGAAATGTTCATTCCAAAATACTTGTATGCCTCAGATCGTGCAATCCTCAGCACCTCGTCATTCACATACACAACCCTTCTATCCAGCTTCTTCTGCAGTCGCTCAACAAGCTTTGGGTCATTCACCCCCAGTATCTCCTTTCTCTTGGACTCAACAGAGCTGATAAAACTCTCTAGACTCGATGGAACTGCTCCTTGGATCAGAAGCCTGGAAGATTCCATCGCCTCGTCACTATCCTTGAATCTATACACTCCAAGCAGTTCGGCATTCCCTTGCCCTTCGACACTGTCAAGCAATGCGTATCCAACTGCAGTCTCGAGCAAATATATCATTTCAAACGGCTTCAAAAAATCACAAAAATATACAGGACTACGACTACTACACCACATTATCACAAGCATTCATTCAAAAGCACATGCATATTCGCTCACACCATCCAACAGCCTTCCACTCCCACGCATGGCCAGACTTTCATATTAAATCGCATCTCATATGCCAACTAAAACTCCCTTTTGCTGCACTGCATGCCCTGCACTTCGCTATCTTCAGGCGGTATATCAATGCTTTCCAAACATACTCCGCTCTTTCTGATTTTCACCCCATACTTCAGGCCCTCAAGGGTGTTGATACGCAGGCACCCATAGCCTTTCATCTTGGCAAACGTCAGCATCACATTGTAATTCGGGCAGAACCCACTGAAGATATTCGAGTCCTCCTCAGCAACTACATCGAAAAACGGAAATAGGTTCATCTCTGGGCACAAAAATGTTGGGACAGATACAATGCACACATGCTTATTCATTCTTACACACCTCCTGAGTCTATACATAAACTCCACCATGTCCTTGCTCTTGTACCCGTCACACATCCAGAACGGTGACATCAACGAAAAAATCACAATTCTCACTCTCTCTTTGCTTTCTGCAATCCTTAAAATCTCTTCAGGCGTTGCATGATGCTTGCAAAGCACACTGTCCTTTCCATCAAGCCTGTGCTTACTCGAGAGATTGAATCGCGGCCTGCACTCTCTGGAAGGCACTCCAGAATACCTCCATGCTATAACCATCTTATCAATAGGCACTTCATCAGCACGCATACCCGTGCTGTATATCCACATCTCCTCTTCCTCCTTCGAGACAGCCAATACTTCTTCATTGCCCGCAACGCCTTCAGATAAAAAAACCCTCAGCAGTACCGAGTGTGCCGACGAGTTCTCATCCTCAGCAACCATCATCATCGATCCTCTTGCAACATACTCTCCCAGCACCCGATCCAATCCATCAATTCCGCTGGATATTCTTTCGACAGCACAGCTATGCTGAGTGCTCCTCACAAACGATGCCATAGGGGTGTCTAGCGTCGTGCGATTGCCTGTGATTGTGAATTACTCTTGCCTGCGCTTAGCCTTCGCCAAATGCCGCACACAGCGAATGAGCATTCGATTGATGCAGGGACACTGTGGTTCATGCAGAGGCCGCATGCACACATGTGCAAACACACATACGTAGGATCACATGAAGGTCTGCACGATGCACTGGCTTTTGGATCTGTCATAAACATAACAAGCAGCGGCATAGCTCTGATCCACAACCACAGAATATACAACAGCATGAAAAATAACAATGAATGGATGGTGAGCATGATCAACACACTTGAAAATCAGCTTGACAGCATGAAGAAATCAAGCACGCATGAATACACAGAATGCACATACAGTATGGCAAGAAACACCATAGAAGCAATACATGAGGAGCTCAGCAAGTACGAAAATGAAACAACCGTCATGCTTGCAGTAGGCGATGCAGTGTTCTTCATGAAAGATGACGTGGGAATGACAAGCTTGGGATACACACAGAATCCATTCTGCCTGTCGCACACTCACTATGCAAACGAAATAGATCCAATGTGTATTTACTCATACGATAGGATATCAGGAGCGCTAGACAGCTGGCTCAAGCACAGCAGCACACTAGTCGACACATACATCTCAAAAATAAATGTAATCTCAAAATACATCGCAATGGACAAGCACTCTGAGTATTTATACCTGCAAAGGCATCTGGAAACAGTCGCTACTAACAAGTGTGCAGGTGAATATACATTAAGGAGGGATTTGCAGGCAGAGGATGAAGTAGCTGAGTTTATTCAGATATTCCGCAATTCAGTAGTGCAGAGAATGGTAAATGGTAACATATGCATATTCTTCAGTGGAGGCGTAGATTCAATGCTGCTGGCGGTTTTTTTACACCACTCAGTAGCATCCGATCAAAAGATATACCTGATAAACACATCATTTGGACAGTCGTCAGACAGAAACATCGGGAAAGCACGATATGAAGAGCTTTGCTCGATGTTCAAACAACGCACATTTGTGTTCGTTGCAAACGACATCGACATCGACACGCTCAGAGCTGCAGAAGCACACATCCACAGGCTGCTCTGCCCAAAAGTCAAGCCAATGGACTTCAACATAGCAGCTACCCTGTTCTTTACTGCAAAGGAGGCCAGGAAGTACAGCAATGTGGCATATGCAGGATCAGGTGCCGATGAACTATTTGGAGGATACAGCAGATACACAAAATGCGAATTCAGAGACTCGATGCTTTTTGATTTGCTGACGATTTCGCATCACAACCTCTGTAGAGACAGTCGTATGATGTCAGACAACCAGATAGAATGCAGATACCCATTTCTCGACTCCAAACTGATACGATATTCACTAAGCATCAGCGACCAGATGATACTTGGTGCAGGGCTTAACAAACTGATCATCCGCGAGGTGCTGAGGAGATACGGCTTTGCCAATGCTGCAAACGTCCCCAAGAAGGCGATGCAGTATGGAAGTGGCGCATTCAAGATGGAAAACAAGTATTCTGCATACAACAAAAATCATCAATAAACACAGAGTCAATCACAAAGTTCATTTCATGCCTCTCACAGATAACCCGTACAATTACATCAAAATCATGCTCTAAGCACTATTTCTCGACAGCATCCTAGACTCTCTGTCCAGCTTAAATCCATGCTCCTTAAATGCTTCAGACCCATAAAAGCCCGTCGGAATCGCAAATCCAAACGACTGCACTCTTCTCTCAAACTCATCGACCGTTACGTTTTGGCTTCGGAATGCTTTTATCTTCTCGCTAAACACCTCTTTCAGCAAAAACACAAGCACATCTACATTGTTCTTGTTGAAATACCGGATAAACTTCCTCCTCAGGCTCTTGTGTATCGAATACTTCTGTGCACCCATAAACGAGTCAAGCACCACAGAAATCGCTTCATCAACATCTTCCACATTCACGCTTGCGCTCAGGCGCATCTTTGCAAACGCCTCGCTTATTCTTACAATACTCTCAACATGCCTGACAGTCACAGGTAGTCCAGAAGACAGCCCCTCTTTCCTAAGCTCCGAATACAGACTCGATATCTTCTCCATATCCATATCGTGGAAAACAGGCTGTACATTGCTTCGTGCATACATTATGTACTTCCTCAGCAACTCCTGACTCATCATCTTCTTTGCCGCATCAAATCCATTCACTTTGCTTTTGCCACCCCCATCATGCGATTCTATTATGAATCGTGCTGTCCGTTCGTCCTCAACACTGTCAACAACATCCTTTATCACACACAGGATATCAAACCTTGACACGATCGGATCGCTCAGATTCACATTCTGCGTAAACGCCAGCGATGCATTGTACCGCCCACGGATCGGATTCGCCGCTGCTATCACACTGCATCTTGCATGCAGCGTAGCAACTATGCCTGCCTTCGATATCGAGATCGACTGCTGCTCCATCGCCTCATGGATGCTTGTTCTATCATGCTCGTTCATCTTGTCAAACTCATCAATCAGGCACACGCCCCTGTCTGCAAGCACCAATGCCCCTCCCTCAAGCGTCCATTCCTTGACAACAGGATCCTTCCTGACCGATGCCGTAAGCCCTACTCCAGATGCACCCTGCCCGGTAGACAACACCGCCCTATGCGACGTGTTCTCAACATACCTCAGAAACTGCGACTTTGCCATTCCCGGATCCCCTATGAGAAGCACATTGATGTCTCCTCGGATCCGGTGGCTCCTGCTCTCCTTAGCAACCCCACCAAGCATCGCCAGTGCAACTGCCCTCTTCACCACCTCCTGCCCATACACAGAAGGCGCTATCGAGTTCACCACTATCCTCCGGATGTCTGGGTGCATTCCCATCCTCCTGATATCCCTCACGTCCTCCTCAGTCATCTCAGACACTCCCTCGTCCTTGCTTACAGAGCTGGCCTCAATAACAGTAAAAAACACAGGAAACCCGTTCTTGATGTTTAAAGACACATTAAAGCTGTTCTTATACACTCCAGTCACCTCAACCTCCTCCCCAGGCTTTGCACAGTCAATAAGGTCGTAGAACAGCAGCACATCTTTCGACCGCGGCAGAGACCCCGGCGGAACACTTCCAGGAATCTCCTGAATAGTTAACTTCTGGAAGTCCTTGTATATCGTTTCTGTCGTATCCACACAAAACGGCCCCTTTGACTGGCATTCAAAGCAATGCGTAGGCTTGAACACAGATGCAATAAATGGCCCAAACACGGACTTGCACTTCAGGCAGTTAAACTTCATGATCGAGTAGTGTGGAAACACCCCACTTCTGCGTGTCACCACCCCACTCACCCTCACAAGCTTTCCAAGATGATTGTTCCTCAGTGCTCGGATCCCTTCCACAACAGGAAGCCCCGTGATCCTGGCATGCACCTTCGGCTTGATCATGTGGTAGTTCGGAAAATGCACCCTAACAACCTTCTCAAGTGCTGCATTCATCACTTCAATTGTCTGCTCGGCATGCTGATTCAGCAACCTTACCAAATCACCAGACTCCTGCTCAACATCCAGATAGCTTACCTCAATACTCTCCATGTTTTCAGAGCACATCCTCCGAATCTTCTTCACATACTTCTTGCTACTAAACCCACCAAAAAACTTCACAAACCTTGTCTCCAGATTGCTTCTAAAGAGCTCTTGCTCAAAAAAATCACTCGATACTTCCCGAGCCTTCAAAATGCTTCCTGCATCATAACCATGCACATCATGCGAGCACTTCTCCTCGCTATCCATTCCATGGCCATCGGCTCCTTCCCCTCGTTCATGGCCAAAAGCCCTTGCGCCATGCTCTATATACTCCTCAATATCAGAATGGTCAACAGCTTCCGAAACAGATGCACCATCAAGTGCATACAAGTCATCGTCTATACGCTCCATGTCCTCGCTATCAAGCTCATGCACCATGCTCATGCCCAGGCTTCCCTCTCCAGACCCATCAGTGTCCTCATCCTCGTTGAGCCTCCTTTTGCTCATTTACAGGGACCATTTTCACACAATAAATCAACATCGCTCATCTCACCTAGTCGTATTTATTACATCTTGCAGATTGTCAGTATTTGGCCAACAGCCCATCCAAGTACACCTTAATACATGCAATCGACTCCTCAGATCCAACATCAAAAGTAATGTATTCGCTGTAAAACTCCATCACATATAGATATCCGTTCTCTGGAGCCATTCCTGCTGCTTTCACAAGAACTAAATCAAAAACAGATTCACAGATATTGACCAGGTTGTAGTGCTCGATCCTTGATCGCCCAAGAAGCACATCCGACAGGTTTATCCTGCATCTCAGTCTCCCATCATCTGCAAGAAACGACATGCCTACCTCCTTGAGCTGCATGTTTACATCTTCTATGCTTTTCTTCACGTCAAGCATCCTTTGCACTAGAGCTCTTGGCTGTTCAATGCACTGAAGACACGGCTCAATCAACACTCTTGTAAGATCGACTGGCTCAGTTGTGTAAAAGTACAGATACCTTACGCTCAAAAAGTTTTGTTGCTGAACCTCTTGGTCAATTCTGTCAAGCAGCATGGCCACTCCCTTGATGATGGCCAGAGTTGCCACATTATACAGCTCCTCGTCAAAAAACCTGCATTGCCTGAATGCTTCAAGCATGTTCTCGGCGCCGGCGACTCTTGGTTCGCCGCCATCCTCAGAAAACACCCGCTCAAGCACCATCTCGAGCAATTCTTGCTCAAAGCATTCATAATATGGAATGTCCTGCAAACCAATCTTCACAGGAACACCCCTCTGCTTCTCATAAACATCTCCATATGCCCTGAGAAAAGACACAGGGTCGGCAAAGTGGCCCATCATGTCTTCTTGCTCTGGAAGAATGAACACCATAACAAACAGTAGGGATACCGTAGAGCGATTTATGGAGAGCATATCTGCTTAAAAATATTTTTGGCAAAGCCTTGATGGACAAAGAAAACGCATCGGATAATACAGCTCAGGACATGGTGCATGAACGGCGCCACACCAATGCCAAGCAAGATTGCCCACTGGACGTGTTTGCGCCCGAGCTGTTGATAAGCAGGCTGCAGGCGATGGATGACTGCACAGATGAGATTACAAGAATCATCAATGCCACACACATCAGCCATGCAAAGGTCAAGAAGCTGTGCAGAATAGTGAATTCTGTGTCAAACTATAGCACAAGTTCAATAATTGAGATGACAAAGGAGAAGAATAGGGCTACGAGATACATATCAACATATCTGATGCTGAGCAGGATACACAGGTTGGTTCAAGAGGGAAAATGCTTTGGAATTGCTGAGGAAATGTACGACGAGGTGTTTCTGGTGCGGTTCAGAGATGTTGATCCAAACATAAGGACACTGTGTGTTGAATGGATGTATGAGTGGGTTGTGAGTGTGCCGAGTGTTTTTGGGTCTGCACATTACCTGAAGTATCTTGGATGGGCGCTTAGCGATAAGAGCGATGTGGTGCGTAGAAGAACAGTAAGACTGATAGCCAGGCTGGTGGAGAAGAATGTTGATGTATGCCAACTTATTTCGAGGTTCAAGGGTAGGATTGCAGAGATTGCACTAGATGACAAGAGTCCTGGATTGAGGGATGATGGAAGGATGCTATGCATAGTGCTGTATGCCAACGGGATGATTTTGAAGGCAGATATACTGCGGATCTTGGCTGTTGTTGATGAAGGTAGTCAAGGCGAATTGCTGAAGAGGGTGATAATGAAGATGCTGAACGAGGAGATGGCCGAGCAAGCACAAGAGCCACCGCTTGCCAACCATAAAGGAGTGCATGAACTTTTATGCAATGCATCGATGTTTGTATGTTCATGCATTCCGCACACGCCGGAGGATGTGGATGTGTTTAACAGTTTTGTGCTGGAATTTCTACGACGACGAAGTGTGTGCTGTGAATCGCGTGTACTGTGCTACCTAAAGATGCTGAAGGTGCTTTCAAGTAGTGTGATGGATGTTGAGAAGCACTGTGAGATGCTTGATGTTGCAAAAGACAATGAAGAAAACCTGGTTGAAGTGATTGGATCTCTTGCATTGGTGGACATTGGGGTGTTTAGCAAGAGGCCTGATGTGACAGATAGGATTATAGTAAGGGGAAGGGAGTTATGCATTAGCCATGCAAGCGAACGGATGGTATGGGTATTTGTTGATTTGCTTAAAAGGCTTGAGAGTGTGTTTTATCCATTGGTGTGGCAGTCGGTTGAGCTGCTGAGGCATGAAGGAGCGATGTTTATGCGTGGGCTGATTAGGTCGTTTGATGTCTCGGTGCATACCGATGATGAGTGCAGTACGGAGGTCAAGTGCTATGCAGCATTGTGGAATGTTATGTCTGAGGATTACGCGAGGATGGAGCAATATGAACTGAAGGATGTGGCGAATTCTGATGTACTATGTGACTTTTTGGTTTTTTTCAAGCAAAGATGCGTTGAGTTTGATGTAATTGGGAGAGAAGTAGCAGACTGCACAGGAAAGGGACGGAGGCTGAAGAGCATGTATGACAGGCTTTCTGTGCTGCTCAACACTGAGGCAAAGAATGTATTTGTTGATAGGCAATCCTGTATTTCATTATTTAAGCTGGTTGAAGAAGGGCTTCTGGTTGAGCATTGCGACATTTTTTTCGATGTATGCGATACCGAGCTGGTGGGTGAGTTTTTGAGCAGGTCGAAGTGCAGAGCATGTCTTGTTTCTGGATACTTCAAGTATCTTGCACGAGTAGACGAGGGAAAGCAAGTGTGCAGCGTTGGCAAGATGGTTGCGTCGAAGTGCGGAGTCTTGAAGAAAGGAGCTGATAGAGACAAGGTTGTTTTCAGAGGAATGAGAATGCTTGTTGAGATGAAGAGGGAGTTTCTGTATGACACTGTTCTTGTGTATTTTGTTCCGTACCTCAGCAGCAACGAATGCATTGTGATTGAGCAGTGTGTGGGAAAGTCGCGACTGAAGATGTCTTTGCTCAAGAGAAGCAGGAGCCGCGGATGATAGCTGTGCTTGACATAAATTATTGTGGTATAAATGTATTGTGTCGAATGCATGAATGAAGTGTGTATGGAAGATATTGAAGTATTCGATGAGGAAGGCAGATGGAGTGTGTGGGATGTCGATGTGTGGAGTAAATATTGAGCTGTTTGGAGAGGTGGTTCAGCATTCACGGTTTAGTTCACAGGGTGTTCGAAGACAGCAATGGCTGCACATATATGAGCAGAGCAATCTGATGCTTGATGTTACAGTATCTGAATCATGTATAGAAGTGCGACTGCATGTGATATCTGCAGTGAGGCACGAGATTGTGCTACTTGAACGAGCAGGCTTTGAGATGGAATGCGAAATTGATGTATGCATGGAAAGGAATATGGTTTCATGCAGGCATTCAGGTAGACAATTCAAAATCATGCTTGCTGATGAGAAGGAGACACTGTCCTTTGATCAGCAACTGGAGATAACATCACACAGGCACAGTACAAAGTACCGATGCAAAGCCATGCTTGATGAGTTTGCTAAGATGACCACATATTCATTGGGCACGATCCAGCCATTCACATGTGATTATTCTGGTGGAAGAGTACAATCAAAACTAAGTGCGTTTATGCAACATGAGACACGTAGAGACAGATTGATCAAGCAGTTTTTAATTCTGATTTGCAAGGAAACCAACTCAATCCAAAAAGATCATGTTTTCGCGATGGAACCTAACTGAGTCAAACGAAGCAAAGAACCCAATCAGGTTTTTCCTCTGGTGGATTTCTGGATAGATTACTGCCTTCTTATATTCTTCTCGCTGTATCTCATCCACTTCAATGCATTCTATTGATGAGCCTTTCCTTAGCCTGTGGAAGATTGGCTTATCAAGTAAGAGATACTGAGATGGGCTTTTTGGAACATGAATGGTTTGCTTGCCAAAAGCCATACCGAATTTGATGTCTATGCTGCTTCGCTGATACCTGCACAGCAGCATTGCAAAGAACACCATTTTTCTGATTTGGTGCAGCAGAAAGCTCTGTCCAGTGATCTCCAGCTTGATATACTCTATTCCGTCAGATGTGTATGTGTCGGAAACCGTGATTGATCGGATATATCTTTTTGTTCCCTTGTCTGTGTTCTGCTTTGTGAAGTTGTGGAAGTCCTGTGTGCCCAGGTATTTCTGGAGAATCTCGTTGAACGTCTGGATGTCTTCCTTGGGTGAAGTGTATCCAACGACTTGATCTATCAAGCTTTCTGGATACTCTCTCCACAATCCAAACTTTTCCTTTGACATGTCTGATCTTTGCATCTCATCAACCTCTTGAGAAAAGTTGCTTTGCATAAGAAAGAACGTGGGCACGACATACTCATATATCCTGGCGTCTGCTTGCTTGGATGGTATGATACTCTTTGGAAGGCGCACCACATCATATAGATGAATGCATTCCTGTGAAAGTGTGTTTCTGAGACAGCTCACAAACTCTGGTGTTATTGGGACTGATATTTTGACAGAAACAAGGTTGAATGCTGCATGAACGCCCTTGTCTGTTCTCGAAGACGACTTTATGTGGATTTTTCTTGGATCTTCTGCGTTCTGCTGCGTGATGGCGCCAGTGCTTAGCAAGCATTGTGCAATTGTTTTCTCTATTGTGTGCAGGTCGTTGTTGAGCTGCAAGCCATGGTATGCACTGCCGTTGTATCCGAGAAGCAGCCCGACTCGTATCTTCATTACAGGGGTGCCGATGAATTTGTGGATAGAGCACGTACAGGTGAAGTGCATATGCAGAGTGTAGTGTGAAAAGCAGGCAAAAAGCAGGCCCCAACATGCCTACAATTCTGGCAGAGAAGGAAAGCCTGGAGGCGTATCTTGAGATGGAGATTGATGATGAGAGTTTTGAGAAGACTCTGTTTGAATATGGACTGGAGATGGATGGGGTTGTGGAAGAGGAAGGGCGAGTTATGTACAGGATTGAGGTTCCAGCGAACAGATATGACTTGCTGTGCTCTGAGGGGCTGTGCCAGGCGCTTAGAGTGTTTTTTTCGAAGTGTGTGTATGAGCCAATCGATATATTGGCGGGAAAGCTGAGAGTGGAGAAGGAGGGTGGAAGCGAAAGACCGTGGATAGCATGTGCAGTAATACGGGGAATTGATTTTGGAAACGAGAAGGTATACAGGAGCTTTATTGAGTTCCAGGAGAAGTTGCATCTGACGATTGGCAGGAATAGGAAGCTGGCGTCTGTTGGAACTCATGATCTTGATAAGCTGGAAGGGCAAATCGTGTATAGGAGTATGATGCCCAAGGAGATTGTGTTTAAGCCACTGAATGGCGACAGGACGATTCGAGGGGATGAGATGGAAGCGTATTTTGGACAGGGGAGCAAGATTGGCAAGTATGTGAAGCTGATTGAAGACAACGATAAGTATGTGTGCTTTGAGGATTCGAAGGGAGTGATATCTGTGCCTCCAATAATCAACAGTGAGAGAAGCAAGATAGATGAATGCACAAGGAATGTGTTTGTGGAGGTGACTGGGACTGATTTCAACAGGGTCAACACAATGCTGAGGCTAATTGTAGGTGCATTTAGAGGGAAGAGTGTTGAAAGTGTCGAGATTGTGAGCAGCGAGACGAAGATTAGGACGCCTGTTGAATTTAATAGGGTCTATAAGATTACGCTTGAAGAGATAAACAAAGGGCTTGGGCTGAGCCTGACAGTGGATGAATCGAAAGGACTCTTGGAGAGGATGATGCATCGTGCAAGAGTCATTGACGAGGCAAGCATTGAAGTGAGTGTGGATGACATGCGATCTGATGTTCTGCACAAATGTGATCTACTTGAGGATATTGCGATTGCATATGGATTCAACAATTTTGAGAGGAAGCTTCCGCTTACACACTGCATAGGGCGTGAGGATGCACTGAATAAGTTTTGTGACAAGCTTAGGATTGAGTTTGCATCGATGGGGTTTGATGAGTGCTTGACGTTGAGCCTTCTGTCTAATAAAGAGAATGTGGTTGAGAGGGAAAGAGCAGTGGTGGTGAAGAATCCGAAGTCCTTTGGATATGAGGAAGTCCGTACGTCTCTTGTTCCAGGGCTGATGAAAGTAATAGCATCGAATCTGCATGTAAAGATTCCGTTCAAGGTTTTTGAGGTCTCTGATGTTGTTTTTGGTGATGAGGGATGGGAATGCGGGGCAAGGAATGGTAGAATGCTTGCAGCAATGTACTCTGGAGGACGAGCAGGGCTTGAGGAGGTCCAGGGGCCATTGTCGCTTATTTTGGAGAAGTGCGGTGTTCGCAAGTATGTGTATTATGCATATGATGATGAGGCAAGGTATCTGAAGAATCAAGCAGCACAGGTGATTGCGAATGATGAGCTGATTGGATCTGTTGGAGTCTGTAGGCCAGAGATGTGTGAACTTTTTAAAGTTCCTTATGCAACCTCATGCTTTGAAATTGATGCTGAAAAGCTGTTTTGGATATTTATGAAGCGAATGGAAAGGGAGCAGATGCAGTAGTGAATGAGCCAACTGAATGGTTTTGAATCATAGTGAAAAGATAGGAAGCATGCATGCATGTCTTCTAAAAACACATTTAAATAAAAGCACTTGGTTTATTGAAGTATTTGTTTTATTGATCATCTCCTTATAAGTTTCTTATATGTAGAGTGAGTTTGCAAAGATTATGTCTCTTTTAATCTTGGTGATTCCCAGCTCAAACATACTTTCTAGCTCTGTGTTTCCTATTACTCTTGCAGCACAACCAAGCTGCCTAAACAGCTCTTCCAGTCTTCGGAATGTTCGGATTATGCTTCCCTCAAAGATGCTTGTGCTGTTGCATATGCTTGTAAATGTGTGTCCACACACCCACATCCTCACAACATCCATCAGCTCGTAAGAAAACCTCTTTAGATACATTGCAGGATCAGCATCTATCGAACAGGACTTCAGCACCTTGCATACCTTTTCGACCGAGTCGCTCAAAAGCTTGTAGTACTGCTTGTTTTCATCGCTGAGCACGAAGTTATCCGAATCCCACTCCTCAAACACAATACAAGATAGCAGTGGAACAAAGTGCTCAGCAGGAAGCCCTGCAAAATCACCGTTCAGGATCATCTCTGTAAGCACAAGCTCATCTCCAGAAGAAATCTCGCATGCCATCTTTCCTTTGATCAGCACTGTTGTGTCATCGCAATATTCAAGCTTCTTCAAAACCTCAATCATTTTCATGCATTCTTTCATGTGGTAAACTTCATACAGCTCATTTAGCTCAGACACTTTGCTAAGGTATTTTCTTTTTGACACTTCGTTTACAAAGTATCGTTTGCACTCGGCTACAGATCCCACTTCGAGTGTTGTGCATATCTGGTCTCCAGTGCCCTGTTCAAATACGCTTTCATTGCATGAACACTCTTCTTTGCACACAGACGGTCTTGAGCATTCAGATATCCCAGGTATTGTTCTATTATTACTATTGCCCTTCAAATCGGCCTCTTCCACACAGCTTCCATTGAGAAACTCCAATCCACTCCGGGCACTTTTCAGCAATCTTTGCCTCGATGTCTGCTATGCTCTTGTTCAAATCGTCCTCAACCACAATCTTCTGAAACTTCCTCGAAAACACCTTCAAGTCAACTTTCACTCTGCTGTTGTACACACAATCCACATAATGCAACGGATAGCTGCACATATACACACCATTGTCCGTGTTGACAATGCACCACACACATTCCTTAACCTTTGATACAATTGCATTGCGGATAATCAATGATGGCCCATTTCTGGGGATAAACAGATCAACCACTCTTCCCTTCTTCAGGTATTCTTCAATCCTTGGCTGTAGTTTTCTGTTTCGCTCAACTCTCACCATTTCCCTTTCAATGTACATCCTGGCAACATCATTCGGCTCGATCTGCTCCAGCTGCTCGTACATCTCAAAGACCTGTGCCTCCTTTTCCAAAGACTTTTTGTATGCCTGGAAATGGAAAAAGCTTCTGCTGATCAAATACAACGGATTAAGGTCCTCAACCCTCATCAGATTCAAAATCATGTTATATGTCAGCCTGAACGCACTCATAAGGTTCTCCGATGATGGCGAAAGCAGCTTGTCAACCTCTCTCTGCGTGATGGGCTCCGACATGATGCAAATCACAATGCCCATGGTGTCGAGCCCTCGCCTTCCTGCTCTGCCGCTCATCTGAATGTATTCTCCAGGATTTATCAGCCTGGTTCGCTCGCCATCATACTTCTTCAATGCTGTAAACACAACAGACTTTGCAGGCATGTTCAGTCCAATCGAAAATGTCTCTGTTGCAAACAAAACCTTCAGAAGGCCCTCCTGGAAGAGTATCTCAACAACCTCCTTGATGATTGGAAGAAGCCCTGAATGGTGGATTCCAATGCCCCTTGCAAGAAGAGGCAGGATGTTCTGAATAATCGGGATCTCCCTGTCCTCCTTGCGCAGTGACACAATTGCATTTGTAAAGATCATCCTGACCATCTTTGCCTCCTCGTCTGACAGATAGTCTCCATCGAGTTGTGTGGCAAAGCGCTCGCAATCCTTTCTTCTGAATGAAAAAACAACCACGGGAAGCGATGCATCCTTGACTGCATTGTTGACGTCTCTGTATCCGATATTTCGTTTTCTTGTTGAGCGCATTGCTGCAAGAAAGTTTGATCTATGGAACTTCGTGTCTTTTATCTTGTACAGCTTATCAGACTTGAAATAATGCACCAACGGAGTCACACGCTTTTCTGTGTACACAACATGAACCACCTGGCTCTGGATGAAGCTTATCCACTCTGCAAACTCCAATGCATTTGGAATGGTGGCGCTGAGAAAGACCATCCTGATGTGCTTTGGAAGCAATATGATTGTCTCCTCCCACACCACGCCACGCTCCTTGTCACGCATGTAATGGATCTCGTCGAAGATTATCCAGTGGATCTCCCTAACAACCTCGCCTCCCCTGTACAGCATGTTGCGGAGAATCTCCGTTGTCATCACAAGGCAGGATGCAGTCGGGTTGATTGTGACGTCTCCGGTCATAAGGCCCACGTCATGGAACTCAGAAAGAAGCTCTCTGTACTTCTGGTTTGACAGTGCCTTGATTGGTGATGTGTATACAACACGCTGCTTGCTCTTGAGCGACATTGCAATTGCATACTCAGCAACAACGGTCTTTCCGGAGCTTGTGTGTGCACTTACAAGAACGCTTTCGTCTCTTTCCAGGCTGCACACAGATATCTTCTGGAAGTCGTCAAGCTCAAAGAGATATGTTTTTGAAGACGGCTTCTGAAACACCGTTGGCAACGGGGTGTATGCATGTCCAAACGGAACAACTGCCTCGTGACGAGTGCCGCCTCTATCGAATATATCGACGGTTTCTGTTCTTTTGCTTGACTTCTGAGGCGCATCTACAAAGGTATGCCTGTACGGTTCCTCGCATGTAGCATCGTTCATTTGTAGGGTGTACAAACAAACGGAAATGGATTGCTGCGCATGTGTGGAGTCAGTGCAAAAGTGTGCAAAAGAGATGGGACCTAGGGGATTCGAACCCCTGCACAATAATTGTATTCGATCTTGAGTCGAACGCCTTAGACCGCTCGGCCAAAGTCCCACACACTTAGAACTACACACACGAACCCATATCCATCTACAAACACACGGCACACGATACATGATACATTGCTCAAGGCATGCATTCACGGCCAGGTACTAAACGCTTGCCCAAGCTCTTTGTGAAATGCAAACCCTTGCAATATGCTATCTGCAGAACAAATGACACTGGCACACGAATCCATTGGCAAATACGAATGCTCAGCAGTAATGCTTGTCAAGTTTCTGCTGGACACGCTTATTTCTGTGACGAACACTAGGAGCAGATCAAGGATGTTTTTTCTTTTCCCGAATGAATTTGGTGAAGATGCAACAGACAGAAATGACTTTCAATCATTCTATCCGACTACTACTCAGGTTTTGGATACGGAGATGGAGGCAAAGTATACTGTTGAGATGCTTGAAGAGACGCTGTGCAGCTTGGCCTCCAAAGCAAGCACATTTATAGGCGAAGAGCGCAAAGCAGAGTACAGCAGGTTTCAAAATGAGATAGGTGTGTATTTCAAGCAATACTTCGAAGATATGGACGAGCTGAAGATTCCGTTTGAAATCAGGAATCCAGGGCTGTACTCGAACGGAAAGGAACCTAGGGTCTGCTTCAAGGACATACTTGATCTTCTTCCTGCATTTAAGTGCAATAGCGTGGAATCGAGTGAGCTGCTGAGACAGATGTGCACCACAATCAACACGAATGAAATACTGAGCACATCCATAGTTATCAAGAGGATCTGCTCGATGAGCTCGCAAATGAACGCCGATCTGGTCAACCTCCACTTGAAGAGTGCAATTGGCGACGAGGTTCTGTGCCAAAATAGTCGTATGCTGCGGGTGTTTGTTGAAGCTTCGGTGATAAGGTACAAGATCATGGATTCGCTTTTCTTCATCAACCAGCTCGACTGTGAGGTTGTATGTAAGGCGAACGAAGAGCCGAGTGCATTGATGATGATCACACAGATTGTTATAGGTTTATGTGTCCTTGCCGTAGGATGCATTTTGAAACTTCTATGTGTTTTCTGACGGTGGCGAATGGCTACAGCTATTATTTAAAGTACTTATTGTTTGATGTGTTGTGCTGTTTTATGTTTTATGTTTTATGTTTTATGTTTTATGCATTATGCTTGTTGATGTGTGGCTATGCAAGTATGTATATCTAGAAATAATATGTGCATAGAGTAATTGGAAAAGCAGTTAAAAAAAATGTGTATACAGACAGCATGGGATTGGAGAAAATTGAGGTGGAGAACTTCAAGTCATATCGTGGAAAGCACCTGATAGGGCCTTTTGATAGGCTGACGTGTGTGATCGGGCCAAATGGATCTGGAAAAAGCAATGTGATGGATGCGATCACGTTCTGTCTTGGTGTTGGGGCATGGCGCTTGCGAACAAGTAGTGTGTGTGGCGTGATCAATGATGGAAGCGGATATGCAAGCGTGACACTGCATATTGCAACGAAAAGCGGAGCAAGGGCATTGTGTAGGCGTGTGGATGCAGGCGGAAGGAGTAGCTATGCTGTTGATAGCAATGGTGTTGGATATGACGAATTCCAAGAAGCATTGCAGCAGATGAATGTGATGATGGATGCACGGAACTTTATGGTATTTCAGGGGGATGTTGGAAAGGTTGGGAGGATGGCACCGATGGAGATTACGAGATTGTTTGAAGAAATGAGTGGTAGCAGTGAGTACAAAGATGCATATGACGAGAAGGCGAGAATACAAAGCAAGGCGTTGAATGATTGTGCGATGCTTTTTGAGGAAAGAAAGGATCTGTGCATAAGGATGAAAGAAGCGCAGGAGGTTAAAGAGCAAGAAGAGGAGTTTAGAAGGATGATTGCGAGAAAGGCAAGCCTGCAGAGGGAGATGGTTATTCACGGGTTGTATCGTAGGGTGAATGAGATTAATGAAGTATGCATAAGGAAGCAAGGCATTGATGAGGAGACCAGGGATGTGCAGGGGCGTATTGACTGCAAGGAGAGGGAGATTGTGGTGTATAGAGCCAGGATTAATGAGGCACGTAGGGAGTATTTTGAGGCTAGTGCGCGAGTTTCTAAGCAGCGAGAGCAGATTAAAGAGAAAAGAGCGATTGCGTGTAAGAATGAGCATGATGAGGAGAGTAGAAGAACGCAAGTAATCGATATTGAGCATAGAATGAAAGTCAAGCAAGAGATCATGGCAGAGAAGACGAAGGAGCTTGGAAAGCGAAGCAAGGAGCTTGAAGAGGTTTGCAGGGAGAGTGAAAGATTGGAGATGATGGAGTGTGAGAGAATGCAGGCACTGGAGTATGCAGGGCTGATTGAAGGATTAGATGAAAGCGAAAAGACAATGCAAAGCATGTGTGGAAGTGATATAAAGATGTTGGATTCGCTTGATTTGGAGAAGTATCCAAAGAAGGTTCTGGAAGGGGAATGCACAGCGAGGTTGAGTATGCTGAGGGAGAAGAGTGAAGAGTACCGGGAGAGCCTAAATGAAAGAGCGAATGCAAGATCGAATGTGATATTGAAGATAAGCAGTCTGGATGAGTCGGAGCAGAGGCTTAGGGAGAAGATTGCTATTCATGAGACAAAGTATGACAAGCTTGTTGGCGAAGAGAAAGAGCAGAATGCAAGACTTACAGAGCTGTTGGGCGAGATCCTTAGGATTAGGGGAAGGAAAAGAATTGACAGTAAACGGTCTGTAATCAAGGCAACAGTGGGTACGCTTAAAACGATGTTTCCAGGAGTATATGGATGTGTGGTTGATCTTATACGCCCTACGCAGGACAGGTATGAAGTAGCACTATCGATGCTTTTTGGAAGCCATGACTTGTCTGTTGTGGTTGACAGCGAGGCCACAGCAGTTTCGTGCATTAACTTTGTGCGAGACAAGAGATTATGCAAAATGACGTTTCTTCCACTGCAAAGCATGTACTGTGATGGAAAAGGCACTGGCGATGCTTTAAAGGAGATCAGGGCGATTGAGGGAGTGCGCATGGCAAGGGATACGGTGGCATATGATCCAAAGTACAAGAAGGTTGTGATGTATTTGCTGAGCGATAAGCTGATATCTGATGGCCTGGAAGTGTCAAGGCGCATATGCTATGAAAGGGGGCTGAGGATGAGTGTGTGCAGCTTAGATGGGGTGTATATTCACGGAGGAGGATGCCTGATGACAGGAGGAAGATGCCAGAAAAACCGATTTGATGAGGACGAGCTTGATAAGCTGATGAGGAGTAGAGCAGAGGTGCTTTGCGAGCTGAAGAAGATTCATGACATGAAAGGCGAGTTTTCGCATGTTGAGATGTGCAGAGAAAGAATATCGGTATGTAATGAAAGCAAGTGCATGGCGATTGATGAGCTGAAGAGAATAGATGCGGAGATTGACGAATGGAAAAAGAAACTTGTGGAGATAGATAGGCAGGAGAAGGCTATTGCGGAAGACTTAGATAAGCTGAGCAAAGACATCCGTGCTCTGGAGCAAAACAAGCTGATGCTGGAGGATAAGCTTGGCGAGATAGAATCCAAGGTTTTTGAGGGTGTGTTTCCCAATACGTACTTTGGGAGTTACAAGGAGTACAAGGAGGCCAAGTCGAATGATGTGTTTACGCGAAGGCTTATTGAGTGCGAAGGATTGAAGCTTAGGATTAGAGGTAGGATTGCGTTGGTGGAGCAAGAGATGAAAGGCATTGCAGAAGAAGTTGAGTTGATGAAGGAGGAAAGAGAATGGCTGGGCAGAAGTATCGAGGGAGATGCAATTGACATGGAGGTGATGAGTAGAAAGCTTATTGATCTTGAGAGCGAGGAGAGCGCCAAGGCTAAGGAAATAGATATGATTCGCAATGAATCGAAAGACATGAACGACGATTTCCGAAAGCTAGTATGCAAGCGGAACGAGCTTGATAAGGAAGCAGTGAACTGCATGTCTGCGAAAGAGCGTCTTGAAGAGGAGGTTAAGAACACAATGATGTTTTCTGCAATGGAGGAGATTGCGATTCCTTATATTGGCGGCGAGATGTCGATGGAGAAGATCGACTTTTCTGGAGTGTCTGGAGATGCAGAGCAGTTGGAAAGAGAGTTTGAGCAGATCAATATGAAGATGGAAAGGCATGCGCCGCTGAAAAGGATGGAAAGCACCGATAATGATAATGATCGTTCCAGGTACATGAGGATCAACAGTGAATACGAAAGGCTCAAAGACGCAGCAATCAAGGCAAAGAGCGAATTCAACGATGTCAGGAAGAAGCGAGCTACCATGTTTCTTGATTGCTTTGAGAAAGTGAACAAGGAGGTGTCAAGGATATACAAGGCACTTACCACAACTGACACATCGGAGGGAAATGCATATTTGGTTCTTGAGAACCAAGCAGAGCCCCATAAGGGAGGTGTTGGATTCCACTTGATGCCACCAAGCAAGCGATTCAGAGAAATGAGGTTGCTGTCAGGGGGAGAAAGAACCATGGCAACGCTGTCCTTGCTGTTTTCATTTCATTCATATAGGCCTGCACCTTTCTATGTGTTTGACGAGATAGACTCTGCATTGGATAAAGAAAACGTCGCAAGAATCATATCGTTTATGCTTTCATGCAACACACAGTTTATTGTGATTACTTTGCGGCCAACAATATTCCAGCACAGCGACAGTCTTATCGGAATATACAAGGATCCGTATGCCCATTCAAGCAGAATCCTCACATACAGGCTGAATAGTGAATATTAAAACAATTGAAATGCCTCGGCTGTACATGCATCTGCTCAATGCAAATGACCTTATTCTTGGCTGATTGCAACATAAAATGTTGAATTGAGTTTAATACTAAGATGTGGCCGCTACTCAAACACTGATCTCGATTTTCTACACTACATCGGCCCTGCTTTCAAGCCTCTTCAGCAGCTCTGCTTCAAGAAATTCTCTTTTCTTCAGGTAAAGCACATCCTCCATACCATGCTTGCCTTTTTTGTTTGTGCTTACTGATGGGCTGGCCTTGCCTGTCTCCTTGAATATCTCATCTCCATATCCATGCTTGAGAATGCTTGCCTCCGACTCAATGCACATCTTTTCCAGCTCGTAGTTCTTCTTTTCCTTGTTCATTTGCTCCCAGTATGCCTCGCTTATCATCCTATTTTCATAAAGCTCTCCAAGCACTTCCATGTCCTTCTCAAGCTTTGTTACCCTCTCCAAGAAGGTTGCCCCAGCCTTTGTCAATTGCTTCAAAAGTGCTTGCTGCTGGCTCCCTTCAGCCTTCATTCCAAAGTATTTCTCAAGCTCTGCATTGTGTGCCTCATATGCCAACTTTTCTGCTCGCTTATACTTCTTAATAAGAGAATACAGAACAATGATCGACGAAATAATTATAGCAGCCTGCAGAAACATTCAAAGGGTTTGTGTAATGCTGTATTTGTGTGTGCAAATACACAATATACTCAAATGCACAGCACACAAACAATTTCTGCATCAGGCATCAGCACTAACCAGCCAATACACATGGCCATGCTATAGCATTATACTCATGGACTGGATTATTCGCAAAGCACACATGCATCTGGCATCGTCAAGAAATCATCTTTAATTATTCTGCCTGCTCAGTCCTTCTCATAATCCTTCGGCTCAAATGCTTTCTTCGCAAGCTTGATCTCTTCGTTTGTTATCAGCAGGTGCCGGACCCTGGTGTACTTCTTCCTATCTCTTTTGAGATGATAAAGCAAGTCCTCTGTCTTTGTCTTTCCCTTTACTTGTGCCATGTTATGAGTGTTTGTCAGCAAAATGCTCAAATAGTCCAGCACATACCCATGCAAAGCCTCAGTAGTGTCGTATCTTGGTGCACTTACATCTCCATACCCATACATCATCACCTTGATGTCCTTCATGAAGTTTATTCTCCTTCCCTCCTTCATCCTAGGGATACCAGCAAAATACGGGCTTACATTTACATGCTCACAAACACACCGCAGTCGCCATACGAAATAACAACACAGCTTACAACACTACCAACAGCGAATCTGTTGCACAGGTACTCTTCAGGGTCGAACTCAGCCGGCCTGAACACTGCACGGTACTCCAAACTACATCTTTTCCCATCAACTTCGAATATACGCAGTACAACCTGTGTGAACGACACTCGGACGATCCTGGCTGTTGCTTTGCATCCTATTTCTGGAAGACCTATCTGCACAAATGGACTTCCGTTGTGCAGCAGAATGTCTGTTTGATCCCCTGGAAGATTGATCATCAGGGCAGCGCACACCATAGATTTGAGCATATTGGCTCTACTAGCAATGCTCCTTATTTCCCTGGGATCATCTCGGCATGCCCCTGTGCATGGCTAGGGAAAGGAGCGCTCAATCGAATGCAAATAGGCAGTGCCTGCAAGGCGCACAGGGTGTAAAAGGAATGCACGATGTGTCTGATAGGACCAAACCACATTTTAATGCACGATGATGCACACTGAGAATGAACAGGAAGGTAGTGGAGTACAAGATTATAGACTCGAAGAAGGACATTGCGAAAATCTACGATGCGAAGGAAAAGCCAAAGAGGAATAGAATGCTGCTTTCTGAATGGCAAAGCCTGACGCTTGAGCAAAGCTTTCGAATGAATCCGTATCCTGGCAGAGCTGAGAAGTACAACATGTTTATGAGGACAAGGATTCCAATGAAAAACATCAACATCTGGTTCCAGAACAGACGTGCAAAGGAAAGGTCGTTATATGAAGAGGGCTTGCTGAGCATTGATCGCCCGGCGCCAGCTTGGAGCGAAATCGAGACAGCAAACCAGCAGATCTGCGAGGACTTAAACAAGTACTACAGATATTGAGCGTTGTAGTCGTGCACTTGCATGGGAAGCAAGCAAAATGAACATTACGCGAGCATATTGATATTACGGAATGGCGTTGCTCAATAGCACCACAGAAAGCATTTGATGTGCTGAACAAACAAAAACAAAATAAAATTATTGGCATGAAAATTCAGCGCTAGCATTGTGTGACGCTGACCTCGATAAATGTTGCAATGCACTACCCTGGCAATACTTAGATGATTACCGATCTTGGAAAGTCAATAACAGCGGCGTTGTCGAATCTTGTGAATTCGCAAGCAACGGACCAGCAGGTTGAGGCAGCAATAAAGGAGATATCGAACTCGCTGATACTCTCGAATGTGAAGCCAAAGTATGTGAGCGATCTACGGGCCGAGCTGAACCAGAAGCTGAGGGCGGATTCAATTGCTCCGGGAATGAACAAGGGGAAGGCGGTGCAGAATGCAGTGTATGACAAGCTGATTGATCTTCTTGATCCGAAAAGCAAGGGATATGAGATCAGGAAAGGCAAGGGGAATGTAGTGATGTTTGTTGGCTTGCAGGGATCTGGAAAGACAACAAGTGTGTGCAAGTATGCAAACTTCTACAGGAAGAAGGGATATAAGGTGGGGATTGTGTGTGCAGACACGTTCCGAGCAGGAGCATTTGATCAGGTAAAGCAGAATGCACTGAAGATCAAGGTCCCGTTTTTTGGAAGCTCGGAAGCGGATCCCGTGAAGGTTGCATGTGCCGGGGTTGAGAGATTCCGAAAGGACAAGTTTGAAGTGATTCTTGTGGACACGAGCGGTAGGCACACACAGGAGAGCGAGCTGTTTGCAGAGATGAAGGAGATAGTTGCAGGGATTTGCCCGGACAATATTGTGTTTGTGATGGATGCAGGGATAGGGCAATCTGCAGAGGATCAAGCGCTTGGATTCAAGAGGGCTGTTGATGTTGGGTCGATTATTCTGACGAAGATTGACGGGACAGCAAAGGCAGGTGGAGCAATAAGCTCTGTTGCAGCAACAAAGTGCCCGATTGAGTTTGTTGGGACTGGCGAGGGCATGGAGGACATTGAAGTGTTCAATGCAAAGAGGTTTGTATCAAAGATGCTTGGAATGGGCGATGTCGAAGGGCTTGTTGAGAAGATGGAGAGCCTTGGGATAGATGAGAAGGAGGTTGTGAAGAAGCTGAAGCAGGGGAGTTTTACGATTGGAGACTTCTACGAGCAGTTCCAGAAGATACTGAGCCTGGGGCCAGTGTCGAAGCTGCTGGAGATGATTCCTGGATTTTCTGGGCTTTCCCTGCCTGATGAGGGTGCATTTAAGAAGTTGATATATGTGTTTGATTCATTCAGCCGGTCTGAGTTGGACTCCACGGGCGAGTTGTTTGAAAAGCAGCCCAATAGGATTCTGAGAGTTGCAAAAGGAAGCGGGACATCGGTAGAGGGAGTTTCTGAAATACTTTCACAGTTCAAGAAGGTCAGTGGAATCATGCAGAAGTTCAGTTCGATGCCTGGGATGGAAAGCATGCTTGGCAATCCGTCGGCAATGAATCTGTCTCAGAAGATGAGGATGAAGGATCATGCAAAGGATGTGTTTCCAAAAGACTTCTTTGACCAAATAGGATCCATGTTCTGAATGTGCGATGTGTTTTTCAATTAAAAGATATGCAAGGTTGAAATTTTACTATAATTGATATCTAGGAGTGGACTTCCTGGCGAATGTACACTGGCTATGTGTTTTTGTTTTCTTCGGGCTGCCTGGCGATTCCATCTATTCCTCTGAATGCGATTGCATTTGATTCATCGATGTGCTTCCTGCAGACACCACCCATGAGTACAATCTCTGAGATGTGGTTTCTGATGACTCTTATCAGCCCAAGTATTCCCTTCTTTTTCGCAATGCTTGTTTTTATCATGTCCTTGATGGGATCCTGTGCATCAATAGACATTGCCATGTCAATGAGCTTCTCGATATTCCTGTTGAACTTCATTGAATATTCGATCAGCTGAAGTGACATTGTCCTTAACCGCTTACACTCTATCTTGTCCATGAGCTCGCTTGAGGTTGTTAGCGTCTCTAGATCTGCAGCAACGGCCCTGTAGTTGTAGTAGAATGCATCTTCATTTATGCTTCTGTCGTATGTACCTTTTTCCTTCAATGTGTTTATATTCGCAACAAACCTGTTGAGGATCCTATCGCAATACATGCTGTCCAAAGAATACTCTACATCTCGTTTTGTCCACAACCTCTTTGGTGTGTATGCTCTTGGCCTGATGTGTGCACACGTGTATTCATCCTTATGCCGGGCGCCTGGCTCTGCATGATTAGACATGCTGTGCCTGCTGGTGATGCAATCATCACTATCATTGCACATATTGGCTTCTTCGTCAGTGGCATGGCTTACAGTACAAATCTTTGGTGTACAGCACACAATATCGCTTGCATCACTACTGCACCCGATGCCGAATGAATCTGGCGTGCTTCCTGAATCAATAAGCATGCAGGGATGCCAAGGAAAATTTAAATATGATAGTATTTCTGTATCTCTGCGAAGGGATCCATAAATGCAGGGACTAATAAACAAAGACGATGACGATGATGTTTTGGCAGCAAGAAGGATTCGCATTGATGATGATGTACAGAAGAAATTTAGCGAGAGAAGATGGGTTTGGGTTCCTAGCGAAAAGGATTCGTATGCTGGAGGATACATTGTGAAAGAGTCCGAGGGTTATGTGAAGGTGGATTGTGGAGGGGTGGTGGTTGATTGTAGGAGCAAGGATGTGTTTCGGATGAATCCGCCGAAATTTGACATGGTTGAGGACCTTGCAGAGCTGAGCTATTTAAACGAGCCTGGAGTATTGCATAATCTCAAGCGCAGGTACCAGAACGGAAGGATATACACATACTCGGGGCTTTTTCTGCTTGCGATAAATCCGTACAGGGATCTGAGGATCTATGGAGAGAGGGATGTCAAGAAGTACACACTGAGCAAGAAGTACGAGCTTGAGCCACACATATTTGCAATAGCAAACGAGGCATACAGGCTGATGGTGTCGAACGGAGAGAACCAGTCGATTCTGATTACTGGAGAGTCTGGGGCAGGAAAGACAGAGAATACCAAGAGGGTTGTTGAGTTTCTTGCAATGGTTGCAGGATACAGGGGGATGGACGTGGGTGTTGATAGGCAGATAATAGATGCGAATCCGATTCTTGAGGCGTTTGGAAATGCACAGACGGTGAAGAACAACAACTCAAGCAGGTTTGGAAAGTTCATCAAGATCAAGTTCAATGGGGGAAACATATGCGGAGCACATATTGAAAAGTATCTTCTTGAGAAGTCTCGGGTGACGGGGCAGAACGGAAACGAAAGGAACTACCATATTTTCTATCAACTGCTTGCAAGCGACGAGGCAATGAGGAAGCAGCTGTTTCTTGATGGAGAAGTGGGAGACTACAGGTACCTGAAGGGATCGAGATACACGATTCCGGATGTTGATGATGGGGAGGAATTCAAGAGGCTTGTGGAAGCAATGAGTGTTCTGAGAATCGACAGGGACGAGCAGATGGGATACTTCCGGATTGTGTCTGCGATTCTTCACCTTGGAAACATTGAGTTTGGAGAGAAGAATGGGGTTGCGGAGATTGTGAATCTTGAGGTTGCAGAGAAGGCATGCAGGCTGCTGAGCATTTCACTTGTTGAGTTTATCAAGAGATTGATCCATCCGATGATTAAGGCGGGCAATGAGTATGTGATGCATGAAAGGAACAAGGAGCAGGCGGTGAAGATAGTGGATGGGCTTGCAAGGATCCTGTATGACAAGATGTTTGATGGGGTTGTTGAGAGGATCAACCTGTCTCTTAGTTCAAGACACAAAGGAAGCTTTATTGGCGTGCTTGATATAGCAGGGTTTGAGATATTTGAAAAGAACTCGTTTGAGCAGTTCTGCATCAACTACACTAATGAGAAGTTGCAGCAGTTTTTCAACCATCACATGTTTATTCTTGAGCAGGAGGTGTATAGGCAAGAGGATATTGAGTGGGACTTTATTGACTTTGGGCTTGATCTGCAGCCGACGATTGATTTGATTGAGAAGAGTAATCCGATTGGAATTCTGAGTTATCTGGACGAAGAGTGTGTGATGCCGATGGCAACGGAGAAGACCTTTCTTGGGAAGCTGTCAGGGAGTGTTCGGAACAACAAGTTTGAGGTTGACAAGATCAGGGATGTGTTTTTGCTGAACCATTATGCAGGCAATGTTGAGTATAGTGTTGAGGAGTGGCTGTCGAAGAACAAGGATCCGCACTCTGAGGCATTGACATCGCTGATACAAACGTCTGAGGACGGAATGGTGTCTAAGCTGAGCCTGAACGAGACGCAGCTGAAGAAAGGATTTTTCCGAACTGTTTCGCAGAAGCACAAGGAGCAGCTTGGATCGTTGATTCAACAGCTTCAGGGGACGAATCCTCATTTTGTAAGGTGTATTATTCCGAATCTTGAGAAGAGCGGAGAGTATCTGAGCAATGCACTTGTGCTTGACCAGCTGAGATGCAACGGGGTTCTTGAGGGCATAAGGATTAGTAGGCAAGGGTTTCCGTCGCGGATGCGATATGAAGAGTTTGTGGGCAGGTACAGGATACTGATGGAGGGAGCGGATGGCAATGAGTATTTTGATGGAGGGATGTGCATGGAGTATTTCAGGAATGGGTGCCGGCGAGTTCTTGATGGCGTGGGGTTGGGAAGTAACCAGTATAGGCTTGGGATAAGCAAGGTTTTTTTCAGGCAAGGGGTTCTTGCAGATATTGAGGATATGAAGGAGAGCAAGGTTAGTGAGGTGGTGAGAGAAATGCAAGCGTTGATAAGGAAGAGGCTTGTGCACAGGAGGTACAACATGACGCAGAGAAGGATGCGTGCAGTAGAGGTGATACAGAGGAATGCACGTGTATGCTGTGATATTCAGCGGTGGAGCTGGTGGCGGCTGTATCAGAAGATCAAGCCGTTGCTTGATGTGAAGAAGAAGGATGACGAGATAAGGGGGAAGGAAGCGGAGGTACAGGAGTGTGTGAGGCAGCTGGAGATAGAGAAGGCAAGGGGGGAGAAGATAGAGGAGAGTTTGAGGCGGGAGATACTGCGAAGGGAGGAGATGGAGAAGAGTGTTGAGGAGGAGAAGAGATATTCTGCGGAGAAAGAAGAGCTATTGATGGCGTTGAGAGGAAGGATTGAAGAGCTAGAGAATGAAGAAGCGGAGCTCAAGGAGATTGGTTTGAAGGCGAGACAGGAAGCAGAGGAGAACAAGAGGAGAGTGCAAGAATGCAAGAATGAGTATGAAAAGCTGTATAGGAAGAGTAACGAAGACAAAGAGGAGATACGGAAGTATAAGAGCGAAGTAGTAAGGCAGATGGAAGTGATAAGTGAGCAGGAGAGGAGAATGATGGAGATGCGAGAGGAGTTGATCAGCAAATCGAGTGAGAATGATGCAAGGGTGGAGAGGATGCTGAATGAGGAGGCAGAAGAGATTTTGAGGTTAGGCAGGATGATGAAAGAGAAAGAGGAAGAGATTGAGCAGGTACGAAGAGAGCAGCGAATGGCGTCAATGGGAGAAGAAGAAGCAAGGAGGGAGAAGAAAGCGATTGAGGAGGAGAATGGAGAGCTTCGAGTTGGATGTGCGAATGGATTGAGATGGAGGGATGAGCTGATGAGTATGAGGAAGGAGTATGAGATGATGCAAAGGAAGCTTAAGGACGAGGTTGAGGATGTGCAGCTAGAGAATGAGCGATTGGAGGAAGAGCTGCGGAAGGAGATGAAGAGGGTTGAGGAGATGAAGAGCATGAGGAAGAAGGCTGTGGAAGAGCTTGAGTATGAGAGGAGTAGGGGAGATAAGCTTGAGAGGGTGTATCAGGAGGAAAAGAAGCTGCATGAAGAGGCGGCGGAGCAGCTGCAGAGGGAGAAGGTGTTTAAGGATGCAACGCAAGAGTCGTTGCTGGAGAAGATCAAAGGGCTTAAGAAGAGTATGAAGGAGATGAGTGAGAGGCTGAAAGGAGAGGAGATGATGAGCAAGCAGCTTGTGGCGGAGAAGGAAGAAGTGTGTGAGGAGATAAGGATGTTGCAGCAATCGAAGCTGGATGAGATATTTGATCGTGAGGCAGGATTCAACAGTGTGAGAAAGGGGTTGCAGATGGAGATACAAAGGCTTGAGAGGGAGAATCAGAAGCTGAGTATGGATTTGATGGAGATGAAGGCAATGAATGATGTGAGCGAGGAGAGTGTGTCTGGAGCCGAAAAGATGTATGCTATGCTTGAGGAGGAGAGGAAGAAGAGGAAGGATGTTGAGTATCAGGTGTCTGAGCAAGAGAGCAAGAATGTGTTGCTGAGCAGTGAAGTGGAGATGCTGAAGGAGATGATTGAGATAGAGAAGCGAGGGAGAGAAGAGATGATGAAGGAGCAGGAGAAGGATTTGTCTTTGTGCAGGAGTGTTAAGCAAGCAAGGAAGGAGATTGATGAGTTGAGTAGCGAGTTGAGTGTGATAGTTGATTGGTTTAATGTACAGTATGTGAATGTTTTGAATGGATATAAGGAAGAGGTTAGGAGGATGGAGAGAGAGGCTGCTGAGAATGAGATGGAGAAAGAGAAGATGAAGATGGAAGCGGCAGCAATTGAGGAGAAGAATGCAGAGATGAAGAAGCAGATGCAAGAGCATGAGGCAAGGATTGAAGAGAAGAGTAGGATGTGTGATGCAGCAATGAATGAAGTGGCGATGCAGAAAGAAAAGTGCAGGATGATGGAGGAGAGCATATGGGAGAAGGAAGAGGAAGTTAAGAGATATAATGAGAAGTTTGATGAGTGGAATTTGCTGTTTGAAGGGTTGGTGAGCAAAGTAGAGGATGAAGTGAAGGCTATGGAGAATGCAGATGAGGAAAGAAGAAAGATGGCCGAGGAGATGAAGCGATGGAATGAGGAGGGAAGGAAGTGTGTGAGTGTGCTTGAGGAAAGGTATGCTAAGGAGATGATGGCGAGAGTGAAGGATGTGATTGATGAGGAGCGAGTGAAGATGGAATGCTTAGAAGAGAAGCATTTGAAGCTTTGGAAGAGATATGAGGAGATGGAAGAGAGGCAGCAGGGTCTAGTTGAAAAGCATGCGATGGATGCGTTGAGGATTGAAAGGCTGGAAGCAGAGGTGTGTGTTTATAAGGAGAATGAGATGCGAAATGTGGGACTGATTGGTATTTATGAGTCCGAGATAAATGCATTGAAGCGATGCACGCGATTTAAGGAAGAAGTGCTTATGGGATATGCAGGAGGAATGAGTGGGAGTGTTGTTTATGTGAATGACAAAGAGAAGTATCGTGTGCAGGAGCGTAAAAGGATTGATGCGGAGCAGGAGATGCAGAAGATGTGTGAGGAAAGGCAAGCGCAGATGGTTGTGAATAAAAGGTTGCGAGAAGAGGTTGAAAGGTTGAGAGGCGAGGTTGAAGCGAGCAGGATGCAGTCACTAGAGATGAAGAAGAGGCAGGGAGTGCAGATGCTAACGATAAGCCGTCTTAGCAAGGAGCTTGATGAGGAAAGGGAGATGGCGAAGCTGCTCAGGTCACTGAAGTGTGTATCGAAGAAGGCCAGGGGATGACTGGAAGAAATGTAAGTGTAAGTGTAAGCAAGGTGTTTGTGAGCCAGTGGGAATGCAATGCATGTTTTGTGCCTTTGAATAGTGGATTGAAATGTAATGTAATGAAGAAAATTTTGATCCCTCGTACGGATATGTCTAAGAAGAAGAATCACACGAACCATAACCAGAACAGGAAGGATCACAGGAACGGAATAAAGAAGGCAAGGATGCCGCGTTTCTGTGAGTTTGAAGGGCTCCACCCGAGTACAGTGGAGAGGATGGAGGAGGCAGCAAGGTTGTGGAATTCCGCTGCTTTTAAGAAGTGAGAGAGAATAAATGGTTTTCTATGAGTTGTTTGTATGAGTTGATGCCCTAAGGATGGTGTTAGTGATTGATGTGTTTAGGGTTCCTGGAGAGTTTGTGTTGCAGGAGCTGTTTGGAAAGATGGCGATGAAAGAGCTGAATGGAGGGGTGGAGCAGATGATCACAGAGATTCTGGCGGATAACGGGGTGTATGTAATACATAAAGAGACAATGGATGAGGAGGAGATGAGATGGTTGCGATACTACAGTAATGAGGTAGTAGAGGTGCTTACTGAAATGAATGTGCAGTATGTGAACAAAAGCAAGAAGGTCGTGAAGTATTATTATGTGACTAGGGATAGTATGGGAAGATGCAAAAGGCTTGTGGAAGTGGATGAAGGAAGTGCTGAGAAGAAGGAGATGCATGACAAGACAAGCTATCTGCCGTATATTGAAGCACAGTGTGAGGAGGAGGTGATATTCCCGGATGACGAGTGATTGATAAGCAAGAAGTAAGAGAGTGATGTGAGGATATTAAGTTATTTGAAGTATTGTATATTGCAGCAGATTTTGATGAGAAGAAAAAATTGCTGGGACCCCAAGAAATGGCGTCTGATCTGAGGTTTCCTGAGAAGGAGCAAGTGATGTATACGCACAAGAAGGATCGTCTCTACAGAGAGGGGAATGGGTTTTTTATGCTTGTGAGGTGTGGAGGATGCAGAAACACGACATACTGCTACTCGCATTCTCAGATGAACATATCGTGTGGCAAGTGCAATGACATTATCCTGACGTCCGCAGGAGGGTTTGCAACGGTGTCTGCCGGATGCGAGTTTAAGAAGGTTACGAGAAATGATGATTAAATGGTTATTGGTTTCTGAGTGGTTTGGATGTGATGAGTGTGGAGGAAGGCAAGGCGAATGAAAGACGAAAAAATTTGAGCCCTGAATGGATTTTGGACAGACACACCTTGGAGGGCTGATATCGAGTTCCCAGCATGATGAGAAGGCGAAGCACTATGTGGTTGGCTCAAGAATAAAGATGGGATGCGAGCTGATGAAGAATCTGTACGGAAAGTCGTGGCATGTGAAGCTTGTGGAGAATAGCTATGGACAGGTTATTGTAACGTCTCAGGCGAGTGTGATATATGACAGTGTCAAGGCGAACCATCCGTTTGTGAAGCTGTTGCAGGAGTATGTGAAGAAGATGGATGTGGTTGGCGACGGAGCAAAGCTGTTTGTGCTACTTGTGTCTGATCTATTGTCTGAGATGCTTGTGGGGGTTGACAAGGGAATGAAGCCGGCGCTGTTGAGTGGGATGCTTAGAGAGATGCATAAGGAAATTGATGGGATTGCGGGAGACTTGAAGATTGAGCACAGGATTGACTTTGAAGATTTGGAAAGTATAAGGAAGGTGCTGAGGGGGGTAGTGAAGGATGAGCTGCTTGAGAGGATAGTGAGTGAGGGGGTTAGATGCACGAGGGGGTTTGAGAGTGAGGATATAAGAGTGTGTAAGGTTGGTTGTGGAAGCATGGAGGATAGCTATGTTGTCGAGGGGATGGTGTTTAACAGGGCGCCGGAAGGGGAGGTGAATAGTGTGAAGAACGGAAGGACGTCGATATACAATTGTGGGGTGGAGATTAGCAGGACTGAGCTGAAGGGGACGGTTCTTCTGAGAACGGCTGAGGAGTTGCTGGCGTTTAGCAAGGATGAGGATGCAAGGACCCTCAAGATGGTTGAGTCGTTGAGTGCGGATGTGATTGTGTGCAGTGGGAAGGTGGACAGGATATATCTTGATTTTCTGAATAAGAGCGGAAAGCTAGTTTTTAAGGTGAGCAGCAAGCATGATCTACGAAGGATACGGGAAGTAATGGGAGGGCATATTTCGTCGAGTCTGTGCACGCAAGCGGAGGATTTGATGGGGGAGATTGATGAGGTGGTGGTGTTTAGCGAGGGGAAGGAGAAGTACACGAAGTTTGTGTCGAAGAGCAAAAAGAAGTATACGTTGGTGCTGAAGAGTTCTGTAAAGGCGATGCTTGATGAGCATGAGAGGATTGTGCAGAAGGCGTTGGTTGTTCTGAGCAAGAATGTTAATGACGGAAAGATATGGCTTGTTGAGGGAGCAGGAAGGTTTGAAAGAAGGATGTCGAAGAAGATGATGGAGAGGAGCGGTAATGAAAGTGGGTCACGAGGGTTTGTGTATAAGTGTGTTGGAAATGCTCTTGGGCGGTACAAGCAGTATGATGAGGAGATATATGATGTGTACAATGCGAAGGTGAAGGCATTGAAGTATGCGGTAGAGTTTGTTGCGATGTTTTTTGAGACGAGCGATTATTTGATTGGAAAGCCTGAGGCGATGAGTATCAATGCACGAGAGAATCAGAGCTGGGATGAGGACCACTAATGATGATTAAATGGATGAGTTGATGTTGTTTAGTGTTTACAGTTGTGGCTATGAATTAGCAGGAGAGCAAAGATATATGAAAAGATTGCGAAGATCTGATTGTGCGAACGATTGAGCAATATGATATATAAAACGGAATGATTTATGGGCCGTGATTGGAGAATGCGTTTGAAGGCAGGGAAGGAAGAGAAGAAGACGGTGAAGTTTATTGACTCGACAGATGAGATATTGAAACACATGAATAAGCTTGAGAATGGGAAGCGATCAAGGCTCAGGTTGAATGCATACCAAGCGAATATTCTGGAGCACAGCTTCAAGAATGGCAGCCACCCGAGCAACACGGTCAAGGCCGAGCTGGCAACGGTTCTGTGTATTCCGCTGAAGAATGTGCAGATTTGGTTTCAGAATAGACGAGCGAAGGAGAAGACTGTGACAGGAGAAGTAAAAGCGGAGGATGCAGAAGATACGAAGGCGATGAGGAGTGATGAGGGTGAAGAATGCCAGACGATGTATCCGGTTGATTTTTCTGTCGAGGAGAAGTATTTTTTTGAGTATTATTAATTTGAGAAACTCACAGCGATTTGAGCTTATCAGTAAATGATTTGATAATTTTTGATTAGTTGGCAATTTTTTATGAGGAGGGTTTTATATGGTTGATATGCTGAGGCGTGTGGATGTTAGTGTGCAAGTGCTGAGGATGGAGTGATGGCTATACCAATGCAAAATATTGTGATTATGAACAGCCCTGCTTTCTGAGTCGCCTTTTCTTTATAGTGCAAGGTGCTATTAGAAGCAATAGTAATGGCATGCTGTGCAGATGACTGCATGGTGCCAACATTTTTATTTAGTGTTTGTTTTGTAATGTGTTGCGAGTGTGCTAGGATGGAGAGGACGCAAGAAGAATGATTTGCGAGGACCCTTGGATGCTGGTTTTTGCGAATTTCTGTAAGGATGTTGAGTTTGAAGTCCAGAATGTGAATGGACGAGTGTTTTTGGACGGGAGAGTGGACGGAGTGGGGTTTCGGGGGATAGAGGGGAGTGTGCCATGCAATTTCTGGGTTGTTGAGGCAAGTGATGGCAAGATTTGCATGGAGAATGCGGTGCGAGCAAGGATGATTGCTGTTGAGACGGTGTATGAAAGCGGGGTTGTTAGCAGGGAGACGGGGATTGATGAGTTGTATATGTCGTTTGGAAACAAGAGGATGATGGATTATGTGAAGAGAAAGAGCATTGACGGAAACAGCGGCGTGCTTGTGAGATCGAAGATTCATGCGAAGACGCAGATTCTACCACCAATAAACGAGGATGCAAAGGGCGTGGAGGAGTATTTTGTGCTTGAACGAATGTTTCCAGCAACGGTGCTTGATGAGTTTTCGAAGATAAATCTTGGGTCTGTGGAGCTTCATGCAGATCTTGAGGCTTTTAAGCAAGATGTGGGGATGAAGAAGCATTTTTTGCTGGCGGACTGTATTATGAAGGTGTTGGAGAAGAAGTATATAACAAGGGATTGCCTGAGCGATTCTGAGTATTGGAGTTTTTCTGAGGTAATCAAGAACGATATTGAGGAGATGAAGCTGACGCCTCTGTGCAGGGACCGGCTTGCGGTTCTTTGTTACATTTTGCTGTTCCAGATCGATGGGTTTTGTGTGCACTATGACATGCTGCCGAAGTTTGGATTTGGGAAGAACAAGGTGGTGGGCATGCTTAAGCTGATAGGATGTGAGCATTCGCACACGAAGGAGATGTATATGATGAGAAAAAAGCCCAGGATGATAGGATAGGCAATGTGTAGGCAGAGCAGAAGGCATACAGGAGCAACAGAAAATGTTAGGAGATGGGATCCCTGGATGAAGAGCAGTAGCTTTGAAAGGCGGCTGTTTGAGAGGTATGGAGATGGGCCGATACCGAGAGAGGATGTTGGAATGGTTCTTGACGAGGCGGTTGGAAGCAAGATGATAGAGAGAAGCGAGATCAAAGATTACAAGAGCAAGGAGTATGGGGTTACAGAGCTATTAGGGATGATAAGGGGATGGAGGACCGACTTTTTGAAGGAGTCGTTCAGCTTGAATGATATTTCATGCCAGGACGAAAGCTGTAGCTTGGAGAGAATTGGAGTTGGCGACGACGGAGTGAGAAGCAGTGGCGCTGATGTGAGAGGAGAGTCGTTTTTGATGAGGGATGAGGAGTTTCTGTCGTCTTTGAGGGACAAGACACGAATGATCACGTCTAGAGGAGGGTTTAGTGGAAAGAAGATGGCAAAAAGTGTTCTGAAAGCATGGGAGGAGTATGAAAGACGATGTGTTAGGGTGCGTGGAAGAAGATATTGGTGTTTGTGTGTATTAGTTGTGATTCCATTGTATTGCTATTGCCTGTATGTGCCAAGGCCATTTTAGTTGATGACGAGGTATATTAAATTTGAAGCATTGCAATCCATGTACAATGTGATAATACCAACATACAATGAGAAGGATAATATTGGAACGCTACTGCTTATGACATCTGATGTTATGCGTGAGATTGGAGAGGAGTTTAAGATAGTGGTTGTTGACGATGGGAGCCCTGACGGAACCTGTGATGTTGTAAGGAGGATGAAGCTTGATAATGTGCATTTGGTGGAGAGGGAAAAGAAGCTTGGCTTGGGAAGTGCGTATAGAGCGGCGCTTGAGCACTGCGAGCATGGGTTTACGGTTGTGATGGATGGAGACATGTCTCATGATCCGATGTACATCAAGGAAATGATCAAGATCCAGAAAGACGGTGCAGATATTGTAGCAGGAAGCAGATATAGTGGAGGAGGTGTTTCTGGATGGCCAATGAGCAGAAAGATAGTGAGTGTAGGGTCAAACAACTTGGCAAGGATTTTTTTGGGTATTGACATTTCTGATGTTACGGGGAGTTTCCGGCTGTACAAGACGGATGTTTTGAAGTTTTTGGTGCAGAAGTCGAGGTGTTTGGGATATTCCTTCCAGATGGAGCTGATCTGCCTAGCGCTGAGGCATGGGTTTAAAGTAAGCGAATGCCCGATCGTTTTTTATGATCGATGCAGGGGAGTTTCTAAGCTGTCTGTGATGGAAGTTCTGATGTATGCAAAGACGGTAGGTGTTTTGTTTGCAAGCATTTGATTAAATTTGTTTACAGGCCGTTATTTTGCCGATTTGAATGATTATGCACGAGCGTATGTGTATGATTTGGCGATAAATGCAGGAGTGTGGTGTTTGCTTTTGGCTGCTTGATGTAACTGCTGGGATTGACAGCCCTGGATGAGGATATTGAATGTTGCAGAAAAGCCTTCTGTTGCAAAATCGATTTCACTGGTGCTTTCTAGTTCGCTGAGCATCAGGAGGGGGCTTCATCAGTACTGCCCGAACATACACTTTGACAATGGAGACGAGATGGTTTTTACAAGTGTGCTAGGGCATCTGTTTTCGAGTGACTTTGAAAGCAAGTGCCGATGGAACGAGATTGATCCTGAGCAGTTATTTACAGAAAGGGTGGTGAAGTATGTGCAGCCTGAGTTTGTACGTATCAAGGAGAATATTGAGAGAGAGGCGCAGAGGGCAGACATGGTTATTATATGGACAGATTGTGACCGGGAGGGCGAGAATATTGGACGGCAGATAAGGGATGTAGTGTGTGGAGTGAAGCGGATCAAGGTGAGGAGGGCAAGGTTTTCTGCGATTACACGAAAGGACGTACAGAATGCGCTTGACAACCTGGAGGATGTGAATGAAGCAGAGGCGGATGCAGTTGACTCGAGGATTGAGCTTGATCTGCGAATAGGCTCAGCATTTACAAGGCTGCAGACATTGTCGATTGGGAGTGAATTCAAGGACAGGAAGATTTTGAGTTTTGGGCCATGCCAGATACCTACACTGGGGTTTGTGGTTGAGCGAGCAAAGAAAAGGGAGGAGTTTATTCCTGAGGCGTTTTGGACGCTGAAGTATGCAGTGAGGAAAGATGAGCGTGAGAATGTGTTTTTGTGGACACGAGGATCGGTCTTCGACAGGAACTGTGTGGTATATTTTTTTAGGCGAATGGAGGGAGATGAAGCAAGGATAATGTCGAGGAAGGTTGTGGAAAGAAGCAAGTACAAGCCATTGCCGTTGCGAACTGTCGAGCTGCAGCGCAAGTGCTCGAGCTATTTCAAGATGAGCGGGCACATGATTATGGAGATAGCTGAAGGATTGTACAACAAGGGATACATCAGCTATCCAAGGACGGAGACGGATGTTTTTGACAAGAAGTTTGACTTTATGCATGCTATTCTGAAGATATGCAAGGATCCGAAGGTTGGGGTGTATGCAAGCAGACTGAAGGATGGGTTTAAGCATCCACGAAGTGGGAAGAACAATGACATGGCGCATCTACCGATATATCCATTGAGGGATGGAGAGGGACTGAATGGAAGGGACAGGGAAGTGTATGAGTTTGTGTGCAGAAGGTTTTTGGGATGCCTCTGCGATGATGCAAAGGGCCTGGAGACATGCTACGAGATGAAAGTTGGCGACGAAGTGTTTGAGATGAAAGGGATGCAGATTGTTGAGAAGAATTATCTGGAGGTATACTACTACGATAAATGGGATGAGAAGGAGGTAAGTGAGTTTGCTGAAGGCGAAGTGATGAAAGGAAAGATGAGTGTGGAAGAAGGAAAGACGAGTGCACCTGAGTATTTGAATGAGGCGGAGCTGATAAGCCTGATGGACAAGAACGGGATAGGAACTGATGCAACAATACATGAGCATATACACAAGATTCAAGAAAGAGGATATGCTAGAAGGGTTGGTGAGGAAATAAGGCCATTGAGTCTTGGAACAGCGCTGATTGATGCTTATGAGATGTTTGGACTGGAAGTAAGTAAGCCTAAGCTGAGGAAGGAGCTTGAGCTGAAGCTGAAGGAGATATCGACAGGAAGGATGGAGGGAAGGACAGTGGTTGAGAATGAGATTTTAGTGTATAAGGGAATATACGGGATTTTGAAGAGGAACATTGCGGAGTTTGCAAGTGTGGTTACGAAAGGGATTGATTGTGAGATGAAACCGACGAAAGAGGCTAAGGAGACGAAGGGGCAGAGACAAGGAGAGGAACGAATGTTTGTGACCTGTGCCGATGAAAGGATCGGCAAGATAAATGGTAAAGAGAATGTGAGGAATGATTGTTTTAAGACGGACGAAGGAAGGGGAGTGAGAGCCAATGAGGATGCAAGAGAAGTGAGAGCGAGTGAGGGGAGTAAAAGTAAAAAGAAGATTTGTGAGTGTGGGGTGGAAGGGAAGATTTTGGAGGTGAAGCAGGGAAGCAATTCGGGGAGGAAGTTTTACAGCTGTGGAAGGTATCCGAAGATGTGCTATTTTTTTGAGTGGATGGATGATCAAGCGGATGGAGCGAGACAGGAAGTGAAGGGCGAGATAAAGTGCTATTGTGGATATGAGCCGCAGTTACTTACTGCGAATACAGAAAGCAATAAAGGGAGGAAGTTTTACAAGTGTAAGAAGGTTTACAAGCCGTGCAAGTTTTTCCAGTGGGAGGAGGAGTAATGATAGTGGAGAGGATGCTGTGCGGTTTAGAAGTGGAGCAATGGATTGACTGCAAAGTGAATGGAGGGAATTCTCCTTTATGCAACTCTGAGAGCTTGCGTGACATTATTGGCGAAGCCAGGTAGTGTAAGCCCCTTTTAAGGTATAAATTATTGAATGCGGGGAATAAGAAGCAGATGAATACGGAGACGAGTAATAAGCACTCAGCAGATGTTTCGAAGGAAGTTGAAATTGAAGCCGGAGGCGAAGTGAAGAAAAGTGAATCAAAGGCAAGCGAGGTTACAGACGGAGCAAGGATGTGTGCGGAAGGGCCGAATGCAGTAAAGTCTGAATTTAAGACAGAAAGTAGTGGTAGTGTGAACACGAAAGCGAAGAGTGTAAGCGAGGGAGAAAAATACATTACAAAAACGCCAGAAGGAGTGATGATAGTTTCGATGGACGAGCTTATGAAGTACAATGATGATAAGTACAGTGATAAAGGGAAGAAGATGATATTTGGGATGTGGCTGAATGCGGAGTTTAAGAATGAGCTGCAGAAGAACAAGAACAATGTGAGGATATTTAAGGTTCTCTCTGCTGTGTCAGCGGCAGCGGCGGTTGGGATTCTGGTGTATGTATCTATTGAGACTATAAAGAGTTTTTGATGATGAACAGGGGAAGAGCAACCAAATATGGTATTAAATGTATTTTGTATAAGTATGTGAGAATGGGAGAGTAAGCCCTTTGATGTATGTAGTTGGAGATGTGATTGCATCGACTGTTGATATTGGGAGTGAGACGTATAAGATTGGATACTGCGGCAGCAAGCGACCCAGTGTGTATGGATCATCGATGATGTGGAGGGATGAATTTGTGCGGCCTGTAGAGCGGTCTGTGATTGGGGATGTTGCATCGTATCTTGGGATTTTGAGTGGAGAGATTCCGAGGGATACTGAGTCGCTGGTGGTTTGCGAGAACAATATGGAGGAATTGGCGACGAAGAGGAAGGTGCTGGGGTATTTGATGGAGAAGAGATTGTGCAGCTCTGTTTTGTTTGTGAGGAGCGGGATTCTGGATGTTTTTTCGTATGGACGAAGCAGCGGAGTGGTGGTGAGCTTTGGCGGGGGAAGCACGCAGGTATGCAGTGTTGTTGAAGGGCTTATTACGTGTAGAAGGCGGGTTGATGTTGGGGGAATTGATTTTACGGCCGAGGTAAGGAGGGCTGTTGAGCGGCAGGGAGTTGATGTTGAGAGAGAGAGCAGGAATGGGTTGAGCGAAATGCCTGAGGAAAGGAGGGAGTTTGAGAAGAATGAGATATGTAGGCATGTGAAAGAGGCGATATGTGGAGAGTGGAAAGAGATGATGGAGTGTAGGTATGAGTTTCGAGATGGGCAAGTGGTTGATTTTGGAGAAACAGGAAGGAGGATATGTGAGAAGCTAATGGAGGTGTGTAGGATAGTTATTGAGGTGATTGAGGAGAATGTGGGAGGGGTAAAGCCGATGCTTGCGGGGAATATACTGGTGAGTGGAGGGGGAGGAATGATGAGAGGGATTGAGGCGATGATGCATTCGGAGTTTGAGAAGGAGAGGCCGAAGTGGAAGATAAGGGTGGCTGCGGAGAGGAACAGGTTTAGTACGTTTTGTGGGGGATCGATAGTTGGATCGATGGGGAGTGCAAAGAGCTTGTATATTGGGATTAGGGATTATGAGGAGTATGGAGAAGGCATTGTCGAGAGAAAGAGAAGCGAATGGGTGGCGGAGACAGGAGAGTAAAGTAGCAGGTGATATATTTGAGAATGTAGAGGGTGGCATAGAAAGAGGCAGTGGATGGATATGAGTAAGAGATAAATATGGAGTGAATGAGATAGTAAATGAAAGAAGTTTGCGGCTTGTGTAGTTGGAATAAAGGATGAAGAAGTATAAAAATTTTTTTTTGAGCCCCCCTTACGATGGCTGATGGCAACGATAAGAAACAGTTGAATGTGTGTGTGATAGGACATGTGGACTCTGGAAAGAGTACGATGGTTGGGTGTTTTTTGAAAGAGCTTGGGGAGGTGAATGACCGAGAGCTTGAGAAGAATAAGAAGTTGGCGCAGGATTATGGGAAGGACTCGTTTATGTATGCGTTTGTGACTGACAAGACCAAGGAAGAGAGACGGAGAGGAATTACGATAACGGCGACGCTGGTGAAGGCAAACATTGATAATTACAATCTGAATGTTTATGACTGTCCTGGACACATTGATTTTATCAGGAACATGGTGACAGGAGCAGCACAGGCAGACGTGGGGGTGGTAGTAGTGCCAGCTGATGGATTTGAGGCGTGTCTTGGCAAGACAGGAACGCTGGAAACCCATATTCTTATAGCAGGGGTGCTTGGGTGCAAGAAGCTGATAGTGTGTATTAACAAGATGGACTCGCCGGCAATACCTGAGAGTGATAAGGCGAAGAAATTCGATGAACTGAAGACGGAGATGGTGAGGAATATCATCAAGAAATACCACTCTGATAAGGATCCGATAGTGATACCGACATCTGCGATGCTTGGAATGAATCTAACTGAGAAAGGAAATAAGTACAGTTGGTTTGAGGGGTGGAGCGACTCGAAGAACCCGGACGCACCGAAGATATATACACTTGAGGCGGCGCTGAATTACCAGGCAGAGCCTAAGAGGATGGACGACAGCCCGTTGAGGATGTCGATATCTGGCATACACAGTATACCTGGGATTGGCAGTGTGTATACGGGGCGAGTTGATTCTGGAAAGATACAGACGAATATGAAAGTGGTGATACAGCCTGCAGAGGTGCACACTGAGGTGAAGAGTTTGGAGATACACAAGCAGGTGAGAAAGGAGGTTGTGTCTGGAGATAACTGTGGAGTGGCGTTTAAGAATCCATCGAAGGGAGACTTCCGTCATGTGAAAGTGGGACATGTGATATCGAGGGATGATGAGACGGCGGCAAAGGTATACCCGGCAGCAGAGGCGAATATTGTGGTGACTAACAAGCCGAATGGATTTAAGGTAGGGTACAGCCCGCTTGTGTGTTTTGGAGGGGCACGAGTGTCTACGGTGGTTGAGGTTATGAAGCTAAAGAACAACAAGAATCGGCAGAAAGTGGAGAATCCTGAGGATATGTCTACTGGGGAGAGCGGAATAGTGGTTATTAGACCGCAAAAGCCAACGGTGTTTGACTCTGTATCTGTGTTCCCGTCTCTTGGAAGATTTGCAGTGATGGATTCGAATATGGTGGTGTTTGTTGGAAGCATTATACGACCGCTGACTGCAGAGATGCTGCAGAGCGAGTATGGGATTTCCACGGATTCTGCAACGGCTAATAGTACTGCGACAGCAGCAGGAAAAAAGAAGAAGTAAGTGTTGAGAAGGTAAACGGAGGTGGCAAGTGATTGCTGCAACGGATGCCTGAAGAACGGTATTTACTCTGGAAGGACTTTATATTAAAGCATTCTTCTATTAGTGGTTTATTTACTGGTGTGCCTGTTGTTTTGCTTTTACGGAGTCAGGTTTTATTAAGCTCACAAGAAGTTCTCCTTGAGCTTTTGTGAAATGATTGATTTTATGATGTGAGTATATGTGCTGAAGAATGCTTCCATCTCGAGTTTTTTGCCCAACTGCTTGATGAATAGTGCATCGGATGCAAGCTCATCTATTTTTTCAAGTTTACTGATCATCGCAATATCATACTGATTAAGATTCATAAAGTCAGCGGCATGTATATTGTAGGATAGGATATGTTCTGCATGTATTCCTATTCTTTGGATAGAGCTGATCCGCAGACTCGATGACTTCTTGGTTCCGTACTTGTACACGCTGTATATATGAATTCCAAATGGATCGAAGTCAAAAAGACCCAGGATTGCAGTAGAGTGCTTCTGAAGCATATTTAGTAACGCAACAGTGTTTCTGCAAGGATATCCCTTTCCGCACACAAGCAGTATCTGATTGAAATAAGGCTCGGTTGAGAGCACGGCTGCGATCCTATGAAGAATTGTGTCTTTTTCAACAACTACTACAATGGGATGAAGTGTAAATGCATCTACGACACACGACATATCTGGAATAAGTTGTGGACTGCATGCTTGCGAACACAGTTTTTCTACAGAGGATGCACGATCGGATGTATCTGCTTTTACGAGTACGATGCTTCCAATGAATGTTCCTTTAAGTGTGTTTCTGATGCCGAGGCTTGTCTTTGAAAGTCCTGTTTCATGCATTATGCTTGAAACAAGCCTAGCTAGCGATTTTTGTGACCCAAATGTGTTTACGGCCATGTAGAAGATTTCTCTTTCGTTTCTTGCAGTACCCGACAGTGCCATGTCGAATAGAATTTCATAGAGCTTGATTTTCATGACCATGCCTTTTGTATGCGGGTTGCACAGCAGCTTCTTCACTGCGTGTTTTATTGCACTGACGACTGCTTGCGTGTTTGACTCCATTGTGTGGCAGAGGCATAAATCATGCATATTGGTGAAACCCTCTGCCAGTTCGAATGCTGTATACTACAGAAGCATATGAAAGGATTGCACGAGTGCTTGAAAATCTTTGCATGAGCCGTTATAAGGAAAAGAAGAGTGTTTTCAAAGTAGACAAGTACATGTCGAGGGAGCCAGTATACTTGGTTAGATGGGATGGGAATGCAATGTATATTGTAAATGGCGAGACTTTTCTGCTTGAGAACATGGATTTTGAGATTGGTGTTGCTGTGGAAAAACAGGTCACGATTGAGTTCCATAGATTTGTAGCAGGCACAGCGGATGAGAAGAAGGGTGATGGAGAGGTGCGATGGACAGATACTCCGCTGCTGGAGATAGATGCAGGAACAGTTATGTGTGGTGGGAAAGCCACAGGCACACTGGTTATTTCAAGAGGCAGGCATGGGCTGAAGCCTCTTGAGCATACACTGAAGAAGTTTGTAAGGATTGACTGGTGGGTAAGTGACAAGGGAGGAGTGGAGAAGTCGATTGTGAATGCTCTTGTTTTGAATAAGATGCTTTGATGAGATGGTATTTGATATAAACAAACAATGGATATTAAGAAAGATGTGGGAAATAACATGCTGTTTTTGGTGATTGCTGGGCTTGTGCTTTGCAGGGAGAATGCAGTGATACTGATTTTATGCAGGAATGGAGACAAGGATGGCATAACGGGGAGTATAAAGAATTTTGAGGATGTGTTCAACAGGAAGTTTGGATATCCGTATGTGTTTCTGAACGATGAGGAGTTTACGGAGGACTTTAAGAAATCGATTAGGGGCGTTGTGTCGAGTGATGCTGAGTTTGGAAAGCTAGAAGCACAAGAGTGGGAGGTTCCGGAGTGGATAGACATGCAGAGAGCAAATGAGGAGATGAGGAAGCTAGAGGAGAGAAATGTGATATATGGAGGGTCGTTATCGTACAGGAAGATGTGCAGGTTTTTTTCAGGGTTTTTCTATAGAAACAAGTTAGTGCAAAAGTACGAGTACTACTGGAGGATCGAGCCTGATGTGAGGTTTCTCTGTGAAATAGATTATGATCCGTTCAGGTACATGAGGGAAAGCAGCAAGAAGTATGGGTTTGTGATATCTCTTGGAGAATTTATGGAGACGATTCCCAGCCTGTTTGGAGAGGTTGTAAAGTTTGTTACCAACAATATGAACATACTGAAGAAGGTGAGTGGAAACAGTTTTTTGCTAAATGCAGATGGATCGTACAATGGATGCCACTTCTGGACAAACTTTGAAATAGCAAGCTTTGATGTGTTCAGGAACGAGGTGTATCAGAAGTATTTTGACTGGCTGGATAGGACAGGAGGATTTTTCTACGAAAGATGGGGAGATGCGCCTGTGCATAGCATTGCAGCATCGCTATTCTTGGACAAGGACCAGGTTCATTTCTTCAGCGACATGGGATACGAGCATCCGCCATTCAAGAACTGCCCGAAGGAGGCCTCTATGAGGATGAAGTGCAGATGCAACTCCACGCCATCGCAAGATATTTCGTTTAACACGTGTATTAACCAGTACCTGAAGTCTAGGCTATGAGTGCGAAGGCGAGTGAAACGCTGAGGTGTGTGAGCATGGAATTAAACTAGATGAATATTTTTAGTGTGTTTTTGGCCTGCACTTGAGAATGGAATGCGATAAAGATGAGAAGAAGAAGATTAAGGAGGAGAAGAAAAGACAGAAACTTGAGAAGTTTCTACAGAAGAAAACACAGGAGGTGAGTGTGACCAAGCCAAGAGGAGAATACAAGGCAGGAGGGTATGACCCGATAGAGATTGAAAGCAAATGGTATAAGCACTGGGAGAGCAACGGGCTTTTTAAGCCGATGAGCAACGAGAAGAAGTATGTTATTCCGATACCGCCTCCAAATGTGACAGGCAACCTGCATATCGGACATGCAATGATGGTTTCTATACAGGATGCAATTTGCAGATACAAAAGGATGTGTGGATATGAGGTGCTGTATATTCCAGGGACTGACCATGCAGGAATAGCAACACAGAGTGTTGTTTCTAAGCAATTGGCCAAGGAGGGGGTAGCTAGTGTTGACAGGGAAAGGTTTTTGAAGAGGGCATGGGAGTGGAAGAATAAGCATGGAAGCAAGATATATGAGCAGTTTAAGAGGCTGGGCACCAGTGTTGATTTTTCGAGGGAGAGGTTTACTCTTGATCCTGGGATGAGTGATGCAGTTACCGAGGCGTTTGTGAGGCTGTATGAGAAAGGGCTGATATACAGAGAGCCAAAGATAGTGAATTGGTGTGGAAAGTTATGCACGACCATAAGCGATCTTGAGGTGAACCATGATGAGATTGGGCCGAACGTTGTTCTTCAGGTTGATGGAGGAATGTATGAGTTTGGAGTTATCTACCATGTGAAGTATCCGCTGACTACATGCAAAGATTTTGAAGGATGTGTTAGCATTCTACCAAGCGTCGAGATAGCGACCACGAGGCCTGAGACGATTCTTGGAGACACAGCTATATGTGCAAATGGAAATGACTGGCGATTCGGCAATGATGGAATACGGAAGATGTTTGGGGATGTACCTGATGGCACAAAGGTGTATGGAGTGAATCCGCTGACAAAGAAGGTGATTCCTGTGATATTTGATGAGTATGCAGACATGAGCTTTGGAACAGGAGTGCTGAAGGTGACGCCTGCGCATGATGCAAATGATTTTGAGTTGTCCAAGAGGCACAGGCTTGAATGCATTGTTGTGTTTGATGAAGGCAATAAGGTGAGTGTTGAAGGAGAGTTTAAGGGGCTTGGAAGATTCGAGGCCAGAAAGGCGGTTGTATGCAAGCTTGAGTCGATGGGATTGTATGTGGAAAAGAAAGGGCATCCTCAGGTGATTCCAAGATGTTCGAGATCGAATGATGTTATTGAGCCGATGATCAAAAGCCAGTGGTGGATGGATTGCAAGGAGATGGCCAGAAAAGCGATTGAGGTTGTTAGGGACGGAGAGATGGATATTCTGCCGTCAGGTGCTGAAAAGCAATGGTATAAGTGGCTTGAGAGCATAAGGGATTGGTGCCTGTCAAGACAGTTGTGGTGGGGGCACAGGATACCGGCATATAGAGTGCCTGAAGGGCAATGGGTGGTTGGGAGAACGAAAGAAGAAGCTTTTGAGAAGATGAGAAAGGAGCATCCTGAATGTAAGTGTGCGATTGATGATATGGAGCAGGACGAGGATGTTTTAGATACTTGGTTTTCATCTGGGCTGTGGCCATTTGCAGTGCTTGGATGGCCAAAGATGACGGATGACTATGCTAGGTATTATCCAACGACGCTTCTTGAGACAGGTAGTGATATTCTTTTTTTCTGGGTTGCTAGGATGGCAATGCTGGGGATAGAGCTCACAGGAAAGATTCCGTTTGATCAGGTTCTTCTGCATGGGATAGTCAGAGATGCACATGGAAGAAAGATGAGCAAAAGCCTTGGAAATGTGATAGACCCGATATTTGTGATAGATGGGTGCAGCTTGAATGATCTTGTTGCAACAATGAAGAGTGGAAACCTTGATGAGAAGGAGGTGAGGGTTGCCGAGGCAGCCTTGCGTAAGGATTTTCCGAACGGAATACCTAGATGTGGAGCAGATGCACTTCGCTTTACTTTGCTCTCATATACGTCGGGAATGAAAGATATCAACTTGGATGTGCTTAGGGTTGAAGGATACAGGAGGTTCTGTAACAAGATTTGGAATGCACAAAAGTTTGTGAAGATGGTGGTTGATGAGATGTATGACTGCTTGAGCTCTGCGCATGGATATGAAAAGTATGTTTTGAACGTGTCAGACCTCGCAAGTGGATTTGGCTCTGGGCCGATTGAATGGATCCTTATGAGGAGGAACGAAACAATAGAGCATGTCAAAGAAATGATCGAGATGTATAAGTTTATGGAAGCAACGCAGGCGATCCATCAATTTTTTATGTATGACATTTGCGATGTTTTCATTGAGGTGGTGAAGGGAAACAAGGAAAAGGCGTATGTCGGTGTTTTACTGACTGTGTTTCTTGACTCTATGAAGATATTCCATCCGTTTATGCCTTTTATTACTGAAGAAGTGTTTTCGAACTACTTTGATGAGTCAATTTCAGTTTCAGAATATCCGGTGAGCGATGGAAATGCCCACAAGAACAGTTTTTCTGCAACATTACAGTTGGTCAAACACTTACGAGGCTTGCTGGAGGCGAAGGGCCCTGGAGGCATGAATGTACTTGAGGTTGTCCCTGGGCCTGAGATCAGCCATCAGGATCTAAGATTTGTCCATCTGCTTTGCAGGAGGATATGCAGTGTTGAAGTAGTGTGTGATTATGATGAGGAGTTCTTGGACTTTGGAGGTACCAAGGCGTTTCTTCGAAAAGTCGAATAAACTGGACACTACTTATGCTTATTGGGATGTTGTATGGAGATGTACATGCTCTTTTGTTTTAGATTACAATTTAAGGACATCACATGTGCTTTAATTTAACTTCTTGGCTGTGTGAGTAGACACCAAGAAATCTCTCGCCTTTCGGTAATATTCCTGTACATCAGCCGGGCAGCTAAGAACCCACTTGTCCATAGAAACACGCATCTCTCCAAACACGCTTTTCATTGCTGGATTCGTGAAGTACTGCTGTCTCACCATCGCAACAAGCGCAGTGAGTGTGACAATGCTAGATTTCCTGAAGAAAATCATCAAGAAAGAGACAGGAACAGTGAAGGCCTCTGCAAGCAACGCCATCCTACCAAGTGCAACATGATGTGCAGATAGCGACACACACGCCGGATATATGCATGATGCCTCAAATATTTTTCTATTAGACAGCACAAACGAGCTCATGTGATATACTGCCAGCAGATAGAATGGAAGCAGCAGCATCTCGTGAGGAAATGTAAGAAACACTGCAATGCAATACAAATTTGGCTGAGAAACCGCCTCGCCTATTGAAGATAGGTGCGGAAGCAAAGATATCGAATACGACAACACCAGGCTCAAAATGTTGACAAAGTTCGGAAGAGGATACAGAGGAATCCTCAGTAAATGGAGAATCGCATACAGTGAGTAGTTCGCCACAAACACAAGATTCAATGACATCCATGCTTTTTTTGTAGGAGTTAGTTTAGGCATTCCTTTCTTTCAAGGGTTACTGCAGACAGCCATAATATTTGTGTGTGCTTGCATCATGTGTGAAGCACAGGCTATGTGTGCGTGCTATTCACAATTTACTTAGTTCGCAAAATATTTCGCAATAATGCAAGCTTTATCAGCAATAGTATACTGATGCAAGCAGTATTGCACATAATGATTGATATGGAATAGCAAACACACCTGAAACGCATTAATAGCAAATAGAGGACACAGGCAACACACATGATTGCTGTCAGAGATGCTTTGAATCAGGCAATAGACGAAGAGATGCAACGAGAGGAATGCGTATTTGTGATTGGAGAAGAGGTTGGTGCATCTGGAGGATGCCACGGGGTTACTGAGGGTCTTTACTGCAAGTATGGCCGCTGGAGGGTTCTTGACACTCCAATCAGTGAAATGGGATTCACAGGATTGGCAGTGGGTGCTTCGTACCTTGGATTAAGGCCGATAGTCGAATTCATGACATGGAACTTTGCTCTGCAATCAATCGATCATATAATCAATTCTTGTGCAAAGACATTGTACATGTCTGGAGGAATGATTAGCTGTCCAATTGTGTTTAGGGGGCCAAACGGTTTCAATCCAGGATATGGAGCGCAGCATACACAAGACTTCTGCGGGTATTACGGTGCAGTTCCAGGATTGAAGGTAGTTGCGCCATACACAGCCAAAGATCATAAGGGCCTAATGAAAGCAGCAATCAGAGACAACAATCCGGTTGTGTTCCTTGAGAATGAAACCTTGTATGACGATGTATATGAAGATGTTGCAGATGGATATGTGCAAGCGCTGGACAGGGCTGTTGTTGAAGTTACTGGAACGGATATCACCCTGATTGGAGTCTCTATTTCTGTAAAAGTTTGTCTAGAGGCTGAAAAGCTGTTGAGAGCAAAGGGAATTTCAGGAGAGGTGATCAATCTTGTATCTGTAAGGCCCATAGACAAGCAGGCGATTGTTGCATCGGCAATGAAAACACGCAATGTGTTTGTTGTTGATTATGCATGGCCTTCGTTCAGCATAGCATCTGAAGTATCTGCAATTATCCATGAGAGCTGCTTTCATTCTCTACACACACCTGTACAAAGAATAAGCGGTAAGGATATTCCAACGCCATATTCCGAGAATCTCGAGAAGATGTCTTTTCCAACGCATCTTGATGTTGTGGAGGCAGTTATGCGCACATACAAGAAGCAATAACAAACAATGCTCGTTTTATTCTACTAAAGCGTTTCTTCAAAGTCGATCAGTGCAGATCCCTGATCATCTATTGAGAAGGTGTCATCTTTTATCTCGCCATCATCTTTCAGGATCTTGATTTCCTTTGGCATGTATTTCCTATCGATGTCTGCCTTCTTGTCATCGCCATCTCTTATGCGCAGCAGCACTATGTCGCCAGGTCCCATCCTAACTCGTCTATAATCTCTTCCGCGTATCTTCGCTATCCTAGAAACACCATCCGAGCAGTTTACTTTGAACATGCACTGGCCAAGCGGTGCAATTATTTGGCCATATGCTGTCTGCTCCTCTTCGGCAAACACCAGTGCTCTGTCTCCGCCTTTATCTCCCCTCTTACCCCCCATTATCTTGGGCAAGAGGCGTTGCAATTTTATCATCCTATCAGCATAGGCATGCACATGCTCTCGTATTTACAGGCGTCAGAAGTCAATGCAAATCCCAGCACATGGTGTACGAATCGGTGAGTGCATGCTATATTTCTGTAGTGCAGAATAGCATCTACACAATAGCAACGAGTATCCAGAATACCGTTCTCAAGCGCAGTTTACTTGCATTACCCATTGCTTATACTAGCGTATTGCGCATCTGCTTGCTCACACAGTCGCATTCCATCTGGTCGACTCCAGATTATATGCTGTCCTGTTTTGATTATTGTATGCATCTGGCAGCTTATTGCGCTTGGATTTTCCATTTATGGTATGCAGATATATTATTTTAGCCAGTGATATAATCGCCCCAATAATGAAAGATAGCCTAGGAACGATTTCAGCCATAGTAACGATGGTGACGTCAATGATGGGCACAGGAATTAATTTCATGCCTTTTGCGTTTCAGAACGTAGGATATGTCAGGGGCATTATTTTAATCAACATTGTGGGACTTCTGACGTTTTTTTCACTGTATATAATCTCGATTGCAGCACGCATGTATAAGGATGGAGTGCCGACATACTCATTGCTTGCAGCTCATATTTCCAAGTACCTGAAGATCCTTGTAGATGTTTCCACATTTGCCAGCTGCTTTGGATCGAACATATTTTTCTACAGATACCTCGTAGGGCTTGTGCAAAAGCTGATTGTGTCTTTTTTTGGGTATGCAGACATTAGTTCTGAAATGGGAAGAAAGATGATTGCTGCAGGGATGTTTGTTCCGTTCTGTGCACTGTCTTTGAAGAAGAACCTGTCGAATCTCAAAGTGTCATCGTACATTACTGTTATTTCTGTGAGCTATCTTGCACTGATGATGGTTGGATATTGCATGTTTATAGGAGATGTGTGCTCTGAGGAGCCTATCAAGATGCATGGGTCGAACTTTTCAAGCGGGATTTCATACTTTATTCTGGCACTGGCATGCCAGGCAAACATGGTGAAGACATACACCGAGCTGGAGGTGCGGACAATAAGTAGTATTGTGAAGGTGACATTAGCAGCATCGCTTTTTGGAACACTGATTTATGGAACAGTTGGTCTGTGCGGATATATCGTTTTTGGAGACACGATAAAAGGATCTGTGATAGACTTGCTGATTGATCCTAATAGCAACATCAATGTGTACCTGCAAAATCATACGGTTGACTCGTATGGGATTTCATCGAAGGCAGCATGCCTTGGAGCAATAATGGTCTTGTTTGGAGCGTTTCCAATGCAAATGAATCCGATGTGTGAGATTTTACTGAGCTACATAGTGAAAGACAATGCAAATGCCGATATGCTGTGGAAGAAGGTGATATACATAGTGATGGCAGTCTTTCTTGTGCTTGCACTGATGAAAGACCTTAATATAGATACCATACTGCAGTTTGTGTCAATAACCGCGATCAACCTGACGTCGTTTACATATCCTTCGATATATTACTTGTTTGCCAAGAAGAAGATGAATGTAACAACAATTCTGGCAGGACTCATGGGAATAGGCAGCATTGCTTCCATGGTGTACATGACACTCGACATACTATAATTATTCTGTGTTTTAGCTTCAATGGATGCTTGATTGGATAGATCGATGTAGTCTTTTGACTATTAAAGTGTCTATTGATAAATTTGACAGGCCCTTTTAGGGAAATAGTTTTACTCCAGCCTCTTTAATAATTCAAAAATTCTTTTCTGCACCTCCTCATTACGGAAAAATAAGGTTCTGTGGCACTGTTCGTTCATCTGGATGCACAGCCATTTGTTAATGAAGCACACGGGGTCTTTTGCAAATTCATCCAGAGTCCTTTCTCTTTCTTCACATTTCTTCAGAACTTGCCTGAGAGATTCTATCTTCCTGTCAACTGCGTGTATCCTCTTTGAATACAGCACCGGATGCTGATACAGATCATCCCACTCGAATGGAATATCGAATATATTCGCATATCCATCCTGTGCAGGAGCACTCACAGTCAAGAAGTCAAGAGGGAGAAGATGCGGCACTATCATATCCGGAAGCTCACTCAAGGCAAACTCATCTACACCCAAGATCTCCTTCAGCGACTGATTGCACTTGACAAAGTCTGATCCTGTTTTCATTAGGCCGTTCTTATTAACATATCTCCACAGATGTGTGATCACATTCGGTTTCGTATCTGTGTATTTCATCAGCAGCATACTCAGCTTTGGAGAAAGTCTCCAGATGCCTCTCGGATTCTCAAGCTCAAAAACCAGCCTTATGATTTCTGGTGTCTTCTTCGTACTTACTTCAAATGCTTCTATGTCTTCTTTGCCCTTTGCCCACTCAAAAAAATCATTCACATCCACATTTCTGCTAACATGCTTTGCATCCTGCTCCACGCCGTGTTGCACATCTTCTGTACTGTTACCCTTCTCAAATTGCTCGATATGCATCTCTGATGTGGAACGAAGATCGCTATTCAAGACAACACAAAACCTCTTCACAACATCTGAAAATTTCATTTCTCCTCCGCTTTTGTAGTCATTAATCACCCTGCTGTCCATTCGTATAAACAGACCGTTCTTCATTTCGATCTTCACATAACATCTCAAAACCTTCCTGCATTTTATTCTCTTAAGATATTCCGCTTCTATGCTCAGCTTCCTCTGCAAGCACATTCTATCAACCTCCTTCTCAATACTTCGTAGCTTCTCATCTATGCTATCACTCATCTGTAGCCAGGGCTATACATACAAACTTATTGCAAATACATATGAGCTATGCGCATAGCATATCCACCGATTTGTCGCAATGCAGTACATGCTTTTACAGCAGCACTGACTCCGCACCAATCTTGGCATTCAATTGTTTTGCATGTCACACCCTGAATGAATCGGAAAGAGCTATATGAAATGTTTGGGCTCGGCAACTCTGCTGACAACACAGAAAATGTTGATGAGGACGAAGCCGAATGCATTCGCTTGTCTTTTATCAACAACACGGATACAGATGTTCTAAGAAGCCTTATATCAAGGTACAGGGCATCATACAGCGATGAATGTATCGGGTTCTTCGTTGACACGGTTTCGATTATTGTGAATGATTCAAAAGCAGCAATCATGGCAAGCAGCGTGATGTCGCTTCTTCCGCTCCTGACACATACATTCGAGGCAGAGTACTTCGATGCTGTTGATTGCTTCGAAAGATTGGGAGAAGTCGAAGGGATCGCATCGAAGGTTTTTGTTCCGATGATTTATGGGCTATCGTTCAGATGCTCACAGACAGAAATAATGTCTGATGCAAGAAGGTATGTAGTAGCGCTTGGCGTGCTTATGGGGCTTCCGAATGTGCTTGAGGAGCTAAGGAAGGAGGGGTATTGGGGATTGGGAGCCGATGGCGTGGATTATACCAAGAAAATCTGTGCTCCTGTGCATTTTGGGTTTTTGAGTGAGCGTGCATGCATTTTAGATGGATTCTTCGAACCTTTTATCTACAAGAAATGCGAGTATGGAGTGCCGGTGCAGGAGTATTTTGGAATGCAAATGAAGGACGTGGTTGAAATGTCACGAAATGCGTATCGTGCATTGAACGAGTATTCGTACAAGATGTACGAAGTGATCTTCGCAGCCATACGTGCATCACCTGATGTAAGACAGAATTTCATGAGGTATATTTCAAAGGTTGTCTATGTCAGCAAGGAACGAAGCAAGACGGTTTTTGATTGGAAAGAGAACATAAGCGATGGCTTTGCATTTAACGTATGCATTCTAATGGGTAGGTTCAGCAAAAAGATAGTTGAGGACAAGATGATCGAGAAAATTGATCCGGAGTGTGTGGAGGAGATTTCTTTGAGCTCGTTTCCGACATTCTGCTATTTCAGCAAGATCCATATGATGCAGGCATCTTATGTTAAGTTTGGGGAGTATGTAAGAACGCTTGCATATGAATACCGTACACTGGAAGGAGAGGGAGGAGAGAGGATGGAGGCATACAGAAAAGGAATAAATTCGAAGATAAATGCATTGAACGGGCTTTTATTTGCAACCGATCTGTTTGTAGATGAGAGGGAGTTTGTTGAATTCATTGCTGAGTACACTGCAGAGATTGAGTATCCATGGCCGGATTTCTACTACAAGACGTTTTTGTGGATGCAGGAGATGGTGTTTGAAGTTGTTCGGTCTGCTTGCATTTCTGAATCGTTGTGGAAGGTGATGGAAGGCATCATGACCTGGAAAAGCCTTGCATTTAAGAAGGAAGTGATGAAGATCCTGAGCCACAGAAGCAGCTCAATAAAGTTCAAAATGATCAATCACATCATAGACTACTACAACGCATTGGAGAGGGATGAGGCAAGGATGGATGCAAGGTGTGTGATACATACGATTTTGAAGGACGGCAGGGTTTTTTCAAAGATGAACATCTGCAAGAGAAATGTGACGTTTATCAACTGCATGATGAAGGATTTTGAGAATAGGCTGTCGGAGGGGCTTTCTTCAATCAAGGCCATAAAGGAAGACTCAAAGACAATTGATGAACAGATCGCCGAGCTTAAAATTGCACAGGAGAAGAGCGGGCGAGATCAGGAGAATAATGAACAGGTAGAGGCATTGGAAGAAAGAATAAGATCGCTGAGAAAGATTATACGTTTTTCAACAAACAAAGCAAGAGGATGTTTTATGTATGTTGATGGATGCTTTGACCTGTTTATGCATATTCTTGATGAAAGGCCCGACCTGTTTTTGGTGGAAGAGATGGTATTCAATTTTGTAAGGGTGCTGAACTGCAATCTGAAGATAATTACTGGGCCGAAGTGTGCAGATCTTGTGATAAAGTCGCCAGAGAAGTATGGATTTGATGCAAAGAGCCTTTTGAAAAAAATGGTGATGGTATATATAAGAATATCCTCCAGTAAGTTTGTAGATGCAGTTGCAAACGACAGGATGTATTTTGACATCGGATTTTTCCACACAGCACTGGAGATATGCGAGAGCAAGTATTTGATCAGTGAGTCTCAGATACGTGAGCTGCGTAATTTGGTTTGCAGGCTCGAGAAGGTTGTCGTAACGTCGGACACGGCCGAGTTAGTGCCTGATGAGTTTATTGATCCATTGACATTCAATCCAATAAGGAATCCTGTGAGGCTGCTAACATCAAGGGTTACGGTAGATAGGTCAACATATGATATGCTGATGATGAACGGAGGGATTGATCCGTTTAACAGGATGCCGCTTAATGAGGACATGGTAATAGAGGACGAGGAGCTCAGGAAAAAGATGGACGAGTACAAGAGAGCAAAGGATGCGTGAGACAATGAATAGATACCATGCATTGGAGTGTTTATATGATTTGCTGTTGCATGGAGCCCCTTGCGTGATGATGAAGGGGATGTTTGTTGTTTTTGAAGGGCTAGATAGGTCTGGAAAAACAACGATGGTTAATGCATTGCATGAAAGGATGTCGAAAAGTGTAGCAGTTAGGAAGATTGGGTTTCCGAACAGATCCACAGCGCTTGGGAGGGTGATTGATGGATACCTAAGAAGGCAAATCAAGCTTGAGGATGAGACAATACACTTGGTATTCAGTGCAGACAGGTATGAACACAAGCAAATGATTGAGGAGTTGAGAAAAGATAGTGTGGTTTTGTGTGACAGATATGCCATGAGCGGTGTAGTCTATTCAGCAGCCAAAGGATTGGACCTTGGGTGGTGCGAAATGACTGAGGAGCTGCTTCCAAAGCCCGATGTGACGGTTTTCATAGATGTACCAACTGATGAGCTGTGCAAACGAAAAGGCTTTGGAGAGGAAGTTTATGATAACATGGAGTTCCAGAACAAGGTTTATTCGCTTTATGCATTCCTACTTAAAAAAGAAAAAAACGTTTTGATTATTGATGGAACATGTGCCGTTGAAGATAACATAGAGAAAATAGTGCACGCAATAATGGTAAATAAATAACATCGCCTAAATTGTTTATCCGTTATGTTCTTTGTGGAATGCATATAAGCTTGTTGAAGTTGCCTTTCGAGCTTTGTAAAGCATGTGAATGATCTTGATGTACAGAATCTCATTTATCTTCAGACCCTTTTGAATTGATCTTGATTGCTTTGTCCTCAAAAATATTCTCCACACCTAAATCATGAGAAATGTATCTAATCATGTGTGACTGGGTTTGGCCTGGATTTTTACACGAATCTTCAAACAAATCTCGAATATTGAAGTGTGCTTTCTGCACAGCTGCACTGAACAACTGCGTTTTATCTTCAATAAACGCCATCTTCACAAACAATAAATGATACTTGCAAAGATTCTGCAGAAATCTCTTGTTGCTAAATCCTTTGAACAACGAAGGCGATTCAGGATAATACTTCTGATCTTGAATGTCAGCACGTATTTCATCAAGAACTTTATAGGCATTTCTGCGAATATTGTCTAAGTACAGCTTTGTGTACTCATCGCAGCTGCTCTTACTATTCACTGCATCTATACTCGTTTCATCTATATTGATGTTCCATTCTTTTGCAAATGACTTGAGCATCGACATATACAGACATGACTCAAATCCAACATCTTCAGATCCCTCCTTTTTGCATTCATCGATTTCGTGCTTTAAAAGACTTAAGATATACTGGGTAGTCCGCCTTTCGGTCTTGATATTCCTTCTATATTTCTTTTCATTTGCTGCATTCAACTCCTTGGCGTCTTTCTCCGTTGTATTATTGATAAATTCATCGCTGTGCTTTGCATCACTCTTTTTGGTTGTTTCTGTACATGAATCATCATTTTTATTCTGTTCGTTGTTCTTTAGCTGTTCTCGCAATGTTCTTGACTCCCACATACTCAGAACCTTTTTTGCACTGTAAGGTAACTCTCCACGATAAACAAAAAAGTCACACAAGTTACACTCAACCATCACAGCCTGTGCTTCGCCTTCAAAAGATTCTATAAATGGATCATTGTAGTCGTATTCATCTATCTTCTTTAGTCTCTTACTCTCCTTCGTCTTTCTCTTTAGATCTATCTCTATAGACTTCATAACGTCAATCTGAATCCTCACTTCCTTCTCTCTTACCATCTTAATGGGCCTCTAAATCAGCCACTCTTCTCAAATTCACTAGATACACAGAGCACAGCCAAGCATTCAAATCCCTCCAGCACACTATCATGCATACATCAAAACTCACCATCATTAAATTAAGTCAAATATGCTTTATTAACCATCAATAAACCTCTTCCAAAACCACTCCCAGACATTATACTCCTCCATCACTGCACTTGTATCCCTTTATCTTTTTGAGTCTTACTTCCCTGAGATCCTGCTTGTTTATGTGCAACGTACCGATCTTGTCATTGAACACATTCTTCTTAATGTTCTTTCTTCCTCTTCCAGGCTCATCAATCGCCTTCTTATACACCTCTTCATCGCAATGATGGCTTCGAATCAACTGCATCTCAAATAGCGGCCCACAGTTCTCTATACTCAAGTCTTTCATCACCCTCACATACTTCAGCACATATCCAGCTTCGCTCCTTGCAAACACCCAGCAATACCTGATGTTATCAAGACATACCTTGTTGCTCTTCATGTTCAGCATGTCCACCACAAGATTTTCAAGTCTAGCATCATCAATGTTCTGGACAACTACAAAATATTTCATGTGCAGCTCAGGCGACACACATTCAAAATCAGAAACGCTCATGTACTTGTCGATACTAAACTCAGCAATATCAATCATCTCGTCATTAAAAACCCTGCCAATCACCAGTCGTTTCTCCTTCGTCACCGAAAAAAATACCCCGCATCGCTTTTTCTTCATGAGCCTTTCTATCTTCTCCACACAATCAAACGGGCTTACATTCTCCCTGACACTAACCGCATCCCCCCTTATAGTCGAAAACTCCTTCTGAATCCGCTCTCCCTCCTCGTTGCTGACAACAGACAGCAAAGTCTTTCTTTCGTCGGATTTCTTTGGCTTCATTTCTGTGGGTAAAAAATACCGCCACATACATGTGCCATCAATGCACATTTGATAAAGCACCTTCAGTCTATAGAATAAAATGTTTTTACATCTAGTAGCTAATAAACTAAAGCATTGGCTTTAGGCTCTCTTCAGTCACCCTTGACGACCTAGCATGAATATAAATCTGAGCGACATATTCACGACTGCTGGACGACGACAGACACAAAAGGAGGACAGATACACAAAAAACACAATTGGAATACACACGAGTATTCTCGCAAGCACGAAGATATCCACGCTTCCTCGAAGCTCAAGAATAAAAAACAGGCACATCGACACATCACCCCATCGCATCCTTGATGCACCAGGAATGCTTGACGACTACTATCTGAACCTTCTGGACTGGAGCACCACAAACATAGTTGTGATTGGGCTTGGTGAGGCTGTGTATGGATATAATGTTTACGACAAGAGCGTGGTTGAAATGTATGCAGGGAGCGACTATGTTTCCTCCGTGAAGACCAGCGGAAGCATGCTGTGTATTGGCAACTCCGATGGATCAATGAATCTTATTGATATATGCACTACCAAAATCATACAAAGCGTAAGGAACCACAATTCAAGGATCTCCTCGTTGAGCTGGAACGGAAATGTGATCAGCAGCGGGGACAAGGCAGGAAGGCTCTGCAACATGGACATAAGATCTGGACAAGTATCTGCAATAGGTGGGCATTCTCAGGAGATCTGTGGGCTTGCATGGAGTGCAGACCTCAGGTATTTAGCCAGCGGAGGAAACGACAACACAATACGCATCTGGCAGCTTGGAAACAACAATTCGCAGGCCCTTTCAGGCCACAAGTCTGCAGTCAAGGCACTGGCATGGTGCCCATGGAGATCAGGCATTTTAACATCCGGGGGAGGAACAAAAGACATGACAATCAAGTTCTGGGACGTCACAGAAAACAAGCTTGAAAGAAGCATCGACACACATTCGCAAGTGTGCACACTCACATATCTTCCGAAGTACAAAGAGATTGTCTCTTCGCACGGATATAGTGAAAACGACATACGGATATGGAAAGCATCAACTATGAGCTTGATATCATCTTTTGGAAAGCATGCTTCAAGAGTCCTTCATGTAGCGCCAAGCCCTGATGGATCAGAACTGGCTTCTGCATCTGCTGATGAAAACCTGAAATTCTGGAAGCTATTCAGTGTAGAAAAGCAAGCACCAAGAAGAGACAGTCTTCCTTTCAGATAACCATCCGTTATCTCCAATGTGCTGCTTACATGTCCATGGCGACTGCATCTTCAGCTACATCTGCAGTCTTTATAATATAAATTTAATCAGAATCAGCAGGCCTCTTTACACATGAAAGCAGATGATCAATCTCATCTTCTTCATAATATACATCGCAGTCCATCAATGGCAAGCCATTTGAAATCAAGGACAAATTCTCTTCAATCATATCATCATTCTTACCATTGCTGGCAAGCTCAACAATTACTTCCATGGCCTTGCTCTTGCACATTCCCTCAACAGCTTTTGTTAATCTTGCCCTAATCACTCTAGCGCTATTTACCATTCTTGCATGTATCTCATCCATTCTTTTGCTAAGATTATGCGGCGTGTCAACAATTATGTTTCCCATGCGGTACCTTTCATATATTTCTGCATGTGCATATTGAGGTGCAGAAAATACACATAGCTTGTATGCAAGCACATCATCAATATTCGCTTCGTCTGCATACATAAACTTAGGCATAACGGTATTCAGAATAGATTTGTAAAGCTTGTCTTTGAATGTCGCAGACAAAATTCTTCTATCAAGCACAACCAATAGCATATCGCCACATTTCCTTTGTGCACATGCTTTGCTTTGCCATTCCAAAACAAAGCCTTCCAGAAATCTTCTACGTATTATTCCACTCACAAACTTAATCACGCTTATATTCACAAGCTCTTCAAGAATCTCCATGCACACACTTCTTATTCGCTCCTTCTGTAAATGCACATCCGTTCCGGATTCTCCATTCACATTTGCATTCACATTGTCTACTGCTCTGCCACTCGCCATCATGCCTTTTGGCTGCGCTTCTTCTAACATAATTTCGTGCGTGCTGGCCATACTCATCTCATTTTTGTATTCATATACTGATTTCACACCATCATTCGCATCTTCGCTTGCTTTCTGCATGCAAATCAGCGTTTCTATTCTTCTATATACAGTTTTGCGCAATGCATACCTGAATATCTCATAGTCGGCACATTCTAATGGCATGAAACATTCTGGATGCCTTACATGCGTCGAAAGTTTCTTAAACACTAGAGAGGCATTTGGCTCTTCATTCACGCCCTTATGCTCAAAATCAACCATCCCTGCTTTCACTGTAACTCCGTTTGATCTCATTATTTCCACCAGCTCCTCCTGCTCAAGCTCAAAAAAATCCTTCATCACCTCAATATTCAACTTCTCAGTCAGCGCCTTCTTAAACCCTTGGGCACATCTCATTCTAAGAATTCCTGCAAATCCTTGTGCTATGCAGAATCCAAGAAAGTCCAATCTTCTAATCTCTTTCAAAAACCCGCTGATGTTACCTTGCCGGTACTTCACCATCACATCGCTGCACACATCCATCATCAACCCATCCACGCGTCTAGCCATCACCGGAAAACACTTGGAATCCAAATTCACAAGCATATAGTAGCAATAGTATTGTTCTCTTCTCCAGCAATCTTCCTCGCCAACTGTATTTTCTTGATCATAATGCCTCAGAAGATCTCCCAATATTCGCTTCATCTGGCTAAGGTTCATGTCTCTATCAAAGTGCGGGTGGTTATACAGAACATACCGGAAAACAATATAAATGCGCACAATCTTCTCCGTTACGCTTGCTGCACTTGCACAGTTTCCTCTCTGAAGCCTAAGGTCGCTTAAAACCGCCTTGAATCTGTTATCCACAAACTTATACATCTGTATGCTTTGATTTCGCATGCTTAGCTTAGTAAGGTGATCCACAACATTGAGCAGTACATGCACAGGCCTTATGTCATCAATATGCTCTCGTCCTGCCCCAGGCACTACTTTACGGTGCTTTTTCACCATCACTTCATTCTCATACGCCGATACGTCATTCTTGAGTGTTCGCTCTAAACCCTCCACTTCCGGGCAAAAAGTCATGCACCTTCCATCTGATCCGCTATGGCTACGAACATTTTTCCTTGCCTCTATCAAATCCTTGTATCTTGCATTCAAGTCATCCATAGCAAACAAGGGATATGGATACTTACAGTCAACTATCATGCATCCCTGCTTACTCACATTCAAATATACTCAGTCATCTGCATTCACTTTATTCGTCACACAAACTCAGAAAGCCCGGCTCTGTGCCACATACATCTCAAAACCTCATCACTGACATTCACCTTGTAGCTATCTCCCTTTCTTGTCACAAACATTTTCATAACCAAGTCGTTAAGTTTCATCTGCAGCACAAATCCATTGCACAGGCCAGCATCAATTTCATTTACACCGTTCAATATCTCTGTGAACTTGCTCTTACGCTTTACAACAAGCATGATTATGCTTTCAAGATAATTTAGTCCTTTTGAAAAGAAATCTTCATATACAGTCTGTATACTACAGGCTATGCGCCTAAGCGCAGTAATGCTCTTCGATCCATGCGCATGCACAACATATTTATCTCCAACAATCGCAAGTCTCTCTTCAACAGTGGGGCACAGCACCATCTGTACAAAATCCCTGTGGCGCTTGTTGCTCAGAAGAATGTATCTTCCCTTCTCAGGAACATCGTAGCCATCGCTGTCGGCCAGAATAACTACTGGCAGGGAGCAAGGCCTTAGATTCGAGCTGAACTGTAGCACATACTCAACATGCCTATCCGCAAGTGCTTCTTCGAAAACATCATACGATTCAAGTGTTATTATCTGTATCTTGAAGTATCTTTCATTCTGCAGTATCTCAAACAAAACATTCAAGTCCTTAAAAGCCACCTTTCCATCAGAGCCTGCCTTGAAATTCATGCAAGGGCCATCACACATCACAATCACTTTCAATCGATATGCATGTGCTATACAAATACACTTGAGCCAAAACCCTGCATAATGAAAAAGATATGCAGAATATGCTCGAAATGGCTTGTTGTGCTTGGTATAATCCCCGTGTTTCTTCTAGGAATACCGGCTTTCATCATTGTATATCCGATTAGCATATTCAATAGAAAGCTAGCCATCCGCATATCAACATTATTTACGTACCTGACATGGTCGTTAACAAGCCTGCTGTTCTGCATATCATGCAGAGTTGAGGGAAATAACATCTTAGACAGCAGTGATTATTTCGTTATCAGCAACCATCTGGGATCTGTTGACTTCATGCTAATAAACGAGATAGCCAGGATGAACAATATGATTGCACATTCAAAATATGCGATCAAGGAGGGATTGAAAGTGTTTCCGGTTTTGTATCAGGGAATGGTGTTTGTGGGGTTTTTGGTTCTTAAGCGATGCTTCAAGAAGGATCGAGATCGAATCGTTGGGTACTTTGAGTTCTTCAAGGCCAACAATATTCCGATCTGGTTTATTCTGTATCCAGAAGGATCAAGGTTCAAGAAGCAGGCACAGGCAATTAGCTGGGAATATTCGGACAGGAACAACGCCCCAAAGCTGAACAATGTTCTGTTTCCAAGATACAAGGGATTCAAGCTCATATGTGAGCAGCTCAGAGGCTCAAGAATATCAAAGATCGCAGACATCACGTTTTTCTATTCAGAAAGCGAGGTCCCACCACTCTGGAAGTTCCTACTCTGGGATACCAATGGATACTTCAAGTATGACATAAGAATCATCCCAATAGATGAAATCTCAGATTACGAATCATTCCTGTATAAGGCCTTCGAACGGAAAGATGCATTAATAACCGAATGGAAGACATTAAAAGGCAAATAAACAATCTTGATGCTTTAATCACGAGTTCAAATAGGCATGCCAACCAAATGCTCGATAGAATTGTATCCTGGCGCTGTTCATCATAAGTACAGGCTTGGCAAAAATATCACATCCCGCTTCATAGACTTCGATGCATCCTCAATCTTTTTTTCAAGATCCTTATCGCCTATCATCACAGCCACTCCCATCAACTCTCTACAGCATTCCTCAAGCCTCAAGATAAGCCTTACAAACGAGCCTTCAGGCACTCCATACTTCGACACTATTTTCGAAAGTGATGATCCGCAGCACCACTCATGCACTGCATCCACCAATGAAAAGTTCAGGGCTGTGAACGGAGGAATTCCAAGATCGCATATCTCACCAGACATCTCGGCAAAATACTTCGCTATCATCTTTGTTTCATTATACAAGATCTCTTCGCCTACGTTTTCTAGTGCTTCTTCATAAACCATCGACGACATCAATGATATGATCTTCCTTCCATCCATGAGTTCAAACTCATTTGAGAATATCATCTCAACCACAAGCACCTCGTTAACTGTGCGGATTTCGGCAGCAGCCTTTCCCTTCAATGTTATTGCACCATCCACAAATCCTCTTTTCGTTAAAAACTCCATACGCTTACTATACTCGTCAATCATATGGAGACTAGAAATTTTGTACCTGGTTCTTATCGCCTCCGCCTCGCGTCTGTTGCTCATCTTCGTAATTGCTTCTATGTAGTGCTGCACCATCTTTTCACATGCATTGTGCTTGCCTTCCAAGTAAGCACACACCCCACTAAGTCTTTTTGCTTCTAATACATCCATCACGTCTGTTAATCCATAGCTCCAAAATGGTTTTCCATTCTTTACAACACAAAATATTTCAGACACGCTCACCTTGCTTTTGACCAGCGGCCTTCTAATGCTCAGAGGATAGGACAGCATCCCCATAGAGCCAGAATCATTCAATTCATCATCAGCAATCCTGTCACACCGCCCATGCTCTATACTTTCTCCACATTCGTCCGCATCTTCACATCTATCAACAACAACAGTGGATCCACAGACACTATTTATCACGCATATAGAGTTGTCCTTCAGCAACAGCTTGGTTCCCTTACACAAAATGGGAGACTTGCAAATCAACTTCCAGTTCTTACTACATATTTCTTCAACAGCACAGAGATATTCCATCATGTCGCCACACTTCACGCATGCCTCGTCTTCTGCTTCTAATTCACGCAGCCTATCCATGTCCTTATCATAGTTCTTCTGGCTTCTGTGCTCTCCATAGCTTCTTCTCATCAGCTCCTCAACCTTAACATTAGATCTCAATGATAGCAGTATCAATCCAAAGCTTAGCTTAAACTGGCTTGACAGACTGAACGGAGTTCCTTTAATAATCCTTCTTATCACATCAATCGTTGGCAGCTTTGGATCCGCAATCATTACAGTGCCCACCGTGTCCATCCCTCGCCTTCCAGCCCGTCCACTCATTTGAATATACTCTCCAGACGAAAGATATCTAAACGTTCCGTTATCAATCTTACTCAAAGACAGAAACACACAGCATTTAGCAGGCATGTTCACACCCATTGCAAACGTCTCGGTGGCCAGCAGTATCTTCACTAAGTTCATCGAAAACAGCAGCTCAACACATTCTTTCACAAAAGGAAGCAAAGACCCGTGATGAACCGCTATTCCGTTTAGCACCATCGAGGTCATGCTTACTACTTGAGGCAGGCATCTGTCCTCTGCAGAAAGACACTTGATTGCCTCGTTCAGAAATGCTCGCACATGCTCCCTGCTTTGCTCATCATTCTGGCTCAATGGCCCAAGAATCTCTGCATACTCCTCACACTTCTTTTTAGAAAAGCAAAAAAGTATTGCTGGTGCTAATCGCCTCCGCATGATAAAATTCACCACATCACATATTTTGAACTTGCCCAGCACCTTTCCCTTTTTGCTTAAAGGCGTCGGTCCATCCTTGAAATTCGATGCTCTTTTTTTATCTGCCTCGTCCTCAATTGCATACACGTTCCAATCACTATACAGCACATGCTCCAGAGGAACCGCTCTTTTACTCGTGGATATCACATATATCGTCTTGCTCTGCGTTCGGCCAACCCATTCGCTGAACTCAAGCCCGTTTGGAATCGTCGCACTCAGCATAATCAGGTTTATATGCTTTGGCAGCATAATTATACACTCCTCCCACACTACTCCACGATCGCTGTCATTTATGTAATGCACCTCATCAAAAACCACAAACTCTGTGTCCCTCAGCAAGTCTCCGTTTCTATATACCATGTTCCTCAGAATCTCAGTAGTCATCACAAGGCATTTTGCAGACGAATTCACCTGCACATCTCCAGTTACAATCCCAACATCCTTATACTTCATCTTGAAGTCATGGTACTTCTGGTTGCTTAATGCTTTGATAGGAGACGTGTAGATCGTTCTTGTGCCATGTAATTGCGATAGGGAAATCGCATACTCAGCAACAAGCGTCTTTCCAGAGCTTGTGTGTGCAGACACAAACACTGACATATTTCTGCTCAGGAAATAGAACGCCTGCTTCTGAAAAATGTCTGTTTCAAAGTTTATATTCAGAATGCCTTCGTCAACGTGCGTCTTATAGTCATCAGGAGCCCATCCATGCTTTACCATCACGCAGTGCCTCTTTTCTGTGCGTTGTATATTCACCATCCTGTTTCCTGCACTCTCCTCACTCCTGTTTACACTTCCATTGTCCATGGGCCAAATCATATAAACAATCATCTCCTATCCATTTGGCAATCAAATCGGCCTGTTCAACAACATACAGGCGATATCCAACATGCATTCTACTTATGCTGCACATCCACTCAGCATAGACCATAAACACTATCATCGATTCCAAGCAATCCAGAAAACTTCAAAATCACACTCATAAGTTTATTCCGCTTTACCACTCCAGATACTTTGTCCTCCTCGTATCTATCAAGCCTACTTCTTCAAAAGCTTCTTTTCATTCGAATACTCAAAATAACAGTCAGGCCCAAGCAATGCTTTAACAGAGTCAAATTTACTTGCAAACACATTCGCCTCCTTTTCATCTCTATACTCAATAAATCCATATCCCTTGTTCTTCTTGTTATTTCCATACGGAACAACAATGTCTAGTGGCTTGCATCCCGCATTGGCGAGAATAGTCCTAATCTCAACAATCGAATGCTTTTTTGCAAGGCCGCCAACAAAAAACCTCTTTTTGTTTTGCACTGGCACCTTAACTCTTTCAACATATATAGGCTTGCTGCTCATCACCACTTCGTCCCTGATAACTGCCTTCTTCTTGAAGGTTATGACTGCCTTTCCTGTGGATATATTGTACTTGTTCTTCTTTATACTGATTTTCTCAATCTCGCCATACTTGCTGAACTCCTTGGAAATCGTTTCTTCTGTTTCTTTGTATGACAGGTTCAGTAGGATGTACTTGGTGTTCATATACTCTTCGCTCAATGCACTTTTCTTTCCTGATGGCCGTCTGTTGGCCTTCATGTCAACAAGTGCATGCTCTTTACTCGGATACTCCAATAAATATCCTCCTTCAATTGCCGTGACTGTTTTGGGATTGCTAAATAGTTCTTTCACTCTTTCCAATGTTCCTGCACACTCCAGCTTTATTGAGCATGTCTCTTTCTCGAAATCCATGTTAAATATTTTCAGCCTTACACTATTGCATTCCTTATCTGTTCTTAGTCGTTTAGTCCTATCGCAGTGCACTTCACTATCTCTTCTTTTGTCATTGCGGTACTGCTGTTGGAAATTGCTGTCGATATTTCTCAACCGATCGTTATTATATTTGCTATGTTTTGATGCAACCATATATGGATGTTTAGCATTGACGCCATTCGGTTTCCGTGCATCTGGCTGCTCTTTGTCGGCATGCTTGTCTCTGCACTGCTTTGCACTACTTGCCATAGTCTGGGATGGGCTAAAATACACTGCTCTCAACAGGTCAATGCGAAAGCATCAATACAGCAGTGCCAATAATTCAATACTGTCTATACCCTCGCATCCACATTGAATAGTTGCATTTGCACACTACATGCACACCATAAAACACGGAAAAAATTTACCCTGTAACGCAATGTCTGAGGAGTTTCTGAGCCCAAACCCGCTGGTTGAGATAAAGGAGGCATACAGCAAGAAGAAAGTGTTTTCAAGACACCATTCGGATAAGTACAAGAGAATAAAGCCATCGTGGAGAAAGCCGCATGGGATTGACAGCAAAGTCAGGCTGAAAATGAAGGGGCAGAAGGAAATGCCTAACATTAAGTATAAGAAGCCTGAGGAGGTTCGCTTTCTTCTTCCAAACGGGCTCAGAAAGGTCAGAATATTCAATATCAATGACCTTACACCGTTGACATCGCTGAACAGATTCTATTGCGGAGAGATCGCGCATGGAGTTGGTGCAAAGAAGAGGATTGCGATTGTCAACAAGGCAAAGGAGCTTGGAATATGCATAATCAATGCAAATGCACGTCTTGTGCCGGAGTTTGAGGAATAAATGTTTGCCGAATGTATTTTTGATGGGTGGGTGCTCGGAGTACAGTAAAAGTTTTACTTACGTTGCCTGAAGTATTATGGGAAATGGTTGTCCTTTGTAATTTGTAAAGATGGGTTTGGTGTCTGCCGAAGGAGATGAAGTTATTTTATGCAGAAGGGATGCACTCGTGCGCATAGATACGGCAACAAAAACAGTGAGGCAGATAGATGTTCCATTCTCCGCGTCTTTTTTGAGTGGAAAATATCTAGTTGATTGCGAGAAGAACGTTTATGCTTTGGATGATATGGAGCTGAGAAAGATTGCGAAGCTGAAGCGAAATATATTCTGCTTGCAGGAGCGAGATGGTGTGGTCTATGTAGCAGACAGATTTGGCGATGTGCATATAATTGAAAACGGCACATGCAGGTATGTTCTCGGAATACTATCGTATATGACTGGGATGGCAATTCACAAGCAGAGCATTCTGCTGAGTGACAAGTACGGTAGGATACGTGTTAGTGAGCTTGGCGGAAGAATAATTAAGTATGTGTTTTTGCATGAGCCGATAGAATCGTTGCTGAGTGTCGATCGGAATGTGGTGTCGGTTAGCAAATGCCGTGTTGTGCTGTTTAGTCAAGCATATGCCGTGAAGGACGAGTTTGTGTTTTCGAAAGAAATGAGTATTATAAAGTGTTTATGTAAGGGCGATGACGAGCTTGTGGTTGTTGCAAAGGAATCGTATCATGTGTTTAGAGTAGGTGACAATATTGAGCATGTTTTGAGTGTTGAAGAGGCTATTGTGGATGCGGTTTGTGTTGGGCCTGTGCTTTACAAGGTTAAAGAGAATTATAAAGTGGTCGATACAGAGGGAAATGTGGTGTATGAATGAAATACAGGGAATTGGTGGTGCTATGAAGCTATATGGTAGCTTATTGATGCTAGAAGAAAGGTATCATGACTTTGGTGGATGCAGTGGGAGCATTGCATGTGGCCAGTATGCAATGGTTTATACAATGGGTGTGAGGCGGGTTTTGATAAGATATACGTTTGTATATTGTAAAGCCCTTTATGAAATCAGATATAGACCATCTGTGTGACAGGGCATGCGTATCTGAAGAGTCTTGTATGTCATCGCATAGCCTGGATGAAGAATTGAGCAATGAGTTGTCGGATGAGCAGATTGAGTACGAAGTGATTGATTATGATGCAGGCATCCAGGAGCAAGTGGCAATGGTTATGGGCCAGTCAAAACTGTTTAAAGCATTTGGAAGTCTTTGCGAGTGTTTTTTTTGTCCAAAGGCACTGGTCAGTGGGGATTTGGTCTTATCATTCTGTGTGTTTGTTCCGTTAGCAAGTATGGATATGGCGTCTCATGAAGTGCTTGTGAAGAAAATAAACCAGCTGATTAATAAGACAAATGTGAGCTTTTCAATGGATGATGTCTATGTATTTTGTGTGGAACGGGCAGGAGACATCCCATTGGAGATGGTTTTGGATATGTATAGAGCCTTGAGGTATGCAAAGCTGAAGTACATTGTTTTTATTTCCAGAGTTGTGCAATGCAAGGGAGCTGATGCAAGAGAAGCAGCAAAGGAATTTAGTGAGTATAAGCAGGCCGACCTAAGCGTAATGCCAGTCAGAGGCGAGGAGGTGCTGATACTATCGTCTTATGTCTGTAAGGAAGATGTAAGAATTGGTGGGAGTGTGTTTAGATTGTTTCTGCTGAGCAGCAGGATGTTTGGGTCCTTTATAGGACGTTTTGCGAAGAAAGTAGGCAGAAGATGAAATTAAATGGTGATGCGTTATAGCACCCCATGATGGCCTATGGGGATGCCGATTCAGAGAGTGTGGGTCGAGCAGTTGAGCAGTTGAGATGTGCTCTCAAAAGCGAATATTGGAATGCGTCTAGTCTGGTTATAGAGGCCTTGGAATGTATTGCGGCATGTGCTAAGAAATGCAAAAGGGAGTTGAAGCTAGAGTGGAAGCTTGATGATATGATTGTTGATGCATTCAATAGGACTGACGAAGCAGACAGGGAGAGATTTGTGCTACTTCTTCCAGACCTTGTGTTTTGCATGCGAGATCCAAGGAACATATACCCGTCGATAGAACGCTACTTTGTGCCGGGATTTCTTTTCTGTTTTGATGTTGCTGAGCTGGTTTTTCTTATGAAAAAGGACTTTGGATATGAGTTTGAGGGGTTTTTTAGGAATTTGCTGTGCTGTATGAATCCAATGACGATGGGACACCACATAGAGAAGAGGCTGATGCTGGTGATGCTGGTGATTGAGGACAAATCGTCGACCTTGGCAACAGTTAAGGCAATAATCAAGAAGCTGTGTAGTATTTCACTGCTGATGCGATCTGCTGATTGCCACAAGATTCTTTGGACTGTCCTGTGGATTATGAGGCTGCATCCGATGACATATTCGATGGCAAGAGCAGAATCGTTTGTGAAAGAGTTGGAATGGACATCAAGCATCATATTTAACGAATTCCAGCCATATCTGTTTGAACTTGATATTCTAAGTGAGTCTGTCAAGGGGATACGGAATGTTATAAGGCAGATAAAAGATGAGGCATGTGATATAAAGAAGCGGCCAAGATTCATAACGTTTACGAATTTTATGTTTCCTGAGCTTGAGATATGATATCCTTATGATGTTTTACTTCAATGTGTTTTCTAGTGTGTTAGCAATTCTTGAAATATATCTTAGCATTTGGCATAGGCACAGTAAGAATACAGCATATGGTCGTGTGCACACAATAGAATGGTATGCATAGTGGAATACCTGCAATTATATTATTAAGATTTTTTGTTTGCTTATAGTATGCAAGCGACCAGGAGTATCTAGCGCTTTCTAAGAATCCAATTCATAAAATGTTCTCTTGCATGCTTCTTAATGAATGTTCTTCGCATTTTCGTACCTGTACAATCTTCACAGGATTCAGTTTTAATAGTATTCCTGACTTTCTTAACTATGCCTCTGAGCAAAGTAATGCCTATGAGAGTCTCAAGCCCAAACTGGCTATAAGAAACTCGAATGTTTTTGTTTCGTATGAAGTAGGCCAGGCATACCAGATATGGATTTATGCGTCTGTTGGCTCTGCAGATCCTGATGAATTCATCCAGATTCGAATCTTTGGATAGTAACTGTTGCTCAACGCAGTTTTGAGTTCGATCACGGCAATAGTATTCTCCTGTTCTGTTGAATATTGCAGCCAAATACTCAATCGACACGTCTACATATTCAAATTCACTCAGAACAATGCGCTTGACATAGATCATTTGCTTCTGCATATATGGCTGAAGATCACTATATGATATCGGGTAATTGTTCTTCTTCAGCACATAATAAATTGCAGCAAGCACTTTGCTGTTTGGATTTATCTTACGACCAAATGCTTTGGATTTTAAAAGCTGCTTGATCTGCTCACAGTATTCAGATGCATTCAAAATGCTCAGTAGCGACTCTGCGCATCTGTCATGCCTCCCAATTCGGTGTATGGACAAATACTTGATCTTTTCCGGGATAACTAATCTACAGGGCATGTATGACGACACATACTCTTGGTCTTCAATGCACAGCCCACATCCTTTGCAAATGCCATCATGTGTATCCTGATGTCTGCAGTCGTCCATTGTATAAGATCTCCAGGGCTGTTCGCAACAAGCACATCTAAAAACACAAAAAGGCAATCCTTTTTATTCAAGCTGCTGCAACAGTCTCATGTGCAGCAATGCTTTCCTCGGTAAACACCAACTCTCCCCTGAGCTTCTCCTCTCCAAGAGGTGTCAAGAAGAAATACGAGTGTCTCCACACATATATCTTCTCAACATATCCATAAGAAACCATTGTCTTCATAAATATTTTCAAGTGTAAGTTTGAAATACCAAGCATCTTGTGCTCGCCAAGAACCGTGTCCTCAAGCAGCAATGCCTTCTTTTCGAGCAGCAGCCTCTTCACCTTGTACTTGTCTTTTGTAGGAACCAGAGTCATCTAAAATTATACATGTTACAGTCGATCACTTACTTTTTCACCCCCCTGCACAATTTTTTATTTGTTTGTTTGCGTGAATAAGGTGCTGTGCCAGTCCCCATGGGATATGCAAGCGTGATGCTTGTGGTGTCAACAGCAGCATATGCTTTTGTTGTTTATGTATTGGCGATAAAGGTAGGTTTTTATTGTAATTTTAGCCACTTGTTGCTGAGCCCGATGCCACAGAAAGTCTTTTGATTATTTTTTCATCAGTGATTGTTTTCATTGTACTTATGGTTCACATGGTGCTGGGACAACAGGATGAGGAAAGGAAAGCCATTTTTAAGATGCAATAAATGGATTTGGTGGATTGATGGTGTGTTTTATTAGATGCGTGCGATGCATTGTGTTCTTTGCATACTGGTTTTTATATTGAATGAAGGCTTGCGGTTCCCTCCAAAATAAAATACTTAATACAATGATCGGTAGACAGGGATGAGTATATCAAGAGGATTGGTCCGAAGGCTTATTGGCAGCCATGGAGCGGGTTTCAAAGCGATATATATGGAGAAGAGAATGACCAAGGCACAGTTGAAGGATATTTGCATATCGTCTGTGGTTGCTGTCGTTATGAATGAAGATGTGCCTGTTGGTGTTGGAGGCCTTGTTATTGCAGGATTGAGCAAGATTTTGTCAAGAAAGCTAAAGTATTTGTCGGAAGAGTGTGGAGGAGTGGTGCATGCAGTATGTGAGGGATCAGGAGAGAGGGCGAAAAAGGCAAGCCAAGGAGTGGCCAAAGAAATAACGCTGGGAGTGGAGGAACTGTGTATTGATGACGAGATGATTGATCCAGAGGAGTTTGTTGTTCTTGGCGAGCGTGAGGATGTCGATGATGTGGCAATAAGCATGGATGACATGAGTTTTGGAGCAAGCATGAGTGGAATTTCGCATGTTGAGCAGATGAGGGATGCGGATGACGACGGATCTGTGGGAAGAAGTACAACGGATGTAACACAGATTCCGATTGAAGAGTATAAGGAGAAGAGAAGAAGGATAGTGGATGAGGGAGAGACGGAGTATGATGCACAAGCGTTTAGGGAGAATCTGCGTGACACAAGAGATATTGTGTGTATGAAAAGAATGGATTTTGGAGAGGTGATGCGATCAAGGCTGTTTATTGCGCCTGAAATTCTGTGTAGGATTCGAGACGAAGGTATGATGCACAGAGAGAGTGTTGAAGGGGTGCGTGATGAGATGCTGGTAGATTCATACATGGATATTAGCTTTAGAAATGAAATAGAAACAGACAATGAGCATAATGAGCATAATGATGTGGACAATGAAGACGAAGAGAATGACATAGAAAACTACTTTGAGATTAGCGAGCTGGAAAAGAGTTTTAATTTTAATAATGTTGTTGGAGACAAAAATAGATATGAGAGAAGCAAATCTTTTTTTTGCCTTCTGAGCTTGCTTGGAAAGGGCACAGTGATTGCCGATCAGATAGAGCCATATGGCGTGATTGAGTGCAAATTGTGCTAGAAGCTGGTGTTGTGTGTTTATTAAAGTTTTTTGATCTAGTAATTGCACGGGTGCTTCAGATGTTTGCAGAGATGTATAATGCGAATTGAGAAGAAGCAAGGAGCAAAATTTGAACGTTTGAAAAAATAACCCCGGGAATGGAGAACATCGAACATATTGTGGTTGATGCTACGGGACATGTTGCAGGCAAGCTTGCAGGGAAAGTTGCAAAGCTGCTTCTGAATGGAGTGAAGGTGAGCGTTGTTTGTGCGGAGAACGCGCTACTGATGAAGAAGATGGAGGTAGCAAAGGCCAAATTTAAGGAGTACCTGAACAAGAGGTGCATTGTGAATCCAAGGAGAGGGCCGTTCCACTATCGTGAGCCAAAGATGCATCTTGCGAAGATGATCCGAAGGATGATTTCGTACAAGAAGTGGCGTGGGAAGACGGCCTTGACAAGGCTGAGTGTTTATGAGGGGATTCCAGCAGATTTTGAAGATTGCAAAAAGCACAAATTTGCTAAATGCATGCACTACTATCACAGCATGCCTCATATGAATGTTTCGCTGGGAGATCTCTTGAGTGAATTTGGATGGAAGCACAGAGAGCAAGTCAAGAAGCTTAATGAAAGGGTACGCGAAAGAGAAAGCTTGAAGATGATGAAGAGGGAGGAGGTTGAGAAGCAATGCAAGGAGATTAGGGAAACAGGGGACTTCAACGAGGAGGTAAAGAGAAGAATGGCGATGTTTGCCTGAATCATTAAATTCTTGATTTCTTGAGCTGTGTTGATTATTTTAAGGTGATATGAGAAAGTTTTAGCAACCCTTGGAAAGGTGGATGCAGGACTATAAGAGAAGCAGTTACATAGGCCGGGAGTTGCGGTTCAAGTCGGTAAAGCAGATGTGTGTGGAGTATACGAAGATGAACAGTAGGTATATTCAAATATCGAGTAGAATATCGACAAAGGCAACGATGAAGCTCTGTGACATTACTGGCCTTCCAGCTTTGTACAGATGTCCTTACACAAGGCTGGCATATTATGATTCTTCGGTTTATAAAAGAATATGTGAGCTTTCAAGTGAGAATGTTCAGAGATTGTTCAAATTGAAAGAGTTTGGAAAGACGCTTGTCCCGTTTAAGAAATGATGATGCATTATACATTTTGTATATATCAATGGATGCATGAGTAGATGTTGAACCAATGTGCTTCTATACCGCATGTGTATGTGATCATCACAATGTCTGTTGGCATTCTCAAAATAAATAAAGATTATGAAAGCCAAATAAAAGCTTTAAGGAATACTAGGTTTTATTGGGAATGCCAATGGAATACATTAAACTAAATGAGCCAGTTCCACACTCGACAGGATTTCCTACAACCAGTGACGCAGATGGCACAAAAAGATTGTCTTCTTGATGAAAGATCACATTCGATTGGATAATGTTATAACAGCTTTCAAAACTCATCCTCAAAAAAGGTGAGTCTGACGCACCTAGCCCACTTCTATTGAACGGCGTGTACTCTCCATTTCTGGTCATGTAGTCTGCAATCAACAGCAGATGGCGTGCATCTACAGATATCCCATACACATCAAATACTCTTTTCACCTCATTGACTATTGAATGCCTTGCTGCTTCTATTCCAAGAACCTGGTACACATTGTAAATATCATTTGATTCGGAATTGTATATATCAATCACATCCAGTAGATTGATTGTGTTTCTTGAGCAGACATTTACATTGCTTGCTAATGAACACAAATCCCTTGTTTCAACAAACAGCATATTTTCAGATATGCTTGCCTTGGTTATTCCAGCAATCTCTTTTACAGAAATATCCGGAAGAATCGATTCAACAAGCGAAGGAATCATCTCATTCATTCCAGAAGGATACATAATCTCAAACGCAAGCACATTTTTTGTTTTTCTTGTAAAGTTAATAAATTCATCCTCTGCACATTCATATTCATCATCGTTCACATCATCAATATCCTCACTACTGTTTTCGTGGTTAAACACCACATCATTCTCAAAGTCAGACGAGAATGCTTCTTTCGCATTCACTTGATTGTCTGTGTCGTTACTGTCTGTGTCTTCATCGCTGTTGCTATCGTTGGCTTTTTCTTTAATATCCTCATTTATAGCTTCAGTATCGCAATCATTTTCATATATCTCAGATTCTTCTTGACTCTCTGTGTCTTTCAATGTTTCTACTATCCCATTGCTAGGATTCATGCATGTCAGGCTCTTTAGCTTCCTTCTAAATACTTTCATAAATTTCTTGGCCAGTGCTTTTGCTGTCAGTTCAACATAGCAACCTACTTCAAACTCCATTACAATCTTCTTTTGGAATACTCCATCAACTATAACAATCTCTTCGTTCACACTAAATCTCGTTATGCAATCCTTTAGTGTCACCCTCTTCAAGCACTCCACTATGTCAAACCTCACTTCATTCTTTATAGGAACACTTACTATGGGTGTCTTGATGTTCTTAGATGATGTTATCAGAATCTCTCTAAGCCTTGGGATTCCAAGCGTCATGTTCTTTGCCCCAACACCTGCAAGATGGAACGTGTTCAGCGTCATCTGAGTAGAAGGCTCTCCTACGGACTGTGCCGCTAATACTCCCACACACTCTCCAGGATTAACTAGTCCATTTATGTATCTTCCTGTTAGAAAATATCGGAACCTTTCATCATCAACTTCATCAAGCATCTTTTGGAACCTTCGAGACACCATCTCATACTTACCACATCTTTCATTAACACATGAGTTTCTGAACAGCTTTTCGTTCTCCTTGTAGAATCCAAACTCCTCCAAATATCTGGCTTTTGTACTATCAATCCCGTCTTCGCCATACATAAACTGTATTGTCTTGTTTTCTGTCCTTACTGACATGTCATACTCAACCTTCATCCTTTCCATGTGCTTCACGAGGCATCGCTGCAGATACCCAGAGTTTGCTGTCTTTACTGCTGTGTCAATCAACCCTTCCCTACCTGCCATGCAATGGAAAAAAAACTGTGACGGGGGAATTCCCGACAAAAACCTTTCGTATATGTATCCTGCAGAGCAAGGATCTGCATCAAGGCGTCCAAAGCATGGCAACGTCTTTCCGCTAGCCATCACAGGAACCCTTTTGCCTTCGAGCTCCTGCTGCCCCAATCCCCCAGATATCTGGCTCAGGTTCACAATCGATCCTTTTGCCCCTGTCATGACGATCAGTCCAATGTTATTGCTTGGAAAACACTTCTTCTGCCCAGATGGCACCGACACATTCACTATCGCAGAAGTCACCTTATTCATCTCCTCTCTCATCACCGAATCAATATAATTGATCTTGTCAGAATGTAAGTAGTAGTCCGGATTTTCAGACAGGAACTTTTGCTGAACTTCGGCAGCCTGTGCATTTTTTATCCTCATCAATTCCTTCCTTGCCATGTCTGCATCAGGTGAAAGCAGCAAATCATCAATGCCCACCGTAATCCCATACATAAGCATATACCGATTAATCACCCTGCCAATATATGTCATGAGATCGTTGCATGCAGATCCTCCCATCACCTCCGAGCATGCATGAATCAGCGACATCGAGCTTTGTCCCAGCGAGCTTTTATCCAGCACACCCATAAGAATGTCTCCATCCCTCACAACAACCCTTTCTTCCTCTATGTGTCCTTTCCAGAACTCTTTCCTGATTTTCGTATCAATCTGCATGCAAATCTTGAAGCCCATATTCTTGATAATTGTGGAAATCACTTGCTTTCCAGAATACAGCTTCTTTGGTTTGAGTATGCAGGGCCGTTCTAGACTGATCCGTCCACTCGGAAGCCCACATACCACTAACGAAAAGTAGACCTCCTGTGTAAAGAACGAGTCCTTCATCGTAAGAATCGTTGCACCTATTATATAGTCCTGCATGAGTCCTCTTATCGGGCTTCCATCTGTAGGCACCAGATAGTTGAAGTCATTCATTAGTATGAACCTTGCTTCTGACTCTGCAGCGTAGCTCTGTGGAAAGTGAATGTTCATCTCATCGCCATCAAAGTCTGCATTATACGACTTACAGTTCACATAATGCATCCGCAGTGTCTTTTCGCCTTTGAGAACCTTGCATTTGTGTGCCATGATGCTTACTTTGTGAAGTGTAGGCTGCCTGTTAACCAAAACAACATCTCCATCGACCAAATGCCTCCACACTACCTTATTTCCATCAAGAATCTGGTTTGCAAGTGCATATCTTTTGTCCTCAGGCATATGAATCAGACTTAGCAGTACATCCTTATCCTGGACATACAAGCAGCCCGGATAGCTCGCTCCATTCAGAACTGCCTTTCTAAGCTTGTCTGCATTGAATATGTTCACCTTTTCCGGGAACGTCAGCTTCTCTGCAAAAACCATTGGAATCCCAATCTCCCTGGTTTCAAGATTCGGATCAGGCGATATCACTGTACGCCCAGCAAAGTTAACTCTCTTTCCCATCATGTTCTTTCTGAACAGCCCATCCTTCCTCTCAAGAACTTGTTTGTATCCAGATGGGGAGACTAATGAAGTACTTCTCCATTTTGGCATTTTTGCGCTATCAAACAGTGAAAGCACGCATAATTGCAGCTGAGACCAATATGACACATCAGCCATCATCATTAGATTGGATCTCAAAACATCGCGCAGTAATGCATTGTCCAAGCATTCCGTCTTTTTGTCATTCACAAAAGAGACTGGACGGAACCTGTTTGGTGTAACAGCAACATTCTTCATAAAAAACATCTTGTAGTTAGAAGAGCAAAAGATGGACATAAGAAGATCCTCCTCATTCAGAAACAAATCACAAAAAAGCTCTTCGATTGCTTCTGGCGAAAAGAACTCAAGATCCTTTTCCTCACTGCCTCTTTCGTTGTCTCCCTTGAAGTCCTTGAACACCTTGAGAGTTGATCCAGCAACAATCTTTGGGTTTTTGTATCCGCATCTTACACACTTCTTTCTGAATGCTATGCTTGAGAAAAAATCATTTGCAAGTGCCTGATGGCTATCTATCATTGAGTTTGTCTTGCATACTTCAGAGGCCTTGACTTTTTCCATTACAGTATTGTAGATTTCATTCTCATCCTGCACTGTATACAGATTGTCTAGCCCACTGATGCTCACTCCATTTCTGAGTAGCGAGAACTTGCAGAACATGATGAGCCTGTCGTGATTTGTGATCCGAAAATTCCTGCACTTGAGGCAAACAGCCTTCAGAATAGACATCATCTGCTTAAATGCCAATGGATTGAGAATCACCTTGCAGAGTTTTATGTGTCCAAAGTGCCCAGGACAGTTGAAAAACGACAGATTGCAAGTTTTGCAATTTGATGCCAGATCGATCGGGCCCATTCTCAAGTCATACAGTCCGCCAGCAACAGGATGTCCAAATCCATCGAATGCATTTATTTCTGTGATTTCAACTGAGCTGAGTTTTTGAATGTCCTCGTCGGTGTAGAATCCAAAAGATATGTGTTTTGGACGGAGTGTAACAGTCATTCGTGAGGGCGAAGTAACAACGATGTTGAATCGCGACGTAGCATAATTGATCAGCGAAAACACGGAATGGGATGTGGCAAATTGGAATTAATGGGAATGCGCGATGTAAAGCATGGTGGCGCAATGGAAGCGCGTTGGGCTCATAACCCAAAGGTTGTTGGTTCGAATCCATCCTATGCTATTTTATATCACAATCAGCAGTCTGCAGCAAATAGCAAACCCTTTATTAAATATAAACAGCTAAGCATAAACAGTAGTGAAGATTTCATCTCCAGATCCTTCTTGGCATTGCTTCCTCTTTCGTCCCTCCACGCCTTTTCTACATTCAGGCTTCTTTTTGTATGTATACACCGTGTTGTAAACCGTTTTTGGCTCGTGGCGTTTCTCCACCGTCTTGATAACTGTCTTTATCAGTGTTTTTATTTTTTCTGGCTCAACAATCTCTTTGTGCCTATGGATTCTGTTCAGCTCTCCATCTGAACTGCTTTCATCTTCCTCATTGATCATTATTTTCCTAATGAGAGGAATGAGCTCGGCAACCACATCTTGCTTCGTAAACTGCGGTTTTTCATCTTTGGGCGGAGTTTTATCCGTAGATATGCTTGAAATAGGTACACTAATACTTTCTGCAGGCTTGGGATGGCCCATATTTGTTATGGTGCTCTTTTGAGATTCCACGGGCTTGGCACTTATCTCAATGCCTTGGGTAATCTTGCATTCTTCACTTATTGCTGAGGATGATGCAGAATTGTCTTCAGATGATACAGGCAATGAGCAGCTCTCATTGTAAGTGGAGTTTTCTTGCATTTTTGTGACAGTAAGTATCGAAACAATAGGCTTGATTATTGTTGTGTATATTATCTCGGGCTGTTCAATCACACTCGGCTGCTCAGACACAGATATTGATTGCTGCACCCCATCTATAGTTTCATGCTCAGGATCGAGTTGGCTTAATCCTAACAAGCTTGGTTTGTCCTTGGAGGATGGCGTTTTTGAATGAAGTGCACTGCTAGGCGATTCTATATAGTTTTGTATTCCAAAAGATGTAGATATAGGCGAGTGGTACTGCGTTTGAGTAACTGTCTCTGTTTTGACGTTGCTTTCGGTTTTGGTTTCTGTTGTTATCTCTCTTATCGTAGTAAGCTTGTAGTTGATTATGGGAATTTCGTTCTTAACTGTTGTTGTGACTTCTCTATACAATGTAATTGGCTTTTCTACACTGACTGTCTTGTAGAATACTCTAGTGACCGTTATGATGCTTTGGCTGTCATATTGCTCCGAAGCTTTTTCGTCTTGTTCTGGAGCAGATGTATTGCCATCGTCTTCCTCTGAGGAAAGTTCAGGCTGCGGATACTTCACAGATGCAGATATCGCATGGCTGTTTCTCTTGCTAGTAGATCGATCTCGTTTTGAAGTGTTTCGACGCTCATCTTGCATTGGTATTTCGAGTGTTCTGAATATTGTTTTTACTTCGTCTTGCCCTGCAGCCGATGTGTTTGGAGCCTGTGCGATCGGCACAGTTTGTGGTGTGATGCTCTCATCGATTACTGTGGTTGTGTTTTTTTCAGAAACTGTTTCAGTCTTTGTTTCAACGACCGTTATACTCTTATATGATACATGTGGCTGGTTATTAGGTAAGTGGTCGGCATGGTCTGTTTCAGTGTTCTGGTCTACATTGTGATGAATGACATGGACCATTGGGAAATTCCTGTCTGGATTGCGATGTTTTTTTTGCAAGATATCATCACATTCGGTAGCACAGGCACCCCCCTTGCAGTTGAGACATCTATTAATGTCCTTGTAGACAACGGCTACGCACTGTTCCTTGTTGCAGCTTGAGTCGCGTATGATTGGCATGTTGAAGCTCTGGAGGTAGTCGTCGTACTCTTTCTTTGGGACGTAGACCGAGTTCAGGCAGTCACTGAGGCCTATTCCGTATTTCTGGCATCTGGCAGCCAGTTCTGTCTGCATTGCATTGATGCATGCAATTATCATCATAATTATCATGCGTGTAGAGTGTTTGTTTTGATACAACAGAATAATATTTGTGACGTGAGTTTCATGGCATTATTGTAAATGGGCAAGTGTACATTACACTGACCTGAGTATGTGATGACCTGCAATCAGGTTCGATAGTCTAATGGATATGATTTCCGCTTTGGGTGCGGAGGGTTCCGGGTTCGAATCCCGGTCGGACCCTTTTTACCCCATGGCGTGCAATATATAAGTATGTGTGATGTATAAATGAGCAAAGACTCTCTGTTACAGCTGTATTTGTGCTCTTGCTTGGTGTGGCTTGAGATTCGTTTCGATCGGCAAGCCCATGGATGAGTGCGAATATACCCTGTGCTCATCAAGCACTGAGCAGGGAGAAATCCCAATAATACACGTAAAACGGTCAAAGATCAAAGCATCGCCGTTTCCAAGGACAAAGTCGCAGATACAGTACATGTACCTTCCAGGGACGTCGCTTTTTATTGGCACAAACACTATTCCAAGGCCATGCGATTATCAAGTTGATGTACTTACCACCAAGCTGAAGAAGAGGCTTAAGCAAGACTTTCCGTATCCGTTTCTGTGCCTATCCATGAAGGAAGACAGGATGTTTTTTGAGAATGGACTCAACCATGTTTGCAACATCAACAATGATGAGCAGATTTGCCCAATCTTCATCAAGGCCATTATGAAAATTGTAGATGTACGTAATGCAATCGAAAGGAGCAAAGAGCAATTGGAAACACGAATTCCACATGTGAAAGATAAGCAAAACGACGGATATGCCAAAATATGCCAGAAATTCATGCATGGCCATCTATTGCATGATGTGCAAAAAAAGCAAAAGAACATCATAATCCGAGACTCTATGCTGTGCAATATGCGCAACAAGGATGCGTACATTCGGTTTACTGTAAAAAGCATAGATAACTGCACATACATTGTTTTTGATGAGATTTACACAAGAGAAGTAAGGTATTATGAGTATCTAAAGATGTATGGGCAGGAGGTTGTTAGGTCTTTAGGCTCTTCCGAAACTAGAATATACACTATTGATGAAGGTACAATTGCAGTGTATTCCTCAACATTATTTGAAAACTCACAGGGAGTGCAGAGACTATTCAGTGGAATAGATGCCAAGAAGACTGTTGAGGTGGTGACAAATAAGGATGATGTAAAACTGATGCCATGCTCCGATACATTGAAAAATGAAGCCAGCATGCTTCTTGGAATTGCACTTGATGAGGGGGTATATGTTTTCAACAACAGAGATGTGTATGAAATAAACACAAACGGAAAGAAACACAGATTTAGTGGGGTTGTGTTTACAGATTTCATCGCAGGCACGGAGATACTCACTGAATGATTTATTCAATGGTTGTTTGTTTTTCACATGCAAAATAAAGTGAAGCTAATTTCCTCCGATGGAAAAGAGTTTTTTCTTGATCATGAGGTTGCTATACAGAGCCAAATCCTGAAAGTATTCTTTGGAAGGCCATCAATGTTTAAGGAATCTGTTTCAAGAACAATAAGCTTGCCTATAAAAGCAAGATACCTAAAGAAAGCAGTTGATTTTCTTGAGCATAAGCATTCGCTCGATCCGGCCAAAGATCATGAAGAGTTCAAGATCGATGACACAGAAGCTTTGGATATTCTTGATATTGCAGCATATCTCAAAATTTGATAAGCCAAGCTGTACGGCCTAATCTATATTGAGCTTCACTACATTTTCATACCTAGAAGATTCTGGGCAATAAGGACATTTGAAGCTGCTTGATGCGCCTTCTCTAGAAAGCACAGTGGCTGCGTCAAAAGAGATTACATGTGCACATTCTAGCATGCAAGGAGGGTTGCTTTTGGTGCACAGAGTTTTGAGTACGGGGCATACAAAAAGAGAGTGGTAGTATGATTCTTTGTGCAGCTGTATCTCTACAGGAAGAGTGCATTCTTCTTGGTCAATCAGTAATTCACCGGATTCCAGGAGCTGTTTCAATGCGCAGGTTCCTGTCATGAAAAGATTTCTAAGATGGCATCTGCTCGGGATATCATCTGCTCGGAAGTATTGTATCTTGAGTGCTTCGATCAATCTTTTTTTGCTTGCCTCAAGCACTGTTTCGATGTTTGTAGGATCAACTATGAATCTAAGTATATGCTTGATTTTCTGGGAATGTAATGGGTAGTATGCCTTTACTTCATTAAGGCAGGATCTCAATGCCTGGTCTGGCTTTCCATTGTGAATTAAGACCAGGAACTCATATAGGCTTGCCTGCAATCCAAGAGCGTTTGGTGCATCTTTGCTAATAAACTCCTTTAAAAGAATAAAAACACCATCTTCTATTTGCAAAGCCATCTTTTTGAAGTATGCATAGCTGGCTTTGACTTTTATTAGCACATCTTTTTCATCCTGCATCTCAGATATCAACACATCAAGAACATCGTCAAGGCCATTCTCAAGGAGATAGAATGCGATCAGGAGCGTAGTTGTATGCCTACTATTTGGATAGTATTGATCACCTATTCCAAGAGCAAGCTCGCATGGATCATGCTCACCGGCTTGCAAATCCCGCCAGATATTGAGAAGCATTTCTTCAGCATTCAAATTTGCATCTGTGTGATGGGTGCTATCTAGAGCATGGCGTGCCTGTATTTCTGATATTAGCCTGTTTGTTTCGGACCTGAGGATCTGGAAATCTATGGTTGGCGGCGTTTGGGCATGCATGAGGGATGCAGGCATTGACAAATATGGATACGCAATGCACCCACAAACAAATGGAAAATGCCTGTGGGCAGAACAACCCGCCGAACAGCAACAAAAGAATATTTACAAGACTTATGGAGGCAATAGAGAATCTCTCATGCAATGATGGAAAGGTAGGCATGCAGCAAGATGGTTGCAACAAGATATACGAAAAGTGGAGTGAGGAGAAAATACAATTTATGAGAAAGTATGGGCACATGAAGTGATGCAGATCTATTGAATTATGGTCATGCAAGTATTTGATCCTAAACGAATGATCGACATAGTATACAATCGTACCTAAATCCAAAGATTCGATGAATGCTTTGCAAGGTAACAAGAACAGATAAATGAAGAAGTGTATGTGGAGAGAATAAAAATGAAGAGAAAAAAAACTAGCCCTTATAAAAGTAGTTCTGAATGGATGCACCAGATATTTACTATGAACACCCGGAGACTAATGTTACTAATAGATCGGGAATAATTCCCGCGCTTCAGAATGTGGTTGCGACAGTGAATCTGAACTGCAAGCTTGACTTGAAGAACATTGCATTGCGTGCCAGAAATGCAGAGTACAATCCAAAGAGGTTTGCAGCAGTCATCATGAGGATCCGCGAGCCAAAAACAACAGCATTGATATTTGCCTCTGGAAAGATGGTGATAACTGGTGCAAAGAGCGAGAAGAGCTCAAAGATGGCTGCACAGCGGTACGCAAAGATAATCCATAAGCTGGGATTCAATGCAACTTTCGATGATTTCAAGATACAAAACATTGTTTCTTCATGCGACATCAAGTTTAGCATCCGATTGGAAGGACTGGCATATGCACATAGCAACTATTGCAGCTATGAGCCAGAGCTTTTTCCAGGTCTAATATATAGGATGGTGAAGCCAAAGATTGTCCTGCTGATCTTTGTTTCTGGAAAGATTGTACTCACGGGTGCAAAGGTACGGGACGACATATACCAGGCATTTGAAAATATATATCCGGTTCTTACACAATACAGAAAGACGTAACTTGTTGCATTGCTTTGTGGGCTATGCAGTAGACTAATAAAGTATTTTATTGTTAGTTTGCTTAAGCATGCATCTGCGTGTGTAATCAGCCAGGTATGACACCTGATATGGTCATGGATAACGATTTTGGATTTGACTGTATCTGCTTTATTCTGAGTATCCCTGTGTAGTCTGTATTTCCATCAACTTCTGTTTGGAAAATGCCGAACGCACGCCCATCTATGGACATTATTTGTTGGTCCTCTAGTAGAGTAAACACAATGTATTCTACAGTTACCGGGACTAGAACATCGCCAGAGTCTGAAGATATGCATCCTATGCTGCCTATGTCTATGATAGAAAACGAAAGTGGTATGGCATTGATTTTCGACGAATAAACCAGCATGTGCGATGCAACCTTTGCACATACAGCCCTCTGTGGATTTGAAAGACATTTTGGGCTGATTTCTACTCCAATCATGGCTCTCACCGACTTGAACTCAGCCATGTATCAGGGATCAAAAATAATGAGCAATTGTGATGATTGACCCCAAGATGGACCTTATCACGGGGTATTTCAGACACACAAGAAAAACGAAATGCAGATGTGAAAGCTCGATCACTTTAGTGTATATTTCTGAAATATCTGATCCAAATATGCCTGATGAGTACTTCGTATGCGATGAGTATGGGTGTGTGCCCATACTTACCTGTGTTAAAGACAATAAGATTTTCGATGGATGCCTGAAGTACAAGCTAGGGAGCAAAAATAAATGCTTTGAGCTTTCTGTGCAGCAATGCAGCGATGCGGGCATTTTGATAAACGGAAGATGTCTCTATGTGCATTCCAAAGACTCAGGCACGCCTACACGGCATTTGATATTTTCAAAAGGAACACTGAACGATAATCACAATCCATCATGTCTGGAAACAGCAGAAAATGAGGAATCGAGATATTGCAGCAGTGCTAATGATATTTGCGAAGAATATCAAAAGTGTTGTTCTACAGGGCATGCACTTATAGTAGCTTCGTTTCTGAAGTCAATAGTACCTGAGTGCCATACAAGATTCTCACATTTTTGCATTTCGAATGTTGAGCCAGTGTATGGGCAGGTGTTGTCTTGCTATATCAGTGGAGTGATTGTTCATCACACTATAACTTCATCAGTATTCTTAAATTTCAACGAGCTATTTTCGAAGCAGCAGTTTTTTACAAAGCTCGATTGCATTCCATACTTTCCACACACGAACTTCATCATAAGTAGCGATTGGAAGCAAGTATACGAGTCGAGGGAGTACGTGTTTGCATACAACTATCCATTTAAGTTTCTTCGGAAGGTATTGGGACTAATTTTGCTGGAAGAGAGGATTGTGTTTTATTCGGCACAGGACTCATCTCTGAAAGTAATGCAGATTCTGGATCTTGTAAGGCCATTCAAATGGCATCATATTGTGTGCATTCCACTTCTTGATGAGATGTGCGAGATTCTTGAAAGCCCCTTGCCATTTATTGTATGCACAAAGAGCAGGATCGAAATAAAAGGTGTTATGCTCGTTGACTTGGACAGCCTAACAATTCATGGGGGTAAACGAAGTAGTATTCCACTAAGAGAGAGCAAAGAAAGCATTGCTAAGAAAAACAGCACTGAGGGCATAAAGAGTTGTATCAGGTCGATCGTCACCGAAGTGACTTTTTGGAGGGAGTATCTGATTAAAAGGCATGGAAGCGAGATTTTGGAGCTGATTGTGGACGATCCTTCTGCATTTATTGGCAAAAAGCACGGGTTCTACTGCGATTTTTTCAAGACACGAATGTTTTTGATGTTTTTTACAAGGATGCAGTCGCATTTATGTAGATATTTGGTAGAGATTGGAAGAGAAAGGTCGGTGACTCTGCTTCCATATGCTGTCTTGTGCCAAGAAGCAAAGCCAACGATTATGAATCTTTGGATTGAGTTGTTCGATGGTGATATGAACCCTGTGATAGATTACCTTTTATGCAAAAACATGCTTCAAGAAGTAGCAGGCGCTGTTTTAAAGAGACTGAGTCACGCAAAGAACCATGATGGAATAAGAAAGGTTATTTCGCATCTTAATGATCCAAAGCACGATGTCTTTATGAACATCAACACTGTTTCTGAGATGCCATGCATAGACTTTGGAGATCTCTACTTCTACAAGGTATTTCATCTGAAAGCATGTGAATGCAGAGCCTTTGAGTTTGATGATGGCAATCCAGAACCAAATTCCAATGGGTATGATAGAAAGAAAATACAATCAGAAATACGAAATATAATAACAAGCATAGATCAAGATGCTTTTGACGAAAGTATAGCAAAATGCAAGGGCTGCACAGCCAAAAGATCCATGATTCTTGTATGTGGCCCTGACAAATATGTATATTTTTGCTTCTTGCTTGCACCTGAAAACATAATTCCTATGCTGAAGTATTTTGGATGCTGTAGTGCATTTGAGAAAGCGCCACAGGCATACTGGAGCACGGTGGTTTACTTTATGTATTTCAATCTTCCATTGAAGGGAGGACTTGCAGGCAAGAAAGTTGATGTTATGATGAAAGAGAAAGAGCTCCCCGAGCTTGGCCTTCGACTAGATGGCAGACCTTTGCTATACATCAACCCATAGCCTTGGAAATGATTGTTCTTCTGTTAATAGCAGTGCTGCTTTACAAGTGCAATACGACACATAATGTATGCAAACTATATTTATTGTCTATAAAGCCATATGATTAATGTCTATATTTGCACCTTCGATCTTATTTGTAATGATGTATGTATATATTGGCACAGTTATGCCATGGATAATCACACTCATAAAAACAGTGCAGGTTACAAAGTCTATTGTAAGTGAGTTCTGGATCTTGTCGGTAAGAAGAGCATAATACAGCGAGCCTACACCTATCGGGCCGAACCAGCCAACAAACAAAGCCTCTTTCAGAGATTTAAGCTCAGGAATGCACTTGTACAGTATCATGCAAGCAAGAGGCCTTCTGATAAATATAACAACCAACGAAATGCCTACATTAAATACAGTGAATTTTTCAAAGTATATCCTGGATCCAAAGAACATGAAGAATGACGTACTTAGAATTGTGTCTGTGATTTCCTGTAGGTTGGAATTCTTGATCTCCAGTATAAACCACTCATCAAAAGAAAACATTATTCCAGCAAAGAATATGCATATTAGCTCGCTTCCTCCAATAAATTCCATGAACGACATGGAGAATACTGTCAGAACAATAGTATGCACGAAGAAGGACTCCATGCCCACCAGCTTCCAAGTGTAACAGTATCTCAATGCCTGTCTTGAAGCAATCCCAGCCAAAAGACCCACTGCTGCAGAAACAAATACCTTGAGGAGCAGATTATCAACAATGAACGAGCGAATGTTGTTTGTAGCAATATTCAGCCCGAGAAACAGAAGGATAATGCCCATTCCGTCGTTTATTCCGCTTTCTGTAGCGAGTAGCAGTCTTATTCTTTCTGGAACCAGCTTGGCAGCAACCTTTCCCTGGATGATGCTAGAGCTCAAAATGGGGTCTGTGGGAGTTAAGCACGATGCAATCGACCATGAGATAAGCTTGCTGTATTCACTCAGTAGGTAAATCAAACCAAATGAAAGCATGCACTTGACCATGCCTACAATAACCACAAGAACAAACACAGACTGCCATTTTGCTATCACATAGTTTTTAGGCAAAGACATTGCCACAGTCATTGTCTGAATACAAAGGATGGCTCTTGAGAAGCTGTACATGACTGTCTTTGAGTATGCATTATCCATGTCCAGAATGCCTAGCACGCTATGGCCAAGGAATATTCCGATTAACACCGAAATCAAAGGTTCTGATAGCAGCAGCTTCTCCTTTATGTATTTCGACACCAATCCAAACACCAAGACAAAGGATGAAGAAGCCAAAAGGAATTTGAAAATATCTTCCATTGCTCTATATCTTCAAGACTGTTATGCATATGCTATTAATGCTTGTTACCAATTAAAACATGTTGCAACTTGAAACAAAAATATGTTATAGGAAGCCCTTTGAGGATTGAGTTGCCATAGGCTTGGCCATGACGCTATATAAAATATTGTGGATCGAGGAGCTTAAAGCAATGAGTGACAATAAACATAAAACAAGATTTATAGGCCAAGGCATATTCATTATTCTTCTGAGTGCTCCCTGAATGTATACTTTACTTTTGAATCATCAGTATTCAGTGCCAACGATATGTCTTGCATTGCTTTCTTTCCAACCGATGCAATTCTTGAAACACCTATGCTGTCTTGTATGATCATCTTGAATTTCGGAGTTTCACTTGATATAAGCTCTCTGACTTGCTCAAGCTTATTCTTACATTCTTCATAAGTTGCCTGAATATTAGCAGCAAATGATAAGCCAAATCCACTGGTGCAATCACCTTCTCCACAAATATTCTTCAACTGATCTTCTGCTGTTATAAGTATAGACTCAACTATGCATGTTTGAGGCGCATTGTTTTCATAGATGTAAGAAAAATTCTCAGAGATTATTTCTACTGATGCCATTGCAGCCAAGTTTATTTCCCTGGAAAGATCGCTTTTATCATCAAAGTCGCATTCTATGCAGACACTTCCTGTTGAATTGCATCCATTATCAAAAAGGTCAACACGCCTTTGCCCACATGCTCCACAAGTAAATACACAAACAAACTCCTCGGGTTCCACTGCTGTAATCCTCATTGTTGTCACCTCTCCTTGCTCACCACATGCAAAGCACAGTAGCTTGTTTACTTCAACCGTTTCTTTTATTTTTTCTTCATAACCACTACTCTCCATGTAGGGGTATCTGACTTTACTTGCTTTCGTTCGTGCTCATCAGCAATGCTATTGTATCATCAGGCTCTTCATATATTTAGGCCTAACAGTACAAATGCTGCTAAAAACAATAAAACACATACACTGTTAAATCATACACTGCTTTAGTAACTTTCTTATATCAGATTAATTATTAATCCATAAAGCACTAACAAAAATATCCAGTTCAACAATAATTTAATCTTCAAGACATTTAACCAGCATCTTGCATTCGCCGCCAGCACTACAGCTAACAATGCTTGACTTTCTAAATACATTTACACATTCAAGTCCTATTACACTTGTATCGTGAAGCTTAATTCTATTCAAAGACTTTCCGTTATTGAACCAAGCGTTCTGGGATGATGCAACTACAAGATTCCCATCAATCAGCGTTGCCGTCTTGACTTCCTCACTTATACTAAGCGCCTTCATCTTCTGAACCCTCTTGTCTAACCATATTGCCTGGTTGCTAAACACTATAATAAAGCCTTCCTTAATCCGCTTGATCTCAATCGCTTGCCCTTTCATAATCTCCATCATCTCTATGTTCAGCTCAAAATCATACACATAGACCCTGTGCCTATCTGCAAACATAAAGTTATCCTCAGAAATGCAGCAAATGTGAACTATCTCCCCGCTCATAACCTCCTCTCGTTCGAAAACCCCATTCATACTCCATTTTCTCATAATTCCCGCACTGTCCAGTGAGTGAATAAAATCAAGAACCTCATAGCTAATTATAGGTGCATTATGCCCCTTCAGCACATTTGCAATCTCCAGATGCACTACTCCCTTCATTCCGCATCTTAAAATCAGGAGGTCGTTGCCTCCAACCCCACACACAATAACAACCTGATCCTCATATTCTTTCAGCTTCATATCATGCACCTGCTCAATGGTTTCTATCATCGACTCTTTTTTCCCAGATAATAGATTCACCACCATAATGGCCTTGCTTGAAAACGAAACAACCAGCATTTTGTGTTCCTGTGCAACTGCGCTACAAATAATCGTAGCTTCTCCAGGTACAAAACACATCACCTCCTTCAATCCAGACAATCTCTCAGACAGTCCCATCGCCCCCCCTTCAGTATGCTGTCCATCTCCTAAAATATGAGCCATCGGTGACTCCAACCCTTCTGGCCGCTCTTCAGCATGCCTTCTAGAAGGTTTTGATGCAATTGCATTCTGCTCATCAAACCAATTCTGCCTGCTACTCATATGCGGCATCCTATATCCACCAGGTGCTTGCTTTCTTGGATCATAAAACCCAGGCATTCCTTCAGAGCTCGGAGACATCTGCTGCCCATACATTTTTCTTTGATCATATTGCTGCTGGTAGGGCACTGATTGCCTCTTGTATGCATCCATTCCTCTTCCGTATCCTGCTGCAGCTCCTTCCATCTTGCCTATTTGCTGCTGCCGTCGTTTTTCATTCTCAAGCCTCATCATAATTCCCTCGATCCTTGCAAGGTCTTGAGAATTCGACGAAAATCCCGACCTTACTGCAGAAATCTCATGAAACGCCCCATACCACTGTGCAAGAACAGGTGCTCCTTCATTCGACTTAAACTCCCCAAGACATGCTTCGCTACAAAACATTTTTGCAGATCCTTCATACTTCATCTTCATCAGATAATCATACACCAGCATATTCAGCACATCATAGGCATTTGATTCCTTCTTCTTATAGGCATGATCTCCCATTTCAATTTCAAGGGCTCTGATTTTCAAAACTTTACGCATGCCTGAAATCGTTGTACCTGACAACTATTAACAACTCTATGCGTTATCTCTCTATGAGCCAAACCGTTTCTAAACTCGTCCATTCGGCATATATATGCTCCATTCATCTATTTTCTGTGCATTAACAATAGACTGCATCATAAATCTTTTATTTCACTTTATAGCACCATTACTTTAATTTACTATCACCACACAGAAATCATTTCCAACATCAAAATCAACCACCTCTGGAAATTCAAACGGAATCTTTCTAGGCATAGTCACAACCTCTTCATCAAATCCAAGTACTCCACCAAACCCCATTCCCCACGAGTACAGATCATTCCCCACTAAGCATATGCTGAAGTCACTGTAGGAGCGTACCTTCCTGACATCCTTGAGCCCTATCTTCACAAGAGTGTGTGAGTCTTCTATTTTTGGAATTCCAAGCTGACTCTCGATGTTTCTGCCGCATCCATAGATGTCTCCGCTTTCAGTAGTAAACAGGCTATGATATCCTCCTCCACACACCTGCGATATTCCATCCAGACCCACCTTGTGCTTCTTGATGGTGCTTTCTGCCTCGTAATGCCCCAGCTGCCCATATACATTCGATCCCCAGCAGTATGCCTCACCACATGTATTCAATGCTATCAAATGATTCATCCCGCACCCTATACTGCTGAACCTATAATTTTTCAGGCGTGATCTAATATTTGTTACTGCATCAGGCATCAAAGCCCGTACCTTATTCCTTTCAGATGTTCTTCTTCCCAGCACTCCAAACTGATTCGACCCGAATGTAAAAACAATGCCTTTTGAATCAATTGCTGCAACAAAGCCATGCCCAGCATAGACCGATTTTATGTTTTTCAACGCAACTCTCACAGGCTTAAACGAGATTTTCTTAGACGGCGTCAGCCCAAACACTCCATTCGAAGTTCGGAATGTCCCCCAGATATACACATGCCCATTCTCTGTTAATGCAACAGATATCGATACTCCGCAGTCCATGTCAACAGCTTTTCCATTCAGAACGATTTCTGCTGGAACAGATTCATCGCCATCCCGCCCCAATGCACCCTCATCATTGCATCCCCATGAATACAAAACACCTTCTGCACTCAATGCAAGCGCATGCATGGAGCCACACCTGACCTTTGTGATCAATATGCCATCAAAGAACCCCAGCTTTGTTGGCACATGGGTGCTTTCGCCGTCTTCACCCAAGCCTAGCTGAGAAACTGCGTTTGAGCCAAACACAAACACAGCCATTTAGAGGCCGATGATTTTCGTAAAATTATCTCCGGCTGTTTTTGTTCTTGGCTGTTGGTACCCATGCGACTTGAATTTTCAAGTGATTTTGAAGACATTGCATTTGTGGTGAGGTACTTCAACAGAAGTGCATGCACAGCAAGAATAGACCAAGGAATAAACCTATTTGACGGCAAAGACACACACAACGGGCTTGAAGCGGTGCTAAGAGCCTTGTATGCCTTATACGAGCAAGACTGTGACGATAAAAAGATACGAGAGGCCAAAAGGCTGAGAGGATGTCCTGAGGTTCGAAAGGTAGAGATGTGTATTAGTGTGCTTATTTCTTTCCATAACATGTATCGTATGGCTATAGTACAGGGGAGCCTAAAGAATAAGTGTTTTATTGATGAAATGGCAGAAGAGATCAGCAAGAAAATGCCGATTGATGTGGACATTCAACTGCTGGATATACAGGCTGGTGAAATAACAAATGTAGAAACTGTTCCGGGCTTAGACAAGCTTTATGCAGAGGAGGTTGATGCAAAAGAAAGAATTCATGTGCTGAGTGGATTGAAAGAGCATGTTAAAAGAGAGGATCTGCAGGGAAGGAAGTTTTTGTTTGTTACAAACATCAAACCGATCAAGTTCAAAGGAGAGACGTCTGGAGGGATGATTTTATGTGCAAAGGATGAATATGGACGAATTGAGCCAATTCAAGTGCCTTCTATGGCTGAGAATGGAGCAAGGCTTTGCTTGGAAAATAAGGAGCAGATACTGAATGATTTTTCGTCTGGAAAGGTTGATATGAAGAAGAGTGCATATGAAAATGTGATGCGATCGCTTAGGATTGTTGACCATGTGCTGATGTTCAAGGACACAAAAGTTGTGTGCTGTGGAGAGTATATCAGAACCCAAATTGAAAACGGATCTGTGAGTTAATAAACTTTGTGGGTCTGTTTTGGAGATTTGTGTAGTTAATGCATTTAAAAAGTAGTTGCTGGCACAGGGGATGAATAGAAGGATTGAACTATCAGCTGGGATAGATTATATGGTCAGGGGAGCCCGAAGCAGGGTTGCTGATTCTGTGTGCTTACCAATGCCTGTTGTAGTTGTAAGCCCATATAAAAGCAAATGCTTGGATATAGTGAGTGTAGTGAGAGGAATGCATGAGATTATAGTTACGCCGAAGGATTTGGTTGAGCTTCTTAGTCGTACAGATAGAGATAATGATTATACCGAGCTTTCAGAGCAGACACATATTATTGTTGAAGACGGGGAGTTTATGGAGCCTTTTGGATATTTGCCTGCGTTGCTAGAATTGAAGAGAAGAGGAAAGTCGTTTATAATTTTGAACATGAACAGCTTGCCTGTGTTTGCAAGCAGTGCGATTGGGCTACCTCTTGACAGATACTTTATACAAGCAAGTGGAGACGACAGATATGCAGCAGTGTTTATGCTATGCAGGATATACAAGAAGGTGTGCATAGTGTGCAGAGAAGATAAAAGAATGAGGATGTTTGCGGATATATTTAAGCTTGATATGCTTGTGTGCAGGCATGATGATGCAGACATAGGGAGGGGAGTTGTTGTTGTCATGGATGAGTTTCGAGAGCTTGAGTGTGAAGTGCTGTTCTATATTGGGAAGCTGTGTAAGGGCTTATCAAGAAAGAAGCTGGATACAAGCAGGATAGGGAAGTACTTGTACAGGATTAGAGATGTGTGTGGAGCACTTAGTCCAAATGTTGTTAGTGGTAAGCAGAATCTGGATGTTGGGAGATTCTGCAATATAGACAGATAAATGCAGGTGTGTCTAGTAAAGCAAAGACCCCTTTATAGGGATGGCAACATCTGGAGAGCAGGTATTTGGGAATGAAGTGATTGATGAGAAGATATTAAGAGACCTGTGCTTTGGAGGAATAGAAAGCAGGTTTCGCGGAATGGCGTGGAGAGTGATTTTTCGGATTGTTGGTCTTCGCAAGGGAATGCATATGAAGGAGATAGAAATGAAGCACATGAAGTATATTGAGATGGCATCGAAGATTGGATATGCATGCCAAGGAGGATATGGAGGAGAATGTAAGGGCTGTGCAGGCAGGCGGGATACAGATGTGACAGGCTGTGGGAAAAAGAGAGTCACGAGTGTATCGAAGAAGATTATGCACCAGATAGACATTGATGTGAAGAGGATAGATATGAAGTATAGGATACGCCTAGGAACGGATATTTCGTATGTTTATTACCGTGTGTTGTTGTTAGTTGCATACCGAAGACCCACACTGGGATATATTCAAGGGATGGCAGACATATTGGTTCCTTTTATTCTTGTGTTTTCTCAGGAGAATAGTGAAAAGATGGAGAGCAGTGCATATTTCTGCTATTCAAGGCTACTGGATGAGATACAGCACAATATTATAGGCCTGCAGGTGAAGATGATCAAGAAGCTGGAGACAGTAGTCAAAATAATAGATCCGAGCTATCATGCTTTTTTGAAAGAAGTTGGCATTGAGATGCACATGTTTGCTTTTAGATGGTTTAATTGTTTTTTTATAAGGGAATTTAAGGTTCCGACTATTTACAAGGTGCTTGACACGATTTTTGCGTCTGATAACATTTGTGAATCTCTGCTGTATTTTGGAGTTGCACTGCTGATGAAATTCAAGAATGTACTTGTTGGCAATGACTTTTCGCATGGAATTTTATTTTTACAGAACATATATGAGAATGAATGGGAAGAGGCCGAAGTTGAGCTAATGCTGTCATCGGCGAAATTTTATAGAAATGTGATGTCTGGGCAATGATGCAGCTATAAATCAGGATAAAGGCGTAACGGACACAATGCTTATATGACTATATGGTGTAAAGTAGAAGGGATAGCTGTTTTTTAAACCTATGAGCTGTTGAGTAGGAATGCGCAGTATATTAAATTGAGAAGCTGCATGCTTTAATATTGCTTGGTTATGGTTATGTTGGGTTTATTTTGATCCCTTGATGAGATTTGTTTTGTTACTGGGGAGTGTGCTGTCAAGCATATTTTTATCTGTACCTGATCTTCAGAGAAGTGATTTGGCAAGCAAGGATGCTTTTCTTGTGTATATATACTACTCGCGACCTAACATGAGCTGTGCAGCCTGCGAGGTGTTTAACAAGAATATTTTTGAGTTGCAGAGATACATACCAGTTAAGAAGATAAACTTTTTTGAGAAGCCAAGGCTGGGGTCGAGCTTCTACACTTTTTTGTTTCCTTCTTTTGTTGTACGAGATGGAGGGCGAAGCTATCACTTGCCAGTGGATGATTATGCAAGCTTGGAAGCAATTGTGCGAGAAAAACGATGGAATGAGTTTGAAGCGACTGGACGATTGATGGATGTTGATTCTTACTTTATAAAAGTGTATGCTGCTGCCAATCATGTGTTTTTTGTATTGATGCAGCGATCTTACAAGATTATTGATGCGGTACCTGGATGGATTGTGTCGCTAGGGTTTAGTGGTGCAATTGCATACATGTTATATTGTATATGTATTATTTTTGTGATTCCTGGCGAGAAGGAAAAGAGGGAATAAACAGATGTATATTTGAGTTAGGTAAGAGATTGTGAAGAATATTTGTAAGGTAAGCAGGCCCTTGATGAGCATTCCCGAGAAGATATTGAATGGGCCGATTTTGAGTCATATTGAGAGTCTTAGAAGATTTATTCTTGCATTTAAGAATGAAAGACAGGAGCTGGAGATTAGGCTTGGGAGGATAATTGGAAAAGATGATGGGACGAGAATGAAGATGGATACGGTGTCGCCAATTGTACTAAGGAGTCTTCCAGCAGATTACAAGTTTGAGAGTGCAGTTGACTGCGAGGACTTCCGAAAGCTGAAGGAGCTTTTTAGTAAGCAACCCAGTGAGGCAAAAGAGGATGTGATTGTTATTAACGAGGATGGAAGAGAGACATATGAGGGAAGTGTTCTGAAGAAAGTGGAGAAGAAGGTCCGAACAGAGAAGTTGGATATATATCTTCCTGGGAAGAAATATGATGTGAGGCTTGTTTTGAATGAGGAGAAGGAGACTTTCAAGCAGGCGAGCAAGAAGAAGACGCTTGTGAAGAGGGTGAGGCGAAGAGAGACATATTTTATAGAGCCCTATGGATTTGACTTTACAGAGGTTTTAGTTTCTGGGGACAAGGATGAAAAAAGGAAACTTGAAGTGGAGGTGGAAGTGTTTGATTCTGAGAAGCTTGTATCTGGGAATTTTATATCATTGATACACAACTTCAACATTGATCTGGTATCCAAATAAGCAAGGAGACGAGCTTGAAGTATGTACACCATGTGTTGAGAAGGAAGTCAAATGGCCTGGCATGTGATGAGGGCTGAGCTGAGTAAGTAAAAAAGTGGAAAAAATTACGCCCCAAATGGCACCGAATGAGAATATGATAATAACATACAAAGTATGTCTTATAGGAGATGGAGGAGTTGGCAAGACAACTTATATAAACAGAGTGATCGATGGAAGGTTTGAAAAGAGATACAATGCCACCGTGGGAGCAACGAACAATCCGGTGAGCTTCCAAGACAACTTCAACCATACGATATTGTTTGATGTGTGGGATACGGCAGGGCAAGAAAAGCATGCGCTGTTGAAGGATGTTTATTATATTGGTGCGCATGCCGCGATATTCTTTTTTGATGTGACGTCAAGGGTGACATGCCAGAATCTCGGCAGATGGGTTAGGGAGTTCCAAGCAGTTGCGGGGGAGAATGTGCCGATAATAGTATGTGCCAACAAGATGGATTCGATGATTAGCCAGCGAAAGGCAGGGAAGAAGCAGGTGGACGAGTTCCTGAAGGGAAAGACGTATCGTTATTACGAGATCAGTGCAAAGAGCATGCAGAACATTATAATGCCATTTATGGACCTGGCAAGGCAGCTTACGGGGATTAAGGATCTTATATTTGCATCAAAAATTGTTGTGGAGCCAAGTGATATCAATAGATCAGATGTTGATTTTGATCAGAGGGCGGTTGAAGATGCGATGAATATGCTTCCTGATGAATACAGTCATTAGCCATGATATTAAAAGGATTGATTTATTTTTAGTAAACAAGGAGGACTGTGTTGAATTTTGGTTTTTGGCTCATCCCCAATGGATAATAATAAAAAAGCAGCGAATATAGTGACGATTGGAGGACGAAGGTATGTTAAAAACAACATGAACGGCAATCCGGAAGGGAATTCCAAGATAAAGCTGAATGAGGTGCTGAAGCAGTTTGGAAGGAATGTTAAGAAATCAAAGATAAACTATTGTGTAGTGAATAAAGGCGAAGGCATAGACATATATGAGTCAAATGATTCAAAGATGGTTTTCGGTAAAGATGGAACACCTGTTGGCGTTATCATTTCTGGAAAGAAGAGCAATCTTGATGGCAACGATATCAAGAACCTGACTGCTGGCCAGAGCAGCATACAGACTGGATTTGTTGGAGAAGAGCAAAAGATTGCAGGTGATGCCGAGTGCAATTAAAATAAGTTAATATAATTAAAGTTAGTTTTATATGTTGAGCCTATATTGGAAGTTCGTCTGTATGATCCTCGATGGCCCATATATTTATGAATTTTGAAGAAGATACCGCAAACTGTGCATAGCATGGATTAAAGCGTATTTTTGTGTCTTCGATGCCAGGTGCTTCAAATTCATATTCTTTTTTGTTTGTTCTGATGTTGTAGGCAAACATGTGATTTTTCTCATATAATAGAAAATGTGATGAGTCTGGCGTAATGCATCCGCTGCTCTTGCTTTCTAAAGTAAGTGTGCTTTTTGTTACACCATCCTGATCTACAAATAGATGTGTTTTTCCATCAGAAATTATCAAATGGCTTGCATCTGGTGAATATGAAATTGCCATATAATTCTTTTCAGGGATTGTTGATGTACTTCGCGGACCTTTAGTGTTTCTTTTGTCATAGATCTTGAGTACTGATCCATTTGCTAGCAATGCATAGTCATATGATGAAGAGATACACCCCATGGCATTGGCAGCATTGATTTTGTACAATGGATTTTTCTTCCTGATATCCCAGTAGTTGATGCATTCATTAGATGAAGATATTATTGAATCTTCAATTGTACAGACAGAAAGGGCATAAACCTGACTTTTATGGCCATTGAATGTACGGATGTATTTGTTGTCAAATACAGAAAGCAGCTGCATTGTGCTGCATGCAGTGTGAACGATCGTGTTTGGGTACACGAACAAATACTTCTGGATGTTTTGCAAGTGTATGATGTTTTGGGTACTACCTGAAAGTGCAGAAAATAATTTCATTGTGTTTCCCTGTGTGATGCTGAGCAGCAATCCATCTGTGGAATACTCGATTCCATTTGGTGATGTGTCTATTTCTAATGGCTTTGATTCTTTTAAACTAGCAAGCATTGTATCATTCAGAATCATGGTATGCAAGGGATAATGCACTGCTTGAAAGTGAGCTGTTTTCTAGTAGTGCGTTGCGAATTCCAATGATATCGAATTGAACATCATGCTATGCTACACAAAACAAATTTATAATAAGATATTTAAATACATATGGCTTAATTTGAATGCCCTATATTGTATGCTCTCAACATACTGGCAGTTCTTTTGATTCTCTGCCTTGACGCTTTGAATGAATCGCCATTGAATGTTTTGAAAAGCTCGTTCCAAGTCCATTGATCGATTTTGGTTTGGAGCTGTGACAGAATCTCAGAGATTTTTTTTGGTTCAAAGATTTCAAGCACGTTTGTTAGTAGCCTGCATTTTTCATTTTGGGTAAATGATCTTGTTATAGAGATAACAAACTCTGTGATAAACACCGGATTCCATGTATAAACAAGCCCAGAGACGATCTTGATTCTTCTATTATACTTGCTCTTGTCTTCGTCAGTTTTCTTGAAGCCAAGCACTTTAAGATCTTCAATCAGCATCTTCTTTGAAAATATTATGATCGACTTCAATGTCCAATCCTTGACTATCCACTTAACAACAATGATGAAGTCTGAGGGCTTGTAGATGTCGACATACTTTCTCATGTTGTATGCAACTATCCGTGCATTTTCTTCATTTCGTATCCAGTCGCCGAAATTTGCATCATATGTCTCATCCATGTAAGCAATCGATTTCTCTATCTTATCAAGGCACAATCCCATCTAGCACCTCCTATATGTATGTTTTTATAAGATACAAACTTCTCCTTTAAATTACTAAATAATATAGTGATAATGTTTCAATTAATTAAGATATTCAGATCATAGGTGTATATAATACTGACTCAAGTTATATACAGATATGGTTTATGTGTTTGTGGCCGTTTGAAGAGCCAATGCCATTGAGCATAATGAGACGATCGGATACATGGTATAAGTCAAAGCATTGCCTGATTAGTTTGATATGCCATATGCCGTGGCCCTTATTCATGCATTCAACATTTTGTTTTGTTTATAGAACTATTTATGACTGTACCTTCAACTACTAGAAAATTCTCAATTGATGAGTAGATGGAAGATAATGCCAGGCTAATTAGAAGAGCAGCATTCGGTTTTGAAGCAACATATTATTGACTATCAACATATCTTCTATTTGTCTGTTTACATTCGATATCCTAGCGATTGTATCAGATGCTTTGAACAAATATCTAATGAATGCATACACCAAACATACTTTTCAAGTATTGCAATTATCAAAATGCCTTTTCTATGAGTCATCAACAAAATATGTATCTTATCCCTGAAAAATACTAGCATGCATCAGATTTATTTATTTTTCTCCCTGAGAGAGCGAAAGCTCCTTGATTTTCATATTCACTGCTTCCAAGGCTTTACTCGTTTCATTTATTTGCTCTTGAGCCAAAGTCTTGGCATATTTGTCTGTAGAATTATCAAAACTGCTTGCTTTCTGATGAAGAGTCCTTAGCTCTTCTTCATAAAACATTTTTTCCTTTTCCAATCGTGCGTATGCCTTTTCTGCTACTGAATGTTTAATCTCTGCCATTACGGGTGATACGACTGAAAATTTTATTGATGCTGTATGCAAGCGAAATGCAGGATTGTATCAATTACAATCTGTAGCTCTATGCACTATAATTTTGGATGTATTCTTATCTGATTTTGGTAGAGATGTACTATATTGCGAGTGATTTGTGTGCAGAAGATGCCATCTGGCTCGTAGAGTACTAAAAACATAGACGGATTTCGCCCCTATGATAAAAAGAATCATTTGCAGACCTACAAAAGTGCTTTTTTTGTTCAGGAAGGAGGAGCCTTTTCTGTACGGGCCAAGAGTAAAAAGCGCGCCTCCAATTGAGATTAACTTTGCAACATTACCAAAAGTTGAGCAAAGGCCTGTGGCGAGATTTACAAAAGCTGATGGAACACCAATAACGGAGGACGATCTGCTGGACCTGACTACGGACAGTGAATCGACCACGGACAGCGAATCCGCAGTCAATAATAATAAACAGGATTTGAATGCTGACGAAGCCGAAGTTAACGAGCAAATTATATGTGCAGAAGTTATTCAGAAAAGCATTTATGTTGATGTGGTTGAGTCAAGAGTAGAGAGGGATCAGCAAGAGACAGGGGTACCTGATGAAAATAGCAGAGCCATCATGCTAGAGAATTTTTTGAAGAAATTTTCAGGAATGGAGATTACGGCAGAGAAGCGGGAATGTAGCTATAGCATTTCCGAGATTCTGAATGTTAAGGAAAGAATAGCAATACCTTTGAATCTCAAGCTTAAAACCAAAGGGGATGTGAAGCATGTATACAAGGTTGAGAAGAACAAGAAGGAGACATCGATTGAACTTGCAAGGCTTGAACTTAACAGACTCACATCGAAGAACCTAGGGTTTGTTATAAGTAATCTCAAGGGCATCAAAGTTGAGAGTATTAATGAAATGAAGGAGATATCGACGATTTTGTTTGACAAAGCGGTTTCCGAGCCGACTTTTGTGAAGTATTATGCCGTTCTTGTTCTTGATATGAAGAAGGAATGGCAGTCTGAGGAGGAAAAGAGCAAGAATGCAAGCCAGACGGTTTTCTTTGGGACGCTTCTTACACTGATGCTGAAGACACTTGAAAACCGGGAGAAATGGGGCGATGGAAAATACAGCAGCAAGGAAGAGATGACTTTTGAGGAAAGAAAGAGCTATGAGGAGAAAGTGGAGGAGGCAGAAACAGAAAGGTACATAAAAAAGAGGAAAACGCTTGGAACAATTAATTTTTTGTCATCACTTTATTCATTGAATGCTATAAGCTACTCACATGTAAATGCCTGTATTGAAGCATTGATGAAGTCAAGGGATGCTGAGAATGTCGAAGTGCTATGCTACTTTATTGAGAGCATTGGCGAAAAACTCGTTGTCAGTGGGAAAGAGCATATTATTTCGCTGGTATGCAGCAATCTTGCGCATGACAAAGATAACTATGAAAACAGAATCAAATATATGATAGAAGCCCTACTAGAGAAGAAAGGACAATGGAAGCCAAAGGAAACAAACACAAGAAATTTGTTCTCATGCCTAGAGGTTGAGAATGAAGAACAGAAGGTGAATCAAGTAGCACCTGTTTGTGCTGTTGCAGATGTGTATCCATTTTTGTCAATGATGTCTGAAGAGCTATCGATAGCTTATGAAGAGGATGACAAGAAGATTATTGCAGATAATTTCAAGACTGGAGAGCTGAAGTTTGGGGAGTATACTTTCTATAAAGCATATTTCCAGGAGGCCATTTCAAACCACAAGGCTTCAGAGGCGTTTTTTGATCTATTTATTTCGTTCAGAGCTGCAGCCAGCATCACCGAGGATGAATTGGCAAATGTTTTACGTGATATCAAAAATGACCTGGGAGAGATATCAATTGATTTCCCTATTTCACTCAAGAAGTATGCAGAGCTTATAACAAAATTGATGGTAGAAGGCATGTTGGCCAAGCATGTATTTGAGCAGCTAAAAACTGTCGATTACGAAGTAAAAGTTGTGGATCTTCTTTCGAAATGGTACAGATCTGAGAATGACAGCAAAAAAGCACTTGCAATTTTTCCAAGTGAAAAAATAGAGGGAATGATCAGAAAATAAAACAGCCTAGTATTTTGTTGGTAAGCTTTATGTTATAATACAACTCAAATATGTTTTTATTCTTTTGGTAGTTTACGACTGAGCTGTAGTGGTTAATTGCAAGCGAAAGCAGAGACGATTCTCTTCCTGATTCTTTCTTGAAAAGATGCTTATTTATTTCTCTAACAACGTCTCCTCTATTGATTGCAGCTGCTATTTCGCGAAACATCGGATCGTTTGTGCTTTTATATCCTATCAGTGTGAGTAGTTTTTTATTGATGCAGTTGGACATTCTAGCAAACTTTACGGCTTCTGTATGCTTTCCTGATTGCAAAAGATCTAAAAATGCCAATGACGATAGTGATTGCTTTATAGACAATTGTTTATCATCACAATTATCAAATGCCCTAATTTTTCCACAGAAATCCAATGCATCAATTGTTTTCTTGTTTTCCACCATTAGCAATACTTTCTTCCTTATTTGCAAAGCATGCCTTTGGGTTTGAATCATGTGAATATTGTTGGCTTCACTTTTTGAATTCCACAAATCGTATGCATTCTGTGCGCATACAAACAACATGTGGTCTGAAACAATCTTTTGAGCAAGAAGCGCAATATCTTCTTGTTCAACACATGCCATTGTGCACATAGGGTGCGGCTCCTTAATAAATGCATTTCCAAAACAAAACATTCACTAGTAATGCAGCTCATGCTAACAAATATGCAATCCTAGTTTATCGATAGAATAACATAGCTGAAAAGCACCAGAATCACAAATCTAACGAATTTACGCGACGATCTCTCGAATGAAAATTTCATTTCATCACAAAAGCTTATGATTTTGTATGCGATTTTAAGGAGTGTCCACCAATCAATCTAAATAGGAGTTTGTATCATGTATATCTAGACGTCAGCTAGATGGTTTGGTAAGGCATTTGAGCTTTATAATAGGCGTACCCTTGGCATTATGGCAACAAATATAAACTGCAAAAAGAAATGGCATCCAAGTAGATACGAAACACAGAAGAAGGTAAAGGAGGCAGAGGCGAACCTTCAAAGCGAGAAACAGCAGCAAAGCATAAAGAAGGAGGCAGAAAGAAGATATTGTCTTGAATCGGAAGTAGGAGGGCAAACAATCAATAGAATGTCATGGATGCTGTGAGATCCATATATGGAAATCGTAGCTAATGAGTTTATATATGTGCATATCAACGGCCTTCAGTGTTAGAGTGATGTAGATGTGCATGCGATTGATGAGAGTCGCAGGCAT